ATTCGCCATGCGGAAGATATGGCTGCTCCTCATATTGAACTTGAGACTGCAAAGCTCATCATTCCCAAGCGGTGATGAGTGATTACTAGAAGTCTGACGATTTCTGGTCGACGGTAGATTATCTACATGGCAGGTCCCACCCCTCATATAACATTCTGAATGTCTTGACGCCGGAGCACAAAAGTAAAGACAAGGGCAAAATGTTGACACACTCGAAGGTATTCCATTTTGTCGAGGCCAGGTAACCTTGTTTTCCGTCGCTAGAGCTGTCGAGTCTGGGATATTGAGTTGGAAAGATATATAACATTGAAAGGTACTTGAAGCGAAGTCTCAATAGCACGCTTTATGTCAAAAATTCATGATTCAATTGACATCTGGGCTTTGTAGCTTTGCGAGGGTGCTTGACAAGTAACTGTCATATCTGTATTGATTGCTAAGTGTTGGTAGAAATTCGCGCCTTCTCTCCAGTAAGTCCTCCCCGATATTTATGCACTGCGCACAGTCGATTCATCATCCAAAGGTTGCATTTAGGCGTACCCATCTTTGTATGTATCTTACTAAGCTCACGTCGAAGATCCTGGTAACCCTATCAATAATGAGTCGAATTTGAGATCAAGTACAGGGAAAGTGATAGAATGAAAAGACTACGTGATAGAAGGGCCCATGGGGACAAAGACAGAATGGATATACAGATGTGGGCGAAAGGCTTTGGCCTTGAAGTAGGTACTACCAGACCTGGCAAAGTTACTGTATCATGTGGTGATAAGCCCAGATATCAAACACCCAGGAGCCTCTCACGCTAAATTCAAAGGCTCACCTGGCAAGAGACAGAGCTGGCAAAATTCTCAATTGGCGAAGATGGAAAGCAAGTTCGCGAACTAACTATGCCATGTTGCTTGGAGGTTTACTGTCAATTTGCAAGATTGAGTGATTGATACTATCAGTGAGATAGAAGGTCACTGGTAGGTTCAAAGCGTAACGATCTACTTTGATCCGTCACAGAACGAAACCCTGCGTGGCCAGCTGAACATGGACTGACGTATTGATATCCGTGAGCCCGCTATCTGGGCATGTACACCAACTTTTTGCAAAGCAGTACTCAAATTGTCTTCTAAGTTATGTCACGATAGCCAGCCTCTACGATGTCAGACCACATGTCTGTTTGTTACCTGGAAAGTGAGCTCGCTCATGACAATTCGCGCAGCCTTTGTCGAAAGCCGTGCTCCGAGGGATCCGCCCCTCACGTAGCTATGAATATTCATGCGAGACATGGATCTGGAGGCTTATTGATGACGGATATACCGAGCCACTGACAGAACATATTATACAACGATTCTTTTTGTTCCGCAGAACTCTACATTAGCTAACAGAAACTTGTACCTAACAAGATTACTCGGACCAACCAGTTTTCAAACAAACACTATAGCCAAACATACACCACATTCGTCCCTTCGATAGGTCTAGTCTCACCTGCGCGTCCCGTCCTCTTTGAACAGCCAGATAAGCCTACTCTTCGAACATATGATCAGTTTGAACAGTGTGTGTTGAATAATGCAGTATACAGCCATTACGAATTACCGTATTTGTGAGTTTAGCGACACGTTTGCAAGGTGTTTCGTGGAGCCAAAATTGCCTGATATAGACACCAAGCTATGTGAGAGCTCTGCTATCCACAACGGACTTGACACGGTACATTTGTTCGCCGTGAGGAATTGTCTCTATTGTGATCGAGAACCGGTCGTAGGACGGTGGCTAGGAGTCCTTTCGTCGTCACTGTCGTCGATAAGAGGTCCCCACTACTCAGGATTCTAGGACAACAGGTTGAGTGGGATTGACCCAAGCCGAGACAAGGGGGCTGTCTTGAGCAATCTAGAGTATGCCCATTGTCTTCAGCTTTCATTGAAGCAGTTGGGACAAGAGATCGCTCTTGTGGAAATACAAAAAGGAGTCTGCCAACTTGAGTCAAAATTGTAATTACGGTCATGCCTGTCCTTGCGGCACGACCGAGGAAATCGAGCCACTCTTACGATGAGATCATGGTGTTCTTCAATAGAGTAACATCGTTTTTGGCGCATAATGTCAAGGCCAGGGTGTTTGATTGCCAGTCAGCAGAGATAGATATGTACACATACACGAATATGCATGTTTTCAACTTCTGATGGTATCTGCACTCTACAGCGCAAGTAGCAGTCTACAGTTCTCATTCGATCATGGCTGTTGCCCTAGCGGCTTGCCCTAATGATGTCGAACCATCATGAACGTAATTCTGGAAAGCCTGGGCAATCACAGGTCAGTCACTTAGTGATTGCTGGGTCCCGCCTTTAGCCCCGGAAAGAGGTGATGACATAATCAACGCCTTCGGGGACGGCAATTACAGGCATGGATGTTGTGAGACACGTGACTTAATGACCCCATGATTGGCCCGTCTTAGGGCTGCCGCCCTCTCCTGGTCATCCACACACAGCCGTGCAGTCGGGGCTCGCTTAACCTCCTTCGCCTGCGATCCATCCGACTTCGTTGTGTGCGTTGAACTCGACTCCAACGACAACAACCGCCGACAACATCCAACCTTCCTTTACACAAAGGTGACAGCAGGATGTCCTCTTTCGAACCAGTGGTGCGTCCCCCGATAAAATCCAGCGCGTGAACTATCACACCCGACATAGCCCGCGACACCCCAAATCTCTGAATCGCGAATCTTCGAGATCGTCAATTTTCGCAATGAGTGATACAAGGTCGATCTTGAACTTTGGCTGATCGTTCTGGAAATCTAGGTCGTCATCGACGGCAAGGGACACCTCCTTGGTCGCCTGGCCAGCACTGTCGCTAAGCAGCTGCTTAACGGCCAGAAGATCGTCGTTGTGAGATGTGAGGCCCTCAACATCTCTGGCGAGTTCTTCCGTGCGAAGCGTACGTTCCAACTCTCCGATTCCAACAATTCTATGCGAACCCCGAGAAGATTCGGTTGCGACAGGTCTCTAGGAGACTTCCGATCTTTACTGCGACTTCAGCTCCTGGGCCGCCCTTTGTGCACCAGGCTTGAAAATGTTCTTTGCTAACACGGGATATTATTCGACCTGCAGTGAAGTACCACGCCTACCTGCGCAAGATGACCCGTTTCAACCCCACTCGCGGTGGTCCCTTCCACTTCCGCGCTCCCTCCCGCATCTTCTACAAGGCTGTCCGCGGCATGATTCCCCACAAGACCGCCCGTGGTGCCGCCGCCCTTGAGCGCCTGAAGGTCTTCGAGGGTGTTCCCCCTCCCTACGACAAGAAGAAGCGCGTTGTCGTTCCCCAGGCTCTCCGTGTCCTGCGTCTGCGCCCCGGTCGCAAGTACTGCACCGTTGGCCGTCTCAGCCACGAGGTTGGCTGGAAGTACCAGGATGTCGTTTCTCGGTATGTTACAACCCACCATTATCAAAGCAGGCTGCCCTTCAATGTACACGATACTAACCCATTAACTGCAGTCTTGAGGAGCGTCGCAAGGTTAAGAGCAAGGCCTACTACGAGCGCAAGAAGGCTGCTCGCCGCAACCTTGCCAAGGCGGAGTCGGGTGCCAACGTTGACAGCAACACCAAGAGCCAGCTCGCTCAGCTCGGCTACTAGATACCTCAAAGAGCGGCTGGTTGGAGTGAGTGATGGGATTGGGATCGCGAACGGTTTTGTTACAGCGAACTTGAACGGCAAGCCGAGATCGACCTTTTTCCGATAAACCTGGACCCCGCCCTTGTTATCTTGCCTCCCATGTTCGTTAGAACCACTGCCCTTGAATGGGTCGTGATGGACCCGAATAGGGAGAAAGGATCTGGCGTGGCATGTACCGGGTTCCTTCGGAAATTCTCAAAAGCAGAAAAAACGGAGTCGCGGGATCAAAGGTTGTCTAAAATAGCTGGCTGTTGTCTCGCGCCGTGGCGGTTTAATGCAAAACAAATTTTCAAACAGTTCACAAAGAGTTCAACATGATATTATGACGATGCAGGTTTCATGTCTTTTCTTACGCTGGGCACATATTATCAATAGAACGTCTCCGATTATTCGTCTGCCTTACCACTGTCTTGGTCATTTCGAGTCCTTGTTTCAAGCGACTGATTCGAGGTCAACAATCACCCTGGTGGGTTTCCAATTCCTTGATATTAGCCCATTGTCCTGATGCGACGTGTCTGTGACCTCGAGTCTCCTGTTATCCTCACATCTTCGACAAATTATCCACCTTGCAATCTTGTGTCCACGGCTATATTCCTGAGCCCTCTTATCAGACTAAAGGTATCTCTTCCGTGCAGTCTGTCTACGTGACCTCCACACAAGCTCAGAGGACAGGTACCATCACGGATCCACTCAAGAGAAGCAGCCCTTAGCTATTGTGCTGCAGTTGCGGATATAACAGGTGCTGACCGCACATATATATATACTCCAGGTCATCATTAGATGTTCCATGATCAATCTCCGAACAAGGGCTCGAGCTTTGCGAGAGTTGATGAAGACTGTTCAATGTAAATGGACTCGGTGTATATCACTTACCTCCAGGCGGATAGTTAAGGTATCGGTAGGTAGGTAGGTGGTAGGTACGAAGTGCCACGTTGGTATCAGTTACCAATTCGGAACTTAAACGCTCCAGGTAAATGAGTCAAATACATGCCATTTTGACGATCGCCATGGATCAGCGACAGATCTAGAATAACTCCAGTTGATACCTCGTAGCGACTCGAATTAGCGGGGAACCTGCGCTGCTAGCCCAGAGTGGATCATTTTTGGACTGTTCCCAATGAAATTCAGTATGTGTGAGTACCCTAAGATGCCTGACGATTCTTCGGTGAACTGCTCAGTCAAACAGGACCCACATTTCTCCAAATGTCAGTCGCGCAGTGAGGTCACTCTTGTCCCAGGTCCTTGATTCTCAAACGCAATCTCTTCACATCTTCTCATCAAGCTACAAGCCTGAGATTAAAAGAGAAGCTTTGGGATCCCTCACCTCATACTCGAACATCTGAGCATTTGCAGATATGGCGGCTTCCCGAAGACTTCGGCTCGGCATCATCGGGGCTGGTGTACGTGCCTAACACTGCAAATGCACTTCGCATACACAACATGGAACAGGTCGCTAAGATACGAACAAATTGCAGGAAGTTTTCCAAGTCTGCCACGGGCCATGTCTGATGCTCATGCCTCACCTTTTTCAAGTTGAATCGATCTGCGACTTATCACCAAGTACCGTCGAGCAGTGCGCAGCCAAGTTCAACATCCCTCACCAAACAACTACCCCTCAGGAGGTGATTGATCATCCCAATGTTGAGGCTGTCTTTGTTCTCACCTCTGATGAGAGTCATGCGCCGTTGGTGATCGCCGCTCTCAACGCCGGGAAGAGCGTCTTCGTTGAGAAGCCCGTCTCGCTCTCTATAGCCTCTGTGCAGTCGATCATCGAAGCAGAGCAGAATGCACCATCTGGTGCCCGAGTCTTTGTCGGTTACATGCGCCGATACGCGCCGAGCTTCCTGCAGGCTTTCAAGCGAGAGATTGCCTCGATTCCCAAGATTCTGTACGCGCGCGTGCGTGATTTCAGTGGTCCGAATGCACAATTCGTTGGTCAGAGTGGTACCTTCCCGGTGAAGAACTCTGATTACCCAGTCACGGCAACGGAAGAGCGTGACTTGCGCCTGGAAAGCCTCTTCAGGGAAGCCTTTCCAGGCCAGGAGATTACCGATGAGAAGCGTAAATTCTGCCGTTTCCTCGGCAGTCTGGGCTCACATGATATCTCACTTATGCGTGAAGCTCTTGGCTCCCCCGAGAAAGTCCTCGGAGTGTCCGCGAATGATCCCTTCTACAGCGCGATCCTAAAGATGCGCAACAAAGACGGCTCAACATACTCGACCACCTACGAGAGTGGCATTGACGGTGTACCCGTGTTTGATGCGCACATTGCTGTTTATGGTGCCTCCAAGCGTGTAACAATCAAGGTACGCTTTCATAATGGCCTCCGGAGGGGGTTTCATTCGTATTCCACCACGACCAGTTACTGACTCTACCTATAGTACGACAGTCCTTATGTCAAAGGACTGCCCATTCATGTGGAGGTCGAAGAGCCCAATGAGCACGGTGAGATTCAGAAGCGAACTATCATGTCATCATACGAAGATGCCTATACCGCCGAGCTCCAAGAGATGTATAAATCCTTTGTCGATGGCCGCGACATCAAGACTTCAGTCCAGGACGCTAGGAAAGACCTGGAGATTTACGATCTCATGTATCAAGCATGGCTAGCGAACGAGTCATGTTGAACTGCATATCAACAGACCTGGCTCAATTTTGAGTCCAAGATGTCCCTGGGATCCTAGGCCCACCGTTTTGAACATTTTCCGACAACCATATACAGAACTCTTATCTGCGATATCTTCAATCCTGTTTGTTCTTTGCATACTTGAGCAGTCCTTGATCGAGTCACGAAATTCACACAATTATCGCGTAATGGGTGCCGCAGTTGATAGTAGAAACATGCCTGGGACATGCCTGGGCTGTGACATTGAGTCGGTGATCGCGGGCTAAAGGAACAAACTCGGTTATCACTCGGGCGGCACTCCGCAACAGCCGCCGAGGACCCGCCCTTCACTGGAGCAGATCGGCGCCAGTCCTGCGGTCCCGAGGTTAAGTTAGCGGTGACTCGTGAGCTGCTTAGTTGCTTACCCGCCTGACGAAGGGATCGACCCACGCAGGGCGAATTCGCCCGCGCTGGACAATCGACCTTATTTAGTTCCGTTCAAGTTGCTTCCCCGCATTGTCTCCAACAATAATCACCCACATTCCGCTCGGCGAAGCACCATTCCATTTTGTAAAGCAAACTTCTCCCTCCCTTCACGCTCCGGAGCACCTCGTCTTACAAGCTTGATTTCTGAAAAGTAACGCGAACCAATATCGACACAATATGTCTGGAGTGACAGCTCGGCTATCCGGCCTACTGAGCCAATTGTCTGGTTCGCCGACGCAAACCGCATTCGAGCATCGCATCAATCACCACGCACTTTCACCAACATTCTTCCTGCCTCGAGCAGCAGCAATTGAGCCCAATGTACGTTGTGGCATGAGCCGCAAAGCATGACCGTGTTGCAGACTACATGACCAAACTCTGGTATATGAACGAAGCAGACAAGCCTCTGACCTGAATTTTCCCACACAGGCCGAGGCAATCTACCACATCACTGCGAACAATAAGACCCTGCGCCGAAGCTATAGCGAGGCTGCGGACCGTGCCCGAGGATTAGCCTATTACCTCAAAAAGAATGGATTCCGCCGAGTCGGCATACTTTGCCCTAATACGCCGGCCTTTTTGGAATCCATATTCGGAATCGCCGCGGCCGGGGCTGTCAACCTAGGTAGGTCTATCCACGACGATTAGTTTGTGAAGAGCGCAGGAGGATCTCTTTTTCTCACTGTTTTTTGGGGATATCACCAGCTGTCAACTATCGTCTGAAAGAAGAGGACATTGCCTATATCTTCGACCACGGTGACGCGGACGTCATCATCGTGGACCAAGAGTTCTTGCCTCTGCTCGGCCTGTACCGAGCGCAACACCCCAAGATTCCAATCATCGTGGACACTGACACCGACGCCACCGAGGGTGAGCTGACGGGTCCTTTTGATAATGCCGTGCTCGAGGGCTTGAGGTACGATACAGAGCTTGGCTCCCACGGATGGGATGGCCTCGAGGCTCAAGCGGCCGACGAAGAGTCCTTGATTGCACTGGCCTATACTAGCGGTACAACTGCCAGACCAAAAGGTGTGGAATATACTCACCGTGGCTGCTACTTGGCGGCGCTGGCGAATGTCATAGAGTCGGGGTTGAATTCGGACCGAGGCCGGGCCAAGTACCTTTGGACATTGCCAATGTTTCATGCAATGGGTTCGTAGAGCTCCTTGGACGTATTGCGGAAGCATCATAGCTGTCAAAAAGACTAACATACTGGGTAGGATGGACGTTTCCATGGGCCGTTACGGCTGTTCGTGGCACCCACTACTGCTTGCGCAAGATCGACTACCCGGAAATTTGGCGTTTGCTGAAGCAAGAACATATCACCCATTTCAATGCGGCACCGACTGTGAATACATTGTTGTGCAACGCCAAGGAGGCCGAACGACTACCCGAACCTGTCCGTGTCACTGTGGCAGCAAGCCCCCCCACGCCTCACCTTTTCGAGCAGATGACGGACTTGAATCTCCATCCAGTCCACGTCTATGGAATGACAGAGACGTACGGCCCAATCACAAAGGGGTATCACTTACCCGAGTGGAATTCCATTCCGCTCAAGGAGAAATATCAGAAAATGGCTCGGCAAGGCCATGGCTTCATTACTAGTCTGCCTGTCAGGGTGATTCGTACCGAGGTCCCCGAAGGAGCTGTTGAAGAGGTGAAGCGTGATGGCAAAGAAATCGGCGAAATAGTGTTCTACGGCAACATTTGTTCAAGAGGATATTACAAGGACCCAGAGGCAACCCGCAAGCTTTTTGCCGGCGGAGTACTTCATTCAGGTGATCTCGCTGTCTGGCATCCCGATGGCGCAATTCAGATTCTTGATCGCTCGAAAGACATCATTATCAGTGGTAAGTCTTCGATCCTTGCCAAGATCACATTTTCCGTGAAACTTATACACTGTCCAGGCGGCGAGAATATTTCCTCAGTCGCTCTAGAATCGATGCTCGCAACGCATCCTGATATTTTGGAAGCTGGCGTGGTTTCTGTTCCAGACAGCCACTGGGGCGAGCGACCGAAGGCCTTCATCACCGTCAAAGAGGGAAAGCACTTAGAAGGGGCCGATGTGATTAACTGGGCTCGTACGGCGAGTGGCATCAGCAAGTTCATGGTTCCGCGTGAAGTCGAGGTGGTCCCAGAACTTCCCAAGACCAGCACCGGCAAGATTCGAAAGAATGTGTTACGTGATTGGGTCAAGGGTGCGGACCGAAGTCTTGTCAATTGAAATTGATCTTCTAGATGATAGATACGGGAGACAAGGAGAGGGTGGTGCCTTGTGATGCTTCTTCAAAACTACTTAACGAATGGAGATACATCAAGAACTCAGATCCCACCTTGTGCCTTTCTCATTCGCATGTCTACACACCTGTCACATATCCTTTGCAAAGAACCTTAGAGAACCTTACTCGCCTTTGAGCAAGATTTTCAATACAGCCGAAGCTTGTTGTCAGGGAGGCCAAGGTGGAATAGAGGAATTTGATACTGGAGACTCGATCAGTCTGGGTCCGCCACTAGGTCGCGCAGCGCACGAGAAGCCCTGGAGAAAATAATTATCCTTTCACAACGCATATGCTTCTTGCAACATGCCCAGCCCTCGCAAAGGGACGTGAACAAAAGGGTTAGCAGGGCTTAAAGAGTGACAAGTGCACTCTACTGACACATGAGGTTGCCTGGGATGGGTGTTGAATTAATCAGCACTTGCCCCCTTCACGGAGGTGGGTTCTAGATCGTGACATAGTGGTGGTAGGAAGGTACATCCACTAGAAGTACCATTAACCCACTCGAGCGGGAGGCACAATGCCCAGGCACATCAGCTGCCTGCGGAGAGTGGTAGCAGCAGGTACGTACTTTCTCCGGGAGGCGGGTCACTTGTAGTAGTATTACGTACTCTCAGGTACTATAGTAGTGGGCAGTGTCAGACTGGGTACCACGAACCCCAAGTCATTGCGTAGAGTGACTTGCTTATCGAGGCGATAAGCCAGTCTCGTTCGGCGACTGTCTATCCGCGCGCTCGTGAGACCAACCCCATTTGCCTCGCTGCTCCCCCTCCATTGCCGCCTGCGTTCCTTTTACGCACGCTCGCCCTGCATTCAACCCTGATTTGTGTTGGAACTTTCCAGGGCTCCCTCAGACCATGCGTTAAGCACCTCCTTGTGGTGTCTAGTATCTGTGACACTGTTGGTCCCTCTGCGCTCAGTCCTTTCGCACCTTGAGTAGCACTCTGTGGTCATAGCCGCCCGAGTCCTCACCTCTGAACCCAAGATTCGCGTTCTTACCTTTTCTGTCCTCTGTCTAGTCCTCGCTCGCGTCGGTAACCCTTGAAAGTCTGCACGCAACGATCGGCAGATCACATACACACTCAGATCAATCATCCTGCAGTCTACCGGCTCGTATCGCGCCCGACGAGCCCGTGCAGGCCTAGACAACCTCCCTCCAGTCGTCGCCCTATCTCATCAACACCACCCGAATACCACTCCATCCTTCCTGCTCATGCAGTCGACGCTACCCACGATATTACGAGGGATACAATAAACGGCGATCTTACCATAATCTCGAGGGTTGAACTTGAAATCCAGCTGTTTCCAAAAGCCCAAGATGGCGCCACGCCCTCGTCCCTCCACTCGGCTTTCGAGTGAAGCGCCCTCCGAGACATCAGGCTCGACGTCACCGGAACGTGCGGCAGACGATGATACCGACTTCTTTATGGCCCAGGCCAACGACTCAGAGTCGTCGATCGGGGTTGCTACCTTCCGTGATCTTCACATGAGCAACACTCTGTCTGCCCCGTTGCCACCTATTGGCCGATTGCCGCCCGAGATCTTAATCGCCATATTTTCCAAACTCGCGGCGCCCAAGGACATGCTGAGCAGCATGTTAGTCTGTCGGAGCTGGGCCGCAAACTGTGTGGGGATCTTGTGGCATCGTCCTTCCTGCAATAATTGGGACAACCTTAAGAGTGTCGCGTCATCTGTGGGCAAGCCAGATAGTTTGTTCGCGTATGCGGAGTTGATAAAGCGGCTCAATCTATCTGCCCTGACCGAAGATGTCAGCGATGGTACCGTGGTGCCTTTCGCGCAATGCAAGCGCATCGAAAGGTTGACCCTAACTAATTGCTCGAAACTCACAGATAAGGGTGTGTCGGATTTGGTGGAGGGCAATCGACATCTTCAAGCTCTGGATGTTTCTGACCTTGCATCGTTGACCGACCACACTCTGTACACCGTTGCACGCAACTGCCCACGACTACAGGGTCTCAACATCACGGGTTGCTCCAACGTAACGGACGACTCACTCCTGATTGTCTCGCAAAACTGCCGGCAGATCAAGAGGCTCAAGTTGAACGGTGTCTCCAATGTCACCGACCGCTCAATCCAATCATTCGCGGAGAACTGTCCCGCGATTCTAGAGATTGACTTGCACGATTGCAAGTTGGTGACCAGTCCCTCCGTGACTGCACTTCTCACTACCCTGCGCCATCTTCGAGAGCTACGACTTGCGCATTGCTTGGAGATTACCGACTCCGCGTTCCTCAAACTGCCCGAGCGTATGACTTTCGATAGCATGCGGATTCTCGATTTGACCGCGTGTGACCAAGTCAAAGACGACGCAATCGAGCGCATCATCAGCGCTGCCCCTCGTTTGCGGAACCTTGTCCTGGCCAAATGTCGCTTCATCACCGATCGCTCTGTGTCAGCCATCTGCAAGTTGGGTAAAAACCTACACTATGTTCACCTCGGTCACTGCTCTCAAATCACCGACAGCGCGGTGATTCAGTTGATCAAGACCTGTAATCGGATCCGCTACATTGATTTGGCCTGCTGCAACCGCTTGACCGACACTAGTGTTCAGCAACTGGCTACTTTGCCCAAACTCCGTCGCATTGGCTTGGTCAAGTGCCAGTCAATTACCAATCAAAGTATTTTGGCCCTCGCTCATCCGCCGCGGGCTAGCCACCCGATGGTGAGCAACTTAGAACGAGTCCATCTAAGTTATTGTGTCAACTTGGACATGCTGGTAAGCTCTGACAGAGCCGAAGACGACTTTGGCTGCCATCTCTTTATTGTTGCCTACCGTGACGCTAACCAATTGCCACCAGGGTATCCGACCTCTAATCAACAATTGCCCGCGTTTGACCCATCTGAGCTTGACCGGTGTCCCTGCGTTCCTGCGAGATAATCTCACGGCATTCTGTCGAGAAGCCCCACCAGAGTTTACTCCCCAACAAAGAGAGGTGTTCTGCGTCTTCAGTGGTGAGGGTGTAACCCGGCTTCGGGAGTATTTGAACCGAAATATGGGCCCTCACCTCGACGAGACCGAAGCCACGATGTACGATGACGACGAGGAACTAGACGAAGACGATGGCCATGTGGCTGGCCTCATGCATGCAACTGGCATCAACGACGAGGACTACATGGACGTACCCCCTCAATGATAAGATACCCACTTACAGCTTACATTCCGTTTCCTGTTCTGTTTCGCATGCGCAGTCCTTGTGTCTGCTGCGCCTCCACTTCTCATCCTATCTGGCATCGCTCTCGCGTTTTTTCATCCATGTGCCGGGGCCTCACATATCATTAACCCATTCTGGCTTGACTGCAACCGCCGTTTGGCATTTCTTCCATCACATCTCAGCGAGCACATTCTTCAGCCCCGTCATCCCTACGCGACAAGTTTTATGAATTAGAAAATGCATTCCGTGGTACCGACCATCACTCTAGTTTCAAGGCAATGGCCATGTGCAATGCCTAGATAATGCTTTGGCTGTAAGTATGCGCGCGGTGACAGGTCTAGTAAACTCGATAAGGTCTGTGGGTCGTGCATGTTGATTAAGGCTGCGGTGACGTCGGGAAGCATAAGGCTGCAACCGCACAGTGCAGTACTACTGAGTGGGTATTACACACGACTGGACGCTGTCCGACCGAGCTCTCCCCGCATTCCGTTTCCCTTCTCCAACCTCACCTGTTGTCTCAGCATAGGCTTCAGCCCTTCGGTCGAGTCAACTCAGCGACTCCGACTCCTCGCCAGGAGATGGCTTCAAAAAGCAGAAATCCACTAGCGTTCACGCCGTGGCCAGTGACCATCATCACGACTGCGGTGTATCTTGCCTTGATCATTCCGCTACTGGTCATTCATTTGAACGTTCCCACGGCGCCCCGCGCCAGTCCCTCAGATGGCTGGAATCTCACCGAGGCATGGCACGATCTTCAGGCACTCACCAGAGGCTTTCACCCGTACAACTCTCGCGAGAACGACCATGTGCATGCATGGCTCCTTGAGCGCATCGATGAGATCGTAAACGCCGCACCATCCGACGAAGCTTATCAACCCGCAGATAAGAAGCCCGAGGTCATCGTATTCGACGACCTCACCTCAAACTTGACCTTCTTCGACAGAAAAAGTGGAGTCTATTTCGAAGGCACCAACATCCTGGTCTATATTCGCGGGTCGGAAGATCAAAAGGATAAATGGTGGGAGACGCCAGCCAAGCTCCCTTCTGGGAAGGGCGGAGTGCTTGTCAATGCACACTACGACAGTGTCTCCACGGGATACGGTGCGACAGATGATGGCGTTGGTGTCATCACAGGCCTGCAGTTGGTCAAGTACTTCCTGACTCCAGGACACGCTCCGCGCCGCGGCCTGGTGGTGCTCTTCAACAACGGCGAGGAGGACTATCTTAACGGCGCTCGCGCGTTCAGCCAGCACCCCATGTCAAAGTTTGTCCACACGTTTTTGAACTTGGAAGGAGCTGGTGCGGGTGGTCGCGCGACACTCTTCCGCAGTACCGATACCGAGGTCACCCACGCTTACGCCAGATCCCAGCATCCTTTTGGATCGATTGTCAGCGCCAATGGCTTTGAGTTGGTTGGAAGTCAGACTGACTACGTCGTCTTCGATGGGGACTTGGGTCTACGTGGGCTTGATGTTGCCTTTTACGAACCGCGTGCTCGATACCACACTGAACAGGACGATGCGCGCCATACCAGTGTGGATTCGCTTTGGCACATGCTGTCCGCGGCAGTGGCTACGACCGAGGGACTCGTTTTCGACGATTCCGATCAGTTTGATGGTCCCGCACGAGTTGAAGGGAATGTGCCTAATGGTCAGGGCACAAAGGCGGTTTGGTTCGACCTTTTCGGCAGCGCATTTGCAGTCTTTCGCCTACACACCCTGTTTGCGCTCTCGGTCACTCTACTCATTGTAGCGCCGTTGGCCCTGATTGTGACGAGTATTGGTCTCTCGCATGCCGATAAGATGTATTTGTTCCGTTCAAACACACGGGCCGAGTTTAGCGATGAGAAGATCCCGCTGCAAGGTCTGAGGGGATTCTTCCGATTTCCTTTCCTGCTTGGAGTCCCCACCGCTGTGTGCATTGGATTCGCTTTCCTGCTAGCAAAGGTCAATCCCATGATTCTGCACAGTGGCAATTGGGCTGTTTGGAGTATGATGATCTCGGGCTGGGTGTTCATGGCATGGTTCGTTTCGTGTGTTGCTGACTTTGCTCGACCATCTGCCTTTCATCGAGTGTACAGTTTCACGTGGATGTTTGTGATCTCTTGGGTGCTACTGGTCCTTGCCACTGTTTTGGAGAACGACCAGGGGCTTGGTGGAGGGTACTTCACCCTGTTTTACTTTGCGAGCATATTCTTGGCGACTTGGATCTCATACCTAGAACTCTTCTTCCTTCCACGAAAGTCTGAATACGTCAGTAAAATGACTCGAGACTCACGACAGCCAAGCAGCCATGGCAGTCGTCTCGGCACTGGTCACAGCAATGATGTCGATGATGACAACGAAGAAGCAGTCCAGGAGGAGGCGACTGAGTCCACGTCTCTTCTACGGGGTCAACAACGCACGACGTTTGCGAACTATGTCAGCATGCCCGGCAACCATTCCGATGACCCTGAGGATGACACCGAACCGGATGATCCTAATGTTTATGGCAACGAACAAGCTTGGAGCGCGTCTTTACCCAGCTGGACCTGGTTGCCTCAGCTGCTTCTCACCATTCCAATCAATGTCGTGATTCTAGTACCGCTGGCTTTGATCACGACCAGTGCTTTGAATCAGATTGGCCAAGATGGCGATCCCACGCTAGTCGTGTACCTGCTGATGGCATTCTTCATCACCATGATCTTTATGCCGGTCTTGCCGTATATTCACCGCTACACTTACCACATTCCAGTATTCCTCTTCCTTGTCCTCATCGGCACCCTGATCTACAACCTGGTTGCGTTCCCTTTCTCGCATACCAACCGCGTGAAACTTTACTTTTCGCAGCAGGTCGATCTGGATCGGGGTAACTCATCCGCCTACCTAGCAGGTGTCAGCCCGTTTGTCGAAGATGTCGTTCGCGGCCTACCCAGTGCGGGAGGACATACAGAGTGTCACCGTATCTTTCGACACGGACAACTTCTGCAATGCTCTTGGCCCGGTGTAGAGCCCCACGTTGTCCCCAGTCTGAACGCCTCCTCGCCCTCACCAGGTCCATCAGCAGATTGGGTGTCCTCTAAAATCACCCCCTCCGAGTCAAGCAGCCCTTCAGCCCGATTCGAGCTATCCGGACTGAACACCCGAGCATGCCGCATCACTATGCAGCACCCCTCAATCAAGACCTTCAGCGTCGCAGGATCATCCGTGCAAGACAAGCGGTTCATCAAACCCGCTTCGGAAGGGATGTCGGAGATTCGACTCTGGAGCCGCACCTGGGACGGGTCATGGACAGTGGACGTAGATTTCAAAGAGCACGCAGAGTCACTCCGGGGACTTGTGTCGTGTCTTTGGAGCGACGATAACAACCCGGAGTTGATCCCCGCGCTTACTGAAGCGCGGAAGTACGTGCCTGCCTGGGTTGCGCTGACCAAATTGGCGGATGGTCTGGTGGAAGGGTACCGGGAGTTTGAAATTGTCAAAGATGAATCTGGGAGATGGGTACAGAAACAGAAGGGTTAAGGGTTGGGGGGGGGGGGGTGGAAGGAGGGAAACCTCATTGATTTTTATGTGAAATATTCCCTTCTCCATATGTGAGAAACCTGTTCGTAATGAGACGCGGATTTGTTGAAAGTCAAGTTGAGTAATTTTTGGGGGGGGGGGGGCGGTCTAGGTAGTAGTGTACCCTCCAACTATTCACTGTATTGAGTGACCTTCAAGTAATCGGGCATTAGTGCCACTCGTATTCTGACAGAGGTGAGTGTCGAGTTACGTTTCACCCGCATCAAGTCCAGCTCAGCAAGACCCAACAGCATTGGCGCTGAAAGACGTGAAGAGAGCAATGTCATATCTTCTTGGCAAAAAATCCCTCCAAGTCATTTGTACATGTTCCCAGCAAATACTCAAATTTTTACGATCACACACTACCTAGGTCCACTATGTGAAGAGGGTTGTACACTTTCATGACGTGAGTCAAGCATGCTCGATTCCAGGACCAGCGAGCGAGCGTGTACATTTAGACAAGGGGATATACCGAGCAGTAGCCGTCGGTTCGAGTCCCTCCTAAGCTCTGGAAGCCCTACTTGTAATTCTCGCTCCTGGTCACGGCCAGGAAAGCCAAAGACCAAAGTTGTCGAATGTCGGATTCTGGCAAAGAAGAAGGTCAATAAGAGAAAAGCAAGATACAAAACGAAGAGGGCCAAAAGACGACCAAGAGAGACTTACCAGTCTGAGAACCTCCGCCGGGTGGCGGGATCACTCCCAAGGGCGTGACCTGGAAACCACCATCTCGATAGGTCCACGACCACACTTCTCCCGAAAGCTGACTCTTGTTCTTTTCAATGACGTCCCAGAGCTCGTTGTATGCAGCCTTGACGTTTTCCCACACCGAGTCGTCTCCGCAGAATTCGGGGATTGGCGCGACGGGCGTCTTGTTCGTAGGACACGACGCGCTGTTTTCGGAATGATGCTTCTGCTGGTCCGTGACAGAAAAGTTCGCGCTGAGTTGGCACCGACCCATCTGGAGCTCGAGTCCCTTGGCCATCATAGCGAGTTGCCAGGACCAAATGACTGTTCCGTGATACGCGCCTGTGGTCCAGTTTTGGGCGTAGACAGGGTTCCCGCCGAATGCGGGATTTGCGACGATCATGCCTGCCGAGGTCATTAGACCTGCGGGGAAGGTGCGACGGATGTTCGTGGCGGAGTTGTTAAGGAACGGGGTTAATTGAGCATCGTTGGTAGTGTTGAGGAGAAAGTGGCGGAAACAGTCGTCGGTGTTCATCACTTCCACCTTGCTGAGGTTGTTGTTCCCATCCAGGGCGAGAGCGTGGAAGACCACGTCGTCGTTGATCTAGCCAGCTTGATCAGGTCCGGCAAATGAGGACTCGTTCTTGTAGGACGCGACGAGATCCTTGGCCTCGCACTCGGGAATGGTCACCTTGAAGAAGTCGAGGGACTTGTCCTCCCAGACCTGTGCGTAGCGATCGGCCATGTGAGACCATTGCTTGTGCTTGGGGTAAAGACCTTGGCGAGCAAGAATAGCAATTGAACGCAGAGCTGCTGGAACCAAGGCTGTGTTGACATCATAAGGGATCCGTCCTCCGCCAATGCCTTTGATATGGTTGCGCATCAGCAGTGGCCCCCAATTCGTCTCCATCTTCGTCTTTTCTAGGAGTCATATCATGAGCCGAACATACCATATTCGCTGTCTCGCCACTCTCCCACGATTTGACCTTTCTTGAGATGAACAAAGTTCTCCTTGACGGGCTTCTCGGCAAAGGGACGAGCAAGTCGCATGATACGCTCTGCGCTGATCAGGGCGAGATCGCCCCATGTCAAATTTTGATTGTGGGCGTCGATTGCTCCCGCAGGAGTGCTTTGGAACATGTTAGTAAATTTACCCATAAGCCGCGAAAGACACCGTCTGGACCAACCTAAGGAAGGATGCTGCTCGCTTCTGACCGACGGGGTTGTTGACAAAGTACTTCTGCATAAGAACAGGCAAGTAGTAGTCCGAATCAATCTAGATGGTCTCCAGGCGTGAGTGCTTATCATTCCCCGGAATGAGGACGGTCACCACATGATTAACCACGTACCATCTTATAGTCACAGAGCATGGCGCTACTGCTGATATTATTCTGCAAATTGAGCCATGTGGCATAATCACTGGTCCAATGTTAGCGCCACGTTTTGCAATCATCAAGTGAAGCCGTTCACTTACCCAATGGTTTCCTCATGACAGACACTACCATCTGTACGGTTGACTCGCTCCAAAACAGCTCCGATGACCGCTTCCATCGCGCTGCCATTCCCGGAGCTGAGAACCGGCTCCAGAAGTAGTGCCGAGATCATCGAATCTCGACCAAAGTAGGTCAGAAAGCGCCAAGCACCGGCGAGCAACTTCTCTGAATACGACAGGAACGAAAGCGCAGCCACCTGATCTGCGTTTGTGGTCTTGAGTTCTCGATACGCATTGTTGAGGACCATGGCGGGCTTCAGCGCGGTGAGCTGCGGATAATCCATCGACGCAGAGACAAGATAGTCTCCTGCCTCAAAGTTCAATGTCCGGTTCGAGACTGAGACTTTCCCTTTCACGGTGTTGTTTGCGAATGGCGCGAAGCTCAGCGTCGTGGAAGTAACATTGTCCAGCCATGTTCGCTGAAGCGACGCCGAACCGTCTTCGTTCGACATGAATCGAATCGCATCCTGAATTTGAGGTTGGAGAAGACTCGGGCCCTCCACGAAATCACGAATTGTACGAATACTTCCCAAGATCGGAAGAGTCAGAGTCGCCGAAGTATTAAAGCGAAGCACGCCCTGAAGACCAACGCTCGGAGGCGCAGAAGCGTTGGAACCCGTCGAGTACACCGGACTGAGGGGATGTCCGACGGTGGAATTGACCATTTCGATGGCCAGAGTGCCATTGGGACCACTCTGGGGCGCGAAGTAGGCGCAAATCCCACTGTCTCCGGCTGGCCATGCCACGATCAAACGAGGCCCGATGAGGGTCAAATCGCTATCTGGCAGCGGGCTGGTGACCACCGCCTGTGCGGCCACATTGCAGTCCGAATAGAAGTAATTTGAGTATGGTGGATCACTCAACGCCAACGTGGATGCGGTGCCATTGCAGATTGGAGCGCTAGACCGCGCCAGTAGTCTATGGTGCTGTGGGTAAGGAAACTAGTGAGCCGGGGAATGATGCTCAAGATGGGGACGGGTATGTGGCGCCACTGACAATATCATTGTCTGGAGACGCTGCGGCCACGACACAGCCCAGCCACGACAGTTGGAGCAGAGATTTCATCGCGCCCATCTTATTGATAATCAAGTGTTGTCCCTGTGCATTTCTTTCCGTAGAGACAGGAGAGTCTCCTGGTATTTATACAGCGGACAAGGTGGCATTGAAGCGATCACCTTCCAGAAGAAGAGACGATTACCGTGGAGAGCATCAGAGGAGGAGGAGTGGGTCGAGTGTACCTCCGCGTGTTGCGGGGACGGTTGCCAACGAGGCCGTCGACGGGGAGCTGCCGAAAGCAGGAACCCCATCGAACATCAACTTGGGGGATTCTCAACGAGGAAATGCAACATCATCGGCAGCTCAATAAGACAAACTTTGACTGCTTCCGACGATTCTCCGCTTCCCAGTTGCAATTACGTGTGGGGGTAATATGGACACGTCTTCCTACCGACTACAGCTGCTGGGAGCATGGACATTTCAATAAACAGTCTTCTTCCTAATGACGCTGCAGGTGAACCTAGATACTCTCACATTGGAAGCTTCCGCACGTCAGTCGATGCGTCGAGAGACTTCCCAGGGAATTCTTCTGAAGGGTAGCAGATTGACTTCCAAAGACACGCCTGGTGGACGTCATTCTCTCCAGAAATGGCCTCGTGCCGGGTGTCTAGGTAAGTGAGTACACGCCCCCAGTCTGCACAGTCCGCGCTGTTGATGGCAGAGCACCGGTCCGGGGAACAGGGCATGACAAGCGTCACCCCGCTAACTCTGCTTCCATGTCATGATCAGATTTCAATTACACCCGACAATTTCCCATGGTATCGCGCCGGACAAAGCGTTGGCGAAGCCGTCGATCCCGCCGGTGAACCAAGATTGATCGTGTATGGCAGGTTCTTTCCGACGCCTCAACGAGGGACTGCGCGTGGTTGCGGAGGTCTGAGCGCCGATTTTGCTCATGAAGCTCCGAGCTCGAGCGGCTTTCAGAGAGGAATCGTCATCGCGCATGGCGGTGTCGCATCAGCCGATGTGGAGAAATCTCGGTCAAAGCGAGAAAGGAGAGATATAAGGTATGTTTCTGACACAGTGGAAACTCGTCCGTCATCCTGGTTTTTCTATCTTCGCACTGTCATGTGTGCCCTTTGGTTGTTGGCGCTCCTGTTGCTGGGGCTGATTATGTTCCTTACGTTCCGGATGAAAGGGGTTGGAAAAGTCGATGGCCCGTGACGCGCCGTTGAATTGCGTCTCACTGTGCCAGACCTTGGCCTTGGTCGAAGCCATCATTTGCGCCTCGGAAGGCGGCATATGCTCGAACATGGCGATGGAAATATCATCCTCCAGCCATGCTCGCATGGGGCGAGCGTCGACGGGAGCCGCCCGAGTGAGGTCCGAGGTCACGCGCGACGCATCGACAAAATCAGGTAGCGCGCGCGGACTGGAGAATGACTCGGGTTTCCACACTGGGTTCTGAACGACTTCGACCAGTTTCCCGAGGACCGCGAATTCAAGCTTCAATTTGATGCTGTAAAAAGTGCCGCGTAACATGGTCTCCATGATATAGTAGTTGTGGAACTCGGCGATCAAAAGTCCCACGTTCATGACGATAATCAGCAAATTGACGAGCAGCAGCTGATACAGGATCTTGCGCTTGCCCTGATCGACGTCGGTTCGAAGCAGACGCATGGTTTCGCGCAGATAGAGTCCCGAGATGATGAACTCTTGGATGGAGAACCCAGTCATCTGAATCTTCTCCATCACATCGTATGCCCTCTTGTAGTTGGCCAATGACGTGCTCGGCGGCGTGAGGTTGGCTCCATATGCCAAGACGGTGGATGGGACCAGCAGCAGTACGGCATTGACCAGGATCATCAAGAGGACGCGCTGCAGCACGCGCTGATTGTCGAGCACCAGATGCAGGCGGGAGTAGAGGACCAAGGACTGGCCGGTGACCAGGGCCCACCAGCCGACGGTCAGCAGCGTGATCGGTAGCCAGGTCACTGTGGTCAAGTGGAGGAATTTGAGAAGAAAGCCGAGGGAGTAAGGGATCAAGCCGACCGCGGAGGAGATGAGCAGACTCCAGAAGTAGAGGCCGTGGTAGGGTGCAAAATTGACCAAGATCAGGATGATGAGCTCGAAGGCGTTATACCAAGTGACACCAGCCAGTGTTGCGATTGTGATCTTCATCGTCAGGGACTGGCCCTGATAGCCGCCCGTGATTCCATCGCTGGGCAGAATGATGGTGGCCATGGCGAAGGGGGTCAATTATTACGCAGTCAACACATGATCGAGAACCGAGCTAGTCTATGAAGCACAAGGGGGTTGAAGAAGAGGAAAGAAGAGCCAACGCAAGCTGCGCGACGAACAGAGCAAAGGCGACGATGGAGAGAGAAGAATGGGGGGGGGGGGGGGGGGGGGGGGAATGTCAAGGCAAACCAATCCAGCCGAAGATCGGTGCTTGACAAGTTGACACTAGTAGATCAAGATGAGCCCACAAGCGTGGCGGGCCCCAGAAACTGGGGGACTGAACACTGGGGAAACTCGCTCGAGGGTAACGGGACTGCGAACCGCTGAGCTAAAAGGGGGGCAGAGAGAGAGAGAGAGAGAGAGAGAGAGAGAGAGAGAGAGAGACAAGGTGGGCTTGGGTGTGGATGGCAACGGGGCCGAACGGATCAGGTGATGGGCCGTCGGTGAAGTTGAGAAGCGCCACCAAAAACGAGGACCACCTCTTCGCGGGCGTGCAGAGTGCAGACGACTGGCGGTGTTTGAGAATTGGCGCTGGAAACAGGGTGTAAAGTTTGGATTGCTTTCCCAGGAGGGTGAGAGAAAGAAGCCAGATGAGATGACCTTTTGACTCTGACAGCTCTTTCCTCCAGATCTGGAGGTCTGTGACCTTGGAGGGAGACCCGCTGGATTCTGAGTTAACCTCTCTCTCTCTCTCTCTCTCTCTCTCTCTCTCTCTCTCTCTCTCTCTCTCTTTTGGGAGAAAGGTCGGGGGGAGTCGTTGCGCACCTGCAGCCGCAGCAGCTGAATATTGCGGGGGAGGAAAGATGGGGCGGACCTCTAGTGATGATACGATACTTGACTGTGATCGTGATGGATATGACTGTAATGTACAGGCTACAGTGTATGGTATCACTCTCAGGTATTGTGGATCCCGTGTACTTGGATTTGTGGTGGAAGTGGAATTCGATGCTCACACTCGGTCACTCATACAACTCTGGGAGGCAACGGATGTGCCTCCAATCAATGCAGTGGGCACAAAAAGTCTTGAGGGGAACACAATCTCAATGTCTTGAGTCATGGACGTGGACGGGGGCTTGTGTTGACAGGAAATGACAATCAGCGTCAACAGAGTCAACGGACAGCTCACTCGACCCGGTCCGATTGTCGAGGACAACAAATCAGCGGCGGTGGTGGCTTGATATGGGCTTGCGATCTGACCAAGAGTCCAACCCCAGGAATGGCCGGGGATTCAACACGGTTTTGGTCCAGCACGAGTCCCCTCTCGTCCGGCCGATGCACAACCCTGAAGCATGCGTCAGTCCGCAAGTAGCACCTTGAGTCGTGACTCTCCAAGTCTCTGCGGGAAGTTCTATTGACAAGTGACCGATTCTTCCATCTATCCATCAAGGTCTACAACCGGAACAGAGTCCAAGAGCCGATGTAGACCACAACTAGATATATTCGAAGCAACCCTCGCACAGGCTTGGATAGACGTTGACCCTATATGTACATGATACCAAGTCCCGGGAGCAGCACTTGGATCCGCACGCGATGACGAAGACACGGGTGATCTTGAGCCCACCAGAGTCATACGGCATCCGGGCATACCTACTCTACTTCTCATCTAAGTCGAACCCATCATTCCATGATCCCGACCGGTCGCAACTTCGCAAGAGTCGCGGTGAATGGTTTCAACCGGTCAAGACTCCAAAGTCAAAACTTACAGTACGACCTCGGACCTCCAGCCCATACGTTATGTACTGTTCATACAAGCGGTCTTTTACTGTATTACATGAGCAAGCACGTGTCCACTGGGTCACCATCCAAGCTCCCCACTCGAGCAGTCCACAATCCGCAATCCACAAACTCTCGTCTCACCACTCACAGAACCCAAAGTCACAACAACCCACCAACGATCCCCCAGATCAATCATGCAAGAACATCTTAAGCGATCAACAGACCCACCATCTGGGTCCGCACCTCCTATCGTTCCCCATGTAGTGCCACTTCTGTCCTCATCACTTAGAGTGAACCATTAGCATGAAGCACATCCAGAGCTTCGTAAGCTTCGTAAGCCTAGTAGACGCGGGGACTCGCTGTCAGTTGGGTGGGACGGTGGGTTCCTGAGATGTTTCCTTGTGGATTTTTGCGGGGAACACCTCCTAGCTTGCTTGAGAGTCTCAGTCTGCAGATCGGCTGCGAAAGTCGGAATGGCGGGGGCAGTACTCCTGAAGATCTTCTGAGAGGGAGAATCTGGTCTAAACCATCTCCAGATTACGAGATAATGTTCCCCTTGAGTTTCAACTTCCTACTGCATCTTACAGTACTTCTCATCCCGAGGCAATGCGATATCACGTGAGAGATGTTGGACTGCATGTACATACCTACTGACTAGTAACAGGTACTGACCTTCAATCAATAATGTATAGACTATAGAGTAATATCCTGAATCAAACGCAATGCTCCCATCTACGCCTTGCCAAAGAATTGTAGAGTTTGACATCTCTAAATGCTTTCGTTGCTATATTGGTGCTGTAGCTACTAGCTACTAGCTGGGAGCTCCATGTCATTTACTACGCCATGATCCTATTACCGGACATCCTGTTCCAATTCCAAACGCAGTAAGGGGAGGAGTTCTTATTGTCCGACCACTCCGATCAAATCGATTTTAGTAAGCGTTTCGTATGCCTTGCCCGCTCTCTCCCGTAGAAGTCCAGAGAAAGCCAGGTAAATGAGGTAGGGTAGGCAAGGTAAGACCAATCACTCTCTGTGTACTCTTAGCTGCACCAAGACATGTGGCGAGAACGCTTTTGAATGTTGGATAATAAGCAAGAAGGTGGATCAGAGGCTGAATCGTGCGACAGATGACTACGTGTGCAGAATTTTGACGTTGTTTCCAAAGACTAATCAGCCTTTTTCGACGAGTCGAGAGACGGTGAGAATCCGGTACTAACAGACTTGAATCGATAATCGGAACAAAACCTGTGATTGGCCTGCAAAGCGTCATCTTATTTAAATTGCGATAGACTGCTACCTGGAGACGTTGGCTGACGCGCAAAGCGCATGGCTTCGGAGGCCGACCGTGCCCAGCCGGGGTACCAGAGGTCTTGGAGCAGGGATCTCTCAGCGATCTGCTACCCATCCCAGCTGACATATCGGCACCTTGCGCGTGATCTCAGGAGTCCAGTGCGAGTCACTCGGAGGAAATCATTTGTTCGATCCCGATTTCACATCCTCCCTCGGCTTATAGATTGTTATGCTCTCAGGGGTCAAGTCTCCGTGTTGGATGGTCTCATGATCCAACAATCGACCTTTCTTTTCAACTCATGTTGAACTCCGGCCTTGGCGCAACTTCGGGTACCGTATCTTGTAACAAATTGAACACGCCTGTCAAATCTTTGACGGGGGAGAGCGGCAACCGAACACAGCTTCAAGGTGGCGCCAACAATCCTTGTGCACCCAGTCACCGTGCATACCATGCCAAGTCGAATCAAGGTCTAATGTACCCAGCTGATGACCACCAAGGGCAGCGAAATCGAAAGAAGCGAAATGTTAGTGTTGGTAATGCATCCCTCCTGTTTCACTTCGATGCACCATCGGCATGACCCGGAGCATCCCCGTCCGTAGCACCACCCGTCATGGCCATGACCCGATCCACCTCCGCGCGACATTCGGGCATGGCGCTGCGCATCTCCCGGGCCAACACATCTCGAAAGTCGGCAAAAGCCTCTCGTTTTCCTTTTAGATCCTGGTTGCCGCGCTGGACTAGTTCCACGAATTCACGGGTGTAGATATCCGGATTGCGCGCCGCATCGACGTACTCGATAATCTCGGGTGGCAGTTGAATGCTAGCGAGAGGAGGATTGGAAGGGTCGGCGGTATTGGGGGCTGCGGTCTCGGCGGCGTTGGGAGGCAGTTCGGTATGTGTGTGGAGCGTTTTGAGAGCAATGGTGAGGTTCTTTCTGTGTGATGCAAAAAGGTCAGCTTAAATCGAGATGCATTGAAATACAACATCGATAGCTCCTGTGACTGAGCAATAGGGTCCTTTTGATGGCAAAGGGTGCTATGGTAACCAGATATGGATTCACATACATTTTGTGCACGAGCTCTTGCTGTGTTTCGGGCCCCAGATAGCCATGGACAGCTGATTGAATCTCGAAAAGGTGCTGAACGACATCGCGAATGTCGTCTATGTTAGATAGAGGATTAGCAGGCAGTATGAACAACAATCGGAGTCACGAGCTTACCATCGACGGTTTTGAGCAAGACAGGGGCCATCTTGAATCGCTTGGGAGCTCGTCGATGCTGCAGGGTTCTCAAATCGCCATCGCGGTCGAGATGAGAGACGGAGGAGATGCGGAAGAGACGCGGCGGGGAAAAGGCGGTAAAGTTGGGGGAGCTCTTAGAGCCGCGATGGACGGGCGGAATTGGAGACGGCACGGATGAGGCCTCCGCCTCAACTTGAAGTACAAGGACATTCTTGTCATTTTTAAGGTGGAGGACCGAATTTTCTAGGTTGGGAAATATGCTGGACCATGTCAACGCCCAGATCAGCTGGCTCGACTTGCTGTTCGCTTGTCCGTTGTCTTTCTTTATCTTTCAATGAAAATCTCAGAGCCATTGACTGAAAAGATTTGAGCATGAGGACCGATCGAAGTCTACAGTTCTAGACTCGGTCCGATCGATATGCTTTGGACAAGTCAATCAGTGGGATGGTCAACAACACCGCTGTCCTAGTTGGTGCATCGTCATTCAAGCAAATTCCTAATTCGGAGCGATAGGGTCCACACACTACTCCTGATGTCAGGTCCCTTTGTTGCACGGTGTACCTGTGAGTCCGAGATGTCGCCCGACGGAAAGATAAGGTACATCTGTCACCCCACGATCAGCAACACAGTCGGGCCAACCTTAACGCCGATTCAACTCTCAACAAGTGCTATTGCTGGAACGCAGAGCCAGTCAGACCAAGAGCAAGACTCGGCACTCGGGACAAATATTCCAAGCGATTTCCCTGCAGCCACGATATCAGGCGTCCTGAGACAACTCGGGGCGTCCGCACGATCGAAGGACAAGCAGTTCCGGCCGGTTTTTAAGCATTCAGACATACCGATCGAGGACTTGACACGGAATCGCCGTCGTGAATCGATGACGCAAGAGACACACGTGGTTCGTGATCGGGAAGATAGAACGACCTTTTCCAAGAAGCATCTTGGTGTTGTATGGTTGAAAGTTGCAGATAAATAGTATTCTTGAGCCCAAGGCCATGCAGGTGGTCAACACACCAGTAAATACCATCGCCAGTGTGCAGGCCAACCGCGCGCTCCCAGGTACTTTACCCATCAACATTCGAAACAGCATCAACTCCGTATCAGATCTTGGCAAAAGCTCAGGTCTACGAGTGACCCACTCCAAATATGGTCAACCTCTCGACAGTTCAAGCATCCAATGCATCCTTGCCCAAGACCTTGTTCACCCGCAACGGTCCCGTCGGGGTCTTCGTCGGCGCAACTAACGGAATTGGACGAGCATCTCTCTTGGCATTCGCAAAGTACACCCAACAACCTCGACTGTATTTCATCGGCCGTTCGCAAACGGCTGCCGATGAGGTCCTGGGCCAGTTGAAGGATGTCAATGCTGGCGGTCAATATGAGTTCGTCAAAGCGGATGCGAGTCTACTTCGCAATGTAGATGAGATATGTCAGTCAATACAAGCCAAAGAGACCAGACTCGATATCTTGTTTCAGAGCCAGGGCACGCTGGACTTCTCTTCAGGTATGTGGACAACACCTTCATCGCCCGAGAAAACTATTTGGTGACGGGGCAATGCTTGAGGCAAGGGGTTCAAGGACGCTGACCATCTTGTCAATCTTCAACAATGCTAGAAACCTCGGAGAAACTTCCTCTCATCATGGCCCTTGGCTACTATTCCAAAATGCGATTCATCGCAAATCTCCTCCCCCTGCTGCAACGTTCCTCCACCCCTCGCGTGGTGGTCGTCTTGGCCGGTACCAAAGAAGGACCCGTCAATCCCAACGACATCCCCGGCAAGAAAGTCAAACCTTGGCAAGCTCGCGGACATCTCTGTTCCATGATGACCCTCACCATGGAACGCTTCGCACAGTCGGCTCCAAGCGTGAGCTTTGTGCATAGCTACCCCGGCTTTGTACGGACATCTCTCGATCAGTCAATCAAGGGTGTTACCGGGGTGGTCATGAGGTCGATCTTCTCGATTGTGAACATGTTTGCGACTCATAATTGGATATCACTCGAGGAGACGGGTGACAGGCATGTCTTCTTGTCGACTGCGCCTCGATACGCGGCGAAGGAGCGGTCCGCTGGTCTGTCGAGTGAAGGGGGCGGAGTGGACGGACCCAAGGCTGTTGTCGCTAGTAATGGTCAGATCGGAGCAGGTGTCTACACGGTGGATGAGTTTTGTGAGAGCGGAGATGCCTCGGTGCAGCAAGTTCTACAGAGGCTAAGAGAGAATCGGACGGATCAGAAGATTTGGGAGCACTTGAACGATGTGTTCAAGCGAGTGACTGGAAAATCTTCTATACATTGAGGCAAGTTGGTTGGGCGCTTGCCGTCAATCCCTCAATATGCGTCTTCGGCGGAGGATTGAACTAGAACGTATGCTTAATTGCATCCACCACTCCCCCCTCGGCGCGGATATGCTTTGCGTGTAGTCTCAGCTAGGACGGTGTTGACACACAATGTGCACTGTAAGTTGTCAAAATTGGCATATCTTCACAGATCAAGCTCGTATGTCTTTGCTATCTCCATGTTTGTCCACAGGACATCATACATTCTACAACGAAAATGATCTTGTTTGAAACAGAAGACTCAACCAGTGAAAGGCACTAAAGACTCGAAGAAGACAAATCACGCTAATTTATCGCAACACTGGAAAGACAACCTGTTCATCCAGACGATAGTGAAACACGCTTTCCGGCTAAACCTCCCGGGTTCGGAGCTTGGAATAGTGCGGGACCGTAATTTCAGTCTCCATCTCCAGTCCTGACAAGCTTGGGAACCGTCGACTGAAATTCTCCTCCCAATCCTCTCCTGGGCTTGCAGGAGAGGCTGCAGCATGGCCTGTGCCAGGCCGGGAAGTGTCTTGTCCTCCCATACGCAGGCTTTTTGGCTTCGGCGGAGCTGCTGGACGCGATGCAGGCTTGGGACTTGATGTTTCTGATGGTCTGGTGAGAGTGGCGGGAGACGATCGTGTGGCAGGGCCAGGAGCTCCTTCGCGAGCACCGTAAATTGGACCAGGGGCACGAGATATGGGGGCCTGTCCTGAGGATGTGATCGATCCGTTCTGATCAACTGGCTTCGCCTGCAAAGCATCGGAATCGGTATACTTGCCATACCCGGTCGCGGTCTTCGGCGCCACTTGTGGCTTGTTAGACTCGCCGAGGAAGTTTTGCATTCGATTCATGATGGCCCGAGAGCGAGGCTGGCCACCTCCGTCGCCGCCCTCAGCAACGCGCCGCCGGTACTCTGCTGCGGCATTGGCCACACGCTTCTCTTCCTGCGAAAGTCGCCGACGTTCCAACTCACGTCGCATTTCCGGAGATATATCTTCACGGTCCAGATCGTCGAGAAGATCACCTGTATCAAAGGCAGCTCGTTCATTAGGAGGTGAATCAAGCGGAGACACGTCACTCCCAAGACCCTTTTGCTGCTGTGAATAGTCTTCGGCCGTAGGTGAGGAGGTTTTCTCGCCATTCGTGCTTTCAAAGCGACGGAAGGCTTCCCCGAAACGGCCAGCAAAGAGTGTCTTGCTTCCGGAGAGTGACAAAGATTGCAAGCTACCTCGCTTGGCATGTTTAGCGCCACTACTACTCCGCTTCTCTCGCTTTCGGAGACTCTCTTCCTCCTCCTTTGCCCGAAGATAATCCATGTCTGAGGTGATGTTGGCTCGTTCGGGCTCCCGATCGAGCTCGGTTCGCACTGAACGTAATGGTGCTCCGCCCTCGTATTGTATCTGCGACAGATCCAAAGATGAGCGCGAAGTCTCCGGCTCACGTGAGTAGTCGTAGCGCATTGAAGCTTGAACTGAGACTGGTCGCACTTTTGAGATTGCAGACTTGGATCGGCTGACAGGTTCGGTGACTTCCAGGCCTGATGGCCGTCGAATTCCTTCGAGGGACGGCCGAGCCGAGTGACTTTGATTGGACAATCGGTCAGATGATAAACGATGACTGGGCTCTGGTCTCACACTGGCTGAAGGGGGCGATGGAGCTTTGGGTCCATTGATCTGGTGGTCATCAGCAGCTCGAACTTGGCTAGATGGACGGCGCTCGCTATCAGCAGCCGGGAAGCGGTAGATTGGCCGGCTGGTAGGGCTCGACTCTGACAGACGAGGTGTTTGCGACGGAGATGTCATCGTGCCCGTAGAGACCATCTGTGGTCGCTGGGGCTTGGGCTGATACAGCGGCGCTTGTTGCCGAGTGACTGTCTCCTGGGGCGTTCCTGATCGCACCGGGGATACCTGCGATCTGCGATTTGTAGGAGGAGGCTGTCGCTCCGGAGACGAGCGTTGCCCGAAAGCGTCATCGGCCAGCGCATTGGTCAATCTTTGCGAGAGATCTTCGTCTCCGGATTTGGACTCCTTCGAACTAGGCTCAAATGCAAACGTATCCCCCTTCTCGTGGAGAATGTCGAATTGATCCAACGTTGGGAACCGATTTGACAGCTCATCCGCATGTTGCCTCGCATTGCCATCTAGAGCCGCGAAGGGATCATGCAACGAATGTTTCGACCCATCACGAAGAGGAGACGGACTCGGTTTGGCCGAGCTGCGGGCTGAAGGCTGAGATTTTCCAGGTCGGCCTCTCCGCATGGGCGCAATTTCTGGGATGATCTGGGTCTCTTGAATCGGAGGCGAGAAAGTCGCGCCGACGGCGGGTGCTTCTACTGGAGGTGATGGCAATTCAGGATTACGAGGTGCTTCAGAGGCGGTTCGGTGCGAGTAGATCTAGTGACATTATCTGTCTTAGCAAGCGGCAGATCACGAGGGTGGATGACCGGAGGACTCACATCGCGAATGGGGACCTTTTTCGCTTGCATATCGCAAATCTCCTTCACCACTTCATATATGTTGGGACGTTTTTGAGGATTCTCCATGAGCATCGTTGCTATCCGGAAATGCACGTTAGTCGGACAAATCGGATCCTATAATGAGGAGGGATGCCGAGACTCGAACAGCGGAGAGCCTCACCAATCAACATCTTTAATCGGTCTGAAAATTGAGGATAGGCAGGGAATTTGTAGCTCGCGTTGAGAATGGCCATCTGCCCAACTTCCTCGAAAGGGGTTGTATAGTAGCACAACTTGTACAAGAAGACCCCCAGTGCCCAAATATCGCTCTTCTCGTCGATTGGCTGCTTTCGATAGACATCTATCATTTCCGGACTCCGGTACTGAATTGTCGTGTGGCGTTGTACATCATCCTCAATCAACCGACCTTCAGCCGCCGAGGTCGCCGCGGGCCGAGGAGCCGCTGCAGATCCAAAGTCGCATAATTTGTAGATCGTCGAGCCCGAGGCACGCGAGATAAGGACATTTTCCACCTTCAGATCCCGGTGGAGCAAAGGTGGCTTGAGGTAATGCATGCAAGCGACTCCCTCTGCGACGTCAGAAAAGATCTTGACGATCTCGGGCTCGGTCAATCGGTTCTGGAGCCGTGTGTTCATGAAATCAATCAGACCGCCGCCCGCGCAGTACTCCATGAGCAAGAAAACTTCGTATCCACCGCCCTGTAATTGGGAGGCATGGGAGTCAATGTATCGGACAATGTGTTTGTGACCCTTGAGCTTTTTCATGGTCTCCACCTCGGTGCGCATGCTGGCCAGCGCGGCTTTGTCGGGGACGGCCACTCGTTTCAAGACGGCGTTATCGGTGCCATTGACCGGCTTGGGCAGCCGCACGACATAGACATGGGCGAAGCCTCCCTCGGATAGATATTTCTCGACCACCACACGATGACCGCCGACCTGCACCTTGGTGCCAGGCAGGAATGTGCCCGCGGGGGCGTTCGTCGCGGCGACCGGGTTGAACGCGGGGAACTGACGCGGTACTGCAGCGTGGCCCTGCTGGACGGGCGGAGGGGATTGATAGGCAGCCATGACGGATCAGCACAGTGCCCTGGCCGAGGCGGACGGAGGATGGGTGAGGGTGGAAGGGACGGAGACGAGGGAGCTCGGAAAGAGGAGAGGTGGAACGTCAGGTTGGGCAGGCTATCGATGCGGCACAGGAGACTTGGCGGACGACCTTGAAATCGGTGCCTGGGATTGGGGCCGAGTGGAATCAGTGGATGGGGGGAAATGGGTGGGGAGGGGATTCAGGGAGAGCGGAGGAGGCCCTGTTGACGATCAGCTCAGGGGCCGGTTCCTGACGACCGCACGGGACAAGGCGCAGACAGGAATTGACACTGTCCGCCGACTCGCTCTTGTTGAAGATACAACCAGCGAGTCCGAATGTTGTTCGCACGGGGCAGAATGAGCGATGGGGAAGCAATCACGATGGACAAGACCGTCCGATGATCCAATCATGGGTGGTGGGTCACGTTCCCCTCGTTGAAGGGTGTACGTCTTCTGGGGGCGCAACACCTTTTCTGTTTTCGTAAACCCACTGATAGAGGCACGTCCACGTCGTGTGGACTATAACACAGACTGTGTATAGTTACATGTTCTGTTTACGGGACCTGCGCTCAAGCACGAATGCATGGCAACCAGTCACCACATCGAAATCTGACCGTTGTCTTGGTTAGATGGGCATACGGCTTGCAATCACTCACTCCGACACCTGGTGAGACTCGGCATGCTGACTCGATGAAGGACTTGACTTGATTCTAACTTCCCGCTTGATCAGATGAAGGCTTGTAGTTCGTATTGATGATCAGAGAAGTGATCAGTGATGATCCTATGACTCTATAGCAACATGAGGTACGAACCTTAACTGTCACTAGACTCACTACAAGTCCAATCTAGCAAAGTAGTTAGTTGCCTTCGAATACTCCAGCTTCCATACGGCGTCTCAGTCGTAGCATCACTTGCAGGCTCTGGTCATAGGACCGCATCGAGTGTACCTCTCAGTGGCTTGATCTCCGACACTCTGACCGGGGCAACCGTCAAGGGACTGAGATGACTGACACGATCTAGTTTGACCTGTCCCGTACGCCCGATAACAGCCATGTGCCTGCACGACAGTAGCAGAACTCGCAGCGCCAACCTTACTGTGCTTTCACCCGGACACTCGAGCCTCGGAAATCATTGCGATTCATCGCTAATCCAACACTCCTCACCAAACAATTAGTATTGAGCATTAGTCCGACGACTACTGAGTACAGTGAGTACTCAGTCACTACTTAGTACTGAGTGCTCAGTGGCTCACTGCTCACTACTCTCTGCCACGACTATGATATGACGATGGGACCCACTACCGCCCCAACCGCTTGACCGCAATCTCGCAGTCGCAATATCCATGGGCTGTGGTTGGTATACTTCTACCATCCACAGCAATTGCCGACTCGTGTCGAAATATAGCCTGCATAAAGGCTTGAATATATCTCCGCGCGTAGTCTCATCTTTTCGGATGCTTTTTTTGCGGGACTGAGGCGCAGTGATATTGGAACGACTATGCCACGAGGGAAAGATGCACACTTGTTCAATGCCGATCCCAGATTTCCGGATTATCTCTGTCGAAAGGGCTTGTCCAAGCGCAATGAAATCAGATAGCCAGACAGTGGTCCGCGACGTACTCGGTTTGGTCACTAGACTCACTAGTGTCATACTATGTAGCAAATGAATGTGCTGCCTGAGGCTTTCAATGTAGAATTGGTGAGGCTGTGAGGCTGCCAGCCGGCTTTCTGAAAGTAAAATTCGCGCCTTCCCCGAAATGGCAAAACCACAACAAATACCGGACAGAGATCTGCAAGAAACTCTTGTGCGCTCTTCAGTGGTACATCTGAGCAATCCATCATGCCCACCGACAGAAGCCCGGTATTTGCTGTGGAAAAGAAATGGCTAGAGATACAGACATGATATTTGGCGGAGAGGAAGCACTGTACAACTCTTAAACTGAGCAGTGCGATTCCCCCACCCCGAGGAATGTGGTTCGACGTTGAGCATCGACCAGTGAGTGGTACTACTAGGGCCCGATACATTCCTCTCGAGACTTGGTACAGTGTGTGCCACAACCATCCAAAAATAAATTAAATCCATCGAGTCCGGCGTACATCTTGCGACTCGGACGTCGTAGCCCCTCATTGCAGCAATCCCTCTTGAATGACTATCCTGCCCGCATCACGATGGTCAGCTTCTTGGTTTCGTTTAAGCTCTTTGTATACGGCATGTCGATGTGATGGCCACGTCTACACTGCATGAATCTGCCGCCCAGTCCTTAGCGGCTCCCGTCCTCTCCTCAGCAACCCACTTGACCCCAGAACAACCACTTCTCAACTCTTCTTCCTCCACTACCTCGTCGCAATCGGTGGAGCACTTCATTGCCGCTTGATCGCTTGATTTCACGAAGAGCTGATTGATTGCAGACGGCGCAGTCTCAGCTGAACGTCCACCTGAATTCTCGAGCACTGCGTGGCCTGGTGCCTCAGTGCAACAACCATCTTCAGTCTCGATCATGTTCTTCTATTCACCGACGCGCGCTCGCACGTTCATCCGATCGACTTAGAGGGTCCCCGCCGATCTACTCTTCTCGGCGCAAGACCACAACCCTCCCTTGACGCTTCCTATCTCTTTTGATCGAATCGCATACAGACCAAGGAGCGCAGGATTGGCACGGCGCTCGTGTTTTTCAGAGTGTAAATATAGAGGCTTTGTGGACATAAACAGCACAGATCATACTTGCAATCAGTCAAGCCGGCAATTGAACCGGTCGCATCACCACAATAGCTGAAAGCAAGACAGAGCAGCGAGCAAAAATAGATAAGAATGGATGGACCGCCGCCCCCACCGCCGCCTCATGGCGAGAATCCTCATACCACGGAGGGGGAATACCGCAAAGCTTCCGATCTACCACCGGGAAACTACGACATCTTCATCGTGCCGCCGCACTCTGCGGGTGCTGGTTTCGTCTATCTCCCGTCCTTACAATGCAATCGAAACAGCTTCCTTGCGGGCGTGGCCAGCACCCTCGCAGTGGTATATGTTTGGTCAATGGTGGCACCAACACTGAAGACGTGGTGGGTCGCGACAGTGTCCAGTCAGAGCAACAAAGGCGTGGTGGTGGTTGCACTCGTGATCGCGGTCGCTGGCTGGGCCTTTGGAATGTCACAGTCAGGATACTTCAAGGGAAGCTCTGAGGGTCCTGACGGGAAGAGACCGCCCGGCGGCGGTTTCGGTGGTTTCGGTTCCTTTGGAGGCTCCAGCGGCCAGAGCTCTCAAGGTCGTTCATCGGGCCCCGGGCATGGCAACGGCCATCAGAACCACGAGCGCGGTGGAAGCACCGGCTCAAATCATCAACAAAGGCAACATGGTGGAAACTACGGTGGTGGATCAAATCATGGTCAACAGTATGCTGGCAACCAACGTGCCGGCGGCGCACCAGAGGCGGACACAGCACCACCACCGCCTCCTCCTCCTCCCAAGCCCGAGCCATCGAATCATGGCCCGAACGGAGATGAGTGGGAGAAGGCGCGAGAAGAAACCAGGCGCAAGGAGGAACTCCGTCGCAAGATGGAGGAGTTCAAACGCAAACGAGAGGCTGAAGCAAAGGAGAAAGAGAGGAAACGAGAACGAGAGGCAATGGAAAAGGAGTTGAGAGAGCGACGCGAACAGCTCGAGCGCGAAATGGCCGCCGCTCGAGAGAAGGCGGAGAGAGAAGCACGCGAGAAGGCCGAGATGGAAGCCAAATTGGCGCGCGAGAAAGCCGAAAAAGAAGCCAAGGAGATGCGCGAAAAGGCAGAAAAAGAGGCAAAGGAGGCACGTTTGCGTGCAGCAAGAGAATTGTCTGAGGCCCGCGCCAAAGCAGCAAAAGCAGCCGCGGAGGCCAAGGCCGAAGCTGAGCGCCTCGAGGCTGAAGCCAAAGCTGAAAAGGCACGCCGTGAAGCCGAAGCTGCAAAACTTGAGGCAGAGGCCAAGGAGAAAGCTGCGAAAGAAGCGGCCGAGAAGGCTGCCGCAGAGAAGGCTGCCGCACAAAAGGAAGCCATGGCCAAGTTTGCTGCGCTCAAAGAAGCAGCAGCAAAAAGATACGCCGAGAAGAAAGCCCAAGAAAGCCAGAAGGAGACACCAACCGCGTCCAAAGCCGGAAGCACCAAAAGTGCACAAACCGCACCCCGGACACCGTCGCCGAAGAAACCACCGTTCCCAATAGCCAAGACAACGTTGGACGACGACGCCTATTCGTTTCGGCCGTATGATCGCCCACGGCGACCATACGGACAAGCCTCTGGGTCATCCGCTTATTCCGAGTCTTCTTATGCACCGTCGCAATCTACAGCACGGACTACACCTCCTCCATCACACCGGGTCTCATACTCCACAAAAGACCCCGACAAGATCGTCATTCTTGGTGTTTATCAATTCACCAATGCGTTCATGAAAACACCAGTTGCGCAGCTGGTTTCCGGCCAGGGGATGGTCACCGATGGACTCGTATTGCGAATCACCACCGAAGGTCTTTTTGTGGATGATGACCTTCGGGGGGTCGGACAGCGAGAATGGGATGTCAAGGCATGGACTCTGAAATTGACTGAGGTGTGGTGCCCTCAAATGGCAACTTCTTCAAGTCCCAAGCAGCCGGCATCTACCAATCCTTTCTATTTCCGCCGCTCAACCCACTCCGTACCCACGAGCGAAGAATCCGATGCTTTCATTACCAACCTACTCAAAGTCTGCAAGAACACCTGTCGCCTAGCGGCCCCCGCTGCAGGGGCTGTCTCTCGCGGTCTCCACGTTCTGCGCGCTAGCCTACGTGACCAAGAAGGCAAGAGATACGTCTTTGTCCTCCAAGACACCGAGGCATGGAAAGTTGCTATTGGTCTCGAACGCCTGCGTGGCGGTGCACTTGTTCGAGCTTTGGGAGCTACTGCCATGGCGGCTTCAGATTGCAAGACCATACTAAACAATCTGGGCTTCACTTGAGTGATCAGATGTCCAGGCTGCGCGAGAACACCACCGTCGTATCCATTGTTCTGCCAAGGAAATATTCCACATAACGAATTGGCTTGACCTTGCTCCAGGGGATGTGATCTGTTTGGAGATCTTATCTAATACCTGGTCGTGAAGTCTGCATTGCAAGCCGAAAGGATCCATTGGACGCTGAAATTGCAAACATGATGCGACAGCGTTCAGAAGCGTCCCAATTTCTCACTGCTATCCCCCGCAAAACTCAGCTCAAATCAACTTTCACATTCCACGAAGTCTCACCTCATCTGCACCTCTACTGTGTTTCCCCCTTCACACACCCTGATGCTTCATCTCCTCGGTCATCAGCGCCGGAGTTTGTTATGTCCATATGATGCTTGTGATTTCCATCATCCTTCAATCCCTCACTATTAGTATATTTATCCCTTCCACAGCGTTGATGTTGCCCCCATCCCCTCTCTTGATTCGTATATATTATGAAGATTCCCCCCCTCTCGATGATTGTTTTTTGAACTGTTCACCTGGTAATGCGTTGCCAAGCTGTATCTTCCTTTCTCTGACAGTATGAGTTTAATATCAAGACAAGTACATACAATCCTGAATCCACCCCAACCCGTACTTGTATCTGCCACTCATAGTGCCAGAAGACGAAGGTAATCAGGTCAGTCCGGCAAAGACTCCATGGTCCATCTCATCGACAAGGTTGATCACAGTATCAGCTGTACTCCCTTAGTCCCTGCTCAGCACGAAGGGTACATGGAGGAATATCCTCTCGGTCTCTGTTATATCAGCATTCAACCATACTTAGGTTCTATGTTCGAAGGAGGAACAATTTCAAAGCAGCGAAGCGGAGTTCTGTATATCGGGTAGCTACCAGGAACTCAAATTCTCTTGTCTCTGAGAATAGCCACCTGAGATGTGGAACGAGGGGGGTTTTTTTCTTTCACTGCATGGTAAAACTTCACTAGACAGACCTACGTATGGCTTTACCTTATCCCTTGTGGATTCCGAATGCTGCAGGCCTGTGCATCTTACATCTACGTCTACGTCCATTTACTACCTGTTAGGTGAATCGGTCTGAGTTACAGGAGAATCTCGATAACCAAGTCCATGGGGTCAAGCATATTCCTTGAATTCCTACAATTCCACCATGTCCATTCCAAATACCATGGTAAGGGTGATCCATCAGATAGTAGTCAGTACTTGAAGCAAAGCTCGTATCATCCATCAGGTAAGAGCAGCAGACCAATCCCTCGATTGAAATTTCGCGCCACGTCTGTTGAAAAACGACGACGCTTCAAGAGCTTAGGCTGTGAGTAACTCGAGAATCACAGTACGAGGGAAGGTTGGTTTCACTTGGATTGCAGAGGTATATGTATATATGAATGCAGGCTGTCTTGTAAACAACCAAATGTTTTCATACCTTCACCGGCATTTATCGTAGTAATTCGCCATATATGTAGGATGTCGTGACGAAAGCACAGATTATGCCTCGTAAAATCAACAAGAACTTCATGCGATGGAACAAATCGGAACCAAGAAAGAATTTGTGAAATTCCAGATGCCACAAAAGGACACAAAGAAAAGAAAGGGAAATCAGTGTAGACTGGGAGAGTGTCATAGGAAAACATGAATAAAGGTCTATCAATCGTATGGGAATCATCATATTCTCCGTAATGGTATGCGCAGAATCCAGACTATAATAGTCGCGGGGGGCGGCGTGGGTAGCACATGCAGCCGCGACGTAGCCGCAACGAAAAAGAAATAAAGAAAACAAAAAAAAACACACGCCTTTTGAGAATGAAGATGTGTCACCACAGTGACACCACTGAATGACAACAGGCTGTCTTGGGGGCATCAGGCATGAGGCCCAGAAGCTGAGACCAATTTAAGGCACTCGTTCTGTGAATGCCTCGGAAGCGGACATGGGGAGGTTAACCTGCAGGGTTAATCGCACCGGTGCTTTCAGGCCAAGCCAATGAAAAGTCACGCCATGCAATTCAACACATGGCTTCTGACATCGCATCGCCGAAGTGAAGCGAAATGACAGGCGCAGTGAGGTGAAACGAAGAGTCACGAAGCGACTCGAAGCGACTCGACTCTTCTAGAACGGGAACCCGCCAGGGAATCCACCCGCACCCCCGCGAGCTTGGCCTCCGAATGGGTTGCCGCCAGCAGAGGAGAAGCCACCACCGCCGCCATTCATCATGTTGAACAGAATGTTCGGGTCGATGTTGATGTGGCTGCCGTTCATTCCGCCCATTCCACCCATGCCGCCCATACCACCCATGCCACCCATGCCGCCGAAGCCACCACCGCCGAACATGTCAGCTGGGTCGATGAGATCGTCGCCGTTATCGTACGCAGCACGCTTCCTAAATTGGGGGAAAAATTATCACGTCAGCACAAGCCATTCCAGGTGGAAAGTTGGGAAATGAATAGTGAGGGCCAAAGACGTACTGAGGATCGCTCAAAGTTTCGTAAGCCTCGCCGATCTCCTTGAACTTCTCATCGCCGTGCTCCTTATCCGGGTTCTTGTCGGGGTGATATTGGATGGCCATCTTGCGATAAGCCTTCTTGATCTCATTGTCTGATGCATCCTTGCCGACACCCAGGATCTTGTAGTAGTCCTTGCGTTGGCTCTTCTTAAGCTCAAACTCAGCCCGGCGGATCTCTTCTTGGATACCCTTCTCTCCCGGGTTGCTCTCCGCAACGCTCTTGTATTCGCGAACGGCATCCTCCCATCGTTCAGCACCGCCATAGGCCTTGGCACGCATCTTCATAGCTTTGACATAGCCGGGGTCGAGACGCAGGGCCTCAGTGCAGTCCTCGATAGCCGAGTCGTACTCCTTGAGGTTGATGTAGGCTTGAGCTCGGTTTTGCAAAATCTTGGCGTTCATATCCTTGTTGGTAGGATCGACCTCAAGAGCTTGACCCCAAAGATCAATAGCACGGCGGTAGTCCTTGGCCTTGAAGGCATTGTTGCCTTCTTCTTTGGTGCGGCTGAGCTTCTGCACAATGCGGAGGAGTTTGATAGCCTGCTTCATGTCTGGGTCCAGCCCGAGACACATCTTCAGGAGCTTCAATGCTTGGTCAGTCTCACCAGAGGCGTAGAAGGCGCGGGCACGGATCATCAGCGCGTCGGGATCTTGGCTGTTTTCACGCAGCAGATTGATGGCAAGATCTTGCGCCTTGCCCAAGGAGTTGCTGTTGTTCATCTTGAGCTGCGCCTCAGCACTCAGCAGGGTCCACTTGCGTGGCTCCTTCACACCTTGGCCGAGACCTTGACGGGCCTGGTCCAGACAGAAGATGGCCATGGAACCACCCCGATCCTCGGCCAGCGTCTCTTCGGCCTGCTTCACAAATCGTTGCATCTTCTCGGCGGGGGCTCGATCAGTCGCGGTCGCGTCGGGGACTTGAGACAGAACGTTCAAAGCCTCTGTGGGTCGACCCAAGTTGGTCAAGATCTTGGCCATGCGGTGCATGATCTTGGTGTTGGAGGGATCAAGCTCATGAGCTTGCTCGATGTCTGCCAAGGCACTCACGTACTCCTTCGCAGACATGTAGGCAGCAGCGCGGTTAGACAAGTAGGCGGATGACTTGGGATTGATTTCGATCGCTATACACGGCACGAGACGAGTTGATTGTTAACCCTCGCAGTCCACATGAAGCACACGTAAAACATACAGCTTGCTCCGAAAACCGACAGATAGGACTCATGTGAGGCGGTACATACCCTTGTTGTACTCTTCAATGGCGCGCCGGTAGTTGCCATCCTTGAAGAACTTGTTACCCGCCAACTTGTAAGAATCGGCCTCATCGGTGGACCCAGACGATGTGTGCGGCGGAGGTGTCGGGCTACGGTCTTCGGTCCCGTTGGCTCCATTCTGTTGTGGTTGGGGCTCTTGGGGATCAATGTCCATGGAGCTTCGCTGGTTATCTTGGGAGGCGGCCATGGCGGAGAGTCGACGGCGGAGCTCGTCGGGGGGAAGGTTCAGCGGATGGAGATCCTGGTCTTTCGAAGACCGGGAGAATTTGAAGGGGGAGCTAGTGTGGACGGAGGCCGACGAGGATGAGCGGCTGTGCGAAAAGCGATTCTTGCTGGGGGACTTGGACGGAGATTTGGAAGGCGACTTGGAGTGCGACTTGGATTTGGTGGGTGGTTTGGAGAAAGATGGTCGCGGGGAGAGGGGAGACTCGATGCGGTCGTCGGCGGTCGAGAGTGAACGGGTTGGGGTTGAGGTCGTGGTCGTGGTCGTGGTCGTGGTCGTGGTCGCGGTCGCGGTCGCGGTGGAGGAAGAGGTGGTGGGGGAAAAGGGAGGAAAAGACTGCGAGGGTTCAGGTTTCTCTTTCTCCCGATGTTTGTCCTTGTCTTTCTTGAAGATGTGGGCGAGTTGGACCATGAGTGGAACTTCCGTGGACCTATTTTTTTTTTTTTCGCTCTGGAGGGGGATCGAAGGACGACGAAGGCGGTAGAAACGCGGGAATCGGGATGAGCTCAACCACGGTTTGAATCTGGAGGACTCGCCTCAAAACGGAGTTCCGGCAGTGCGGGTAAAAGTTGGATGTCAAGTCTGACGTGATGATGGAAGCGACATGCGCAGTACTGGAACCAATTCGATTGAAAGCTGGAGGGGAAGGCGAAGTGAAGAAGATAATGCAAATGAGGAGAATGGAATGATGGGAGGGGGGAGAACCTGAAATGGGTTTTTGGAGGGGGAAAAGGGAAAGCGCAGAAAAAAAAATCATACTAATACGTCCTTCCTGGTTTTCGGTGGTTCGGTCAAGTTCATGTCAGTTCCTCGAGTATTACTTATCGGTCATATAGTTCTACTCCTAGCCGCCAGGGGTGGCATTTATTACTGATCTAGTCCGAGTCCATGGTGCCGACAAGCTGGATGACGACAATTCGTCCGTAAAAAGGAGGTGCCACTAGTCAGTATATCCATCAATACAGGAAAGGAAAGATAGACAATTCATCTCTTCTTCTCGGGGGCGGGGGAGGAAGATGAAGACGATCGAAAGAGCCAAAGCACAACATGGCTATTCCCTTCCCCTTTGGGTACTTTGGGACCATTCGATCAAGCAGCATAAGGACAGCCTGTCTGCAAGTCCAATGGGTCGTGTGTCCACGCCATGTTCAGTCTGCACTCTGGCCAAGTCCCTGGGGCCAGGTGGTGGAGACAGAAGGTAGAGAGGTCGCTTGAATGGACGCTGAAGAAATGAAGAGGCTGGAGATAGGCTACCTGATACCTTGTTGTTAGCGCGCCGATGTCACATCCAATGTTGTCAGATACGTTGACCCATCAAAATGCAATGGCTGGGTGGCCGATTTCGCAGACCTTCCAGCTCTTGCATGTCTGGCTCACGAGAAACACCAGGGTTTCTTCGCCTGTCACGCGGGGCCCTATTTCACTCATTCTGCGCGTGATTCGATTCTGTTTCAAAGATCGAGTCGAGAGGAGTGAATCGGAGACGCAGAGAGGTTTCGGTGTGTGTGGCCAGTGGCCACACACAGAACAACCAGAATCTGGGAGATCCGACAGGTCCAAGAGGAGAGTGAGTGGTGACTGGGATGTGGAGAGGTGGATCCGGCAGCTTGGAGAACGACACACGGACACCGGGGCTCATCCACTTAGTACCGTATACCCTGCGCAGTGTGTACACTGTATAGCATGCGAGTCAGAGGCCAAAAGAGTCCCGGGATGCCAAGGATTCACGTTATCGATGCATCGCACGCATCAAGTCTTGACAGTGGGCGAAACACAAGTCTCCGATGGCGCTGTCGCCACCCTGTGCCCGTGATGGTTACCTCTTTCTACGGCAGGCGGACTGCACGTCTGCGATGCGAAAGTCCACGAATTGCCCGTCCTCATTCAAGCCTCACAGTCTTGCTCGCCGGGGACGCGATTACAGGTAGATTCGAGTATTGACAGGGTACCTAGCCTCCAGGATTGTTCCAGTCAGAGACGCCGACGCCTTAAAGTAACCGATTTTTCAATATGACACAAGACATCAATCGATCTTCCGCAAGCATCTTCCGCAAGCCAATCGATGTGACAACAGTTTAAGTCCCTCATGTCTACATAGATGGCAACGTCTGAATCAGGGTGAGCTTGACTCGGAACGGGGATACATGCCGAGTGACCACTTTCCTGCTAGGCATGTTTTGCTCGATTTTCGAATGCACCGTTGCGAGTCCGACTTGGTCGAGCTGTTGGAGAGAACAAAAAGGCGACGAAACCCTCCACGAGATCAATGTCTTCCTCCCCACAGATTTCGTCATCGAACTCCTCCAGATACATGCTCCGAGAAATGTAGACATATTGTAATCACAGAGACGGGTGATGGCCGCTCATACTTCTACGACTCGCTTCCCGCATTCTATCGCAGCCGCGGGCCAAACCGAGACTGGTCCCAACGATCACAATCAAAGTCGTGACTCTCATACGGCGGGGGCGGGGAGACTAGATCATAATCTCGGACAGAACGTTCCTCCTCCGAGTCGCTGACAGTGTATATCTCAAGTTGCGGCGGGCGAGTCAGCCGCGCGGACGAGTCTCTCACCAATGCCGGTTGCTGGGGCATCCAAAGCTGCCCATGTTCCTGCCAAGGGAGCGGCGTACTGTGAGTTCGCGTTGCTCCCCGTGGTCCAACAACTTGAAGATGTGTGTCCATCGAAGGTGGTGATGTGCGATGAGTGGATCCGCCTGGACCTGACGCGGTCATCTCACGCAATACAGGGCCAGAAGGACCAGGACCAGAAGGACCAGAGCCCTGTTGACGTTGACGGACAGGTGCACGACCTAACTGGGTGCTGTGCTGCGACTGCGAGGATCCAGCCTCGTGATCACGTCTGCGAAAATTGACGTTGACGCGCACCGGGGACAGCCCCCGCCTCGGGGTTGCTGGATCTGCCGATGCGGGTCTTGGGGGTAACGGCTTGTTATAAAGGGTGTGAAGGTTGACAGACTGCCTTGCATGTGCCGATTGATTCAAGCGGCTGATGCCTGGAGTATGCATGGAGTGACTGGATCTCGGATCTTCGAAAGGAGGACCCTCCAGCGTGGAGAGATCGATGGAAGGAATAGCTGGACCTCGTTCCAGGCGCTGGCGGCTCCTACTTCGCTCGGTGTTGTGAATGAGAGAGCCCGGTAGTGCACCGGGAGGCATGACTGATGTGGACTGCAGCTCGTCAGATTCGACGGTGTACCTGATCAGTAAAGTGATGCTTCCTGGACGAGGATTTCGTGTACGACAATGCACCCTGGGGCACCCATGGAGATTGGTGATTCTGAGCCGGAATTTGTTCCTTTAGCATGAATTCTTCCATCATGAGGCCAATGTTGAGAATTTGAAAGTACCTATCAGGATAACTTATTAGAGAAATCTCGTTACTGGAAATGAAAATCAAGCTCAAAATGGCCTTGTGATCATGAGGTGGCACCGGTAAACCTAACTTCAGGGAGGGACCACAGGTTAGGCGTTCAAGAGGCTGTGCGGACACATGCTCGTCTTATAGGTCTACAAGGTGCCCCGTTCTCTCTCTATCTCCACGTTGGCGAATCTGGTCTTCTTCCAAGTCTCTTGAGATCGCAGCATGAGATTTCAATGGGGCCAGAAAGGATCCCGGTCGAATTTGGCCTGCGCCCTGACTAGATCGAAAGAAAAGAATCCGATTGCACTCGAGTCAATAGGCATATTAGTGCTTGACCAAAGACCCAACACTGCGAAACAAATCCAAGTTGTGGTGAAACCAAGGAGAGATCAAAGGGGATCTGAGCCCGAGTCCATCATACTATTCCGGGTCTTGCGACACATGGCGCTCGAGGTGTTGCTTCTTTCGGGCGTATGGTGGGGAATGGCTCGGGGATTTTTTTCTCTGAATTGATCTGCCTGGTTGATACAGGACGTGAGATTTGTATTTACGACACGGTAAGCATCCATCTCGTCTCGAGTTGCAGTCGGAAAAGGTCATCCACTTCAGAATTCTCCATGGCATTGTGAATGCGAAAATTGCCGTGGTCTGACTTGATATCCAAGAATCGATAGTCGGTAAATTCCTCAATGACAGGCCTCTGTCATTACCTGAGAATCCATCCGGACTCGACACTGAGGTTGCCACACGAAAAATGGGCCGTATCGGTCCATGTTGCCGTGAGAGATGGAGACCCAGGGACGATTGTCTATTTTTGGTAAGCTTACGGGGGCCAAGCATCTCTCGACCGTAAGCTTCGGTCCGGGGGTTCGATGGCTTCCAAGAATGCAGGTAAGCTGCAGGGTGGAGCGCGGAAGATGTCCACATTCCTGTCAAATCTGATCAGAGAAGAGAACTCTGTCGTCATAAGAGGATTTTGACGTTTTGATAAGACGGCAGGTAACGGGGTCTGTGAAAAACTGACTGGACCCTTCGATGAGACGGAGAGCTTTGCCGCATAAGTAACGAAGCATACCTAAACCAAGCACTCAGCCGACAGGTTGGAAGCGTCCCGCTTCTATCCCGTCAGGCCCCGCGCTACCAGGTGATGTCTTTGAGCAGGGAACGCACTCGATGTTAAGCAACCGCCGCTACAAGTCCGCACAAGATGTGAAGGGTAACGAAAAGTACCCTATAGCACGAGGAATCCGGAATATTAAAGCATACGACAATGTTTAATCACCTGATCCTGACCTGACACGCTTCGGCAACCTTATCCCTTCAAGACGGCCAGTCCTGTATAAAGGTGTCAAGCGCAACGGAGTGCACCGCTGTGTTACAATGTACATGCATCCCGCACATGGTCGGATCATGGTCGAATCTTGGTCTTTAGCCGCAATACCTCGTGAGCAACCTTGGTCGAAACATAACTAAGCACGATATCACTAGCAGTACGGGAGCTATCACGCTTCAATACTAGCGGCTCAACCTAATACAGTCACTCGGTATTGCTTGACAACAAACGCACAATGTGGAGACACACAAAAAGCTTGGTCTATTTAGGCTGATGGTTCTAAGTTACAGTGCCACTGAGCTCAAGGGCAGTGGGCGTCGGAGCAGTCAAGATAGTGGAAAGCCTTAAGCGACGAAGAGAGGAAGAAGGGCTTATAGAGAAGAAAAAAGATATGAATATATCCAAGGAGAAGCAAATAACAGAATCGAGTAAGTCGTAAATTACAACAAACCCAGATGAAAGGGGGGTTATATCACAAGAACATTTCAAAATCACGCTCGAATCCACGTTGCTCAGGGCTGCATCACGACTTTCAACCTCCCTTGAGAGGGATGACGCACATCAATCAGCCAGTGACGGATTAGGTCATTTAAGCAAGGAAGAAAGCGGCAACGGCGGCAGCACCAGCGAAGCCGAGGGAGCCAGAGAGAGCACCGGCACCGTTGAAGGCGGGGGCGCTGGTGGTGGCAGCAGCAGCAGGGACGGTGGGAGCAGCGGTGCTGTAGAAGAGTCGCACGGTTAGTGTTCTGATGGTCCAAGAGAAAGAGGACAGAGTCGACTCGAGATCTAACTTACTGGACGGGGGCAACGCTGGAGGGCATGTGGGGAACAACGCTGCTGGGGACGCTGGGGTGACCAGTGGCGGTGGGGACACCGACGGTGGACCAGGAGGTCACAGCGGCGCAGGTGGTGTAGACAACGGGGACCACAGAGACGGAGGGAGCAGAGGGCATGGTGTTGGCGGAGGAAGCGGAGTGAGCATCAGCACCGCTGGGCATGCCGGGGGCGGTGGTAGCGGAGGAGACAGCGGAGACACCGCCGGCGGGGACGGAGGTGACAACGGCGGCGGTGGTCTGGACGGAGCTCACGGAAGCGACACCAGTCTGACTAGCACGGCCGGGGCAGTTGGTGACGGTGGGAGCGCACGAGATGACGGTGACCTCCTCGGTCTGGTAGACGGTGGACTCAGCGCCGTTAGGGAGGGCGGCAGCCAGGCCGGCGAAAAGGGCAACGGTGACAGCGGTGAAACGCATTTTGATGGGTTTGAGGTGATATGGTAAAAAAACCGTTCGAGTGATTAGAAAAGCGATTTGAAAAAAGCGAAGGCTTTTTAAAAAGGCAAAGAGTGTAATAGTAGTTGGAAAAGAGTGGATGACCGGAGTCGGAGAGAGTGACTGATGCGATTGCAACGAAGATTGGACTTGGAGAAGAAAGAAAGAGTGAAAGAGAGCACGGGGGGATCAGGGGCCCTTTGTATGAACGGGGAGATTGCCTGCTGGATCGGCGGGTCCAGCAGCCCTCTCCGCTCTCTTTCCCCTCCCCCTGAAATTAAAAAAGATTTACAAAACAAACATCAAAAAAGGGGGGGGGGGAAATGAACATCGTGGATGGGGGTGTGGCTCGAGGTGGGAAGTTCTGGAACGCCCACGGACCAGGGGCCACCGGCACGCTCTGGAGCCTTTCAAGCTAGCGGTCTGGTTGCATTGACTTTCAGCGTTCAGTGCAGAGTGGGGGGAGGTATCATGGACTGGCTGTCCTCATGCTCAACCCCATGGACGCCGAGGTCATTGGTACTCGAAAGCATCCAGCTAGTAGCTCCGAGTAGTAACAGGCTAACAGCCTAACAGGTACTAAAGTTACAACTCAACTACCACTCACTCTCATACCGTACCTGCATCGCCCGTGTAAAATAAACTATATTCATGCTTCCCGTCTCTCTGTACCTGATTTTCTCCCTCAGTGGTCCCGTGCAGGTGGTCTGATTGATCCCCGTTCCTCGAGCCACAGGCACCACGCACTCCTAATTGGTCTCATCGAGCATCTAACGGGCATCCGTCTTGCCCATGATAATTGAGCCCGTGGTGACTTGGAGAGCCGCTAGTATGTTTAGCGCCCACGCCTGTTCTCGTGGAGGAAACCCCCTATAGCGAGTGTGCCATCTGACTGGTGGGGTCCCGAGAGAGTCACAAAGGTCGGTGGAGGATGGTGGAGTCACCTGAGGTTAGGAGATTGTGTGAGACACGACCTGTACAAATAATACGTACTGTACTCAGTGTGTACTCAGTGTACTGTACCATTCAACCAGACTCCAGGACTGCGGCGACTCGTGATCGAAGTCGTGGACCCGTAAGTCCGAAAGTCGTGACTCGTGGGTATTTCAGTGTCAGAAGCATACGCCGTACACTCACAGCGCCGACTGCAGAGTGCAGACCCCAGGGAGATCTTCTTGTGCGGCTGTGCAGAACTACAGATACTCCGGTGCAGCTAGCCAGTTACGGCAGATATGCACGTAGTCGTAGAGTACTAGAGTATGCGCGCTGCACGCCCCTTGATTATCGTATCTGAGACTTTGGCGGCACTCGAACAAGGTCTCTGATGATCTGATGAATTACATTGGACTTTCTTGCACTTGGAACCTTGAGACTGCGGTTCTTTGTATCCGATGCCTTCAAATGACCGACAGCTCAGTCTGAGTGAAAGGATTGCTTCTCATAGAGTTTGCTTCATGTCACGCGCCCGAAGCTTGGCCAAATCCTGCACGGGCATCGGTTCAGGGCAATAGTGCTTTCAGCTTTGTATTTTATTTTGGAGTACATGGGTCATGGGGAGAATCCTGTACATAGATACGACTACTTCGTAGAAGTTTGTACTGTCCAATCTCATGCGCAATGACCCCGGGGTGAGACCTTTGACTCTAGGAGCAGATTACTCATTACACGACCCATAACTCCATTGTCAACATGTCAAGGAGAGAAAGGAACATGATCAAATTAGCGAGTTTCAGCCCGCGTCACTGTGCCGCTGTCCACCAATCTTCCATGCTCTCGAGACGATCCACTACCCGTTCCTGGCGACCGACCCCCGCGCCTGCACCATTCATGGCCCGATGGGCCCGTCGCCATCTCCACTTTTGCCCCTGAACCGTCCATGCACTCACCACTCACCACTCACCACTCACCACCCGAGACCCCACCACAACACACACAGATCCCTCGCCGTAAACACCACGGCGACTGAACATCACCGCGCAAGGGTGAGAGTGGCTAGAACACCAGCGACGGTCACCCGCAGACCCGTCCTCCTTCGTGTCAAGACTATTGACTGTCAGGTGTAGGGCCTCACTGGGGTTCTGGTTGATTCAAAGAGAAATTGCCCCTTGTCCATCGCTACTACTTGTACCCCCGGACCCCGTGCGCTGCCCACTGCCCACTGCCCACTGGCCGCCGAGTCGAGTACGGTAACGTTACTCTTGATAACGATCCAGTATCTCCAGAAAGATCATCGATCACCCTACGAGTCTGGGAACATGTGTTCGTCATCTGCTGGCAATACCATCACACCCGTGACCCGTCCATGACTTCCATGAGTCCATGACTCCATACATCCATCGTCATACTACCAACGGGGACGATCAGCAAGGTGCATCGTGGCTCAATTTCATGGAGTAACGGGAGAGTACTCTCCAACTGTCCCACCATCAAGGGAAGTGGATGCGAGTCATATATTGATCTCGGTTGCAACTCAGCCCACTTTCTGTCTTTCATTGATCCAAAAATGCCGCTCAGCAACAAGCGCCACAAAGCCACGGGCATTATTATATGGAGGTTCCACTGTTACTCGCCCGCTCGATATGGTAAGTACTAAGTAGTAAGCATTGTACCTGAGCCTGTGCGTGACAAGGTGACACTAGCAAGGAAGCCGTTTTCTATGCATGTGTTGAGTGTTCATCCTTTACTGTGCTGATGTGCTCTAGGCTTTACCTGTTCTGGTCTGAACTGGGCTAGTCAGTGAGAGACCGTTCATGTTCATGATGGTTGCTGAAGCCGAATAAGGGGGACTAGAGCCTGGACCAAAGAATCATGTGGATAGTAAATACAGCGGCCGCTGTGGAAATCGATCGACTTTGATCCAGGTTCATTGACGGACTTGTGCCTGGTAACTAGTAACTACTGCCTCCATCGATGCTTCGGAAATCGGGCAACAATTATACCACTGACCGCTACCTAATCGGCCCGAGCTTGTGCGCTTCAATGTGACAGTGACTGCTTCTCCCATTACCGACCCCATTGACGTTCTTCTTTGCTGTCCACACTTCACAGTCTAAATAGACGAACATCATAATTGAAATGGAGCTTGTGAGCCTTGGTTTAGAAAGGTGACCTCATAATGTCGAATCTCTGTTTGGAAGGTCTTCGGCCCCTGGGCTTGGCTGATAAAACAATATGAGCCTCGAACGTGCCGATCAAACTTGCCGATCAATATTCTTGCGCGGTGCACACTAAAAACGTTGCTGATCGTCTACGCATTAATTTGCTGCGGCAGAATATCGTCAGTTTGGACCAAAAGTATTAGTGAATGGACCGCAATTCAGATTATCACATACACAATCATGATTCTGCTAAGGATTCTCTCTCCACGTGCTGTGCCGAGTCTACCCGTCCCCGGACCGGGCAATTTATTGTCATACTGTAGAGTGTAGACTGCGAGAGACTTTGTGGATTACCATAGTTCACCAAAGGATAAGATAAATCGGGTTGGAAGGACGGGAGTCCATGGCCCAAGCATGTTCCATTGCATGATCTATGAAAACGCGACCCATTTTTGCGTAGCTGCAATCAATCTTACCCACGGCTTACCATCGTGTCCCTGCCCAAAGTATAATCGCGCGCTATTGAGTTCCAAATATAGCGAAACCTAACCTGGTCGCTCTATCGTACGCCGCTGCCGGAAGTCGAGTATGCTTGACTTACTCTTTCTCCACTGCTCCTGGACATGACCATGGAAGGATAGGGTGAAATTCCACATGCGGGACCTACTAAATACTTTGATATACACATCTTATCAAGTAGTCTTACTCCCCACAAGCCTTTTCGAATGACACGGATGCGGATTCGGAGTATTGCAGAATTTCGCCCCATCTCATCTCCAGTGTCGTTGTCGTGAGAACTATTCGTGATCTTCCGCCCATCCCAGAGTTCGGCAAATGTAGTTTTCAACTCTAGCACTCTGAAAAGTGTCAAATCGAGATCCATGCAGCCCATCAAGTCTCTAGGCATTTCCACCTCGATTTTTAAACAAGTGATTTATAGGCGGGTCAAAAATCTCGGGCCATGATGAATCTCTCGTTGACTCATGAAGCCTCGTGATGCTCGACCAAGTACCTTCACCAGACCTGGAGAAGGTCGAAATCTCCGAGCGGAGAGGGTATCCGGCGGTACCTCGGCAGTGGCTGCACATTTGGCAGATCGATCACACTGCGGCGGCGAAGCACTCATAACCTGAGCCAGGACACTAACATGGGTACTTGCAACGATCGTAAATCAAGCCAGCGCTAATCCTTCTGGCCGTGTTCACGATGATGCACTAGACGGACTTGTCATCACGCACAGTCCCCATGTTCATGATCTCAGCAAACCTTGCCGCACCTCCATCTATGACGCGTCAGCCAGCACCCTTAAACCGACCCGTCAAGGGCGGCCCACACTCTACAGGGCCCGGTGCACCCTCCCAGGGTCTGCTGTACGATGACTACATCGTGGTATTTTGGATCAGCTATCGAGGAGCCTGCACTACAGCTGGCCTTTACGTAGCTGACAACGGCACGTCTGGACATTGATTTCGTGATTCGATCACGACTTCCAAGTTCCAGGCACCAAGATAAGTTCGCGTCTAACCTGACCTAGTGATTCCCGCTCATGGACTTTCGGACATTTTGGGCACTTCTCATGCCTGATCGGTCTGTGTCATTGCTCTATTTTCCTCAGGACTGATACACAAAAGTCCGGTTCCAGCATTCACGGTCCATGGTGATGTCGACGAGGCGCCACTGATTTACTTATAGAGCGTCGCCCGCTATAGTGGTTGGCCCTTGTTGACGGCAGTGGAGCCGAGATGAAAGGGTGGTGCATCCGAAGGCAGCCATGAATCTGATTGTAACCTGCATCGGGGATGAATGAGATATTGAAACCCGCCTAGTCAACGGGCGAAAGGAAGACACCAAGGTCTATGCATCACTGACTATGTGCAATTCTCAGCCCTGTCGACATCAACCCACTGAAGCTTTCGTAAGGTGATCCACTTCACGCTACGTGGCTAAATGCATGTCGTTTTGTGTACTTATATTATATGATTGTAGTGCTATACACTTGTACAGGGTGACTGTTCACTATTGTACAGTCAACAGTGTACACCATCGAGGGCATCTTAGCCAGTACGATTCTCAATATCGCCGTAAGCGCACTTGACTCTCGGAAGAACGTACTTCTTGTGTTGGTTGTATATCTCACGAGGCCCAGAGAGGCAAGCATGTTTACGTATGTCTTCATTGCTGATTTGTCAAAAGGTCACTTACTGTGATCCATTCAGTGCAAGTTCGCAGCCAGGGAGGCAACATATCGTCGTGGTGATGTCCAATAACACTTACACATCCCATACAAGAGCGGATAAGCGGCTTTTGCCTGTGGCCTGAGGCGACCGAGCTAAGTTCATGACTGACGCTAACTCCCCCCGTCTTTCACCGTGTACAAGTCCTCACATCCGGATTACTAGCGAGGTCGATCTCCATGAGAAATGCATTCTTGACCCGTCGGATTGTCCTGTCTTTTTGACGAACAGCTTTCCATAGGCATAGAGTCCTATGCTCAGGGGTTGTATATGCTCTACTGTCAACCGTCACAAGCACAACTTCGGAGATGCAAAGACGTCGGATACAGTATGTGATCGCCGTGTTTCAGCGGAGGCGCCTAACATCCGAAACACGCCCCACCGCCCGTACGCTCCGATCCTCAGAATGTTTTCACAAGTGCCCACGTCCCACTCGGCGGCTGAGTCAGTAAGGCTTGTGGTTGCTTTCCACGAAGAGGTACGGTCCTACTACTACTGTCGTCAGTCGTGCTTGGTGGGACATGACGACAATGGATGCTCTTGGGCCGCTGCGTCAGGACCCGAGTAATGAAAGAGTCAGACGGACTTCGATTGATCGAGGGAAAACCCGCCTCACCAAGGATCGCCTACCGCTGCTCACCCTGTTGAACAGGACTACTCCCGTAATCGTACATCTCAGTTGGACCTGGACCTGGTCGAAGAGAGGCTTTCCATCTTCCGTGATATATTTTTCCCACCTACATGGTTGCCGGGTAGAGGTGGAACCCCCGTGCCATCGTACAATTGATCCTGGGTGGTCACCTGCTCTGCTCCTCTTCTCCTCCACCTTATCACCACCAACTCCTCCTTTCACAATATTTGAATCGGTCGTCCCACTGTCACTTCTCCCATCACCATCTCCTCAACAACCCATTCTCTCTTTTCCGCCTTTTTGTCACCCGTCCACTCGCTTTTTCATGCAACCATCGATTCCGATCGTATTTTGTGCGAATTCTCACTCACGCTGATAATACCGGGTCCACGACTCGCTGATACCCCTCACGATCCCCCCTCCCGCGGTAGACCCACGCCAACGACACTCTGGCGAAGTTGGCTGATCCAAACGAGTTGTTCTTGCCCGGTGATCGGCAAAACAGTCTCAACATGTCAACTTCTTCAGTGCCTCTGCTGCGACCGCCCGTGCCAGGTAATCGTAGCAATACCAGCAGTCCTCGCGCCCCGAGACTCACCTTGGGTATCCCCCCATCACCGAATGCAAAACCTGTCAATGGTGGCGGCCAACCGGCCCTCTCTGTCCCCGCTCCCGGGACGCAGACACCGCAACCGCAATTGCAAAGACCCCAGGCGGGCTCCCGGCCATCGTTACCCCGCCTTCAGTTGGCGACACCCATGGGCAGTAGCCAGAGTGTTCCCCAGGAGACAAGCTACAGAACAAACGGTCGGCCTGCTCCACCTTCGCTCACCACGAATCTGAACCCGCCGAATGGCATAGATAACAAGACCGGTGGTCTGACCTCGGCCAACTCCTCCTACTCGGCGCTTTCCTTTGCCATGGGCCTCCGTCAGCCGGCCGGCGGCAATTCAGATCCCTCCTCGGCAATCAGTTCGGTCTACTCGGATCGGGAGGGTGGTGTGCAGATGGAAGGGGAGAGCAGTGTGAATGGCCTGTTACCGGACCTGGACAAGCTGAGCTTGGAAAAGGGTCGACCGCTCGACGTGGAGGATTTGGACGATGAAGGGTGGCATGCCGCAAGTGAGCAGAAAAAAATAGTGGAATTGGGAAGTCTCGGCGAGGGCGCTGGCGGCGCAGTCACACGATGCAAGCTGAAAGACGGAAAGACCGTGTTCGCATTAAAAGTGAGTTGTCTTCCTATCACATACCAGCCTTGTTCCTCCGAGACTCTGTCACTGACTGTGTAAACCTGCGCAATAGATCATCACGACAGATCCCAACCCCGATGTGAAGAAGCAGATTGTTCGCGAACTCAATTTCAACAAAGACTGCGCATCGGATCATATCTGTCGATACTACGGTGCCTTTATGGACAAATCCACCGGCACAATCTCCATTGCCATGGAATTCTGCGAGGGAGGGAGCTTGGATAGTATCTACAGAGAGGTCAAGAAACTCGGAGGACGCACCGGGGAGAAGGTCCTCGGTAAAGTTGCAGAGGGAGTGCTGAATGGTTTGACTTATCTGCATGGCCGGAAAATCATTCACAGAGGTAGGCGACTTGCTGCATAATTCAGACACGGTACAACGACTAACATGATGTGGCGGCAGATATCAAACCTTCGAATATCCTTCTGTGTCGAAATGGTCAGGTCAAGCTTTGCGATTTTGGAGTTAGTGGCGAATTTGGCACAAAAGGTGATGCCAACACCTTCATCGGAACCTCCTATTACATGGCTCCAGAGCGCATCACCGGACAGTCATACACCATTACCTCCGATGTCTGGTCGTTGGGTGTGACGCTGCTGGAAGTCGCGCAGCATCGATTCCCATTCCCCGCGGATGGAACAGAGATGCAACCCCGCGCTGGTCTCATCGATCTTCTCACATACATCGTTCGACAACCGATTCCGAAGCTGAAAGATGAGCCTCAGAACAATATCCGCTGGTCAGATAATTTCAAGTACTTTATTGAATGCTGGTGAGTTCCTTTACCCGTGGGGCGTTTAGCTCTGATCTTTCTTGCATTTTCTCATTCAACCTGCGACAGTCTTGAGAAAGAGCCTCCCAGACGTGCGACTCCATGGCGAATGCTCGAGCATCCTTGGATGTTGGACATGAAAACTAAGAAAGTCAACATGGCCAACTTTGTGAGACAAGTCTGGGATTGGAAAGATTGATCGGATGATGTGTCATACATGGCAAGATCAACATCATCGTCGACCCACCCAGGCTTGGTCCTTTGCTTGACCTCAGTAGGCGCAAGAATGGAGCTTGGACGTGTTTGAAGTTGCAAATGGCTGGCCCTCCCAAAGATTGACCTGGTTGTCAATGCGACTCAAACGGACAGACTTCGACGACTTTGCGTACTCTCGCGACACGTCCCTTTCGTCGATGTTGCTCCCGAAATTGAATGGCGCTACTTTCTTGTCGTGATGCTTGTCGTTCCTCCTGGGCCGGCACTCGGTTGAACGCAGCAGTGTCTTTTCCTTATCATACCCTCTCATTCGAAGTTCCAATTTTCTAGCGATCATGTCATGGACTCCGCACTGCGCTCAAGCCTACGATCTCTTACGGCCTTTGTTTTCCCTCAAGAACCACGCGTTCCACGGCATACATGCATATTGTCTCTCATTCTCCACGACAAACATCTTTGCGTAAATCCGTTGACCTCCTGACATCTTTCGATTCTCTTGGGTCCCTTTTCGCGTCACTTGCTGTTTCTGCAGCCTGCGCACATTTGTAGCTAGCGCCTGAGCTGCGTGTTTTACCAACTGTGGGTGATCCTCATTGCCGAGTCTGGACCGCAACTGGCTTGGACATGGTATCTCTCAGCACTCTTTGGACGAAATCAAAAATCTTACAATTCGAGAGAAAAGCATACCAATGTAGCGAAGTATTGTCAAGGCTATACCAGAGAGCCAGCCGAATGCAGAATACGCCTTGACTTGGCGTCGGGGACGACTAGAAGCATCATATACAGAAAGTGAAAGTAAGTACGTATTATGCTCAAGACAGCCAGCGCACACATTGCGTAGTGCGTACTAGATCATTATTGTTGGTATCGTAACTTGTCATTAATAGAGCCATGTGAAACAGGGATACCAGGAGGTAGATATGAGCGCCAACTGGTCCCTTTCCTACCTCTTGACTGGATCCGCGCCTAAAACCCATCCGATACCACTTGCCAATCCACCCGTGACCATATTGCTCACCATATCTCTCTTTCGGACCCGGCCTTCGCCCTGATCAGGCGACATGGAGCGGTCGGCATCGTCGGACCTTGCGCTGGCAGACGGTCGGGATGCGTCCGCATTCCCGCGGAGAGGGAAAGCATTCTTATGCAGGGCCATTGCCGCACCGCGCGCAACTTCGAATAATCCCATGGGGGCCTCGTGCGGGTGGCTGCGTGGCAGTGCTGAGCGAGCGCGTGCTCGTCGAGCGGCGCGTTGCTGGGCTGTATCAAAGGCATCGCGTTCGGAGTCGGAGGGACCAAAGCCGCCTGGGACAGTGGACAGGTTGTCGCCTTTTGCATCCCAGACATCTTCTTCTTGTTGCTCTTGCGCGCGGAGCGAAGTCATTTCTTCGTCGCAGCGGCGCCAGGCACCGAGGATCTCGGGGAGAGGGTCTGGCGAAGGGACAAGAATCAGGGCAAGAGAGAGGAGCTCCATCCGTTGGGATAGATGAGTGATTTGGGACTGCAGAGAAGCGGATGGGGTTGGTGATGCGGAGCGGAAACGGCCTGCATTGTACACTGCTCGCCAGGAGATATCGTCTGGAAGAGCGGGGCTAGAAAGTAGAGGGGAGGATGTTGGCAACATGGACGGGGGTGTTAGTCGGGTAAGAATATATGAATATGCTGTACCAAAGTCGCTGGAGGCGAGCGCGGACGATATTGCGAGAGAGGTGATGCGCCGCTCAGCTGTGACGAGTGCATCTTCCTCTGAAACCTGGGCTTGCTCGGAGTCTTGATCACTTGATGGTGTGCCTGTTGGAAGTCCGGCTTTGACGAGATTGCGACCAATTGACAGAAGGTCGTCCAGTTTAGTGTAACTGTTCTTGTTTTGTTCGAGCACCTTTTCAATCAGGCAAAGAGGGTCGGGATGTACGCGAATGCTGACGGGCTCGAAAGGAACACCGTGCTGTAAAGTAAGAGAGTAATAAGATAGGGCATGCGTGGCGGCGATAAGCGCTTTGATTTGCTTGAGATGTGTGGATGCTGCGAAATGAGGCTCGAATGCATGTAGTCTGTGCAAAATATCAGTTATCTTCATTCAACTGGCCTCGAAAATGCATTGGACGCACAGATCGTTCGCTTTCCTCATGCCACCTCGATTTCGGTTGCCGTTACTTGCGTTGTCATAAGCTGTAAATATGGACTGCACCACAGTCGCCTCCACTTGTTCGGCACTAAGAGGTGATCCTTGCCGAAGGTAGATGTCCATGACCAGTTGATATTCTGGTAGTAAGGTCAGCTTTTCATGGACGCAGCTAATTGAAGTCAGTGTTGGTTACGCTTACCCTTGGCTTCTAGCAGAGCCTTCAAGACTTCCACCTCGATCGTGTATCGCGAAATTTTCCAGAATAAACCATGGTGGGGATTATACGGCTTTTCATCGCTTTCAGAGTGGTGTCCTTGCCAATTCCGGAGCCAGAGAAGCTGCTGCCGGACAATTTGCCAGCTTTCTCTGTTCCGTGGTTGCTTAACAGCGGATGAAATGACACTTCTTATCTCTGCCATTTGAGCTTCTTCGCTGCCATGCAAACACATAGTCGCTGCAGTCCGGCACGGCACGAGATGACCAAGTTGTGTCATAATTCTCAGAGAAAGCAGCAAGGCAGACAAGAAAGCTATTGAGTGTTTGGATGGCTGGGTCAAGAAGTTGGTTCGCGTGAGAAGGGCATTTTGGAATAGCGAGGCCCGCGATGTCGAGGCTATATGATCGGCATCAAAGTGAATTGACGGAAGGGACGTATCACTGGCATTCAAGTAAGAGAACTGCTCGAGTTCTAAGAGACTTGCGACTCGATCTACAACCTGGGTTGACCGATCCAATGCAAGTTGTGACGAGTCTGCATGCGCGTAGACTACAGATAGCCCAGCTTGAGCATAGCGGTTGAGAAGCTCTGTCTTCTTTTCGAGCGACATTTGAGCTTCTGGATCGTCATAGCCCCCCAAGTCAACATCAGTAGGTCCTCTCCACCGGGTGAAGGCACCAACCACACTGCCGTAATCAGTGAGGCTTCTAGATACCAACCACTCGTTCACATACTCCCAGCCAGCCAAGTGATCTAGAGCAGGTTTGGAGGTTCCCTGAATGAAAGAAACAGAATTTTGAGACGCACTCTCGTTCAATCTGCGTCTCTTGGCTCGACTGCTCCCATACAGCCACGGGCCGATTAACCCCCTCAGATTGTTGACCAAGTCCATCTCGTTGCCTTTGGAGCTTGTGATGGATAATAGCACATTAACCGCAGTCTGATCATCCATCGACTCCAGAACTGCCAGTGATATAGTCTCGTCACGATCTGGATAGAATTCGTAGTTCAGTCGCAAGGCTGGAAGAAGGCTTGAGATTAACCATGTTCGAAGGATGGGACGACTCTCATAAAACGGCAAAGCAAGGCTCAGAATGAGAGACTGAAGAGCAGTCTCAGTGTCGATCAAGTGCGCTCGATGGATAATGAACTGTGTCAACTGATCTGCGGACTGAATCTCCTGTTCCTCGTCATCACGCAGCAACGGTGCAAGGCGGAGCTTTTGCACCCGTTTTCGCGCAGTCTTCTCGCTCAAATTTTTGACAGCAGAGATGTCAATGTCAAAAAGTCCAGTCTCAGCTGCGTTGGGCTCAGCCAATTGTTGTAGAAGTGGAATGTATGCGCCGGGTTCTGTGCTCTCGGGGAGGTAGGTTAAGATAATGCGTAGGAAGCGCTCTAGTGGGAAGCAATGAGGAAAGGAGGCCTTCAGAGCAGATAAGGCAGCTGTGTCACCCGTCGCACAGAGATGCGTGGCCAGCAGAATGACATGGGCATCAGACAGCCCGTCTACAGGCGACATGACGATGTGTCGCAAGGAAGATAGGAAGATGAGGTGTCCTTATACTAACTGGCGACGTCAACCCGCAAGGTGCATCCGGCGGGGCGCACGGACCACATTGCCATCTCGGAAACGACAGGGAAAGCATCGCATCTTCCGGTTAACTCACTTGATCCTTGCCCGCGCCTCCGCCAACGAACGCTGCCAATCCTTCAATTGATCCCCGAAAATGGCTTCCGGACACGGTCTTCACGGTGGTATGTGCCAGAACACGTTTGATCCAGGGTTGAGTGCCCGAGCGCGGGTGGTTGCTGCCCGCAATCCCGCCTGGGACCCTTCTCTGGAAGACCCTCGATCTTCGGACTCTCACTGACTCGATTCTCTCATGATCTAGGTCCCTCCCGCTGCTACCCCTTCTGGCAAGAGGTCCTTGGATGCTATGTTGTGAACTCTGTGGACGGCGAGGCTGGCAAGAAGAAGTGCGCTCCCGCGCTCGACGATTACTACGAGTGCCTCCACCACCGGAAAGAGGCATGTCTTGTCGATTCCTCCTTCCCAGTCGTACTTGCTGTAGAGCCCAGCTAACAATGGACAATGCTTTCAACCATAGGCTCTCCGCACGATGAAGATGCAGGCTGCTTACCGCAAGGCAGAGGCTGCTCACCCCCGTGAGAATGCACCCAAGGCTGAACAGATCCGCAGCCTTGGTCTACTAGGAAAGGAAGACGAGGCCAAGTCCGTGCTTGCTGCTCAACGGTCATAGGGGAGTGCTGGTTAACTTTTAACATGCAATGATTTTTCGCTCTCAAGGATATGCCTGGTCCTTGTTTTTGCCTCCTGGGAAAAATCCCCAGGAGCTTGTGAATGTATAGAAAGATCGCAGATCCAGTCGATCTTGCGTTTGAAATGATACTCTATTGTTCCATGATCATGCGCCCCTTTGGTTTTGGGGGCTGTGATTGCCCGCTAGCCCAGGAGTCGCAGGTAGCAGATTTCTAACGCCTTCAAAGCTCACCACGTTGCTTGCATTGGGTGAAGTACCTACTTGCAGGCTAGGTGGACTATGAGTGCCTCGCATAGGCCACACTCAACTGACGGCCTTTATCGGATATACGATTCTTCAACGATGATGTTTTCCTTGATGGACTACTTGCGTACAGTGGCTTGGGGTAGGCCGGGTCGAAACTTGTCCCATAGAATTAATTATCCGTGATTCAGGACAGTCGTAACCGAGTGTACAAGATTCTGACCTGTGCTCTCTCAGAGCTTGTTTTACCGACGTGAGTAGCACTTATCCACGCCTGTCGCGAAGGAGAGCGATGGAACCCTGCATACATACATGCAGCGAAATGACAAGCGTACGCCGATCTATGCCTAGGCCCGGTACAGAGATCTGCTCATCTTACCCCTCGCAGGTAAAGCCTGGTGGACAGAGCGGCTTGCAGAATTACAGACAGCCTTGGAAAGAATGGAGGAGGAGCATGAGATTAATTTGATTTCAAACAGTCGTATTGATGGAAGTAGATATCCCCACGTCCTGAGGCATTCCAGTCGTCGACCAGGAACCTCATTTGTGAGACCGTAAAACGTCCAAACTGCTCCATCACAGCGCAATATGAAACTCGGCTAGAAACGAGACTATACGCTGACTGAAGAGAGCTATTCATTTCCTTTCAAACTGTCGCCTGTATCTGGAGCCTCACCGCGCCGGGACATCTTATCCATGTCAAGTATGTGTAGCATGATCCCTAAGCCCCATACGGCCATCTGGCATGTCTTGGCATTGTCCGGTGGAGAGCCAACCTTGCCTTACACGGGAGAACTAAGCAGGCCTTATTCATCTACTCTATGGGCCTAAATTTGTAGGTTTGTATGCTGCTAGAGTAGCTTGTGACGAGATTGCGCAGGTACCATAGTGTGGATCACTGGAGTGCACTAGATAGTGTGTGAAAAGTAAGTGTATAACTCAGAAGCTACTTACAAGTTACCACTGCACAGCTGCTAAAGGGTGAACCTAAACTAGTGTCAAGTCCGCAGCGGTTTGGTGTGGCGTTCCGATGATGACATAGGTTGGAAGTTGATGCTCCTCTAGTATATAGATGGAAGCTGAAGTCACTAGTTGACAGACCCCAACTCTGAAGAACAGGTGGAGATCTTGATGTACTTCCCAAAGTCAGATCAATGATGATGCGCAACTTGTCTAACGGACACGGAAGCATCTCTCGGAGATCGTGGATCATCGAACGCGCGCTGCACGTGATCTGAGAAAAAACCTGAGAGTGGAGGCCCAACCACCGCTAGGCCCAATGCGGGCTAGTGGCACACATTCAAACATGGACCAGCGCGCCGGGCAGAAGCCCCCAATGATATAAACCCAGCTGCGTGACCTCGAATCTGCTCGCTGTACTGAAATCTAATCCTCCCTGCTGACTCAGCCTTCGTGGGCCTTTCTGGTGTTCAGGCGTTCCTCTGCTTTCTATTGGTTCTTCACGAGAGTCACGCAAGTCTTCTCATCCCATGCATCACCTGGGCTCACTCGGTCACTCTTTTATCTGATGAATCGCTCTTTGGCCGTTTATTCTTGACCGAGAACATCTGATTCACTGGTGGTGTTGGTCACTCGGCGTCAGAGTGACGGGTCGCCATGACTTCCCGGTAAGTGCATCGCGCCCAATCATGACGCGTCAATCACATGATACTAACCCAACCGCGGGCAGCCTCGACCGATTAGTCACGTAAGTCACAAATGCTCCACGTCACATGACCGCTGATCGCAGGTGATCGCAGGTGATCGCGGGTGTCTCGATGGAAAAAAGTCCCCACTGTGGCTCACCAATGATTCTTCTAGGCTCCTGGAGACCGGTAGTACACAGTTGATCCGGAATACAGCTGCCCAACAACTGGCAGATGTTCAGAAGCAGCATCCAGATGAGCTGTTCAACCTCCTAGGCCGGATTCTACCATATCTACGGTCAAAATCCTGGGATACCCGCACTGCTGCTGCTCGGGCGATCGGCTTGATTGTCGCGAATGCGGACGTCTACGACCCGAACGAGGACGATGGCTTACAGATCAAATCGGGCATTGACAATGAGGACGATGTAGAAATTAAGTCGGAGGTCAAGTCAGAGACTGCCAATGTGGGGTCGATCGACTGCTTGAACCTCGAGACCCTCGACATTGCCTCGGTGTTAACGTTTGGTAAACGCCTGCTGGGCAGTGGCAGCAAGGAGTATGAGTACTCCCTAGCAGCACTGGACCCAGCGTCACGTCTCGCACAGCAGAAAAAGACACTTGCTGCGCGTTTGGGCTTTGAAGGTGAATGCTTGGACGAGGACCTCGATATCGGTGAATCCATCGTGTCCAAGCCAGTTACACCGGCCGCCAAGCAAGAGTCTACCTTTCGAGAAAACAGTCTCCAAGATGCTGCATCTCGCTGGCCTTCGTCACCCAGTGAACCCGTGAAAGGAGAGGAGTCCGGGCTCAGCAAGCGACAGTTGAACCAACTGAAGCGCAAGAATAAACACAGCGCAAAGATGGGGGCAAACAAGGTGCGCGTAGTAGACTTATCTACACGCCGTACCTCCGATACCGTCACCACTCCTATTGCAGCGACGCCACATCCTATCAAAGCTGAGAATGGCGATGAACAGAATGGAGAAACTAAAGCCGATTACTTCTCCTTGGATCGGTCCGGTGGGGATGATGATTCGAAGATCGTATCCGAGTTCAAGGGAGAAGTTGCGCCCGAGAAACCCATCATTCAGCCAGCATTTGTCGACCAGGGCGCAGGCTGGCCTCTGGAGTGCATGTGTGAATTTTTATCAGTTGATATCTTCGATCCGAATTGGGAGGTTCGCCACGGGGCAGCAATGGCTCTACGAGAGGTCATTAGGGTGCAAGGCGCTGGAGCCGGTCGCTTGGAAGGCAAAAGTCGCCATGAGAACGACGCTCTCAACCGTCGGTGGTTGGATGATCTGGCATGCCGCTTGATCTGTGTCCTTATGTTGGATCGCTTTGGTGATTACATTTCAGACAATGTTGTGGCGCCAATTCGCGAGACTGTGGGCCAGACCCTCGGAGCGCTTCTTTCCCACCTGTCTCCCAAGTCGGTGCAACTGGTCTACAAGTGCCTGTATCGTATCATCATGCAGAAAGACCTGGACCTAGATCGCCCAGTGTGGGAGGTCTGTCACGGTGGTATGATTGGTCTGCGCTACTTGGTCGCAATTCGCAAAGACGTTCTCCTCAAGTATCCGACATTGATGGATGGTGTTCTGGAGGCCGTCATGAAAGGCTTAGCGGACTTTGACGACGACGTGCGAGCTGTTAGCGCTGCTACCCTGGTCCCTCTCGCCGAGGAATTTGTCACCTCTCGGACTGGCACACTCGGGACACTCATGAACATTGTTTGGGAGTGCTTGTCCAACCTTCAAGATGACCTCAGCGCTAGTACAGGGTCCGTCATGGATCTTCTAGCCAAGCTCTGTACTTTCCCGGAGGTACTAGAAGCGATGAAGACCAATGCAGCTGAAGATTCGGGAGCGTCATTTGGAAATCTCGTCCCGCGCTTGTACCCGTTCCTGCGCCACACCATCACAAGTGTGCGATCCGCCGTCCTGCGGGCTCTCATGACTTTCCTGAAGCTCGAAGGAGAAGGCAGTACGGATTGGGTCGATGGCAAGGCGCTCCGGTTGGTCTTCCAAAATCTTCTTGTGGAGCGCAACGAGGGTGTTCTCAGGTTCTCTTTGCAAGTGTGGTCAGAGCTTCTCAAGGTTATCAACGCTCGGGGCTTGTTCAACCAAGCGAGCGAGCTGTCGGGATCAGTTGAGCCGCTCGTGGCTTTGACTCTGGGACCATTCGGCGTGCCTCGATACCCCATTCCTATCAATGCATGTCTATTCATTAAGCCCTCTGGCATGCCGTTATCAATCGCGGCTCCTCTTCCAACGAAGGCTTCATCGCCAGGGAGCGCAACACCAGGTGGTGGTGAAGCCAAGCCAGGCCGCAGGCGGAAGTCGGAGAAGAAAGAAGCTCCTCCACCTTCGGCACACAACGTCGACGGGCATATGTTGTCGGGTGACATTGATCTCGTCGGCGCCGACACCATGCTCAGATCCAAGATTTACGCCGCCAGAGCTCTTGGTGAGCTGCTCTCGTTCTGGGATAGACATCAATTGCCATCCTTCTGGAAAACCATACTTAATGGCTTCAATCACCAAGCTTCAACGACACAACTCGCAAGCGCTATGGTTATTGAAGAATATGCACGATTTTCCGGAGCTCAAAGCAAATACACCGAGGCCTTGTGTGAGTGTCTTCGTCCAATCGTCGAAGGTGACCGCCCGCCCTGGTATTCTGACATCGCTTGCTATCTTCATGTCGCTCGCGCACAATGCCACTCCTTGCTCAATGCCTTCAGGGATCACGCCCACGTATCTCCTTCTCGATTGCCGACGCTGGCAGTTGTTGTTCAAGGCGATCCTGAAGCTGGGCCGAATGCATTCTCTCTGGCTGACGCCGAAAAGATCATTGGGCCGGACTTTGACCGACTGAAGAAGAATCTTACACCGGCTCAACGCATCACAGCCGTTGTGGTGCTGAACGATACTCGTAGGACGGCACAAACTGCGGTTGAAGAGGCGCGGGCTATGAGAGAACAAAGGGACATGCGTGTGTTGGCAGCAGCGGCAGGTGCTTTGGTTGCCCTTCGTGATATCCCGAAGAAGCCTGGCCATATCATCAAAAGCATGATGGACAGCGTGAAAACCGAGGAGAATTTCGAGCTTCAACAACGCTCCGCGAGAGCAGTTGCAAGTTTGATCGAGCACTACACCGCCGCGACCAAGCGCGGCCCTGTTGACAAAATCATTGGGAACCTGGTCAAGTACTGCTGCGTGGATACCTCGGAAACACCAGAGTTCCTTCACAACGCTCAACTCGAAACATCGATCTTGTCTCTTCGAAAGGAAGAAGATCGTCGTGATCACCCGGACGCTGCGAAGTTCGAGCGGGAAGCAAGGGAAGCTCGAATTATGCGACGAGGTGCCAAGGATGCTCTTGAGCAGCTGACTGTCAAATTTGGTGCACAGCTCATGGAGAAGATTCCCAATCTAGCATCCCTGGTTCAGCGTCCTTTGAAAGATGCGTTAGAGGGCGAGCTTCCAGAGTCTATCGTCGACACCGGAAATGAACTCGGCCAAGAGGTTGTGGACGGACTGTCGACGCTTCGCGCCCTCCTACCGAAGTTTGATACTGGTCTCTACCCATGGGTGATAGGCTTGATGCCGCTCATTGCCAAAGCTTTGCAGTGCCGCCTTTCTGTCATTCGTTATGCTGCTGCCAAATGTTTTGCGACAATTTGCAGTGTCATCACTGTCGAAGGAATGACAATGTTGGTTGAGAAGGTTCTTCCAACAATCAACAATGCCCTGGATGTGCACCATCGCCAAGGTGCCATTGAATGCATCTACCATCTCATCCATGTGATGGAGGATGGTATTCTGCCCTATGTGATATTCCTCGTTGTCCCCGTCCTCGGTCGCATGAGTGACTCGGACAACGACACACGCTTGCTGGCAACAACCTCCTTTGCAACGTTGGTCAAGCTGGTTCCTCTGGAGGCAGGTATCCCTGACCCTCCTGGATTGTCCGAGGAACTGCTGAAAGGTCGCGACCGTGAACGTAAATTTATGTCTCAGATGCTGGACGCGAAAAAGGTCGAGCCGTTCCAGATCCCTGTCGCCATCAAAGCGGAGCTTCGATCGTATCAACAAGATGGTGTCAATTGGCTCGCTTTCCTCAACCGCTACAATCTTCACGGTATTCTTTGTGATGACATGGGTCTGGGCAAAACTCTCCAGACCATTTGTATCGTTGCGAGTGACCACCACATGCGGGCCGAAGAGTATGCCAAAAGCCAATCCTTAGACTCTCGCAAACTTCCCAGCTTGATTGTTTGCCCACCCTCGCTGTCCGGTCATTGGCAGCAGGAAGTGAGGCAATATGCTCCGTTCTTGAAGTGTATCGCCTACGTCGGACCTCCAACGGAGCGCGCTAGAATTCAGCCCTCGCTAGCACAGGCAGACGTTGTGGTAACATCCTATGACGTGTGTCGCAACGACAACGAGTTGCTTGGGGCCATCAGCTGGAACTATTGTGTCCTTGACGAGGGTCATCTGATCAAGAACCCAAAGGCCAAGATTACCGTCTCCGTGAAAAAGCTGATGAGCAACCACCGCCTGATTCTCTCTGGCACACCAATTCAAAACAACGTGCTTGAGCTCTGGTCGCTGTTCGACTTTTTGATGCCCGGATTCCTGGGCACAGAGAAGGTCTTTTTGGATAGATTTGCCAAGCCTATCGCAGCCAGTCGTTTCAGCAAGTCTTCTTCCAAGGAACAGGAAGCTGGTGCTCTCGCAATCGAGGCCTTGCACAAGCAGGTTCTACCATTCCTTCTCCGTCGTCTGAAGGAAGAAGTACTCAATGATTTGCCTCCAAAGATTATTCAGAATTACTACTGTGACCCGAGTGAGCTGCAAAAGAAGCTCTTCGAGGACTTCTCCAAGAAAGAGCAGAAGGAGATTCAAGAGAAGGTTGGCAGTACTGATCGTTCTGACAAGGAGCACATCTTCCAGGCTCTTCAGTACATGCGTCGACTTTGCAATTCACCCGCTTTGGTGGTTAAGGAGGGCCACAAACAGTACAACGAAGTGCAGTCTTACCTATCCAACAAGCGCTCAAGCATTCGAGATGTGGCGCATGCACCGAAACTCTCCGCTTTGCGTGACCTGCTAGTTGACTGCGGCATTGGTCTTGATCATTCTGCCGAGGGAGAGTTGGACACTGGCGCAAGCTACGTTAGCCCACACCGTGCTTTGATCTTCTGCCAGATGAAGGAGATGCTTGACATTGTTCAAAACGATGTTCTGAAGAAGTTGCTCCCCTCGGTCCAGTACCTTCGTCTCGATGGAGGCGTTGAAGCCACGAAGCGTCAAGACATAGTCAATCGCTTCAATACAGATCCCAGTTACGATGTCCTACTTCTGACTACCAGTGTCGGTGGTCTGGGACTCAACCTCACTGGAGCTGATACTGTCATCTTCGTTGAGCATGATTGGAACCCCCAGAAGGATATTCAGGCCATGGATCGCGCTCATCGTATCGGCCAGAAGAAGGTTGTCAATGTCTATCGATTGATCACCCGTGGTACACTGGAGGAGAAGATCTTGAAGTGAGTATTCCGACAGCGTTCCCCCGTTTCCACCAGTAAGCCTTGTACTAATTGCTCGTCCTTGTTAGTCTCCAACGTTTCAAGATTGACGTCGCCTCCACAGTGGTAAATCAACAAAACGCCGGCCTTGGCACAATGGACACGGATCAACTCCTGGATCTATTCAGTCTTGGCGAAACCGCCGAAACCGCCGAGAAACCAAGTGAACCCTCCGGTAATGAAGTCGACATGGTCGATATCGACGGCGAAGTCAAAGAAAAGGGCAAGAAGGGTTGGCTCGACGATCTTGGAGAACTCTGGGATGATCGCCAGTACCAAGAAGAGTACAATCTGGATTCCTTCCTGGCTACGATGAAAAATTGATCCCGACCTCGAGTCATCTGAAATTCCATTCTTAGGGTTCTATAACCTGTCTTCCACGCACCCATCCTTTTATCAACCTTGCACCACGATCGTCATGTCCCCCTATTATCCCCCTAAAATTCTTAGCTTTGATGCATTCTAGCGCTTATTGTGTTCTTGTTTTATTTATCAATACATGATATCGGCGGGTTTCTTTTGCGGGGATAGTGCATTTATTCTCTTACTTGCAGCTGCGATGATCACGGAACTTTCCTCTTTTATCCTTCTTTGTATTTCTACCGTCTTCAACAATTTTCTCTTCCACCGCATGGGAAGTCTTTGCATGTATGTATATAGAAACGGCGGATAATGGCTCTTATCGATGGTTCTACATTTTCCTCAACGCAGCGGGCGCTCATTTCTTCGCTGAATAGAAAGCTCCTTGTAGCGAGGTAATTCACGTCGCTCATTTTGTGTGAGCCCACATGAGGTCTACAATCTATATACGGTCAAGTTGTAGTCCAAAAAAAAAAGCGACTTCATAATTCATCAACTGCATTATTAACAACAAAATTTGACAAGGTCAAGGTAGCCTAGCGCTTGTTGACTGCGCAGCACGACCGTGTCCTGATCCTGGACACCTGCAATCTGTAAGGGAGTCAAGTGCCCTGCGCACGACGGAACGAGGGATGAAGAGATAGGAAAAAAAACCACAGGCAATAGAAAGGCGGGTTGGGAAACCAGGAATCGATGTAGAAAAAGTTAAATGACCGTGAACGCCAGGTCATGGATCTTTCTTGCCCGAAAGATATGATGTATGCCAGATGTCGAATAATACTACCGGTACTCCACAGTAAGCCCAAGGGCATAAGATAAAAAACCAAGAGTACTGACAAGCCTTGAACAAATTAACGTTGAAAAATATCACGCTTTTGAAACAAAACAGGCAGTTTCAAAAGAGACTAGGTCGAGTGCTGATGGCCTTAAAGCCTCGAAGAAGTTCGGAATTTTTTGTGCCTGAAGGTTTTCTGTACCTGAAGGTTTTCTGTACCTGAAGGTTTTCTGTAATCTGAAAGAAAAACCACGGCATTTCATGGTCTAGCCTTGGGCTTGGCCAACATATTCAGGCGGCTGAGACTGAGTGACCCGCGCGACTTCTGCTTAGCACTGGCAGACACACTCCGCGGAGATCCTGCACGTACACTTGAGACTCGAGAAGGTGTTTTGACCACTCGTGACTTGGTCGGGGTCGAGACAACAGGCGCTGACTTCTTGAGCCTCTTTGCACTACGACTGCCAGTTGCCAAATCGAACGGAGGCACGTTCTCGGAGTTTTCCATAGTCGGCACACCATCCTCGTCCACGTCATCCCGATGTCTCTTCTTATTAGCAAGGCCGTGCGCAATTCCATGGGCGACGACCGGGAGCTCGGGATATCGGGATTCATCCTCCGCCACAACCGACTTGCGCACGTGGCGAACAGTAGGTGACAGTACGACGTCTGATTCTGCCTCTTCCTGCACCGCAGCAATCTGTTCAGGCGTGAGAGCGGGCAGAGAGGGGTAGCTGATATCCGAAGGATTCAGACGAGCCGGAGTGGTAGAAGTCTTGGACCGTAATGGCGATTCATGAATCAACACATGGCGCGATTTGACGCTTGGTGTGAACTCAACATGCTTCTTTGGAGATGGCGAGGGAACAGTGTGCGCCTCTTCCTTCTTGATGCCGAGGAGCAGGTCCGATTTGAAATCGGGCGCAGCTACATGCGTTCCGGCGGCAATCTTTGCGGGATCACGGGAGAACAATGGCTGACGCTTGCGAAGAATTGACTTCAGGTTATTCAGGGTCGGAAGGCTACTCTTGAATCGTGGGTTGAACTCTGTGCGTGGGGTGCGAGGGGAGGCAAGACCTTTGGTCGATGGCGATCGTGCCAAGGAAGGGATCAAGGATGTTTTTGGGGCTTTGAGACTGATAGGTCCAGCACGCGCCATTGAAGCTCGGGTTGGAGTCATGATTGAGCTCGTCATTCGAGGTCGAGGGCGTGGGCCAGCAGGTTTTGGCGTTGGTGTGCCTTTGTCTTCTGGCTGATGGCGAGCCTCCGAAGATGATGGATTCGGTTTGGCTCGCTTGGCGATAGGAGTTGTAACGTTGGAGATGTCTTCACTCGGGGCCGTGGCTGGGGCTTTGGAAGGAGACCCGTCCTCCAGGCCGTTTTCGTTGAGCTCTGCCTTTGATTTGGTACGTTTGAGGGACTTTGTCACAGGCTGGAAGCGACCTTGCGCGGTTCGGAATGCGGAAGGATGTGCTGCGATGGAGTCCATCTTTTTGAACTCCGCCATGTGAACGTCGCTGAAACGACTCGTCTTGCTTTTGGGCTTCGCGATCTTTCTCTGGCCATGCATGGTATCCGATTCATGCTCTCGACGTGCCTGATGGGTCTTGTCCTGGATCATCTGTCCTTTGATTCGGGCAACCTCTTCACGAACACTGTCCATCAGCTGCTTGGCCTCCTCGCTGAGCTGAGATTCTTCTCCGCGTTTGAATTCATAGCCGGGAGTACCGAACAAGGTGGGTGCGGGTGAAGCCGTTAATTTCGAGGGGGTATTCTGGATGGCGGTGTTCCTGATAATCTTCCCATCGGCGTCTTTCTGAACAGGATTGAATCCGAGGATCATCCCAGTGTCGACACGTTTTGTAGTGCTTTTCTGTGCTTTGCTAGGGTGCATCTCCTCGAGGGATGGCCGAGCGGCGGGGACTGAAGTCGGAGTTCTGGTTTCCACCTTCTTGCTGTGCGAATGCGCATTTGGCGTTCTTTGGTGTGATCGTTTAGTCACCGGAGTATTGACTGCAGCGTGATCGACTTCCTGAATCTCAGCGCGTTCTTCAACGGTGGCCAATTGCTGCTGGACTTGACGTCCATTTGCCGCATCGTGAGACTGCTTGGATAACATTGAATCAGTTTGGCTCCATTTGGCTCCACTTTGTTCTGTTTGACAGCTTTTATGTGTCAAATAGCGGGCGTTGCCAGGGCACACTGACCTCGGGAGCGGGAGAGGGCTGGGCGCTAACACTGCGCAATCGCGCAGAGCGGCGCACCGCCATGATCTGCACTGGAAGAAATTTTATCGAGCTGTAAGCTATTTGAGATATTGATCTTCTGTGCAATGGGTTATGCAAGCGAGGTAGGGGAATGTGGAATCGTAGGGCGAAGGGGTTGCGTCGATGGAAAGGGTGGTTTGAGGTTCAAGGAGGAGAATCCAACATGTTTCGAACGTAAACAGAGCGCGTCGGGTTTGACGTCACATGACTAATCACAGCGGTCAGCGACCCGGACAGTCTGTGCCTCTGTGGTACCTGACAGCTTGATTGTTGTTTCCTGGTTATTCAGGCGCCTTACAATCATCCCCGTCAAGTCAATGGGATTCCACTATGTATATTCAATATGTGTAGCATGGTTCTGTATCACGGGCAATGGATGAGCATCCTGATTGTTAGCAACTTGTAAGATGCAGTCATCTTGTGAGTTTTGAGCGACTCATGCATCGATTCCTCTGCATCATGGGACCGTGACTAGCTCTGTATTTTCGGGGCTTCAGTTCTGGCGTGATATCAAAGTTCTAAATCAATGAATTTTCTTCAAGAGAGCGCGAGCGAGAGAGAGGGAGAGAGGCAGAGAGAAAGGGCTAATATGTCAAGCGCTGCTGCCGTCACGATCAAAACTCCTCCAGCAACAGTCTCCTCGTCAATAGGACCTCCAAAAACTCTCAAAAATCACAGTCATATTTTCTTTTGCCGGCTCTTTGTTTCAGTTGTGATTTTTTGTGAAATGATACTTGGCTTATGCTATATCATGCAGATTTGATCTCGACCTTGAAAATACAGAGAGAGTGGACTTCCCTTCACCACTTGTCCATAATCCGAGAGAGGAACACACCCACACAGCCATCTTTCTGCATGGACGTTGGAAGCACTGGGTTAGAATTCTGTGAGGATCTGTTCTCATCAGTCACTCCAGACCTGAAATCTTTGCCGGACGCCCTGCCAAGTTGGCGCTGGGTCTTTCCCACCTCGGAGATCCGATACTCTTCGAGGTTTCAGGAGGATGAGTCCGCGTGGTTCGAAATTTGGTCCCTCGAGTATCCCGACGAGCAGCCCGAGCTTGCTCTCGAAGGCCTGCGGGAATCTGTGTCCCATATTCTGACCATCCCAATGAATGAGATTGAATGGGTGGGTGGGAATGCAAGTCGGGTCTTTCTTTGTGGTATAAGCCAGGGCTTGGTGACTGCTTTGTGGACATTCTTCTGCGTGATCGGACAGATCAATCAACCTCTTGGAGGTCTGATAGGCTTCTGTGGTTGGCTTCCCTTTGCTCAGCGAGCGGAGGATTTGATGCGCAAGCAACACGCCATGGCATTGCTTCCAGCAGGGATGAGGGGTTCCTCATTCGCTGGATTAGGTCGGCTTGACGATACTCGCGCCATTCTGCAGTTGTTTCGCGATGTTCTTGGTCTCTCCGGTCTAGCAAAGCTTGATCCGTCCACGGATATCTCTTTGCTCTCCACACCGGCGATTCTGAATCATGGATCAGACGATCCAGTGGTACCCATCCGGTTAGGTCGTCAAGCGGCCAGAGTCTTACAATCCCTCACGGTGCCGACGGAGTGGACCTACTTCAGCGGCGCCCAGGCAAATGGGCACTGAATCAAGGAGCCCCAGGGCTTTCACCAGATTGTCAGCTTCATGCAAAGGCAGTTGGATCCTCAGCCTTAGAAATATCACAATCCATGTCAAATTCGAGCGTCATGGACCTGGTCCGAAAATTATTTCTCTCAATGTTGAACGGGATAGTTTGAGTAAGCTCTTCATTCGGTTGTTTCTACTGAAAACTTCGCGAAAGGTGTTCAGCCATCGCGAGACGTCTGACTTGGTTGACGATGTGCTATTGCAATGACAGCTTATCACATCGGCAAAAATCCGCCGGGTTGTTGAGCGAAGGGCTAACGCTATGATTCTTGTACTTTGCAACTTCTACTTATGGAACACGGTGGCAATTACCCTGGGCATGCACGCGCACTTACTCGGCCATGTGAACATTAGTAGGTACTAGGTACTAGGTACTCAGGTACTAGGTACTCAGGTACTAGGTACTCAGGTACTAGGTACTCAGGTACTACTAGGTAGTGGGTAATCGGTACGCACCGAGTCTGACGGGGAAGGTGTGTCTGAGATCTGGTCGGCAAGTACGACGATAAGAAGGTATGCAAAGGCAAGCTAATTCCGACTCGATCGAGCTTTCCCCGCGCACTTTCTGGTGCTTCGTATTGACAATGACTTGCTTCGTTAAAGAGACGGAAAAAGCAAAGACAGTGGGGCTGCGTCTTCCCCCGCAGTTTGACTAGGAAGGTTGAGTATCGAATCGAATGGAGTCGTGTGAACGATGTCCAGTTCAATCTGTACCACGATGGATTACCTCGGCGGATGCAGACGACAGATTTGGTCAGGCCTTCGAAGTCCCGGTCATTAGAGGGCACCCTTGTGGCCAAGGAAGTGAGTGGATCAAAGTCCGTCTTACTGGATTTCCTGTCAAGCCACGACCCAATGTCGAAGGTCTGTCTTTCATCGGCTATAAGACCTCGCGTTTTCTCACGGAAGCGGAGCTACTTCTTCGTTCGAGGAAGCAGACCCCGCAATCTCTTGTCTGTATCGAAGACTTAGATCATTGACTTTCACCGGCTATCCTACAGCACAGTTCTCAGTCGGCCATGCACTTCTCGCGGTCAATCACGGTCGTTGGCTGCCATGCTGAAGGCGAGGTGGGCGACGTGATCACTGGTGGCGTGCTAGATGTGCCCGGTAAGACCATGTTTGACAAGCTGGTCCACATGGAGACCAAGAACGATAGCCTGCGGCAGCTTCTTCTCAATGAACCTCGGGGCCGCTCGTCGATGAACACCAACTTGTTACTGCCCCCGTGTGATCCACGTGCGGATGCAGGCTTCCTCATTATGGAAAGCGATGATTATGCGCCCATGTCTGGATCGAACATCATCTGCACCACAACGGTACTGTTGGAGACTGGGATGCTGGCCATGAAAGAGCCATCCACCAAGGTAACTCTGGACACCGCCGCTGGATTAGTCACTGTCACTGCAGAGTGCAAGGCGGGAAAATGTCTCAGCGTGGAGTTCGAAAATGTCCCTGCGTTTGTCTTGGAACTGGACTACCTTGTCAATGTGCCAGGGATCGGTCAAATCTCGGTTGACATTGCATACGGGGGGATGATGTATGTCCTAGTCGACGCCGCGTCTCTCGGATTGAAGATTGATAACCAACATGCTCGTCAACTTGTGGAGATTGGAGAGAAGATCAAACGCGCGACGGAAGCCGTCTACACACCCGTGCACCCCGAGAATCCAGGCATCAAGGGATTCAGCGTGTTGGAGTTCACTGGGCCCGTTACGGAAGAGAAAGGTGCTAAAGTAGCCACTAATGTTGTGATTGTTTCGCCTGGGCGCTTCGACCGTAGTCCTTGTGGCTCAGGGACCTGTGCCCGGCTGGCAGTGATGCACTGCAAGGGAGAAATCGGGGTGGGCGAAGACTTCACGCATCGCAGCATTCTAGGAACTGAATTCCACAGTCAGATTCGAGGCACTACGACCGTTGGAAAACATTCGGCTATCCTGCCGACTGTGAAAGGTCGTGCATGGATAACAAGCTTTAAACAGATTGTTCTGGACCCAAATGATCCGTTTCCAGAGGGATTTCGAGTCGCGGATCAGTGGCACATGCCGCATAACTGACAGAGTACGATCGACTGTACAATTACACCGTGCTCCTGGTCGAATCCTCCCTAGGTTCAATTTTGCTCGTTCACCACGAACTATATCCGCTTCCCGTATCACATAGAAATCAGATGGTGCAACTCTGATGAGATTCTTGAAACTATTGACCTCTAATCAAAGACACTTGTGCTGTACCAAGGTTAATCACATGTTCACCAAAAAGACTCGGCATCAGCAGGACTTGGAAACTGACTTCTTTCTCCCACACCAGTCAAGGGGGGCGTCATTCCACTTCTCGAGATATAGTATTAGCTAGCTGAGACTCACACATCTTACAAGGCATCTGGCCCACATCCCTATCCATATCGGATCCCTATCCCATTTCTGAGTCTCGCAGTCTCAAGAGGCCCGAAGGTAGCTATTGTGTTTCTCATTGCCGTGATCTACGCTGGCACGTGATGCACATGTGGTGGACGGGAAGCCAAGATCTCTGATTAGTAAAGCCAAGTTTCCCTCAGGCTCACATGGAAGGAAAAAAAAATCTCGGAGTGGATCGCCGATCTCGGATCAGATAATTCATCATGTACAAATTGCACAATTGCACAGAGCCGTAGCACTTAAGTCACCACTTCCAACCTACCCAGGAAGGAGTGGCTCTGGTATGGACTCGTCGCATTGGAAGTGCATTGGAAGTGCAGATGAGCTTGAGCTGGGGCACGACTCTTCTGTCCAACTACACGAATGCACGACTTGAGGCAACTTCTAGAAAGTAGTTCGTCATACCGACCTCATTTCGAGATGTCGAAAACTTCTACGGCCTAGCCCGCGCTCGGCACAGACTTACTTCAAATCTTCTGGCGCGTCGGCGTTGCAGGATGCCAATCGGCCCGATAGTCCTCCAAATGATCGACTTGGCAGCATTCAAGGGGGCAGGTTGTGACTCAGGGCCACTTGGAGAATCGCCATAGCTGGATCCCCCCAATTAGTGCCCAGCCAATGGACCCGGTCTTGTCAGTGGAACAGGAGCCTCATGACGCCAATCACGGGCACTGACGTCGGGCTGTGGATCTATACAAATCCGCGGCGCGGATCATGCAAATTTCAGTTTCGTGATCGAAATTCAGGGACCCGCCACGATGCACAAGACAGGGACCGAAGGCGCTCCTCGAGTCCTTCGGGGCTGCAAAAGTTCTAGAAGTTCAACGATCGCGGATTCTATCTTGTTTTGCAGACACAGAGACGATTCTACCGCCGTATATCCCTAGAGATTCGTTTCTTACTACGTTCCCTCGGTCGCATTTCATTGGCTGTTTGCAGGCTGGAAATAAACTTCCCGCCGTTTGATCATACTTCCGAAAAGATCATCGGAGTCCAGAAAAAGCTTATTGAAGTCCGGATTTGGATCGAGATAGAGGCAAGTTGAATCACAACTACTGTCGACCACTGTCAAGTGTCAACACTCTCAGGGTTCATCCTCGACCTCAGACCACAGGACTTCATCTGTGTCAGTCTGCCATCACCGCTACTGGATGGTGACTGGGGCTATCGCGCATCATGAGTGACCTTACGAACGCAACAGCACATGTTGCGGTGGATGAGTCAGTAGCGGGAGCAAGGTCGAAAAAGTCTCTTGAGACAAGCGATGGACCGCCGCCGCCGTTGCCAGCTTCTGATTTTGACATGAAAGAGTACGACCTTGACGAGGCAGAGCAACGAATCGCTGCGGCTGGTGAAGCCAAGTACAATCGTCTGTCCTGGAAGCAGCTCACGCTACTATTGATCGTGGACGCCGTTGCACTGGGTGCCTTGTCAATTCCCCATGCGTTTGCGACTCTGGGTATGATCGCAGGTGTCGTGTGCTGTGTCGGTATTGGGTTGATCGCCGTTTACACCTCGTGGATCATCGGCAAGGTAAAACTGGCCTTCCCATCCGTGCAACACTATGGAGATGCCGGCGGTCTCCTCATGGGCCGCTTTGGTTACGAATTTGTGTCTGCTGTTTTCGTGATCCAGCTCGTCTTCGTGGTGGGCTCACATTGCCTCACTGGCACAATTGCCTTTGCGAATATTACCGAAAGCACCATCTGTTCACTGATCTTTGGTGTTGCCTCGATGATCATCCTCTTTTTATTTACAATCCCCTCATCCTTTGCCGATATCACCTTTCTTGGATACATCGATTTTGTCTCCATCCTCGGAGCGATCGGTATCACCATGATTGCCACGGGTATCCAGAGTAGCAATGCTCCAGGGGGTCTTTCAGCCGTTCCTTGGTCGGCTTATCCCAAAGAGAACATCACCTTCACAGAGGCTTATGTGGCTATTGGCGATATAGTCTTTGCTTATTCATTCGCCGCCTGTCAATTCTCTTTCATGGGAGAGATGCACACCCCAGAGGATTATACTAAATCAATTACGGTACTCGGGTTGATCGAAATTATGATCTATACCCTCACCGGTGCCATCATCTACGCCTTCGTTGGGCCAACCGTTCAATCTCCAGCCCTTCTGTCGGCCGGCACGACCGTTAGTCGAATCGCCTTTGGCGTGGCCCTACCTGTGATTTTCATCTCAGGCTCAATCAATTGTATCGTGGTTGGGCGTTTAGTTCATGCTCGCGTCTACAAGAACAGCATGATTCGATACATTAACACGGCGCAGGGCTGGATGACATGGATTCTCTTCGTCGCCATCATCACCGTCATTGCCTGGGTCATTGCAGAGGCCATTCCATTCTTCACAGACTTATTGTCGATCATCTCGGCACTTTTCACGTCTGGATTCTCCTTTTACCTTCCCCCCGTTATGTGGTTCTTTTTACTTTGCAAAGGGAAATGGTACTCGAGAGAGAACCTGCCCACTGCCATTATTAATTTCTTGGTTTTCCTCATGGGAGTCGCAGTCTTGGTCTGTGGTCTCTATTCGAGTATCGATGATATTGTAAGTCCTTCATATAATAGAGCCATTCTTGAGCCATCTGCTAATTCAACATGCAGCGCAACTCCTACCGTACAGGGAAGGTCAGAAGTCCTTTCACCTGCGCCTAGACGTGAGCTTCTGAAGCCGTCGAGCGAGCGCAGACAAAGGTTCCCTCGGTGTTAATCTTACAACTAGGCCACCGGAAAAATGTATAGTAGACTGCAAAAATGTCATGGTCTCCCATTGTCGAGCATTGTTTCTGGCGTTAGGAAGTTATTGCTTCTGTCCATGCTTCCTTGAATGTGCGTGATTTTTGCGTGTGTTTTAATTGTATAACATAGAGTTGACTGGTTCTAAAGAACAGTCTTTGATCGGTAGCCATTAACGATGAGCTTCAATATCAGTATTTCAAAACAGACGTTCTTAACACATGTTCTAGAGAAAAAGGGCTGCAGAGGTACATGTGGTTTTACCTTTTCATGGAAGAGGTACCAACTACGTGATCGTCCGGCAACACGCCTAACGTTAAGTCAAGTTCACATTAGACCCGGACTCACAAACGCACATAAAGTCGAATTCTAGGGTAATTTCACTAATACCAAAACTTCTCTGACCCCTGCGAGCTCTTTAGAGGTGTCCTGGAGTAGGCACGTAAGATGAAAAGCCCACAAGAATTCTCAGAGACCGAAGGGATAAGTCTCCTCCTTTCCAAGCGGCGTAACGGGCTGAATGACCTCGAGAGGCTGCACAGCTTTAGTGCGATCAAACCAGATATACCCGTCAAACTGCTTGTGGATCTGGGCCTTGGAATAGTGCGACAACTTTTCGGTTTCAGGCCGGTAGATTACACCGATGAATCTTTGCAGACGATGTTCTCGGGCGATCGCAGCTCTCAGGTTGGGGTCGATATGCTCACGTCTCAGGTCCAAGACGAAGCTCGGTATTCCAGTATTGTGGGCAATGATCTCCCAGCTGTCATCTCTCGACGGATTCACGGTCATCACTTCCATGTCATCGTCCCACTCATGCGCCGCCGCCACAGTGCCTGTATGGGTCCCACAGCCAAGAATAGCTACGTTCTCACGGCCAAAGCGCTCTCGGCACAGCTGGCCGATGTTGACTTCGTTGCGCCGGGTGCCCATACTGGTGAATCGTGCATCACCGACGTGTGAGTTGTGGGCCCATACAATGGCCTTGTTCTCGGGTGGTGGACGATGCTGCAGAATCCGTTGCAGAGTGTCGACCATGTGGGTATCTCGAAGGGTCCACGATGTCGCAGAGCTCCAGTACATCGCTTTGTAGTACTGTTCTGCGTCCCGGGCCACAAACGCGTTTTGCGAAGAACTATGGAATTCTTCGCCGTCATAAGGGTCGGTCTCGAGGTATTTCAACCGGTTAGCCAGGAGATCCTGCAGAATCCGCAGGACTTGGGGCTCACAGTCCTCCAATCCTCGAATAGCGGCCAATCCATAGGCCGAGGGATCCTCGATCCAACGGTCCAGACAGCCGTAGCGTTTTCTCGCGGCCTTGCCTGCGTGGGGGTCCACGCGGTCAAGATATTCGATAACAGCACGAATCGAAGAGCCCATACTGTACAGATCCAGACCATATAAGCCTGCTCGCTTCTCGGGTGGCTGTGTGCTGTTCCAGTCACGCATCCATTCGACGAATTCTTGCATTTCCCGATTGCGCCACATCCAGGTCGGAAATCTCTTGAAGGGTTCGAACCCCTTCGCCTTGCCGCCGATTTGGGCTTTGGGCCCGGTTCTAAGACGAACGTATCTGTCGATGGCTTCGACATCTGGCCAGTCTGCTTCGATGGCAACGATCGTGAAGCCATGCTCTTTGATCATCCGCTTCGTGATTTCCGCGCGCGCACGATAGAACTCAGATGTGCCATGGCTGCCATCGCCAAGGAGCATCATTTGTTTGTCTGAAAAGCCATCAAAGTACGACGCAAATGACGGATTGTCAATCTCCGGAAGAGGCTTTACGGCCTGGTTGAAAAGTTCCTGAAATTGTGCCATGGCGGTTGAGAGAGATCGTGTAGAAACAATTCGCGTAGGTAGAGACATTCGAGAAGCGTAGAAAATTTGCTGTAAATTCCCACTCGTTTTGTCCTGTCAATGTTCCATCATGGCTCCCCCTGTTCGATGAGTTCCGTGAAGAGAGCAAAATGAGATCATTCTCGTGTAAATGCACAGTCAGGATTACTTCATGGCCCGGCGCCCGTCGCGAACACTCTCCGTGAGGAACTCTCATTGCTTGAGATTCAGAGCTGGACGAGCACGAGCACGAGCACGAGCACTCAAGCACTTCCATTTTCGAAGATAAGATCGGGCTTACCACATTCGCTCTCACAGTGCATCCAATATCATTGAGAAGAAGACCCTCTTCGTATCGATTCAGCCAAAGAGTCTTGTTCAAGATGGCCCTACCCTATTGCAGTCCATCTCCCAAAGTTGGCCGATTCCAACAAGCAATGGAGTCCGTGTACGGTGACTTCTGCGACATAAGCAGTCCGAAGGACTGGACTCCACCTCCGGCATCAGGAGGTCATCGAGGACGGTACCTCTGGACGGATGCGTTTGGGGTCATCAATCTGCTGACCATGCACAAAGAGTACAATCGCGCAGGAGGTGTCCACATGCAAGATGATCGGTACTTGACACTGGCACAAAGACTAATCGAAACCGTCCATCAGGTGCTGGGACGGACTCGAGATGGCCGCTCTCCGCTCCCTGGGGCTACAGAGCACAATCCTCTAGGGGGAGGATTACGCATTGGAAAGACTGACGAAGATGGGCCAGATTGCGACGGACAGTATCATCACTATCTCACGATATGGATGTTCGCACTTAACCGCATGGCAGTTGCATCGGGCAACATGCGCTATAATGACCAAGCTATACAGCTGGCTCGAGCCATTCATCCCAGGTTTTTCCTTGATCGCAAGACGGCGCGACCGCGTATGGTCTGGAAGATGTCAATGGACTTATCGAGGCCCTTGGTTAGCTCAGAGGGTAACTTGGATCCGATTGATGGGTTCGTCATCTTTCGTTTGCTCCAGGCAACGGCAGCAACGACGGGAGATGCGCACGTCTTGGACGAAGAGATTGCCGATTATAGACGAGTGATGGACCGTAAGGGACAACATTTTGTCTCCAAGGATCCATTGGACCTGGGTATGACTCTGTGGACAGCTCACTGGTTCGCTGAGACCGAGAAATGGGCTTCAAGTCTGGTAGCCAGATGTTTCGAGCAACTGTGTAAGTAGAGCCCAAGTTTGTCTACAGGTTACTAAGAAATAGGCATTCACCTGCAGTGGTGATGATGTCTTGATCAAGCGCTGATTCCAGCACTCACAGATGACCTCTTCGAACTCCAAAGATACCTTGAACGCAGAATCAGTTCTCGCTTGGCATTTCGAGAATTCGGAACAAGCCTGGGACTTCAATGCGAATCCGAGCAGTCCGGAGACAGGAAACGAGCTACGGACTTCAAGAATTGGGCGGATGCCATCATTGTCGCATGGGATCCATACATGGAATTATCAGCTCCTGCAGCAGTAACGCCGGCAGACCTTCGGCCAATTACTCGCGTGATGTACGCCTCGGCTCTGATACCTGGAGGTAAATTTCTTCCTGCTTGGATTTTTGCATTGGGATTTGCGATCGTGTTCTATCACATTCAAGCAAATGGCTGACTTCGCGTCACTGCAGCATTCTGCTCCGGGTATTTTGGCCCGGAGTCAACATCCCAGAAGGGCTCCGGAGTTGTATAAGGACGAGCTTGAAAGACAGGACACAAAGTGGCAAAATTGTCGGGTCTAAAGCGACGTTGAATACAGTGAATGGGGCCTTTGCTGGTTGTCTACTTCAGCGTCTGATTTGAGGTGGACATTTTGAACGGAGAAATTATCAAAGATTGAACATTATTTCCAGCGCTACTTGTTCTCAGTGGCGAGGTCTTGTTATGTACAGGGGCTCGAGCGCGTGGTCTTTCTTTCATCTATAGACCGGGGACTCCAACAATCTCCCTCCACGCTGGCAGCCTCCTTGGCATTAGGTAGAGCGCATAGATTGCGCTGAGTGCGATTGCCAGGCCGGACCACTATCAACGCAAATTTGAGTTAGTCACTTGCAGGAGCGGTGTGGTTTTCTTCCAAAGACATCGTATAGAGTTAATCCTCGCGAAAGGTTGGGTTGACATACTTTCTCCAGCCAGGTGTGGAACCAAATGGCAGTCATAAACAACATCCACCAGCCCAGAATGATGACGCCCCAGACTAGGCGAAGCGAGAATTTCCTTGCAAGGCCATCGCCGTCCTGGTCTCCGATCGTTCCAGGAACTGCGGCGTCACTGGTCTTGCGTTCCCGCGACGCCTCTCCGTTCGCCCGAGAGACTGAGGGTGCAGAGAACGCTTTCACGCCCACGGCCTCGTAGGCGAGCGAGGCAGTTGCCAATACAAGCATGAAGACATGCCCACTGATGTCATGACCGCCTTTCCATGCCCCACCCGCGGCTTTACAGGCAGCTGCAGAGAAGAGGTCCAATTGAGCGGACGGGCTGTCATCGGAATCAACCCTGCTTGCGCGATCGATCACTTCCTCGCATTTTCCGCCCGTAAAGACAAAGCTGCGGTCAATTATTGCCGGCCCGAAGAACCACTGTGTCATCAGATACCATATTGTGGTAGCGATCGCATATCGGAGGCAGGCTTGAATCACACGTCGGGTGCGTATTTGTTGTTGTGCCGGAGAAGACGAGGAGGAGACGCGGTACGCAGGTTGGAAGAAAATAATCGACGCAAAGGCTGCTGTCGTCCATAGCCATCCGATCTTCACGAAGTAGATATTGAAGATGTTGTTTTTGCGGGCAAAGTAGTTGACAGGGCTCTCTGCAAGATGAAGATCGGCGGCGATAGATGGTGCCAAGGGGGAGGATGGTCGAGGCAGGTGCGAGGTTAATTTCCTCGTCGCGTGAGCGACTGGTGATATGACAGAGAACAGTGACCCTAAGAGCAATGTAGCGGGGTATATAAGAAGGGCTGTTGGGGACGGCGCTGGATGATTTGACACGGCCATGATTGATGGTAGTATGGAGGGTTCAATGCAAGTTGTGGTTAGCAGGGCAAATTGTATAAGTTGAGTATTTTCAGCCTAGACTCTGTGTCAAAGAAAAAGCCATGAGCACATGTCTATTGTGAAGTCGAGTTTAAGGTGAAAGGTTGGTAGAAGAAAACATCATTCCTCCAGCTGGGCAGTTCCAAGAATGACATCAATTTCGCCGGCCGAGGCATCCAGATCTATGCCTTGATATTAAGGCATCATATCTAGCAACTGAAGATCGCATTCGGCACCGTCAAACAAAACAGACTATGTGAATACTCAATAGTACAGTCTGAGCCATCACCTTCACAGTGGAATTAGCCATACTCTACGTCCTTTATATTTATCTCACTGAGCATTGTTCATTGAGTATCAGTTCCTTCAAGATGTGTCTACGTGACTGCTTTTACAACCACACCTTGGAGAGCTTGACATCTGTTCCGCTCAACGAAACAATAGCAAACTCGACATTCTGTCTTTGTTTTCATTGGTCTATTATGCTAGCGGGTTACAAAGGCTGTTTCTTTCGAGGCAGAATTTGGCAAAATTGTAATGTTCCATGGCAGTCTTGGAGGTCCAATCCTGCCCAGAGGTAACTGAGGCCGATCCATTGCCTTTCGGTTGGAACAGATGCGTCACTGATGTGCAGCATCCACTTGCTTTGAGTTCAGCCGCTGATGTACATCTACCCGCGATCCACAGAGGCCTTGGCCGCGCAACAACATTATGTATGGGGATTATTTTCAACTTTTTCAGTTGAGGATAGATTCATGGCAGTAAATAAAGCGATGGACTCCCGACGGTCGCAGACTGTAGGTGGTTTTCCAAGCATGCGCTTGTTTACTGACTGGATTCAAGTACCACTCGAGGCTCATTACAAGATGACTAAGAATGAGAATGGCAGCGCGGCCGCGTACTGTACTCTCATAACAAGTACTGCTCTCGAAAGATCAGGGTTTCTTCTCCAATGTGATTCTCGCGACGCTCTATCTGTAATTGACATTTTACGGATGATCAGCGTGGGATCTACCCGTTGCAATAAAGAGGATGTCAAAATTGCTCCCTCTGTTTGTCTGCTTTCAATCGACGACTGCCAAGAGTTCCTTCTCGCCAGTTCATAAAGAGCGTGGTCGAAGGAGTCAAGTAAGGTACAATGAAATGTTCACCCGAAAGCCGCTGTCACAAAGCTCCCCAATGTGATCGGCGCAGGATCAGCGCCGCCGCCCGCACGGTCTCAGACAGCGGGCTGTTGCTTGTGGCTCCATGGCTGATAATTTCCAGTTCTAGTAAGCTTCCAAGGTCTTTCAAGATACAATAGCCTGGGAGCCGAGACAACATCAAGCAAGTTTTGTATGGGCGGACGCCAAAAGCCTTCACTGTCTCCGCGAGAAGCGAGGGCCAATTTCCCCGCCAGACTTGAGTCTGGACAGTCTGCCTTCGTGTTATGGAACCACGGAGCTTGTTGCCTTGACCCCGGTGGCCACCTGCTGGGGCGACATGAGTCACAGAACTCAACTTTGTTTTCGACAAGTAGATTGCTCGATCATGATCTCAGAATCCCGGGCTTTTTGGGGGATTGGGTCAAACGATTCATCGTGCGACTCTCAAGAATCGCTGGATCTCATGGCGGAGGTACAGTTGTGAGCATCCGCGATAGATATTTCTGGAAGCGGCTGCACATTTCGCATTGAAACGTCAGCAACTCCGCATGGCAGCTCAGCAATGATCGGCAAAGCCTTTCTAGGAATCCTCGGCGCCGTGGAGGAACGCCCAGACGACAGTGTTACTTTGTCCGGCGAGGGACTGGCTGCTGACAGGGTGGTAGTAGCGCATTCTTGGTCCACGTCAGGAAGCTCCGCCACAAGGCTTGTTGCCCCAAAATCCGCTGGCATCTCAACGGCGCCTGTTGGTATTGGCGGCTGCGCTGGAGAAGCCGGCGGCATCTCTGGCATCTCGGACATGCCAGAGATCTCCGCAGTAGTAAGACTTTGCGGCTCTGAAGGGAGCTCCCAGACTGTGCTTTCTACTTTCGCTACCGCTGGCATCTCAGCAGCGTCGGGTAGAACCACGTCTGTGATTGGGATCACCTGTGGCAACTTGAGTTTCGTTAGGTGCTGGTAGACTTGATCGAGTCGGCAATGATAGCGGATCAAGCGAGCCTGTCGTTCTTCTGCGCGCTCACGGTTGCGAACCTTCCACTGCTTTCGATTGGCAGAGCTAATCTTCCCTTTTCCTTTACGCTTCGCCATGTCTTGTTTGCAAGGTTCAAGGATCTCGGCTAGCTCCTGCGCTGAGTCGACAGCATCGGTAATAGTCGAATGAATCCAATTATGTTCAACCTGGCCCAGGAGCGTCGACTTTGTATCCCGCAATTGTCGCGTGGTTTGAGCTTGAGCAAGAACGTGATCGGTGTAATTGAGTAGGTCGCGCACTTGCTCGTCTGGTCGTCGTTTCTCGACTGAGAGATCTACTGCGAGTGGCGAGAATGCTTTGGCGTCGATACCGGTCCCCCTTGGGAATGTCTTGGAAGACACTGATGGCGAGGACATGGAAGACACGGTGGATAGGTCTGTCAATGGCGATGATAAGGAGGAATTCGTTCGTCCGGCTTGAGATGCTTTCGGACGGTCCGGGATGCTTTTCTTATCCTGACTGGTCCCGTGTGTTTGTGTCGACATCGTCTTGCTTTCCGTAGCAGATTCCTTGCCGGATTTCACGGGTTGCTCGCTGGGAGGTCTTGTCCTTGATGCTTCTCTGGGTGTGATGGCATGGTCTTCTTTCGCGAGATGCATCGAGCTTTGATTATTTGTCTCTGAGGAGACCACGGGGTTCTTATGTTGTTGATCGACGGCCACCTTTGAATTATCTCTAGAGCCTGATGACCTTTGCCATGTTTCTACGGTAGCCTGGTGGAATAGATCCTTTGAGCCGAACCATGAAGAGACCGACCGACGCCATAGTCTGGATGTTGATTGCTGCCATCTCACAGTGGATGACTGTAAGCTGACTGATGAGCTATTGGGCTGACCGGTGCCGTCGAGAAACCTCATTCTGGATGTCTGATTCATGGCGAGCTTGCGCAGAAGGTCGTGTCAACCGAAACGAGGAGGGAAGACGTGCGGAACACACAGTCGAGAAGTTGACCGTCTGGTTTGCATCTGCACCAGGGTGCGTGCCGTGAAAGGAATAATGCACTGGGCTTCTTGGGACTAGAGGCCAAGCACCTCAGACAGGACTGTCGACACGATGCAGAGACGGACTGAAAGTAGGAGTCTGGAGTAGCAGTCTTCATCGATTTCAAGCTACCCCCCCCCCCCCCCCCCGGGAGTGTCCCCCTTAGGCTGTCCATCTGAGCGGGGTTGGCATGGTTCTTTGGCCAGCCTGGGCGCAGTTTGGTCCCAACCTTGGTGACATGGAATGTTGATCCCAGACAGGAGTAGTAACCGACGTTCTTGACACTCGGACTGGCCGAATGAGATCGATCACCGACTGGGGGTGAACTGGGATGGTGCAGCTCCTAAAACCCTAGTGCTGACGCAACGTCAGCTTTGGTCTCGCCCTAGCGGCTGATCCCCGCTCAAGGAGGCATCGTTTACCCGGGGCAACTGGATCGAGCAAGCCACCACCTCAGGTTCTGGGCCTTTTCAGGAATGCCAGCAATACTAGAGTGTCTGGAGCTTGCTCGTTGAATTCCAGCCGAGTTGATGCTATGGGCATCAGTTCCGCAGTTTCGAGCCAACTGTGAGTCATGACTCATGAGCAGTTGCCGCTGACACGGCGGTCGGTAATATGAGACCTTGTCTGCCAACTGGTCAGCTTTTGTGTCTTGACCGTCTTCGCCCGAACAATTGGCCAGATCAATGATCATCTCATCTACTGAGAAGTGATGTCTCAGTATAGCTATCTGAGGTCCGCACAGCACACGGGATTGTTTTCTCTGTACACCGCCTGTACAAAAGAGCCATCCATCCATCTCGAAGACAGGGTTCAAAGTTGCCCCATGAGATTGAGCCGTCGGCCGCCCGGTACTGACTGGACCAGGATGTCTGAGAATCGATGTACCTGGTTAGTTGACCAAGATTCCCAGAATGGCGTCCAAATTCGGTCTGTGCTATTGTGGCTTGGGCGAGCTATACCCGAATCTGCGATTGCTTACCCAAGCATCGCACGATGTTGCGATTTCTCTTTCAGAACTGTGCAATGCAAATCCTGGGCTGGAAATTCAGTCTCGCCTGCCTCTTTCAACTAAGCATTCCTTGATCTTCATCCTGCTCAGCACGAAGATCTGACGACAAGCCTGACAGATGGCTCTTCCCACCTGATCCAATGATTGAGCTGGCACAATCAGTGCCTTGACGAAGTGTGTCTTGCTAGACTTATATCATGCGAATACTTACAACGCTGACTAAACATGCTATGCGAAGGTTGGACATGGCCGCACGTGAGATCATCTCATGTGTTTTCGTGCCACGTGCATGATGTGTTGATTTTGGGCGCGAAAGATGTCATAATGCAGTAATTGATCAACTGCAAGGGCTGCTTCGGAACCTCTCCATGCCGGTTTTCGTACGGGTCTTGCATTACTCTCTATCATGCCAGACTGGTACACTTCTTACAGCTAAAGGAACAACTTCAAGGTTACAATAGTGGATTCGTTGGGTACTTTTGATCGCTGGAAAAATAACTCACCGGATCTATCGAGGGTAATCAAGCGCAGAGATGGACCGGGTAATATTGCGGATTATCACTTACAATATCCTGACATCTACAATCTCGGAAAAGTGCCGGGATAGCTTATATAGCTCCTGGACCGGAGCTTCGTCAATGCTTCCCCCATGAGGAATGTCTTCAGAGGATCCACAGCCCTTCCACCTTATCTTCCATCTAACACAACTTGAGCATTCACCACGATGACTGGAAGAGAAGAGAGAAGCGAACATATTCCCGGTGGCTTTGTTCAATATATTATTTGGGAAAAGGTCCATAGACTGTCCCTGATACAGCGAAAATTTCAGAGCTTGGCTTGCCTCAACTAAGCGTGACGATATCCGCGCTGGGTTTTGCGCTGCTTTCGAGTAAGTACAGGAAGCCCAGACAAGCCGATAAACAAAGACCTAATCGAACTATCAGAGATCTTCTTCGACGCAAGGTGGTTCTACAGATGTCAAGGATCTCGAAAATAATCTATGATCAGGCTACTGGGGCTGCGTACGCTGTAGGGCCCTCTTTGTTCCAGAGAAATTCACCAATACTACCTCGTCGAAACTCAGGCTTTCATGTGGGATGGCCAATTCTAGACGATGTCTTGAAATGGTCAGAGACTATTTACGTCGGCTACCGCCTCGCGTTCCAGAAGGACTTTCGGGCATGGACCGATCACCCTGACAACTGGGTAAAGTGACCGCGTGTCACTCCGAATGAGCCTATGTCATCCAACAGACCATCCAACAGACCATCCAAAAGACCATCCAACAGACCATCCAAAAGACCATCCAAAAGACCATCCAAAAGACCATCCAAAAGACCATCCAAAAGACCATCCAAAAGACCATCCAAAAGACCATCCAAAAATACTACTCAAACAATCTCAATGCAGAATGTTAACCTTTACATCACTTACTGGCTCGCGGGACCACTCACACCCTTTAATCAAACTGTCCAAGGGAGCCCAGACTGTCGTCGACGTCCTCCAAATAGTCGTAAAACGTCGCTCGTGGACCAGCACCAGGCACGACCAGGGCGTATATCGAGCTCGCTGCGACAGGATCTGCTAGACCCGCGCATGGACCCCAGCGGTGCTCAACGGTCGGCATGAAATCCGGAACCTGGGACAACAATTTGACAATGGAAGTCGCCGACCGTGAATATAGCACAGAAAAGCTCCGCGACTTGGCGCGTCTGTACTGCGAGCAATGGCCGTTGACATGACTTTCTTCTGTGCTCTTGTCTTGGTCTGGTGGTCGGTCGTAAATGAGCGTTCGAGGATAATCCAACGTCATCCTTCTGCCAGGCGATTTATATTAATCAGAAAACCAACGAAACATCATAGAATGCATGAGATTTTTATCCTTTGGGAGTTTATGGCAGAAACAGCTTCGAGGCGTTTCCCCAACATTCGTTGGTGGGTGGAAGACCACGAGTCAAGCGTTCTCGCCATCATCGATTGGACTGTGGACAAGCCTCAGTCTCACTGTTGATCAACGGCACAACGAAAGCGACACTCCCATTGTCGGCTTAATTCATTGGTACACGGAAATTCGACAGATTCGTCTGAATGAGCGAGCCCTCCATCAGCTTCCGCATCAGCAGAGAGACCATGGTGGTTTTCCTCGCTTCGATCACTCACGGTTCCTGCAATATCGACTGGTCGTGTATGATGCGATTTGGTATATAGAGGCAGTTGAAAATTAAGGTTGTTAACTCGAACGTTATCAGCGCGGATTTCTGATCCTCTTTGTCGGTACACGCAATGTGCCAGAAATGCCTCGTCAGCCACCAAAGTCTAATCGAGATTAATAATGTGTAGGCTTCAAAATGCGAAATCCACAGAGATTCCATTTCATGTATCGTACGCATCGACCGCCCACTTCCAGAACCTTTTCAGAGAGCAGCACTGTTGACTTACGGCCCTCGGTCTGTCCAGCATGATGCTCATGCTTCGTTATTGAACTCACTTTGAAATAATTGTGTGGCGCACGTCAGAAGAGGACTTGGGCGTTAAGCCGTCATGCAACGCACGGCTTTCCCAATCGAGCTGTCTTTCCCCAGGTTCTGCATGAATCAAAACAATGAGATCATCCGCTAGCCCAACAATGGAACGCAAAATGACCCTGGTATTTACCGGTGGTCGACAGTTCGATAATGCAAGGAGCTTTGGCGGCCGAATCATTACGAGGAGTGAATTGACAGCCGTGCGGAGAGAGCTTGGCCTCCGTGACAACTAACTTTGGTTGCTCTTTCCCTTTACATCAGCAGCCTCGTGCTACCTGACATCAATCTGTCCTTTCTGAACCCTTCTTTCGCTGCAAAGATGCCCCATCGCTGTTGACCGAGCAGCTTCATCTCAAGATCAGATGACCCGGGAGAATAGTCCAAGAACAACTGACAATGCCTGTCCTCAATGGCCAGTCGCTGTTGTGCCCAGTTGCAGATGATGACCGCTTCGGCCCATTTGTCGCCCGCAGTTGCGGAGATGACATGGATTTTACACTGCTTTTTGAGGAGACCATTTTCACCATGCTTCCCATCCTGATATTCGGAATTTTGAGTGCATTGCGGATATGCTACCTACTGCGAGCCTCGCAAAAAGTAAAACGGTCATGGTTGTATACGGCGAAAGAAGTATGTATTTTGTTCGCTTACTCTCGACATGGGTGAACATGCAAGCCAATTCAAAGAACAGACAGCCTGGGCAATCTACATAGCCTTAAATTTCGCTCTCCTTATTCTATCGAGCAACCCTTCAATCTCCAGGACAAGAATGTCGCTCCCGACAGCTCTCGTGGGATTTGCGATCTCACTTTCAATGCCATATTTGTCGCATTTGGAACATACGCGGTCACTTCGGCCATCTACGATCATCTGCCTGTTCATGAGCATGACGCTGGTGCTTGATATTTTCCGTCTGCGGACTTTCTGCCTTCTGCCCGATAATCGGTTGGTCACATGCTTATTTGCCTCGGTGTATATGAGCAAGACAGCTATTTTGATCGTGGAGTCCATTGAGAAACAGCAACTGCTCGGACCAGGAAGCCAGTCACTTCCGCCAGAGGCTACGGCAAATGTTTTCAACCGCTACCTTTTCTGGTGGACTAATGGGGTGCTGTGGCTTGGTCTCAAGAGAGCACTGACTGCGGATAGTCTTCCTTGCATTGATGATGCCATCGGGGCAGCTTGCGTGCCAAAGATGCTGACAGAAGCGTTGGAAAAGGGTAAATTTCTCAAGATTATCATCAGGATTAGAGGACAAGGCTAACGGGGTGGGACAGCCGATCCTTACCGATCAAATGCGCTCATCTGGGCATTTGCATTCCTTGATAAATGGGAGCTCATAAGCGGGAGCTTAGCTCGCCTGGTCTGCACTGGATTGACCTTCTGTCAGCCTGTGTTGATCCTGCAGCTTCTGGAGTCGGTCGACGGGTCGGACCGTACGCACGCGACAACTCGAAGTGCTGTCTTGCTTGCAGCCTACGTAGTGGTTTATGTTGGTCTGGCAGTGAGTTCGTTATGTCTGATGGACGTGTCAGTAGGAGATTCCGTATTGGCGCACTGCTTGCTGATGGTACTACCTTTAACAGATCTCGTTTGCTGCGTATGAGCATAGAATGTGTCGCTTTGCGATCACCTCTAGAAAGAAGTTCGCAGCGGTAGTCCTCAATAGAACCATGAACTGCAGGCAAGATTCGTCAGATGATCTCAAGAGTGTCTGTGAGATCCACCGTGACATTGAGCGCACTTGCAATGCATTTCAACATATCCATGACTTGCCATTCACTTTCATGGAGGCTTTGGTAGCTGTTTGGCTCTTGGCACGGCTACTGGGTCTTGCCAGTATTGCGTCCGTTGTGGTTAACGTGGGTATGTTCTCAATCGTCTTATCCAGTCTCTCCAACATTGTGGAACTGACGCAGATCCGCAGCCTGTTTGATTGCTGGGAGTACACTAGCAATTGTATCGGACCGTGCTCGAGACAGATGGCTCAAAGCTACGGAGCTACGTCTGGACATGACATCGAAAATTCTGACCGTCATGAAAGCTATCAAAATAACTGGTCTAGGGAAGCACATGCTGGCTGATCTGCGAGAAGCAAGATTGGATGAAAGCAAAGCCTCCTTTCCATTTCGCGTCTACACGGTCCTCCTTCTTACATGCTGTCAGTCCCCCTGGTATGCGATACTGCTATCCTTCGTTTCTGAGATGTAATTCTAGCCTATGTGTCAACAGCACTCACCCCGGTCCTTGGACTTGGTTTTTATGTCATCCTCGCCAGAGTTCACGACTCAGGCACCCTCACAAGTAGCACCGCTTTCCCGGCATTGACTCTTTACTTCTTCCTGGACCAACGCATTGTCACTTTGATTGATGGATCGAATGAAATCAACGCGGTGACCCAATCATTGCAGCGACTCCAAAGACACACATTGATCTCTGAACATGCCGACAGCCGTGAGATTGTTAACGCGAGCTTTACAACATTCGGCGAGGTCACATCATCATCACATCAACAGATAGATCGAACTTCTTACTGTGCGATCGCTGAGGGTTTGACTGCGGGCTGGTCCCTAGATACCGAGGCGGCTCTGAAGAGTGCAACATTCGGAATAAGGACCGGCGTGTTGACGATGATCGTGGGGCCCCGCTGTTGCGGAAAGTCGACAATGCTGAAGGCTTTGCTTGGCGAGGTGCCAATTATCTCGGGAAGGATTCTGACTATCTTCAAAAATGCTGCGTTCTGCAGTCAAGTCCCGTGGCTTGGTCATGGCACAATTCGTCAAACTATCGTAGTTGGCTCAGCCTGGGACAGCGACTGGTACAGCACCATCGTTCGAGCATGTTGTCTGCAGGCAGATTTTGACCAACTCCCACTAGGTGATCAGACATTACTTGGTTTGAGCACGAAATATTTGAGTGAAAGCCAACAGAAGCGAGTGGTGAGTGACCCTTAAAAATTTCAGGGTGTTGAATGAATGCGTGCTGATGCAATCAATACTCGCAGGCATTGGCGCGAGCACTTTATGCACGGGAGTCTGTTCACGTTTTCGATGATCCACTCCAGGGCCTTGATGAAACAATTGAAAGAGAGATCCTCGATCAAGTATTCTCAACGAGTGGGCTTCTCAAAAGAGCCGGCCAGACTGTCATTATGGCAACCAATTCAGGTTTGAGCACATACACCCCGATCAAGTCGACTCATCTTGCTAACAATCTCAAAGCTCACCATCTTCTTTACGCTGACAGTGTAATCTATTTGAATGAAAATGGACAAACTATTCAGCAGGACTCGTACGAAGCTCCAGCAATCAGACATTGCCAAAACAGTCCTGGCATGAAACCCAAAGACCATCAAGCCACGAATGGTGTGACTAGCGCATCACTTCAGAGACCTACAGTATCTCCGGACGTTCAATGGGAAAGAGGACACAAGCCTGAGACAGGTGACCTTGAGGCGTGCCTTCTTTACATAAGAAGTGTGGGAATGCCAGTTTTGCTTTTGCTGCTTGTGTGCACAATCTCTTTCGTGCTTTCGTTCATTCTTCAACGTGGGTACTCGGTTACCTAGTTGTCTTATTAGTGCGATGCTAACTTTCTCTGAAGAGGTCTGGCTCAATTGGTGGACTTTATCAAACAAAGCTCGACCGAATCAAGATATTGGATTTTGGCTCGGGATTTACGGGGCGCTGGGCTGCTTCGCCCTATTTCTGACCTTTTTGGTGCACTGGTATGTCAAGACAAATCTTGCAGTCGCTCAGTCTCTAACACATTGCAGGCTTTTCAGCGTCATCCTCGCTCCCAGAACAGCTCATAGGTTTTGTGAGAATCTTCTAGAGGCATTGCTAAGGTATGCACATTGCAGGCTCAACTCCCGTGAGATATCAAGTTCTAAACAGGACGATCACAGCACGACTCCTGGACTTACATGTCCTCTCGAAAGAGAAAATGCCATGAACAGGTGGGACTCTCTTCACACTCACAAGTGAAGCAGCAGGCTAACTTCTTTTCTTTGCCCTTATGACCTCACAGGCTGAATCAGGACTTGGGACTGATCGATGGCGCGCTTCCCGAAACTTTCGAGCTCACCCTCTATACAATATTGAGTGTACTGGGAGAGTCAATTTTGATTTTCATCGGCTCCTCTTTCATACTCGCAACGGTGGTACCAGTGGTCCTGCTATACGTCTTTTACATTGGCAAATGTTATGTCAGGACGGCGCGTCAGCTCAGGATCCTTGACAACCAGGCAAAGGCGGATCTTCTCTCACACCACGAAGATCTAGTGAGCGGTAATATGATCATTCGCGCCTATGGGTGGCTCAAACATTATCAATGTCAGAGTACTCTTGCTCTGAATGCATCCCAGCGTGTTCTCTACACACTCGGCTGCACACAGCGTTGGTTGAGTGTCACCCTTGACTTGACTGTTGCAGGCATTGCAACTCTTATTGTTGCCGTCGCACTTCTAAGTACAGATGGTCAAGGTTCAAGAATGCTAGGTGTTTCGTTATTCAATCTGGTCGGCTTCAGCGGTACTCTTCACGTCTTCATCAAACAGTGGAACACTCTTGATGCCAATATTGGAGCTGTGTCCCGAATCTGGACTTACGTGCGCGATACAAAGGCCGACAACTTAGGTGTGGACGCGCAGACTATCTCACCACTCTGGCCAAGCAGAGGTGTTATACATATCAGCAGCGTTACAGCTTCATGGGTGTGAGTCTTCATTTGCACTAGATGCCCGGGACCTCGCAGGCTCTAATCTTCTTAGTCATTCGATAAATCCCGTCCTCCACGATATAAGTCTCACGATCTGCGCTGGTGAAAAGGTGGCTCTATGCGGTGAAGCGGGCAGGTGTGTTGCAAATTAAATGAGCATTTTTGGCCAGTATTGAGACCCCTTCTAGCGGTAAATCGTCGCTCCTTTCGGCGATACTACAAGTCCTGGATCTCAACCAAGGCTTCATTGAGATTGACGGTATAGACAGCTCCAGACTCTCTCGCGAAGTATTGAGGTCTCGGCTTAATACAATCCCTTGCGACACTGTCTGGCTTCGTGGGACCTGGCGTCGAAATACGAATCCTGAAGGCAATGCCTCAGACGAGACAATCGTTGCTGCGCTGAATGCCGTGGGACTCTGGTCAATCATCACGTCTCAAGGCGGCCTGGACGCCTGTGTAGAGGAAAATATCTTCTCGGTCGGTCAGCAGCGCTTATTCCGTGTAGCACGGGCTTTGTGTCGTCCAAGTAACATCATTCTCATCGACGAGTCGCCAAGCAGGTAAGATAGGGAACTCGTGGATCCGGCCCCAATCCTGAACCTAGATAACTTGAACACCTACTAACAAACCTTCAGCACGGACGTCGAAACCGACGCCATCGTTCTGGACACTATTCGCACCTATTTCGAAGGACGAACCGTGCTCGCGGTCGCGTACAACGTCGACAATATTCTGGACTTTGATAAGATTGCTTTCATGGCTCACGGACGCATCATAGAGTTCGATACTCCAAAGGCACTCTTGTCGAGAGAGGGTGGCGCTTTCAGAAGCATGTTCGAGACGATCCGCCGTCGGCCGTTGTGAAGTAAATCGAGACAACGTCAGCGAGGATGATCCTTTCAAGAATGGAAATGACGGGAGTCGCCTTGCGACAGAAAAAGTTTTGTATTGTCGTGCTTTTTTGTCTTTCTTAGCGTGTTTAGTGAATATGTTGTGTCTTTACCGCAAATCGCCGTGCAGTGTTTGAAAGTTAACAGGTCGACTACACTCATACACTGACTCGAAAGCCCGCGTAACCTGGCGCTTCGAGGTTAATTCGTATTCACACCTAGCGATTAATTCCCTCAAAGCACTACCTGATCAGGGTCATTGATTTCATTTGCTCGGCAAGCGAGTCAATCAACGATGTAAAACTGTGAATTGCTAATATTGTCCCTCTCGGCGAGAATGCTCAGAGAAATCTCTTCAGGGTTGTTCAAAACAGATTCACATGCTTAGATTACCCTTTATCTGCATTACTGGACAGACCCGATAGAGATTGTTCGTTCTACTCAGGTCAATTATACCTGATTGGAAGAAGAGATCATCAAAAGAATGGTCATGATTCAGATCTTCATAAAGAGGCCAAATTATGTGCAATATGCAATGCCCAAAAGAAGCGGCTTCCCAAGGCTCAGACGCTTGAATGCTCAAACGCTCAGGACTAAGCCCTTGCGTGTTGGCAGCAGAAAAAATCCCCCTAAGGGATCGACAACGACGAAGAACAAAAGATAGAAATCCTCCCTGTATTTCAGCATCTACTGCACCTTGGGCAAGTCGGCCGAAAGAGGCAGCTTGCGCGAAGAGTTGCCAACGTACACCTTCTTCTGGGCGTCGGAAATGACCCAGTTCTGAGATGGAACGTCCCAGTTGGACAGGTCACGGCGAGTCAGGGTTGCGGTCCAAAGGAGCTTCTGGCCAGGGGCAATGCTGACTCGGTCGAAGGCACGCAGAACCTTGACGGGGTCGTCGGCGCCGCCGAGAGAGACGTACTGCAGAAGTTAAGGTTAGCACGAAGATTCGTCGCCATGCTTTTTGGGGAAGAGAGTGGGAAAGCGGCCTGGGTCGGTAAAATACTTACAAGCTGGGGGACCTCATCACCGGCGACGGAGCCGGTGTTAGTGATTGTGGCGGTCACCTCAATGAGGTCCTCGAACAAGCCAGGGTTGCCGCCTGAAGGACCGCTGGCGGGGAGAAGCTCTTGTGGGCAGCTGTCGGTGGCATGAGGAGGGATGTAATCCGTGGCGTTCATACCATAGTCGGGGTCATTGGCAGATGCCTTCAGATCGGTTGAGTTAAGGTAAGGGTAGAGATACTGGCGGACACGCTTGATGTCGTTGGGGAAAACGTATTCAGAAGCATTGCCGGGCCTGCCCAGCGAGGGAGCGGGCTTGGTCTGGCCTGTTGTAGCAGTGTAATTGCCAGCGTTCAGAGTCTTGACCTGAATGTCGGAGAACTCGAACTTGGTGTAACTCAGACCGAAGCCGAACTCGAAGATTGGCTCCGTGCCATCCTTGTCGAATCGGCGGTAATCAATCAGACCATCGGTGAAGTCATCCTGCGGAGCACCGTGACCGTTGTTGGGCTCAGTCAGGATAGGAGGTCCCCACTCCTTGCGCTCCTTGCCCCAGGTGAAGGGGGTCTTGCCACCAGGGTTGACACGGCCGTAGAGAACGTCGACCAAGCTGCGACCACTCTCCTGGCCAGGCATACCAGCCCAAAGAATGGCAGTGATGTTCTCGTTGTCGTACCATGAGTCGACCAGGACTGCGTTGGGGGTGTGCATGATCACAATGGTGTTGTTGCAGTTGGCGGAGGCGGTCTTGATCAGCTCCTCGCCATTCTTCCACAAAGTCATGTTCTTGCGGTCACCCTCGTTGCCGTCGACGCTGATGTAGCCCTCACCAGAGTCGGCGTTCACAAACACCAAGGCAACACTGGCGGTGGAGGCAACAGCAGCCATCTGAGAGAGGGCGCCGTTGTCTGTAACCGCGAAAACGTTGGCATCGCCGTTGCCGTAGTTAAGGACTTCGTTCTGAATAGCCTGCTCGGGAGTGATCAGGTAGGGGAAATTGGCCGTTCCACTGCCCCAGCCCATAGCCAAGGTTCCATTGTCACAGCCTCGGTCACTGCAGCCGTTGGCGCCGTAGGGATTGGATCCAGCATCCTCGCCGAGGATAGCCACCAGTTGTTCCCTGTGAGTCAAAGGAAGACCGCCCTTGTTCTTAAGCAGCACGATACTATCGGAACCAATCCTGCGGATTATATTGGCATGGTCGCGTTGAACATTGACTCGATCGTTCAGCTTGATCTGGTTCTCCTGGACGATGAAGTGCTCATAGCCATACTCATCGCGGGTCCAGGAGCTGAAGTTGGGAGGTGTCCGGTGACGATCTCTGCCGACTTTGTAGTACGCGGCCATGATACGGACGGCCATGTCATCAAGACGCCATTCCGGGATAGTGCTGTTCAGAACAGAGACAGTCAAGTTGGTGCCCCAGAAGGAGTAAGGGCTACCCAGAATCACGTCACCAGGCATGGACATATCGAGGCCGGCCAGAGCATCACCGACACCGCTGTGGTGCGCACCCCAGTCGCTCATAACGAAACCCTGGAAGCCGAGCTCTCCCTTGAGCAGCTTGTTGAGGGTATAGCTGTTGGAGCAACCGTAGCTGTTGTTGATCTGGTTGTACGAACACATGACAGAGCCCACACCAGCTCGCACAGAGTCCACGAATGGCCACAGGTACAGCTCGTGCATGGTCTTGTCGTCGATGTTAGAGCTGATGCTCTGGGAGATGTTGTATCCGTAACCCTGAGCCTCACCAGCTTGGCGGAAGTGCTCCTGCTCGTTGAGGATGAAGTGCTTGGCGCAAGCAATGACACCAGCATCTTGAATACCCTTGATAGTCTCAGCTATCATGACACCAGTCAAGACTGGGTCAGGGGCGAATCCTTCCCAAACACGACCGCCATCGGGGTTCTTGCCCAGGGGACCAGCGACTGGGCCGAGCTGAACATCGACACCCTTGTCGCGATGCTCCTCGCCCATTGCCTGTCCACGCTGGTAGGCGAGTCTTCGGTCCCAGGTGGCCGCCACATTGACACCCGCGGGGAAAGCAGAGTTGTAGTCGGCTACAATTGTGAGTGATCAGTCCTTGTCCATGAGGAATGTTTCATCAAAGGTACTGAATTGGTCTTACCGTCACGAATACCAAGAGGAGAATCTTGCATGCACATTCCCCACATTCCAAGTCTATTGCAATGCTTCCGCGTTAGTATGGCTCCCGCCATGTGCTTCGTCTTTCAAAATTGTAGAGGCCAGAACTGAATCGTACCTGGGCACACCACCTGTCTCACCAACACATCGCTCTTGCTGCCATCTAGACAGATCGTCAGTCAATCATCCCGTGCAGATTGTGATTGCATTGAGCGGGTCCACTCACCCGGCACCAGTAGTGATGTTGACCTTCTCGGCCAGAGTCAACCCAGAAACAAAGTCTACGGCTTTCCTGTAGGCCTCGGCCCAGTCGCCCTCACCGGTTGCCCATGGAGAAGGATAGAATGGGGGAGAGTAAGCTAGTTCCTATGCGTTGAGATACTTTCTGTTAGATCCCATCGATGAACAAAGCTCAAGTTTCGTGCTCATTGAAAGTCAAATCCTCAATAACGAGTCAACGCACCTTTGCGCTGGCAACCGTAGCGGCCGCAAGCACTGTGGCTTCCAACCACTCGAGCTTCATGATTGCAGGTCAATGGCGGGGATTCGAAGGTGAGTTCAGAAACTCTCCACAAGGCTGAATCGGCCGAACCCGTCCACAATCTCTATTTGGGTGAAGGGTGAAGCTGAGATTCAACTTTGAACTGGAGAATCACGGGTAAAGAAAAGTTTGGAGGGGAAGAGGAGAGATTGGATTGTATTTAAAGTGATGAAAGGGGTATCGATCATCAAGTCCGAGTCAGTGGAGGATGATTGGCGTTGCCCGTAATTTCCCTTTTTTGAACTCAGGAACTGAACTCTGACCATCGGACTCCTCACCTCGTCCTTTTCCTTGCGGGGAAGAGAGAGAGAGAGAGACCAGCAGCAGAAGATGTGGGGAACAAACAAGAGAAACGGCAAGGATCGTCAACGCCCCGAATACTGGGCCGGACTGGACGAGGATTCGGAGAATCAACAGATCGAGGTGGCTGGGCGCCTCAGTCTCAGAACAATTTGCGTGGTAGTGCCGATGAACTACTCTGCTGGAGCTTCGTGCTGGAGCTGTGTCGGATTCGATTCTTGTAAATTCGGGAGTAGAAGTGGGTGAGCTGCTGCTGCTACCGTCGTAGTATGGCAGGCACATGATGTCCTGCATCAGCTAACATGCCTTATACTACGCTACCTGGCAGGCTACTTCATGCACAGTGACACCATTCCTGCATCCTGTTCTCCTGCAGAGAGTACGACTGCCAGTCCGGTTGACAGACCTGACTATGGACCTTAAGAGAGCAACCATCCGAGTCGGTTTCAAGAGGTAGCCCTCTTCCCCCATCTCACTTGTTGACATTGATCCATGTTGACACTGGATGCCGAGGCCCCTCTCTTCCATCTCTCCTTTCACACCGCAAATCAAAGTACAATCTTGGTCCTGGTCCTCCCCGAGGCCGCCGAGATGGGCAGGACCTTCCTCTGTTGAGGCGAGCGAGAGGCCGAGTGTCCACTGCCGAAAGCTGAGATTCCAGAATCATTCTACCGATTCGACAGAAGCAGCGTGGGGAAACCCCATCGCGGCACAATCATCCTGCAGTGCTAGGCCAGATCGATTGGGGTAAACTTCGGCAGTACGCCTCTCGACCGCGACTTGCCGTGATTGTTCTTCGCTTTCGTTCTTCAATCCCGTTAATTCCCCGGCCGGCTGCCTAAAGAACCAGGATTGACTGCGACACCGTTGCATAGTTTGCACACCGTTGGATCAGATGACAGGTCTGACCGACTGCACGTCAGGTCGATAATAATGAGGGGACTAAACTCCACATCATTATCAGTGAATGCGATCCCCCACACTGCTACTCGCAAAAACTCTCTCGCTTGGGCCTCCCAGTGAATTGGTCGAGCTGCGAGACATACTACTGTACTGCCAACCTTCACGACGCCCCTTGTTACAGGACAATTCACGTGAACCTGGCGATCGCGCCGAAAGATGTTGCGAGCAGTCATAATCTACAGTGCAAGCAAGTCGAGACTCATGCGAAGGACCTAGGAACAACACTGGACAGTGGACAGTGGACACAGTAAACACTCAACGAGTCAACAGACTCAACACAGTCACACAACTTGGTACTTACAACACTAGCCATGGTCAAAGCTCGTCCACAAGCCACGACAACCCCACACACTATGTCCGATGGAGAAACTCCTCGAAGACTGCCGTTGTTTCTTCGAATCTGCTGTACACCTATAGGCTTGCATTCCGGTGCTTCCGTTAAGCTTCCAGGACACCGACTCACTTGCCATCTAGGCACAGTCACCTTCCCGGTGTGGTACCTGGCGAATCCCCTGCCGCGTCTGAACTCTGGCTCGTGGTCCGTGGGGCAGCAAAGAAGACGGGGGAAGTTGGTAGATGAGACCTTCAGACCGTGGAAGCTACCCGATGGACCCAGTTTCTGCGCCAAGGATTGTCTGATTTGTTGACACGCACCCACATGGCTTAGGCTTAGTATGGGCTTTGCGCAATGCAGCGGAGAGACAGTCAGTCCAGTGCCACCGCTGAGAAGTCGTCATAGGCCATTGACGACTGGAACAACTCCAGCAGAGCTGCCAAGATGGTGATTTTCGGCATGCGTTTTGTCAGCAAAACACTATCGTGGCCGACTCCACAGTTAATATAGAGACTCGGCCCGGCTGGATCTCACACCGTGACCACCGGGAAGTATCTACTCCCTTGGCGTGGCTATGGGAATACTCTTGTTGTTGTGGGTGTCAATGTTCGCCAACAAAATTGTTATGATATGAGACATCCGATCGGCGGATGGTCAGGTCCGCCTGATTTATCAGCATGAAATCAAATGGGCCATGCTACATTCACACAACTCATCATCTACTGTAGCTATGAGCCGGTCTTCTTTCGACTAACGACGAGCAGCATGATGTAATGGGCTGTGCTCTGGCGCCTCTCCAGAATGGCGCCTCTTCGCTTCAGCGCCGGCTGCCGTGGAGACGCTCAGTCGGGGAATCTCCCCCAGAGTGCGGGGCTCCAGGCTTTGGAAAAACTTTACAGAAGCCGATTACAGCAGGGATCTCCCAGGGAATTTTCTCGGGACAAGACATGCGGCCTGGTGGACACGGCATGCTGCCACTGCACCCTTGAGAAGCCAAGGTCATCATCCATCGGGCATGACCTGTTTTCCCTGTCTGTCTCGGCTGTCCTCTGTTTACATGCAGTATATACCTCGGGCCCTCGCTAGTGCAGACTTTTACCCCGTCCCAGGCTTAGCTTGCGAGCGATCCGAATAGTAGCTCATATGGAGGCGCTCCCCTTTGCCCAATTTGGGATAGAGCATGACGCTATGAAATCTTCATGCTATCTCGAAAATAGAGAAAGCATCAGACCAGTTTCAATCTACTGAAATCTCACCGGTCGACTACTCGAGGATGTAGTATGGAAGCAGTATCGACTTGGGGGTCTAGACATGCCATGGCAGAATGGTGAGCTGCACATCCTGCAGGAACAGATCGATCGCTACTTTTTACCCCATCAATGAACCCAAAAGTGTGCTCCCTCACTTTCTCTAGAGTTCTAAACACTGTTTGTTAGTGGAGAACCCAGAGAAGTAAATAATCCCGCCCTGGGGTCTCCACCGCTGCAGCTCGCGTACCAGCTGATCTTGGGAAGACACCGCGCAATCGCATGCCCTCTTCTAGGCGTTTCCATATCGGCAAGACCACTGCCATCTTCTTCTCGGCTTTGACTCTTGGTTCCTTGATCATCGGATGCAAGCCGGCTTCACAGAGCAACCGACTGCACGCCGTGGGTCGGCATCGGGGCTCCACATGGGGATTACTTCCGTGTCCGAAAGGGCTGGAATGATGTCGCTGCGCGGGGACGGTAGATGAGCCATAACAGCTTTTGCCCTGAAGCCCATTTAACCGAGGATGTGACAAACATGCTATACGAATTCAGCAGGTATAGTTCAGCTGGAGAGGAGAGGAACCAAGGAATAGACGCGCTACTAACGTGAGTATCCGGGGCAAATCTCCGGGCTTACGCGAGCGGGAAGCTGCCCCCGGCCTCGCGCTGCAGCGGCAGGCTGAGTTTTCCGTAGGCGGGGATAACCATAACAGTGACCTTTTTTTTCCCTTAGCATTGTTCCTGGTCAAACCTCTCCCTGTGGTTTCTCTGTCCTTGTCATGCAATCTATTTCACACTCTATCCAAATTTGACAGACATTGTCGCTGTCGGAGACTCCAGGTCATACTGCTACCCAGAGTGACATGAAATCTCAAATTTTTGGCACTGGAGATAATCCTACCTCTGAGAGTTACGAATGTCTGAAGAACAAGTTCAGAAGATAGAGCTCTGAATGGGCAGACTCTGAAAACCAATGATGACTTGCGCGCCGCCAGGGTATCACGGTTATTCACATACTTCTAAGGATGCTTCTCATTTCTCACAGGGCATGTGCACTGTTGCTATCAATGTCAACCTCAAGTTCTCAACCGAGGTTCGACGCCGATTTCAGGCATGCAAATGTTCAAGTCCATTGTCCTTCCCTACACACGGTCGATACACTCTCCAAAAATCAGTCTAACTTTAGGTCTTCATCACTTCCTTCCAAAACACCTACTCACGTTACAAATGATGAAACCATCTCCTCCATGTCCAAAGTCTCTTATCAATGCTTGCATCGGATCAGATAAGAAGCCGTACTATTGTAGTGACGATCACGTGTCCCGGCACAGCATCCCTGCCAAAATGTCACACCGAGTCATTTATTGATCCAGAAGACTCATCCAAAAAGTCATTCGGAATGGATCAAGGATGATGACAAAGAGGAGGCAAAGGGATGCATACTTGTCGATTCAACTTCTAGATTCCTGAACATCCAACCATATCCTGAATCGAATCTTCGACAATGGCAGATCTGGAGGCCAACAAGGAGACAGTGAATTTACACAATCGCAATCGTCCAGACGTGAACCCCAGCGAACAGGATGGTCCAGTCTCGGACCCAGATCGCTGCATCGATACCAGTGGCTCCATAGAAGAGAATAAGCATTTATCCATCTTCCACCAGCTCGGTCTTCTAGATCGCTTTTTGGCAGTATGGATTTTTCTCGCGATGCTGATCGGCATTCTACTGGGCAACTTTGTTCCTAGCACGGGGCCGGCATTACAGAAGGGAAATTTTGTAGGAGTATCGGTGCCTATTGGTATAGTCTCCTATAATTTTTTTTTTTTTCAAGTTTCAGATTTTGAAGAGGCGGCTGGTTTTGTAAAGCTGTCAGTGGCAAGATGCAGAAGATGCTAACACTTCGGTTGTAGCCGTCGGCCTTTTAGTCATGACGTACCCCATTCTATGCAAAGTGCGCTATGAGTCGCTGCATCGCACGCTTCGCCAAAAGGCGCTTTGGGTCCAAATTGAGTTCAGTTTGATCGTCAATTGGATCATCGCCCCTCTCTTCATGGTATGTTAAATTCTCATCGGTAATGAATATTCTCTGTGAGCTCCAATTCGGTAAGCTGACACTCTTACTCAATAGTTGGCCCTCGCGTGGGCGTTTCTGCCCGATGAGAAAGGTCTGAGAGAGGGATTAATCCTGGTTGGAATTGCGAGATGTATTGCGATGGTGCGTCTTGATTTAAATCTTGAAGATCGTCGGATGACTCTGAGACTGACCTTCCATTGTTAAAGGTGCTCATTTGGACCGGTCTCGCGGGTGGTGACACTGAATATTGCGCTATTCTTGTGGCCATCAACTCGGTTCTGCAGATGGTTCTGTTTGCGCCTTTGGCCATCTTTTTCATTCGGGTAATGAGTGGCGACCAAATTCACTTGCAATACTCCCTGGCGGCGAGAAGCGTGGGCGTGTTCCTCGGCATTCCCCTTGGTGCTGCAATTGTGACGCGGTTCGGACTGCGCAGCCTCGTCGGAGAGCAATGGTACGAGAGAAAATTTCTCAATTGGATCAGCCCCCTATCGCTCATCGGGCTGCTCTTCACAATCGTTGTTCTGTTCGCCTCTCAGGGCCGGCATGTGGTACATCAGATCGTGTCAGTTGTCAGGGTGGCTGCGCCTTTGGTCGTATACTTTGCTGTCATCTTTCTGGCCACTCTGCTTGTAACGAGGCGTTGTGGCTTTGGATATGAGTTGTCGTGCACCCAAAGCTTCACAGCTGCGAGCAATAACTTCGAGTTGGCCATCGCGGTGGCAATTGCCACCTTCGGGGTTGACAGCGACCAAGCATTGGCAGCGACTGTCGGTCCTCTTGTTGAGGTCCCGGTCTTGTTGGGGTTGGTATATGTCGTCAGGTGAGCGCAACAGATGGTAGCTCGGGCTCTTTGACCACGATTGTACATAGTAATCCTTCAATCTGTTTCTCCTGTCCAGACTATGATCATATGCCGTTGCTGATTTCGTCCAAAACCTGAAAGAGCACTTGATTTTCTACACGGCAGCCATCTCCTGTTGCTCCGGCTTTGAAGCCAGCCCAGAGCATCTTGCGAATCTCGTCAATGTCAATACCAACTGTATTGTACTGGTTGATGAGCTCCTCGGCCATACCGCACAGAGTCGTATTGAGCAAGTCACCCTCGCCCGCGGGCAAATCATCTCCGGGGCCGCATTGGCAGAAAGATGGATTGTTTTCCTTCCGCTGCTGCTCTGCTGGATGTGACAGGCCCTCGGGCTGCTTTTGCAGAAGCAGAGGTCGCAATTGCGTCTCTTGCTGTGACTGCTGCTCTTGTTGCGAAGGCGGCTCTAGTTGTGATTCGGCTGCTTGCGGGTATGGATATGGCTGCTGCTGCTGCTGCTGTTGTTGTTGTTGTTGTTGTTGTTGTTGTTGTTGTTGTTGTTGTTGTTGTTGTTGTTGTTGTTGTTGTTGTTGTTGTTGTTGTTGTTGTTGTTGTTGTTGTTGTTGTTGTTGTTGTTGTTGTTGTTGTTGTTGTTGTTGTTGTTGTTGTTGTTTTTGCGGTTGCAGATGGTGTGTCTGTTGTAAAACTACTGGGCCCTGGAACGGCTCTTGCGAGCGCAGAGTTTTTTGATAATCGGATCTCGTAGGCTCGCAACTGCTGGAAGCGCAGCTAATAGGAGCGCAGCTAGCAGGAGCGCAGCTTGAGGGCGCGCAGCTTGAAGGCGCGCAAGCAGTAGAGACGGGAGTCATGCAACCGGATTTTGGCTGGTCATCAGGTACAGCCGTATATATCGTGGTAGAATAAGAGCTGTGCCTTGGGGTACTTGATGCACTAGAGACATTCGACACACTGGTGCGCTTGGAATCAATTCGTCGATCGGTCTCTGACAACCCCGACGGTGAAGGAGCTCTCGGTTCTGTCGGTCTCTGCATCGCGGGAATGGCAACTTTCTGATTGAAAGCCATACCTCGATGCGCAAGCTGAAGGTATTGCTGAATCGATTCAGCTGAGATTCCGAGGGATCCGAGCAGCGCCTTCAGTTGGCGGTTTTCTGCCTCCAATTTCTGGGTAGCCAGGCGATGCTGGATGTCCTTCTGTTGCGCATCATTCTTGTACGATAACAGGCGCTGTTCCAACTCTCGCACGTATTCCTGCTTTCGTGCCCGACTTTTACGTTGATTTTCGCGGATTCGCGCTAGGCGGTCGACATTCTTCAGCAATAATTAGACTCTAAGCCTTGAGCATCGCCTAGGCGAATGAATGACCATGAGTAGGCGACGCACCTTCTGGCTGCTTTCAACGTCCATGGCGGCTCGTTCTGCAGGTATGAGCCTGGACTGTCAGATTCGAGCTTTTGGAATTCAGTGATGTCGAGTCATAGCGTTTTCAGTACTGAGATCTTCTTCTTCAACGATCGGAACTGGGAAGCCTGTTCCAACTTCCAGGTGGCTGAAAAATCATGTGACCACGGCCTCCACGCCTGAAATTTTTGGTGTCTAGACCTTCACGTGCAAGGGAGCTAACTTCATTCAGGCCTAGCTCGTCCAGACAATTATGAGGGTCTCTATGACAAGACAACAGTCCTCTTGCTTCCATGCATTTTAAAGCCGGCCCAACAAGTACAAAGCTGTAGAGAGAACAGCGTGCAAGGGGCCTTGGGCTTGTCGGCGGCCTCATCGTTCCCGGTGGGTTCATCCCGTCCTCGCCGGAATGCTGGCTATAGATATTCTCTTCAAAAAAAAACATTGTTCTAGTTGGGGCTAGGTCAGATCTACTCCCGCCACGGAAGGCGATGATTCTACTCGCTTAGTACGTACTACGAGTACGTAGATGTACCATGTGAAAGACCGAGAGACGGTGCAAGAACCATGGCGAGTCTCGGAAAAAGATTGTATGAAGTAGACCTGGCATGTATATTAACCTTATCTATGTAGGAGCTCTGCGAATTTCCCGACAGAATGTTCTCGGGTGCTGTAATGCAGCAACGATGGAAAGGCGGGAGATCAACTTCAAGCTTACAATCTTAGTAACATTACTACAAAGCGGTAACATCGTCAGATGAAGCTAATGTAGGTGAGAAGAACTTTAAACCCAGTCTTAACGGGGAGGTGAGTTCATGCAGTAATAAGGTGGATGTCCAACCAATCAAGATGATGCATCGCTCTACAACTTTCTCGATCTGAGATTTGAAGTTCCCCGCATATTAGCAAGCACCAACGTCATAGGTAAGTTGCCTGTTGCACTGGCTTCATACTTCTCCAACCATAAGAAGCTGTTATCACGAGTTAAGACAACATAGCCTTTCTTTTAGGCTAGGCAAGTTGTTTTGTTCCATTTCTCACAAAGTGTGTGCCTCAACTAGGTCGCGCAGTTTCTTACACCCACCTTTAGAAGAGTAACCTACTTGAGACTTCCCGCAACAGCACCGTGGGCATTTTGCGATCTGTCATCTCCGGCCGCTCTTCACCGACTACGATCGCGTGTCTCTACTTCAGACTCTACGACTCAGATAATTTCAGTCCTGTCAGGAGCCCACTTAGCCATCATGGTCTCAACCCGACAGCATCCCAGCGAATTTCCTTCTCCGGAGGACGCTGCCAAACAATTTGCCAAGTCGTCGCCGGCGCCAACCACCGACGGAACGGCGCGAAAATGGGTCCATACACCATCGGTCGCGCTGACCATCTGGCTTGTCATATCAGTTCCTCTGGTGATCTGGGATACTGGCTATATTCTGTTGCGACCGCATAGCATGCCGGGAGGAAGCCTGCACTCACCCTTCTGGAAGCCATACGCGCTCTATGGATCAGTGGACTACGTTTATGGCTGGCCTGCATGGAACGCGCGAAATGGCTTTACGGCTGCACAAGGCATGATGAATGTGATAGAGACCTTGGGCTATCTCTACTATCTTTCGGTTGTCTACCGTCATGGTGCAACGGTCGCGGCCAGCCGAGGAAACAAGAAAACCACCAAGGGTCTACTCTGGCTCTTGACTGGAGAGAAGGTCGTCGCTGGAAGGACTGGTGCCGTGGCACTTCTCGTTGCTTTCATGGCATCGGTCATGACTTTGAGCAAGACCATGCTTTACTGTGGGCTTATAACACTTGACCTCGGAGGAATGTGATGCTGACTTTGGTATAGTGCTCAATGAGTATTTCTCAGACTTTGCCAATATCGGACACAACACGGCATGGGACACCATTTTCTTGTGGATCATTCCAAAGTATGACTATCGCTGGTTCCAATCTATGACAACTGCTATCCTCTTCGGGACTCCCTTTTCTGACCAGGTTCTATATTCTAGTGGTCTTTGGATTGTTTTCCCAGCCTACAGCGTCGTTGTTCTTGGCGAAGAGATACTGAGTGCCCTTGAACAGGCTCCACCACAATGGCCAGGGCGAACCAAGTCTTCCTAAAGACAACTCTTGTCCGTTCTTATTGGACGTGGATGTCAACAGCTGGAAAGCCTTTACTATTCTTATGTCTTGGGTACGAGTGACATTGACTCGATCTCTCGATTGCTGATTCCTTGGGCTTTTTACTGACTCGAGGAATCTGAAAGTCCTGGTGCAAAGCTTCACAAGGTATGCAGTTCACTTGATACTTTGCCTGAAGGGGTAAATCCACCTAGTGACCTCGAAGCTTATACTACTGTTAGTTGTAAGGCCTAAATATTGTATGAATACATGGCAGCAGGCAACGTCTGGTCGTTTCCCCACTGTAATCGGTGGCCTGGAAGATTCCATCCTGCCTAGAATGAAATTTAATCCTGCATGTTTTCTCACTTGAAGCAATAGCTACTTAAAATATGTTATCAGTAAAGCCCATGTTTCTTGGAGTTGACTGGAATGGAGAGGTTCGTAGTGCGAGAGTGACGTGCGACCGGCAGATAGAATGCCAAGCCGCCATCCGCCGTTTCCCCATACTGGACTCGCAACGTTCTCAGTTCTCCTCACTTCTCCTCCGCGCTAGCTTTCAATTGTCCGTGCCAATTTCCTTCTGCGCGCGCAATCACTCACGACCTCACCTTGGGAGCGAGCTGACATTCAAAGCGAGATTGTTAGTACAGCACGCGCTTAGTTTCGCGACGTTGTTTCAAGTAACCGAGTCACGTCGACAGCACCGAATGATGCTCCAGGGCCGGGTCCTGCGGTATCCGCACCCGTCATGATTCCTCCCGAGTCCGCTGACTCGCCGTTGAGAGCCGCGGGTTCAAGGCCTAGCTTAGGCAGAGAGGATTCCATTCTTGGTCCAGACGATTTCGAAACACAAAGCCATGCAAGCTCCCGCGGCCATGGTAGTACACAGTTGCACGACCCCGCCGCGGCGGCTGACCACGATGGACTCGACCCCCACGGCGAGGAGAATACACGAGAAGGAGCAGGCGATGGCCACGACTCGGCGCCTCTCGATAAGGATGGTAGGCCAGCATGGAGCGAAATGAAAACAAAGGCGGGCAAAGAGAGAAAACGATTACCGCTGGCCTGTATAGCCTGTCGTCGGAAAAAGATTCGATGCTCCGGCGAAAAGCCGGCATGCAAGCACTGCACCCGCTCCCGGATACCATGCGTTTATAAAGTGACCACGAGAAAGGCGGCTCCGCGGACAGACTATATGGCGATGCTGGACAAACGGTTGAAACGAATGGAAGACCGCGTGATCAAGACGATCCCAAAGGATGAGACCAGAGACATGCATTCAATTGGGCGGTCGGTTGTCAAGCCTTCTGCGCAAGCCCCAACCTCCAAGGCTCAGAAAAAAAGAAGTGCGGATGAGGCTTTTGCAGTTGAAATCGAGAGCTGGGCGCAAGAAGACCGCCGCCCGTTGCATGAGACGTTCCCAATGAACCGAGAAGCGAAATCCAACGATGGCACCGGGCTTTTGACGGAAGGGGCCGAGTACCTACCTTCTTTGGAGATCCAGGAACATTTGGCAGAGGTCTTCTTCGACTGCGTCTACGGACAATCATATCTTCTGCTTCACAAACCCAGCTTCATGCGTCGTCTGAAGGCCGGCTCGGTCCCTCCTGTCCTCATTCTGGCCGTCTGCGCTGTCTCGGCGCGGTTTTCCACGCATCCGCAGCTGAACTCCGATCCGCCTTTCCTTCGAGGTGAAAACTGGGCCAATCCCGCTGCTGTCATTGCTTTGAGCAGACATGACGAGCCGAACATCACCATTCTCACTGTTTTCCTTCTTCTCGGGCTCCATGAGTTCGGCACGTGCCATGGTGGACGAAGCTGGTCCTTTGGAGGTCAGGCATTGAGGATGGCATATGCACTTCAACTACATCAAGAGCTCGAGAGTGATCCACTTTTGGGTAAAGGCAACGGTGCCGGCTCGCAATTGAGTTTCACGGATCGCGAGATTCGACGGCGTACCATGTGGGCTTGCTATTTGATGGACCGATACAATTCTTCAGGCAGCCAGCGGCCGCCGATCGGCAATGACAGATTTCTGCAGATTCAGCTGCCAATAAAGGAGTCACATTTCCAGATGGAGATTCCAGGGCCGACGGAAGATTTGGATGGGGAGGTGCTGAATCCAGTCCCCGACGATTCTGGGCAAATATCCAACGCCAGAGAGAACATGGGCGTATCAGCCTATATCATCCGAGCCATCGTCATTTGGGGTCGCATCGTTGATTATCTGAACCTTGGCGGGAAAAGAAAAGATCCTCATCCCTTGTGGCATCCGAGTTCGGTATATATGCAATTGAAACGGCAAATCGAGGAGTTTTCGGCTTCACTTCCCGGCGTCCTAGCATTCAACTACGAGAACCTTCAGATTCATGCCGCTGAAAAGATCGCAAATCAATTCATCTTCCTTCACATTATCACTCACCAGAATATGCTGTTCTTGAACCAATTCGCTATCCCTCTGGCTCCCGGCGGCCGTCCGCCCCGCGGCATGCCCAAACCATTCCTGAGCAACGCTGGTCGAGCTGCTGTGGAAGCGGCCCATCACATCTCAGTGCTCTTCGATCGGGCATCTGCCTATCCACTCACTGTGCCTTTTGCTGGGTACTGCGCCTATACGGCCAGCACGGTTCATATCTGGGGAATTTTCTCAAAAAATGCGCAATTAGAGGCTCGATCCAAGGAGAATTTGCGCCATACGTATCGCTATCTCAACAAAATGAAGAAGTACTGGGGCATGTTCCACTACATGGTGGAAAGTGCAAAAGATCGGTATCGGCAATTCGCCGACGCTGCTATTAGAGGATCTGGGTCGGCTCAAGACGGTAGCTCCCTGGCTCCCATGTTTCAGTACGGAGACTGGTTTGACAAATATCCTCACGGCGTGTCGAGAGTCCACTGGGAAGATCCCGGTACACGGCAAAAGGAGTCGGGTGAGGATGCAGTCATGGGTCAGAAGCCCGATCTTCAGAGTGTGGAGGATTTCTTTGCCAGCCTTTCCCCGACACCGCGACCCAGTATTCCTCGTCGCTCTCGTCCACGCAAGAATAGCAGATTCTCCGATGGCACCTCGAACTCAAATATGGAGCAGTCGCCATCCCAATCTCTGGATCTACCCCTGAGCGGTAACACGGCTAACGTACCAGCAAGCACTTTTCCTCAGCCCTCTCTTTTCCCGCCTGATGCCACTATGTCCTTTGGTCAACCACCCTTTGACTTTAGCATTCCGCCAGACCAGCTGCCGCAGTTGGATCGGCAATTCGTTTACGGCTCCTTTGCCGATTTCGATCCAGCCAATTTTGTCACTTCAAGCAACCCGGCGATACCACCTCCACCACCAATGGGTAAATTCGAGACTCAGGCGCCTGATCAACACCTTTTCACGGGGCACCTTGATCCCGGTGCACCCTCGGGGACGGGCGAGTACTATCAGCCCAGTGCATGGTTCTTGCCTTTTAACCTTGATCCTCTGGGTGGTGGTCCACCGCAATCTGTGGGGGACACTGCCGCCGCCCCTGGGCCTGGTAGCGATTTTCCCGGGTTGGGGAGCGTAGACGTTTCAATGGATGGGTTTGGTCTGTGTTTAGGAAGGTCCACAAGATCGGATTCACGACGATGATTCCCGGGGCTGTCGCTTCTAGATATCCTCTCCACTGCGAGTTCCTATTGCCGAAACTGAATGTCTTGTAATGCTGTCATCGCAGGGAATATACCCTACAAAAGAGTTGCCAGGAAGAGCCTCTTTTTATTGTACAAATTATCGACCTTCATTTCTCCAACTTCAAATGCCCAACAGTGGAACTTTTCCGCGCGCTCGAACTTGTGCTGAGGCCCTTCCCCGTAACACTAATAGCGTGGCGTAGCAACATGAGAATCTTCTGGGGCTGGCGGCTACCTACATACCTAACAATTGCTGCGTCAAAAACTGGATAAGCCAAGAAACGAGTCGTCATACCCACCCTTCGTGCCTTATCATCCAACACTGCGGCCTTGTTGATTTTATAGTCTCTCCCCGACTTAGGTCTCTCTGCGTCTTCCGCCTGTTCCTGGGATCTCTCATGCTCCTACTAGGCAAAAAGGTTATTAACACAGGCGCTCTCCTCGTTTGCATTTCGTCTCCGCGAACCCGAAGGACCTTTCATTCTGTATGGTAGGAAGTCTAGGAAGCAAAAAGAATGTTCTTTGCATCATCCGTGAATCGAACACGGGCCTCGTCGATGGCAACGACGAATTCTACCACTAGACCAATGATGCTGGTTCATGTCATATAACCTTTATTTTGACGTTATGACCATTATTTCCAAGTTCGTCGCTCGGCGCTTTTGGCCGGCACACACCCTGGCGGGTCATCGACGCTATGGAGTGACCTCGAGCGCTACCTCGGGGGTCAGTTTGTCATTGACCGAGTCCATGGGCTGAGTATTATTATGTATTTCTTGGTGCATTAAGTGTGTCGAGATTTGACGTGGTTCGAGTCTTTGTGCTACGGGGAAATTCTTGTAGCTTGACGACCTGTCCGACTTGGGCTAGCTTTCGAGGCTGATCGATAGATGTTGCGGATATATACTTTTGACGTTTCTGAATATCATCACGAAGTGGACGGGACCACCAGGCTCCCCGGCAAGCTCTTGGACGCTCGTCGAAAACAAGGACAGGCGAGTACCTAATATGGGGGTGTCTAGCTTCCAATGGCATTATTGACGATGGATGGACATCAGAACCGATAGGATTTTATCAGATGGCAGGCTCCTCAAACCAGCCCGTACTGCTGTGTGCGAAGTTGGAGTAAAACTACTTTGTTTGTCTAATGTCCCTCGGGCTTGCCGCCTGACCTCCCTACCAAGTGACCTGCGAGAACATCTCAAGACATCGCGATCACTTGTGGCGAAGAATTATATAATAGCAACCAGTCTATTCAAGCACGTAAAAACACCAGACGCAAAGAGAAATACAACATCATGACACTAATCCTCCCACTCTTCATCGAGTTGGTCTATAAGTCGATTCTCGGCATCAACGTCACGACGACTACCAGAGCCAGCAGACCCTCGCCCACCAAATGCGCCCATGATTCCGCTGCGGCCGTCACCGCTGGCACGGGAGTAGTCGCCGCTGGAGGAAGATCGGTTGAGTCGCAGACATCTGCCAAGGGAGGAGAAGAGGATGACAAACATGTCCTAACATGCCACACATTAGCGTGACCGTTACGATTCACGAAGCTGAGTGGTTGTGTACGAGCGAAGCCCACGGCGCCAACAAGAAGGACGGGAACATCGAAGTGGCGGGGGACAAACATGCAGTCAACAATGGCCGTGAAAAGAAGAGGGCAAATACATGACACCAAGAGACAGTAGGAGAGCTCGCAAGCTCATCGCAATACAGAACTTTAGTACAGGAACGGAGAGGCCGCCGGCGAGTCAATCGCACCGTGGCCTACTCCCACCGGACCTCGCTCCGACGTGGTTGAATACAGATGAGAAAGGCGACAGGAATGGACATGAAAGACAATGGGAAGACAATATAGAAATGAAGCTCGACAAGTGCAGATGCGAAGTGTACTTCAGACCAGCTGAAGCCACCCTAATCCAATCGCGATGTAGGCAATCCAGATGCGCTCGAGTCTCCGTATACGTGCGAAGTCGCACCGCCATTTCGACACCCCCGACGAGACCGGCATGGTACCAAAGCCAGGAGACATACCTTGATAAAATCAACCATCCCCGCCCAAAGGCTGAAGTTCGGACACTGACGCCACCCGCGCTGGTGCATGACAGTCCGCTGGTATGCACAGCCACCGATCATATATGCCGCCACGGCAATGAGCACACTGGGGACAAAATTATCAGTCAATACACAGAGGAGTCCCTTCTCCCCGCCGACCCACTCGGTGACTGGAAGGACAAGGTTTTGATGGTCACTTACATGACACCGAAAACACCGCCCGGTCCAAGCCCGCCAGCGCTCGGGTCCGCAGCAACTCCACCACAGGCGGCCGAGCTGCGAACCTCGAAGAAGTATGTGCAAGAGTCCATAGTGCCCACAAAGGACGGCGTGGCCTGATTCGCGGGCGCATCGCGATCACAGAGGAAGGACATAATGGTAGACTTGGTGCGCATCGATGCATTCTTGCCGGCCGATTTCACGTCATCGGAACAAGGGGAGCCATTGGTGTAATTGAGGACAAGTTTGCGACCGCGGAAGAAGGGCTCAGATGCTTGTTCACTGTCAAAAATACCACAATAGGAGATCAGTGATCCAATTGCGCGCGAAGGAAAGCGCAAGCCGCGACACGGAGAGGGAAAGGTGTAAGTGATCACCATAGCACCATGGCTTACCCTATTGAATAGATCTTGCCGGCTTGCTCATAGAACGCGCTAACATTCTTCCATCGCGCCGAGTCGACTCCGACGACGTCCTTGACCCTCTCCACGACAGGCGCACAGATATTGATGGTGAAATTCGCGGGGTAGTCGTGCCCGCGGGCGTGCCAGCTTTCCTCCCGCGCATCCTTGACGGTCTTCTGGCCGTTTTTGGATTCCGGGGGTGTAAGAGAGATGGCATTGAGGTCGAAGAAGAGACCGCTCGTTGGCGACCGAGCCACACATGGTTTGGTCTCGCTGTGATGGGCGCTTTTGTCCGAGGCAGCCGCCGCGAAAGCTGATGCGGCAGATCCGGCGAGGAGAAGGAGTGAGCCGGTAGCGGAAATGAACCACTTCATCACGAAAGGAGGGTTATGAAAGTCCAGTGAATTGAAGAATTGCAAATCTGGAAGAGAGAAGAAGGAGTGACTGAGATGCTGTTTTGTGAAAGACGAGGTGGGTTGGGGGATCGATGACGTGAATTCGTCCAAGAGGCCAGCTCTCCTCGGGATAATGTCAGTAGGAGGTTTGGTAAAGCCGACGGCGGACCGGTTCGACGTGGGCACTGCTGCACAGACACGTTTCTCCACGTCAGTCACGACCTCGTTCGGTGAAGCAGACAGCCTTACGGGAGGGGCCGCACACCCACCAGCTGGCGCCGCAGCTCCGAGACGGGGCATCCGAGATGGTTAAAGGTGGAGCCCCCAGTGGGCTGCCAGGTCACCCAGCCTCCAGGTGCAATTGACACGGACCTCCACCCGAGGACGATTGACTACTTCAAGAATGTAATAGTGTGATGCCAATAGTAGGCTACTCGATGGTGATATGGCGTCTTCTGGTAACTGGATACAGTGCACAGTGCATACTTATCTCTGGTCTCTCAGAGCTTCCGTCGCAATCGCGGCGCCAAACCTGCAAGCCAACACGATCAATGTCCGGTAGTAAATAATCTGATGCATGCTTTTGCTCGACGACTACAAGATTGCGATTATCACCTCATCTTTTAAACCTACACAAACTAAGAGGCGTACAAAATATACCTTTTGAATGGTTTCTCCCTGATGCTCCAAAATGAAAGTAAAGGAACCTTCCAACTTCAACATGTCGCACCTTCTAGAAAAGTAAAATCGTTAACCCCCATTCTTACCAGAGCTCGGTTTTGCCTACAAATTTTGTATTCTGGCACAGGTCATTTAGCCGACTTCATGACTTCAGGGTTTGAAGATATTTCTGATACATATATAAGGTACTTGCGACTCTGGGGCATCGAGCAGATGATTTTAGGTCATGGACCACGATATGGCTCATTTTATTCGACAATCATGTCAACATATCGTACATAAGTGCACCCATAAATGGATGGAGTATCGAGAGGCTAAATTTGGAAGAACCTCTTTGAATAGAGTCTGAAAGCTCGATCAAAAGGGGCAGGCAGTAGGGTTAGGGGGTTAACATTGGATCCAAGCTGAGTGTCATCAGTGTGTACTTGACTGAAACAAGCCTCTCCGCCATGGCGTGGTACATTACACGATGGATGCCATAAACTACACTATTCTGAATGCCTGTCTAGTAACTCTACAGGAAAGACTATGAGATTGCTGTGCGATTTGTGGACTCTGTAGGACGCGTGTCTGTCCATCTGGCAGGAGACGAAGCGATGTTGGTCGTTGTGGTGCCCTCCAGGTTGGCTACAATCTACAGATAGGGGTACTGAGGATGACAGGGTTGATTTGCATGTATTCTATTACACGCAGGATGATTCTGTGCCTGTCAGGGTAGGGACAATTGATGGAGGGGCTCAAAAAGAGAACAGAGCCGATGGAGGAGGCCGTCACCAGTAGAGGCAAAAAGGTCGTGCCCGGGATCGAACCGGGATTGCCAGAATCAGAATCTGGAGTGATGACCATTACACTACACAACCAATTAATGGGATTAACGGCAAATTTTGATACTATGAATCAACAAAAATTCCATGAACAAAACAAAGACTCCAGAGACGCTAGTCGCTCCTAGAGCCATGGCTATCAGCCCCAAGCCGAACCCGGGCCCGAGCCCGAGCCCGAAACTACCATACGGCACGTGGCATTGCCGATGCGTCATCTCGGCAAGTCTCAGGTTATTGCTGTACTTGATGGTGTAACAAGAGGACTCTCGTTCAATTTTCCGCCTGAGGGACATACCAGCCAAATCTCGAAGAGAAGTGAAGTCAAAACATAGAGACACCCTGGGACAAAAAGAAAAACGAAAACAAAGAGGTCGTACCCGGGATCGAACCGGGATTGCCAGAATCAGAATCTGGAGTGATGACCATTACACTATACAACCGAACTTGACAGAAAGTGTACAAAAATTTAATTAGATGACCCATCATATTCTGTTTGCGCTTCGATCTTTCATATGATCGTTTGATTCAATGCCCACAGCACATTTTAACCATCAGTCACATGGTGTGGCCACATTGTTTGGACTTGCCTGCTTCACTTCGGCCTCACGAAGCCCGTTATCAAGTATCTGCAAGGAGGGGTATGCACTGCTCGAACGGGAAGGTAGGGCTTAGGGTGTGGGGTGTAGGGCATCGATCGGTGCTGGAGTCCCGCATCTCCAACGTTTGTGTAGGCAGCATGCGACTGGCGAGACTGGCATCATCCACGTCTTCGAAGTATTTCCATTATCGCCCAAATCATGCGCTGAAGTGAAGGTCTGCGCATGTGCCTTTTGTGCTATTTCTAGGCCTTGCGACTCCGCCCGCTCAGAGCGACCGAGCGCGCGTCATTCGCCATGCACGCAGCGGAGATTGTCAAGGCGATCGAGCCTCTCAAAGGCAGCGTGGTGGCGATCAAGACCGTACAAGAGACTCGACCTATAGAAGACTTTGGTGAGACTTGCAAAGTCGTATTCTGTTCATTCGCAAGATGTCACTGTGCTAATTTCCCCGTGCCAGCTGATGCGTTCATTGCGGAGATCAATGTCAAGTCCGCTTCAAAAGTCATCAAGTCAGTCCAAACAAAAGCCATGACAACTGCCGCGAGATTGTCTGACACGCAACAGAGCTCTCGACTCCGCTTTTCCCCGCGATGAGAGCCTTCCGATGAGCCATCTGCGCCGATTCGCAAAGCGCAACATGATCCCGCAGGAACTGCTTGCCGCTATCGAGGCTGTGAGCCCTCCAGACTTGCATGATGGCCAGACTTTGTTCGTCATGATCCCACCCCCTTTACCTGACGCAGAAGCTCTGCGAAAGCTGCTCGCGCAATTTGCTCCGCAACCTCGCCGCCGTAACTCTTCAACGCCCCCTCGTCCTGATCTGGCTACTTTACAACCCGAAGCTGCACTGTCCGATTCGCCCTCGGCAGCTCAAGCTTCCACAAGCTCGACCTCCCCCGAACCCCAGATTCCTCAAATCAGTCTTGTTAAGACGCGAGTTCCTATTTACCCGCCTTTCAACATCTCACAAGCCGACCAATGGACGAAGACAATGTGGCCCGTGGTGTTCAATCCTGCTGCACCCCGCTCGAATGTCTCGCCTCCCCCACAGATATTGAGTCGCACCCGCGAAGCCATCGAGCCAAGAGCAGGTCACTTCTTGGCACTAGCGCGCAAAGTCGCCGAAGAAGCTCACACGTCCGGTCGCGGTCGGGCTGTAGGCGCCGTTGTCGTGGATCCGGCCATCGAAAGCGAGCTTGAGAGCATAGCATGGGACAAAGACAGTGATCCAACCGAGCACTGGATGGACGCTGTGGTTGCTGTTGCTGGCGATGTCCGATATGCTCGCCCAGAAGCCGCCCACAAATTCAGTGAAACAAACAAAACTCTAGGCGACGAGACCTCCCAAACAACATCCGGCTACAACCCCGACACTGAAGGAGGGCCGGATTTGCATGCCTTGATGCGCGCAGCGGAGTTTATTGCCCGCCGACGCCGCCAACAAGATGAAGAATTAGCTGAGACACCGGAACCAGCACTTCCTGTGGTGTTGACAGACCCACAGCTGTCTAATCAGCTCAGCCCACTTGAGTCCTACTTCCTCAACGAAACCAGCAGACTCACCCAGGGCCCAGAGCCAGATCAATGGCCAACCTCAAACTTGTCGCCCAAAAAGCGTAAGCACGGCGATTCAGGCGCAGGATGGGCAGACGAGCCACAGGTTTCATCTTGCTCAACTGCACCTTCCACCGCCCCCTCTGGCGAGAAAAATCTCTCGGCCCGCACCGAAGATGGCTCATGCTCAGCTGTCGACTACAACGAAGACGGACCTTCATCCCCCGGCTCACGCATCCGCACCCGCTCTGAGGGCGGATATCTGTGCACAGGGCTAGATATTTATCTTACCCACGAGCCGTGCGTGTGCTGCTCAATGGGCATACTTCTATCTCGCTTCCGTGCCGTGATTTATCCTCGTACTGGCCGTCTCCCGAGCGGCGGCATTGCCTCCGAGCCCATCGTCAGGCCCACTCGCGATGAGCATGCTTCTAAAGAAGAGAAAGAAGAGCACCATGGTGAGGACCGCGAGTACTACGGGCTTCATTGGCGCAAAGAGCTCAATTGGCGTGCGCTGGGCTACGAATTCGTCGAGACTGAGCTTAACGAGGCGGGCGAAGGAGCCACAGCTTTGACCAAAGATGGCAGCCAGGAGGATGTTATTTTCCATGCTTGAGGAGTCGACGAAATTCTCATGCCTATCATGGAAAAAGACCACAACACCATACAGGTACAGAGTACCCCTGTACTATTAGTTCTTATTATTGACCAGCAGATGTATCAAGCGACGAGCATATTTACCGCTTATCCGCCTACCCAAAATAAATGAATCTTATGCTTTAGCTCAAACTCGTGTAAATTCGAGAGACTCCAGTTTCCGAAAACATGCTTTTATTGGGCCATGCGCTCAATGCGTTTTCACAACTACACTAGAACTAACATTATAGTTCGAACGCATTGTCGCTGATCAAATGCAAAACACATTCCGTTCGCTTCGATTTCAAAACAGGCTCCAACTTGGTTGCAGTTGAACAAGCTTCACCATTGTGACTGTATCAATTTCAAATTCACGAAAGGCAAAGACTCTGAACCATGTCGCAGTAGCTACCCCCGCTTTTCCTCCAATATCGAGCCAGACCAGGGAATCCTGGTTCAACTTCTGTAACAAAGCAGTAAGGATATGTAAGAAAAAGGCAACTTCTGCCGTCATCACAAAAGCTCTCTTGCACACTGCACCTCGTGACACTCCAAGAGAAATATGGGCAACAGGTGAAGAATCCAAACCAAGTTTTGGGAGAGTGGTGGTATCGTGGATCGGAAAGAAAGGCCGGCTTCTGATTCACCTCGTAAATGCAAGAACCGTTAGAGTCGCTAAGTAGTGGGTCGATCCATCATTGAACAAGAAAAGGCATGAACCGAGCCCCAGGCCCAAAAATGTAGTCCAAGAAACGGAGTACCCAAGATTACAATGTAGGCGAACGTGAACTGACCCCTCGGAGGCCTTTTGAAGGATATTTTGTACGAGAAATTGAATGCGAAAAATGACAAGACGAGCGCATGATGCATGTGAAGGCAGTCATAGATAGAGGGACCCCGTGAGAAGGGGAGTTGTTGAAGAATTCACATGGGCGGGAGCTGGGACAAGGACACCTTCCCATGTTCGATGACGCGGCTTGAATTCATTCAGGACCCGTCTTCGTCGCGCCGCGCGCATGACTGGTACGTTTGAACGCCCAACAAGTGACAAACGCCCACACAGATATGTGTGAGCCATCGGGCCGAAGTCCATAGGTTGTGTGAGGCCAGTGGACTCAGCCGATTGCGACAGGGCTCATCAATACCCCGCGGACAATAAGCAGGGTTTTCAACGTGTTGCGCGATGGTTCAGTGATGAAAGAACATAGCGCCACCCGGGTACTAATGAGAGGTGGACGAACTGGTGCATCAGAGCAGACATTGAGATAGCGCAATGCACGTCCGGGCTGTCCGAAGTGTCTTTCGCTCAAAGACATTTCAGCAAAGTCCACAGTTAGTTTCACCGTCGTAGTGTCGAGCTACTTAGGCGACACGCTGATAGAACAACAGGTAGGCAACACGGTTGTCACGCGAGCCATATCGACCAAGCGGAGTCCGCACCCCAGAAGATGAATTGGAGGCGGGTGCGATACCATTGATGGACTTCTTGCTCGAATGCCCAGAAGACCCGTTGACCTGGCTCCAGCCTTTGTCACTTTCAGCGGATTCTAAATCGTCCTGATCGATGTTCTCAAAGATATTGGAGCGAGGGACCTTATCGTTGCGGTGTTGCTCAAGAGCAGCCGCAAGCACCTTCGGGTCTTCTTCACCACCCGCCTCTGCGACATCCTCGCTTCGCACACGACGGATCACCGTGTCATCCATACGAATCCATTCACGACCGTCTTGGCGTCGCACGTCAACAGTATAGTGACCACCGCTCGCATTCTTTCCGTGATGATAGATGACTCCCATGAGACGGTACTTAGGCAACCCGCCCTGGGCTGCGAGGGCATTGCGCCTGTGGGCTGGGAATACTTCACGAGGAATTTCCAGGTCGAGGGGATAGCCAACCTTCTTCCAAATTTTCTGCGTGGCGCCGGTGACGCTGTCATACTGGAACCGCTTGAGATGGAGAATGAGAACAGGAGGTAGCGTTTCGATGAACATCTGCTTGGTAGCGGTGACATTCGGGCCCCGGGATGAGTTGAAGTCACCTTGGATGCTTTCAGGCTTGGTGAGCCCCTTCAACGCATCAATGATGTTGTGGACATCAGGGGCTCCAATATCAAGCTGCAGAGGCTGATAGGGCTCCATTGTGACAGATGTCTTGTTTCCTGGTACCTTGAACTCTGAACGTAGTTTTCCACCGAAGATTCGTGTGATCGGAGACTCTGCAGCAATCGCGCCTGACAGCTGAGTCACGGCTGCTTTCTGTTTGTGGCCAACCTCAAGCCACTCACCATCACCAGCCGCTTCATGGAATGACTCATGGCCATCTACCCCCAAGGCATTCTGTGACTTAGAGATGCGCTTAGAAGCACGGTCACATTCCTCATGCAGTTCCTCAAGAAGGAAACCGAGGAACTCCTGAGCGTCCTGCTGATGACCCCGCCGCATATCACGGAAACGGGGAAGCTGGCGGATCATCTCATAGACGAATTCTGGAACGAAGGCTTCCCCATATTGTTCAAGTTCGTTCGGTTTCAGGCGAAGCCGAAGCTGCTCCTCAGATGACGCAGCGTCGATGACGTTGAACTCGCGCATGAACATTATCATTGCATCAATCAACGGCATATCACTATGAAAGCTATGGGCCGCACGCCGGCCAACAAGGTCGAGGAATTGGTGGAATGGAACGCATGACACCAGTATTTGAAGGACAGAATTCATGTAGCACATGTTGCCAGTATTCACCAAGCCTCGGGGCTCCAGGAAAGCAATCTTATCACTGTACTGGGAGACATCTTCGCTCAAGCTGCTCAGGACATCGGCAAGGGACTCGTTCTTCTGGACGGCCAACGGATTTGTCTCTGGCGCAACACTGCCCGCGGAACGAGCAGCATTTTTGTTCCGAACCAAGTCAGCCCACGACTTCGGCGCGGACTGAACAGGTGAAGTGGGAACAGTCGTGTTCTCGGTAGCGGATGTCGACGGAATTGACTCCGCAATGGGCCCCGTTGCGTCCGATGCCTCGGGACTGGGTTTAAAGCTGTCCTTGGGATCACGGCGTGGCGCGACAGGTGTAGTTGGGACCACTGGGACAATTGGAACTGCGGGCTTAGCTTCCTTTCTCTTAACCTGCTGACTGGGAGTAGATGAAGGATCAGCAGACGATGGTGTAGTTGCTTGAGTAGATGGGCCATCTGAGAAAGGAACCGACGTGGTCGGCGTCTGAGGCTCTGATGGGACTATAGCTGTTGCTTGGGCTTGCTTGGGCTTCACATATTTGCCTTTGAAGGGACCGATGATCCAGCGTCCATCCTTGGGAGGGAACTGGACTTCTTCTGGCATAGGCCGGACATTTCTGCGGGAGAACGAGGCCGTTGGAAAGTCGACGTCAGTTGTTGACACCCACGGTACCTGAGCCAGTGTTAGTTACGGCCGTAACGAAGGTATATCATGACTTTATTTGAATTGACTTACTGGCGGAGTGAAGACGGGCTCGGGCTGCGACACGACTGGCTTTGGCTCCCAGTGTGGTGGCGAGGAGACCAGCGGGTACATTTGCTGGGACTGAATAGGCATCATGCTATGAGGCTCGTGCATTTCTGCTTGGAGCGGGGGCGGGGCTGACAGCGAAGGTGACATGGTGGACTGCATAGGAGTCGCCGCTCGTGGTTGCATGGGGAGTGAGTGATGGGGCATGTGGCTTGGCGCCATGATCGGCTGAGCTTGTGGGTATGAGGACACGATCATCGGCCCATATGGGGTTTGATATGGACGGGGAGGCATTTGCTGCATGTGGCCGTAAGGAGGATACCATGGAGGAAACTGCTGCGGCGAGTAGGCAGGAGGCAAATGACCATTCATGTGGGGTGGATAGCCCATGTACGCCGGAGCGCGCATGTTAGGAGGAGCCGGATTGTAGTAGTCTTGCTGTCTGCGCGGGGGCCCCATGGGTGGCTGCCCATGGGGCATTGCTGGCAGATGGGGATTCATCTCGACAAGGCGTAAAGGGACGTGTTGCCTCTCTGGTATATCCACACGCGCTGCCTCAAAGGGAGCCACCCGGTGGATCAGGGTTTCACTTTCGTCGAGGCACTGAGAGAAGAACCTGAAGCATCAGATCACCTTTATGCAGCCATTATTGCCAGGTGGGAAAAATCGAAATTTCAGTTGGAATCACAGAGAAAGTAGCAGAAATCGGTTAACAGTGAAAGTACTAAAAGCAGACAAATGATAAGTAATTTGGAACCTAAAGAATTGGACGCCGGGGCAAGGAAAGCTTTACCTTGTGGGCGCTACCCGACTACTATCAAGGGAAGTAGCAGATTGATTGCTGATATGGTATGTGTAGCTGGAGTTGAGGACGGGCAAAAGAAGGTGGTGGTTCACTACGTTTCGTCGAAGCGAAGCTGGGCTCCCGCAAGTTGCTGGCTTGGGTTCCAGTGGGCAGCCCGAGCCCGGACCGTCGCTGATTCAGCAAAGGCTGAGTCATTGAGCACGTGCCAACGATGTCATCCATGCCTGGCGCCCCTCCTCGACTACAATTCTAGATATCTTATCAGCGTGCCTCTCTGGACGCTTTGTCTGTCTTTAGATGGCCTTTCGAGGCAAATTCTTTGATCTTTTCTCACTAACTGGCCTCGAATGTTGTTTGACATTCGCTGGGTAGTCACATAGTGGTGAGCCTGATCCAGATCGAGGGTATATCTTATCCACGCCAACTTATTGCTGAGCTGGACGAGCATCTATCCCATCAAGCTGAGCTGGACTTTTTGTCTGAGTGTCTGCACATAAAGAAGATCGTCCATCGCTTCTTTGTGCTTGAGCTTGGACATGTCGGCTGCTGGACCAAGCCAGACTGCCTCCAAAGCAGTGAACACCCCAAACACGTCGACTCCGTCGTCAAGCTTCCATTCCACCGGCTCAACCGAGCATAGCGGCCACCGCCGCTCCGGGGCCCCGGCTGCATTTGGGAGCAACTCATCGTCGAAAGCACTCGGCACTGCAAGGAACAATCAGGCACGGAAGGGTCAGCATAAGCGACAAAGAAAGCCCCGGTTGCTGGACGATGATGAGTTCAGTGAATCAGTAGGTGGTTCAGATCGGGTTGCAGGCGACTACGATGTCTAATCATGCTCCTTGGAAAATTTTAGGCCGTCATGAGATCAGCAAGCAGCCGCAAAGGACAAACGTCCATTACCCATTTGATGAACTTTTCTTTGCCACCTCGACCGCAATATCAGCCACCTCCCCGTAATGCTCGACGATATCAGTCATGGGGAGCAGGATCGGGATACCACGCCGCCGACAAAGCCCGTTATGTCCATGCCAATTATAGATTCATTGTGTCGCCAGACCAGAATTACCATGCCCAAGCGGCCAATGCCGATGTGCACTTGGATTGGGCTTCGGTGCTCCAGGTCTTAGTATCTGCTCAAACCCAGGCCGCCAGCTGCCCCATTTGCCTCTCGACACCGGTTGCACCACGCATGGCTCGTTGTGGTCATATTTTCTGTCTGCCTTGTCTGATACGTTACATGCATTCGTCTGACGACGAAACACATCATGTTCCCGAAAGAAAACCGCGATGGAAGAAGTGTCCCATCTGCTGGGATTCGATTTATGCATCTGACGCGCGACCAGTCCGGTGGTTCCGTGGTCAAGAAGGAGATCTTCCCGTTGAGGGCGGTGATGTGATTCTGCGTCTGGTAAAGCGAGAGCCTGGTAGCACACTCGCTCTTCCTCGGGATGGCGCAGAGACCCTGACTGCTGGAGATGATATTCCGTGGTTTCATGTGGCAGAGGTTGCCGATTACTCTAGGATCATGAAGGGTGGACAGGATTACATGGTGTCCCAGTATGATGCTGAGATTGAAGACCTTCGCCAACAGGAGATTGAGGACGAACTGATGTTCGGAGATGAGAACACGTGGACGCGCAAGGCTATCGGCGCCATCAACGAGGCCAAAGAGAAACTCCGTGGAATCGGAAATCCTCCGGATATTTCTCGCCAGCCTCCCGCAAGTAAAGGAGGAAAAATCTCTGTCAGTGAGCCTCACAAGTTTGATACTGCGGTGTCAAATAATGTGGAACGCTCTGGCGCCATTCTTCCCGACGAACGAGACACTACGTCCACCGTGAATGTTACACCGGCAGCGCTCGCGGAAGCTGAAGGCGCATCATCTGCTCCCAATGGCCCGATAGAACTCACGGATGCGATGAATGAGATCCACCTCTCCTCGAAGCTGCGTTCTGAAACGCCGAACAAGCAAGCCAAGGACTCACATGGCGCCCACCCCGCTGACCAGCCTTACTATTTTTACCAGGCGTTGCCTCAGTTCTACCTGTCGCCGCTCGATATTCGTATTCTCAAGGCAGCTTTTGGCGATTACGCTTCATTCCCTGCAACAATTCTGCCTCGTGTCGAGCATATCTCCACGGGACACATTGTTGACGATGAATTGCGCAAACGCGTGAAATACTTGGGTCATTTGCCTCATGGTTGTGAAGTGAATTTTTTGGAATGCGACTGGAGAGACGTGGTGGTGCCGGAAGTCTTGAGCCGCTTCCGAACCGAGACTGAAAAGCGTCGCAAGCGGAACCGGGACAAAGAGGCCCGTGAAGAGAAAGATCGTATCAGGGCGGAAAAGAAGGAGGAGGAGGAAAGGTGGGCTGCCGCTCGTCGCAAGCGACCAAGCTTCGGGAGCGCCAGTGAGGCTCCATTCTCCACGGATGACTTTCAACCTCTTACAAGTCATGGTCTCACCCCTCCGTTTGACCCCGATTCGGCTTCAGCCTCGCCTCCTCGAGTTGCCACTCAATTCGGCGCACTTGCGTCTCCCTCTTCTAGTCCTCCGGGTTCTCGCACTGTCTGGGGCACCACGGCCATTGCCCCCACTACTCCACTCGGCGACATTCAACGTGCGATGCCTCATGACGGATGGCTTCAGGGTTGGGAGGATGAGCTCTTTGCACGGCAAGAATCTGAGATCATGGCCCAGAGTGCTCAAGAAAGCCAGACCACGGCTGGACCTTCATCGTCCCAAGGCGGTCCCGGTAACGGTGCCGGTGGCAAGAAGAAAAAGAAGAACAAGATTACGTTAATGTCGACCAACAGTCACAGAGCAGCATGAATATAGTAGCACGGTTGTCAGATCGGAGACATGTCAGTCTACTCGACGAGGACCCTCTCCGTCGATTGTCTATTTGCGCACATTTTCGTTTTGTTCATTCTACCAGACTTTCCTCATTAAATCAATACAACATGCCCCTTTTCTGAGCATGCGAGCTTGTCCTTGATCACAATTTTGGGGGATCGCTGTTGACTTTGTTATGGTCTTGATGTCACATAAATAAGCCAATCACAGAGTCTGACCGAACCCTAGTGACTTGAAAGCATCAACCACGCATGAGATGGATGTGAACTCCAGGGCGAACGACCGTGTCAAACTTGCTTGATGGTAGTGTGACCAGAGTATATCCCCAACGAGAGCCCAAATCAAGCAAAACAGCGTCAGTGGATCGCGAGAACCCTTTGGCGTAAACCGGATAGTTGATGGTGTGCCTCACTGCCTAGAAAGCTGGGAGTACCCAACAGCCTCGCTTTGGCATATTGACACATTAAGAGATCTGGGGTTCTTTGCCAGTTCGCGCAGGGCAAGAGAGAGCGAGGATACCCACTCAGCCTGGAGCGATTAGTCTCCGTTGCCGCCACATGGCTCCATGAAGGGTGGCCAAGCAGCGCGGGAGTGAAGACGAGAACTCCAGATCTGCTGGAAAGATCGCAAGTAGTTTCGCGGTCAACTGCCAAGTATGGTGTTGTAGTAACGGGATACTGAGGATAGACTTCCATCGGAAGGCGATTGCCGATGAAGTATTGAAATCATGTGGGGGAGCCCGACAGGCGGAACAAGCATGCGCCGGGTGTATGCTTGTGGTAAGGGACGGCCAGGGTACGTGAGCAGCGTCTCCATGATTGGATTGTGTGGAAAAAGGGGGGCCACTCACGTATGCTTGGCAGTACGCGCCGTACGCTGGCGCATGCAAGGTACGGCGGTAGTGGTACGGTACCTCGAACCACTCGGGCTATTTTTCTTCCCTGCTACTGCGACGTCGTGGCCCCTTCTCTTCTTTGCCTTCGTGTGCTTTCCGGCCCGTTGCCTTTGTGCTCTTGATCTTCGGATATCGGGACATCCGTCCAGGCAATCATGACTTTGACCCGCTCTCAAACGGGGAAGACCCCCAAGTAAGTGCTAGTCCTCTCGAACATGGTTCCCTTCGATGGTGGTGGGCACTGGGCACTGGGCACTGGGCAAAGACTCTCCCCTGCGGAGAAGCACCACCTTTAAAGGCAATGAAGGCCTCCGCCGCGCCGCGTCGCGCACACTTCTCTTCTTATTCTGATCGTGCTGACAACTGTCTGGACCTGTCAGAAAGATGGAGCGTCCTGGTTACATCGAAACTCCCGGTCGTCGGTCCACTAGAAGGACCCCGGCTCTGGACATGAGCGAACGAGAGGACTCCGCAACGCCCTCGGAGACGGCATCCACCAAATCCTCTGCGCGTCGACGCACTACTACCAAGGTGACCTCGGAGGATGAGCGGGAGGAGAGCCCTGCCGTGAAGATTGAGAGCAAGGACGAAACCACAAACGGTGCGGTCAAGCCTGAATCGCGCATCGTCGACGGCTGGGTGGAGGGGTTGGACCCCAAAGTCGACTACAGCGGGCATTACGAGTTCGGGGGCTCACCTGGAGTCCTCGCCATGATGATTGGTTTCCCCATTCTCATGTACTACATGTGGATTGGCGCGACGTACTACGATGGCAAATTCCCCCGCCGGGCGGAGGGGCAGACTTATAGCCAGTTCTTCTCTCACATGGTGAATCTCGTCTACACTGGCGCATACCCTTCGCTGAAGGCTTGGACGATCTACTGGGTGTTTTTCATCTTCGAGGGTGCCTGCTACGTTCTCCTGCCTGGTGTCACTGTCTCTGGACGCCCGCTGCCCCACGCGGGAGGAAAGCAACTTCCGTACTATTGCTCCGGCGTCTGGTCATTCTACACGAGCATTGCGGTGGCGCTTTTCCTGCACTTCACTGGACTGTTCAAGCTCTACACCATCATTGATGAGTTCGGTCCCCTGTTGAGTGTCGCCATTCTGTCGGGCTACCTGGTGTCTTTTGCGGCCTACTTTTCGGCCCTTTACCGTGGAGCGCAACACCGCATGACTGGTTCGCCAATCTACGATTTCTTCATGGGAGCTGAGCTCAACCCTCGTATGTTTGGTATCCTGGATTTCAAAATGTTTTTCGAGGTTCGCCTGCCTTGGTATATTTTGCTGGGTCTGTCAATGGGTGCCGCGGCTCGTCAATATGAGAACTACGGCTATGTCTCTGGAGAGGTCATGTTCCTCGTTATGGCCCACTTTCTCTACGCCAACGCCTGTTCCAAGGGCGAGGAGTGCATCGTGTCTACCTGGTAAGAGCCCCATGGCTGGAGTGACGCGTCGAGCGGAAGTGACTAACGGCGTGTATGATAGGGATATGTACTATGAGAAGTGGGGTTTCATGCTCATCTTCTGGAATTTGGCTGGTGTGCCCTTGAGCTACTGCCATTGCACCATCTACTTGGCGAACCACGACCCTTCTGAATATCACTGGAACCGATTCTTCCTCGCCTTTTTGTATATTGCCTACCTTTTCGTCTACTGGGTTTGGGACACCACCAATAGCCAGAAAAACCGATTCCGCCAGCAGGAGCGTGGCACCATGGTGAACCGGAAGTCTTTCCCTCAGCTTCCCTGGCAGACTGTGGAGAACCCTAAGACTCTGACTGCCGCCGATGGCTCGAAGATTCTCATTGACGGGTGGTGTAAGTTGCAATTGTCTGCGCCAAGACTTACCAGAAGCTGATATCGATTCGATTGATAGATGGCAAGGCCCGCAAGATCCACTACACGTGCGACCTCTACTTCGCGCTCAACTGGGGTTTGATTACCGGTTTCTCCAGCCCCTTCCCTTGGTTCTACCCCGTCTTCTTTGCTTGCATGATCTCTCATCGTGCTTTGCGAGACATCCAGCGTTGCCGGATCAAGTACGGTGAGACTTGGACTGAGTACGAGAAGCGCGTGCCTTACCTCTTCGTTCCTGTAAGTTTCGCTATGCCCTCCTTATGTGATTCTTAACCTCTGCTGACGGAATTCACCAACAGTATGTCTTTTGAGTGACGTTTCACGACATGAGTTTCTGTTGCCCTAGTACGCCGGGTGTATGATGGATCGGCCGTGTGAGTGAGCCCAAGTCACTCTCTTTGGTCCTTGGATTCGGTTCCCAAAATTTCTATATGATCTGTTCTAGGCTCTTGGTGACATTCGCTTGATATATATTTTGTTATAATACCTTCCGCTGGCCGTCTTGTCTCGGTTGATTTGATCGTGGTCTTCCAGCGGTACGCTTCGTGTACATTATTCACCATTTGTTTTCGAATGCTTCTTCTTGCTCTTCCGCATGTTGTACATTCTCAGAGAGATTCGTGTACTACTACTCAGTATATGAAAATTGCGCCCAACATTTTAACCCGACAGATTGTGCAAGTACTTAGATTGCGGCATACTTCATTCATGGTTCTGCGGCCCCAACCTTAGACATAGCTGCCCTCGACGTCGTGCAATATTAGTCGGGCAGCTCCACTTCGACGTAAGCGCCCCGCGCTCTTATCGATAAATTCGGTCTGGCGAGCTGCGGGCATCGACTCCCGACGAGCCTGTCATCCATACATCTTCAATCTGCCCGCCCAAAAGCTTGAAGAAGTTTCGAAATAAAGACAAGATAATTCTCATAATGCTTATTCAGGAGTCTCATGTGGATGTTCCCACAACGGCCGATGGCCAGGGAAAAATGCGTCAGTACCCATATCCCAGGAACTTTATGACCTGGCGTCGCGCCGAAGCTCCCCCACTACGCGAAGGCATGAATTGATGCCACTCAATGCTGTCGCTTAAGAGCTGAAACAATAATCTTTTATGCCGTTCCTGAGACGGGGAGTGCTTACCAATTTCTCAGGCATTTACATCTTCCACCCCACGATTCCGGGCTATCCAAATGCCCGATTCCCCGGAGTAGTTGTTTTCAGTGAAATCTACCAAGGTTAGAATGACCATGCCGAGAGATAGGCAATGAGAGCGAAGATATGGGGTGCAAATCCTCGCTTAACACGAGATTCGTACTAATCTGGGCTTCATTCGTTGCGCGTGGCAGTCACCGGCCCTGTGGCCCGATTTGCCCGCCAGATTGCTGGACAGGGCTACATCTGCGCCGCTCCATCAAGCTACCATGAATTCACGGGCCCGGAGCCGCTCAAGTACGATGTTGAGGACACGGATAATGGCAACAAGTGGAAGATTACCAAGGTCTGTATCACTTCCTGGGTTCTTCTCCTTCGATGATTTGAATTGTTTCAACATTACCTCAATGTTGTTGCTGAAGGCCATCTGGGTTGACTCTTGGTTATTACCACGCTAACAAGCAACGCGCCACAGAAATTGGCAGCCTATGACGAGGACGCTCGTCTCTCGGTTGACTATCTGCTCTCACTGTCAACCTGCAATGGCCGCGTCGGGGCCACGGGAATGTGTCTGGGAGGCCATCTAGCCTATCGCTGCGCCCTGGACAGCCGTGTCAAGGCTGCCGTGTGCTACTTTGCTACTGATATTCACAGCAAGACGCTTGCTCAAGGCAAGAATGACGACAGTCTGGAGCGAGCAGGAGACATCCAAGGAGAATTGCTGATGGTTCGTTATTTTTCTTTTGTTCACCGCGAGCATCTGTATCCTGTGCAACTCACACGCTCCCGATGATGGCTCCGAAGTCGCGATTGGGCATTGTGGGTTCACAGGTGTCCAAGATGGTCAGCTGACGGCTCAATGTTCAACCAGATCTTCGGTAAGAACGACAACCACGTCCCACCCGAGGGTCGCGACTTGATCCGCAAGACGCTGCACGACAAGGGTGTTCTATTCGGGTTCTATGAAGTTGCCTGGGCCCAGCGTAAGTCATTGTGCTTGCACTATTCATTCAACCTTGCCAACACCAATGAGCCTGAGGGTTCAATGCGATGTTGATGGAAGTGCCAGACTGACACTCACTCAGACGCTTTCATTCGAGACGAGCTCAGCAAAGGCCGATACGACCCTGCTATCACCAAGGTCTGCTTCGAAATGCTGGTGGAGCTGTTCGGACGCACATTGAAGCTTGACCTTGGCGAGCATGATGGGAAGAAGCAGGTGATTGAGGATGTGTGCTAGACAGGTGGATGTGATGTGGCACACTCCTCGGTGAAATGATTATCATGGAATGAAATGTTTTAGTATAGTCGCTCCTCGGTCTTTGACTATACCCTGAGAAAATCAAGATGATCTCCCAAAAGGCAAGTTGTTATGAGAATACGACACCCGGACAATCAGGGTTGGAAACGATTAGATTTACGAATTTGCGATGTGCAGCACAGCAATAAGACAAGGTATATATATATACGTTATACGTAGAGATCGTGGCCGTAGTCTCGATGTGACGAACACTAACGTCAGGATATGGAAATGAAGGCACGGAGTAGTCTCAAAAACCTAGCCTCACACCCGCTCTGCGGGTCCTGAGATTGCAAATGTTTCGTCTGACTCCCGATCAGGCCTCATTATGACATCTACGCAGAATTGAACACCCAGTGGAAGAAGAAATCCGCCTTCCGTAGGCGAGTCCACGAAGAATGAGAAATGACGAAAGTGGGATTCCTCTTTCGTTCATCGAAGTGGCGCCAAGACTGACGCTACGAACGTATGGTGCATGGTCGCCAGGCCGACGCGATCGGGTACCACTTTCATGGGTGAGTCGAGATCCTGCTCAAGCCTGGCGTCTTCAGCCACAAACTCATGTAGCTTACTAGCAGAAGCACACTACTACTTGCGTACTAAGTACTAGGCAAGTGTGCAGCAGTGCTAGTATTGCAAGATTTCATGTGATGACTGAGGAGAGAAAACAACATGGCCGCTCGTAGAGCAGACAAGCGGGGGTGGCTGGTCGGAACCGTGGAAGAGGTAAACATCCATTTCAGAATCGATGGACTCGTTTGATTGTTTGTATTGGCTTTGTGCTTGTGCTTGATGACTGCTGGTGAGAAGTCAGTAGAGAAAGAAAGCAGTGCTATCATGCTATGAATATTGTGACGAAGACATCCTGACGGGTTTCTGCTTTCAAAGGTGTCCGACGAAACAGTCGAGAGCGACACCATCGTCAGATTTGTGTCTGGCGGAGTCATCACTCCGAGACATTCGTTATTTCAGACGGACTGAGTTCTGGGCAATGGTTTGTTTCATCTATGCTCGAGTATGGTCGGTCGCACTATTCTGCCTTGACAGCTTGCTCGTTATCTGAAAAGGGTCCTCAGTTATACCTATACTTCTACTTTGTACTATCTGCTGTGACCGCAAGGCCAACTATCTTCAGGAGTACACTGCCTTTCGAGGCCATGCGACGATGACCTCGAAAGGCTTGTACTATTCTTAGTCGACCAGGCCAGGCTCACCCATGGACAGGTACCCGCCGTGTCTACGGGTACAAGTGTGGAACCTGACGAGCCGATCCCTGGCCGAACGATGATTGCGCAGGACTAGCGTATTTATGGATTGTACTGTACTGCAGCATGGGACTCTTTTGCCACATTCAAGTGTATAGTTGTAGGGCGCTTTCAGTAGAATGAAGAAGGGGAGAGGGGAGGGGGAGAAGAAACAATACGTCCACATCACCACATGCAGACCTGGCCAACCCTCACAGACGACAGTCACGGCACATATATTGAGCCTGATAGGCCCAAGATTTAATTAAAAGCTTCAGGTCCGAGTGCTGGACCAGCGACGAAAGAGGCTAGCAGCTGTCAGCTAGCGTGGTTGATTCCCTGCTCGACCTTCCATCCTCTTGCTTTTTCCCCCGTTGGCCTGAGAACTGAGGTGTGGTCAAGGTACCACCACTTCACGAGAGCGCCAGCACGGTCTCCAAGACTACCAGAGCCAAAAGCCAAACGTCAAGCCAGTGTTCCACGCTTCCCTCGTCTCCACCCCCAGCGACCCGTTGCAACTTCCCTCATCTTCTCGCCCAAGTCGCTACCCTGACGATTTTGTTACGGTCGCGCTCTCTCCACGCCGAATTCGACCCTCTCCATAGTCATACACCCGCCCCCCCCCCCCCCCCCCGGATCATCCTTGCGGTCACGGCCGCTACCTCATCGACGGGTCAGGGGAGTTAGCGCGATCTCCAGGACCCTCCCCCAGAACAGACTTGAGATCCGCCAGCAATTCGCGACTCTCGCGCACTCGCCCACGGCTCGTGACTAGCGGTCGTGCGCTCCAGGATTCGCCATGGGTTCAACGCAATTTGGGAACTTCCATGTGAGTTGCATGCGATCTTGCGCCGGAGAATGGCACTGGGCTGCTTCTGGCCCAATCGGCGGCCCGGGCTGCCTACAGCGGAGAGCTACGAGAGGCGGCACGGACGAATATATGCCCAGGAAGCAATGGAAAAGAGCCAAGTCAACGGATGCTGACCATTGGGAAATTCGATTTCACTAGGACTTCTGTCGCGATTCGACGTTACCCGTCTGCAATGTTCGTGAGACCTTTTGAGATTCCTACGAAACAGCGCCATTCATGACAGAATGCTGCGCCCACCGAAATCGAAACTGACCAGGACTCTCTCTCTTGTCGTATCTAGCTTTTCAAAGCCAACCAACCGCCGGGGATCAATTACGGAGGATGTGTTCTGACAGGTATTCCCTTAAGCGGGGATCGCCATCTCGCTAATCTGGGTGCGTATACATGTTTACATGCGACTCGTGGCGCCAAGTTGCAGCCGAGTCTGGGCTTTGGCTAATTGCAGGACAGGTTCAATCATTCTGGCCTTCATTGCCATCCTAGTCACAATTGCGCTGCTCTGGAGGTCGGATCGGAAGCATGCAGCGGTGGGACGCCGGTATGTTCAGTCAAGGGGAGGACAAGGTTGATTGCGTCGGAAAGTCGATGATTCGCTGATGCCGGTCTGTAGAGAAATTCAACTCTTCTTACTCGGATACCTCGTGATTGAGATTTGTGAGATCTTCACCGTCGGTGGGTTTCCACTCGCGGAAAGTGTGCGGAAGGTATGTCATTCACGCGAAACGGAATCTCGTTTCGGTTGGAGGTGGCGCTGATGGGTTGGACAGGGGTTTACAGCGGTCCATCTGGCGGCGATCACTGCCACCATCTGGATCCTCTTGATGAATGCGTTGGTGGGCTTCCAACTGATTGATGACGGCACACCCGCCTCCATCGGCCTCATCTCCGCATCCGCTCTCGCTCTCTTCATCGGCACCGGATACATTGCTCTCGACACCGGATTTTCATGGACGGGTCATTTTGATTCCAGTCTGGGCAACGGCAATAATCGCAATATCGGGCTCTACGTGCTGTATCAGCTATTCCCGTTGGTGTGCCTGGTCTTGTTCTTCTTGCTGGAGACCGTTCTCGTGCTGCGCGTACTTGGCGAAGTCCGTCCGATGCGTACGTTGCCTTTTCTCCTCCTCGAAATGCAGACTGAACCGTGGATACTGATGCGATATAGTCTACTTGGTGGGTGCGGCCTTGTTGTTTGCAATCGGTCAAATTTTCCAGTATGTGATCAGTACACATCTGTGCCAAGCCACATCCGGAAAAATCGACGGCGCTCTTTTTGAAACCTTATTCACCCTGCTCTCGGTCATTTCCATCTGGGGATTCTGGAGTAGCATTACCGAGGATGATTGGCCGTTGCCAGTCGGCAGTGGTTATAATTAAAGAGACATCACCGTCGAGATCTCAATTATAACAAAACAAAAAGAAAAGAAAAGCCCGGCCGAACAAGGCACACCTTTTGAAGCCGATGGCATTTGACGTCTCTTAATTGCGTGCAGCCCCATCACTCTCATTTACGTCCTTTGCCTTTTCCTCCGCCACATGCATGAGCTCCATCTTCTACGAGCACCCGAAGTATTCTTCGTCTTCCTCGTGACAATCTCTCAGCGTCACCACCAAGTGGAGGGAAAAGCGCTTTCCGTTGACGTTGTGAGACGAGGTCATGTTTCACGATCATTTGCGACTACTGCTTGTTTTCAGCCTGCTTTGTCCTTGTTACTCTGCCCACGTATCTATGAATTCTTTACCGGAGACGCTGTATGTCTTGTTGTTCTGAATATTTGTTATCACCTTCTTGTCTGTGTCATGAGCCTTCAGACCTACCTATCTCTATCACCTCGGTCTTGACTTGATGCGTACTGCGCATTCACGTGCAGGCTCGCGACTGATCCTGATTCCGCCCTCGGCGGTGCTACCATGCGTCCCATCACTGCTTTGATCTGTCAGATACCTCTTCGTCATGTATTTAGCTAATAATTGATGTTTCATATTGACTTATGATCTTTCCCCGCATTGGAGGTAGAGATTTCCCGGACATTCCATTCGCCATGCGGACATGGGTGTGGTGATATAGTATCATGTTGATTGAATGCGCCCAAAGCTTGCAGAACGCACAAGGCAATAGCCTTCGTCCATACGCACCTATCAGACTACAAGATATTGGCGAAGTTGGACAAAGTGTCCCCATCATGCATCGTACAAGACGTTAGCGGCGGGGAAAATCTGTACAACTCTCGGAAGAAGATTGAGGTATATCGATATATGCAAAAGCGATGACATCCAACAAAACTGCCACCCAAGCTACTTTTGGATCCTCTGGCCCGACCCTCTGTTAGTCGAGTACAATCTTCCAACACCAGCTTTCCTCCATATCAAGTCCAACCATCATTGCACTAGTACAGCCGTGTCACCCTTTTCCCAGATGTTGCATGCCCATGCATTCGTCATCCGTCCGTGTCTCGGACTGTCCGGGTCGTATTGAAGCTATCATTCCGGCTGGATTCGTCATGTTTGTTCGTTGAGAGGGGGAGTCGGGGGGCTAGTGTCACTGTGCGAGCACGATGCAACAACCGGGAGTGGTCATTGAGTATGCCACCTCGCTGGCAATTGGCATGACATCAACTCAGCAAAGAAGACGTCCACTTGGCTTCATTCTCATTTGTCAAAGGTCAAACTGAGATCGGTCCCACGAGTCCTCGTGGCTGTATAAGAAGGAAGAAGCTGTCCATCGCTCTATGTTCTTCCCGACTACTCGTTGACTCTTAGACCCAACTATCATTCGAGTGATTCGAGACCCCTGCCGAATAGTCCTCTGAAAAAGGATTTGGTCAACATGCAGATCCTCTCGAGTATCCTCCTCGCAGCCGGTCTGGCAACCAGCGTCCTGTGTCTGGACACGCCTGTCCCTTCTGCACAGACGGGCCCTGCACCTTCGGCAGTTACTCCAGCCGCTCAGTGTCAACGAGTGGGGAGTGCGAACCCGAGTTGTAAGATATCACGGAGCATCTCTTTCTCTTGTTTCATTGAGCAAGACCCGAGCTCTGTAGCCTCGCTTATATGATTTCAGGATCTGTCCCCGTCTAACTTCTTTCCTTGACCACCAGTGTTCGAAAAGAACCGCGAAGCCGCTGCTCTCCTCCCTCCCAATTGCGATCTACAAGCCTGTCTCAACGTAGGCCCTGTCCTCACATGCATCGTTAAAGCCCTGCAGAACGGCAACCTGATCGACCTTGCCGGATGTTTGACCACGGGCATTCAAGAGGTGTGTGCTCGAATCACTTGCAAGCTTTCTTTTCATCCTCCATGACCGACAACTACAGCCCTACCACTAAAGTTGTCGACCGATGATCACCCACCTGTCCTGCTTGCTCGGTTGAAAACTATAGTTGCAGGACTGTAGAAGAAATTTTCTCTGTTCCAAGACATACAAAGTGTAAGTACTGTGGCTAATACATGGCAAACCCCCCGCCACAGATCTGCGCTTGCGGAGTATGCATCCCCATCCTGGGAAGCCTGCTGAGTGGTATATGTTCGTCGACCACGGTGAAATCTCGCAAGACAGCTTTCTTGCCAGGGGCCACTCCTCTATCTTCTGCTTTGACTTCCAAGCAGCTTGTATACGTGGACAATGTGACTTTGAAAGCGGTTCCGAGTCCGACTTCGACCCCCCATCCCACACATGTTTGACTGGGTTTATTGGGACTGTGGGAGGGCAGGCGAGTTTGGTGAGTCCAGATTGGACCAACTGGAATGAGTAGCCAGTTTCAGGCATAGGATGGATTTACTGTTGATCGAGGGACAAATTGGTTCGGTAGCTGTCTTTTTAGGGCCAAATTGACGAAAAGTATGGTGATTCCATTATTGGGAAGGGTTCTGTCTGGTCCAGTCATAGGTCAAGGAAGCGTCGAAGCTGCCCTTTTTGATTTTAGTAGCACCCTGGTGATGTCAAACATTCGCATGAGTCATCGTGTATGAGCCTACGAGGCCGAGCAGGCAACTCTATCTTCAGATTTGGTTTACAATTGCAATGATTGCAAGCAAAAGTGCCTGAAGCCGGTGCCGACATTGAGTAAGTAGGTTGGGAGGCTCGAGAGGAATCTGAGCCCTTTGAAGTACACCACTTTTGCGTCGGCCATGTTCAGCATCCTTTCCCTTGGGACAGCACACTGGCAGTACTCGACATGGCGAATAGGCAAGTTCTTCAAAGGAGAGGAAGTAACCGTGAACAGGCCATGGACATGGTTTCAAGTGTTCTCCCTTCTCTTTTTTCCATCATAGCCGCACCTTCACATCTACACAGGGCAGAGTCCACTCGCGACGGCCCGTCAGGCTACGTAGCCATTCCAAACCCACACCTGTCCACTCCTCTGGTCCCTCCACGCCCAGACGTTGTTGTGCACCTTCGAGTGCGGCGCCGGCCAGCGCCTTGGCGGTAGAGTTCAATGTATCAAAGACAAATTCAGCCATTCCATCCCCAGCCATTGGTGTCTCTGTTGTGGCGTTGCTCGGGACGTAGGACTCAGCAGGCGTGGAGCTGTACCGGGGCGCAAACCAGTTGCTGCGTAGGTCGAATATACATCTATCAGACCAGTGGCAGGATGATGCAAAGAGAATCAAGAGCAGGGCGGAGCAGTAAATGCATGGCCGGTGGATGATGTAGGTAAGCGCAATGAAGGAGATGATGAATAGTGGTGAGGCGTTGGTGGGGATGAACAGTAAGGGCAGCCAGCTAGAGTCATGTCAGTATCAGAGTCACTGCTCTTTGTGTGCCCCCTATTTGGCCTGGCTTGGTCTTTGAAGAGTCAGGCGCATGTGCTCGCTCACTTACCTGCGGAGACAGAACATGGTGGATGACGCCAGTCCGCGGCGGGGGACTGGGCCGAAGGGGGTGGATGGATAGGGTAGTGATAGAACTGTGAGGGTTGCTTTTAAGTGAAGCAGGGAGAAGGTTCGGCCACAGGCCCAGATAAAAGCTGAATGTGAGAGACTCTTAGATGGTTTCAATACTGATCGGAATTCAGCGATCACCGTTATCCCACAATCTGCATCCACAATACTTGCGCCTGACTGGCTCCTGTATCGGGCATCCTGCAGAAGTGACGTGACGCACCGCCCGGTAAATACCGTTACATACAGTGGTTTTAGCCACCGCACTAGCCACAATACTGTTCTGCGCTTCTCTCCAAATTGGCCATCTCCTCTCTCTCTCTCTCTTTCTCTTCAGGCTCGCACAATCTTTGTCTTCTCTCATCTTCATCTTCGTCCCACTTTCGCCCATCTCGTTACAACCACATCAATTTCATTTACCATTGCTTCAATTTCATCTTGGCTGGGGGTTTTCACTCCTTGACTGCTCGAAGGAGAGCTCTTTGAAAGCTTGCATAGCTTGGAATTCGTGCGGAGGTCGCCTGACTTTCACGGCGCGCGGCAGAAATGTCCACCCCAAACGATCTCCAGGCCCTGCTGGCTAGCATTCGTCCTCGGCCAAACGGTGCCAGCCAGCAAAATGGTGCTAGCCAGGAAAACCTGCATTACCCGAGGCCCCAACAGGCACAGCAGCATCCTTATCCCCATGGCATGTTTCCGCCGCATCCTCAGCAGCAGCCCCAGCCCTATGATGGCCAGAGCTTGCCCCATCCTCAGTTGCACGGTTATCGCCATCCCTCGGTCTCTTCTGCTCTGCAAAGCCCTTCTCCTGCGAATACCCCACCTCATCATGGTTCCGATATTCTCAGCCCCAATCTGCCGACTCCCCGAGCCGATTGGCAACATCAGCAGCAGCAGCAACACTATCAGCAGCAGCAGCAGCAGCAGCAGCAGCAGCAGCCATACCCGTCGCCGACTTCCCGTCAGCCAAGCAACCAGGACAGTGCCGCCAGCTTGCTCAATTTGCTGAGGTTCAGTCAGGGCTCGGGAGCTTCTCCCCAGCCTGCCACGATGACTCCCGAGCAAGCTCGATCGCCTGTCCCAGAGCATCCCTCGTCGCACCCCTCGTCGCACGGACGAAATATTTCCGCGTCTGACTTGGTGGCATCTCTCTTTGGCCAGAAGCCTGTTCCCGCAGAGCCCATGAACGGGCCTGCTGCCGCACCGGCACCAGCCTTTGTGCAGCCAACTGAGCCAGAGGGTCCGAGCGAAAACACCCAGGACATGTTGCTGCGTCTTCTCAATCGAGCCCAGCCCAGCTCTGCTGCGACACAGGCACCCGAGTTGGTCCCCAGTGTTCAGTCCCCTCCTTCGCAACGTGGTTCCGATGGGCCCGTGTCGCGCAGTGGTCGCGACAGTATTCTCATGGAGATTGTGGATGCCTCCCCTGCCGAGATTGCAGTGACGGAGACTGTCGCGTCTCCCGTGAAGGATTCCAAATTCACCTATGTCAATCCCTTTGACCAGCTCGCCGCGATGTCGCCGCGCAACAGCTCCCCACAGCCCAAGTCCGATAATGAAGGTCCGTCTGTGGAGGTGACGAAGAAGGAAAAAGTCAACATCTCAGCTACCATTGAGCCTACTGTTACTGTTCCCGCTCCTCGACCCTCGATGGCTCGTCCCAAGCGCCCTAAGTCTCCAATTTTGCTCCCCGAGCAGCGCGAGGCTATGAACGACGTCGTCAGCCGTCTGGTTGATGAAATTGGGCGAAGCATCCACGGTACTGGAACGGCTGACCAGGAAGCTGTGGTAGATGTTGAAATCCCATCTACCCAGCAAAATGGATCCAATGACCTGATGGCAGCTCTGCGCAACCATATGCGTGACACTGTCTCTCGTGCTGAGGAACTTCGTGCTGAGGTTGAGGCCCAAGCTGCTGAAGCGCCCATGGAGCCTGACACTGCTCCTGAGCCTACCAAGGCCGTCGAGACCGAACCGGAAGCTGTTTCGACTCCAGCTGTAAAGCTTAACAACGAAACTGCCGAGGCCCTTCTTGACAGCTGGGAAAGTGCCGAGGACAGTGCTGAGAAGGAGGAAGAACGTGTTGTCACTGTTCACAACTTCCCTCTGAAGCCTTTCATTTCCATCACCGTGAAATCCTCAGTTGGCAAACTTGTAGACTTCCGCGATGATGGAATCATGGATATTGCCCGGCTCAAGAAGGAATTCGATCAGCTGGATCGTTCGCTGACCGCTGCCACTTCGGATTACATCGTTTATGCTCTGGCGAAAACCGGAGGTATTCGAATTATCCGCCAAGACGACGGTAGTGACCGGCAGGTGTTCCGTGCCACTCGTGATCGGGTCTTCAACGTCGCCCTTTGCACAAACCATGCGACTTCTGGCCAATCTGACGTTCAAGCCATTCTTGGTATTGCTGTCAGCGGCACTGTTTACTGGGCTCTGATCTCTCGTGCGGGCAAGGATCTGTTCGAGCTCGATGCTCTGGAGAGCGAAAGCTTGATTTTCCCCCCTTTCCCAGCCTCTGATGAGAACACTTCTGGCGGCCAGCTGAAAACGCGCGCCAAGCGAAGCTCTCGTCACCCCGACCTCTTCGCCATTGGTCGTGGGAAAAATATCTATGTGATCTCCCCCAAGGCGGCCATGTCCCCCGCCTACGGTGTGTCTGGCTCTCAGCGCACTGTCAACACCGAGAAGTTTTTTAAGGAGCGCTCTCTGAAGATCTCGACTGGCAAGGCTGGAAAGGACTTTGCCTTCAGTGACGATGACACCGTCATTGCTTCTCTCGACAAGACCGGCCGTCTTCGCTTCTGGGACATCACCGATATTGCTGAGAATCCTTCTCTGCTCGAGAGTCAAGCTCCCTCGGAGGTCCGAGTCCCTCTAAACACCTTCGTGACTGGCTCGCCAGCGGAAAAGTCGTGGCCGACCTCGGTCTTGTTCCTCGACAAGCTCCGTCCGTACTCGCGAGCAACTGCGCTGCGGTACATACTAGTTGGCCTCAAGCAGAACCACACCTTGCAGCTCTGGGATATTGGGCTTGGTCAGGCTGTGGAGGAGGTCAAATTCCCGCACGAAAATGAGTCGGACGCGATCTGTAGCGTTGTCTACCATCCTTCGTCGGGCATCATCGTTATCGGACACCCCACCCGCAATTCGATCTATTTCCTTCATCTCTCGGCGCCGAGGTACAATCTGCCTCCCATGTCCCAAGCAGCCTTCATCAAGGCTGCCACCGAGAAGGAGAGTTTTACGAAGCCTGAATCAACCGCCTGTCTTAGTGGGATCAGAGAGATCTCGCTCGAGTCCAAGGGTCAGCTTCGAAGCTTGGAGCTTTTGCCGATCACCAAGTCTGCTGCTGACAAGCGTGGCGCCGAGGAAACCGGATTGTTCGAGCTCTACGTTATGCACTCGCGTGGCGTGACTTGCCTGAACATCAAGAAGGAGGACTTGGGCTGGTCTGAGGATAACAAAATTATCCGCGCCGTCGACGGTGTGGAAGCGGGCACTGTCTCAATTTCTGAGCTTCAGACCTTCCCTAGTTACATCGCCGACGAACCATCAATCAACGGCGACGCTGCATCAATCCAGTCACGCTCGGCCAAGGAGACTGTGACCAAGACGACAGACACTGCCGAGACTACTGCGGGTATCAGTCAGCCACGCAATGCCTCGCCGACTAAGCTCGCCAGCAAGAAGAAGGCTGTCGACAAGGTCGTCGAAGAGACCACTAAGGATTCAATCGATACCGTCGGTGGCGCTGAGAAGGCGGACAAGAAAAAGAAAAAGAAGTCTGCTCCCGCTGTCACAGAGACCCCTGAAAAGGGCAAGGAATCAGTTGGCATGGGTGCTGTGGAGCCCGCGGGTACCAAGGACCACAAAACTGTTGTATCATCTGCCGTATTGAGACCTTCGGTGGAGGGCCTTGAGGCCAATATCAAATCTGGTCTATCCAATGGTGCTAGCCCCGATGAAGTGTCCAACACATCTCTTAGCAGCATTCAAAACGCTGTTTCTCTTGAGATTAACAAGAGTCTGAGCAGTCACTTCGAAGCTCTGAATCGCCGGATCAACGACGAACGACGCGGTTGGGACACTGCCTCATCTGCGAAGCTGGAGAAAGTGCTTCGCCTAGTATCCACCACGCTATCGGAAGGCGTTGAGAAGACTATGGCCAGTATCATGTCCACCAGTATTCAAACCGATGTTATTCCCACTCTTAGCCAGGCTGCTACTGCCGCTGTTGAAAGGCAGCTTGGCTCTGCTGTTGAAAAGCAGCTTGGAGGCGCACTCAACGATGGCCTGCGCCAAGCTTTGCCCAAGGCTGTGAACGCGGCCATTCTGCAGCCTGCTGTCATGAAAACCATCTCCGATTCTGTCATTCAGAAATTGTCATCCAACATTGACGCCGCTGTTCAAGCTGCTATCTCGCCTCTGACTGACAAGGTCACTCGCGACCATCAGAAGGTCGAAGCTGAGTTGGAGAGACATTTCAGCGCTCAATTACAGCATTTTGAGGCTCAACGCCAGACCGATCACGCGAAGATTGAGCAGCTGTCGACGGCGCTGCAGGATCTTTCTGGAAAGGTGACAGCACTTTTGGAACAACGATCTACCAGTCAGCCTTCAGGTGACGATGAGATGACTGCTATCATGAGACTTTTCTTTGTAGAAGGCAACATTGAAGCTGCGACACTCAAGGTATGTTTGGATCCATCCCCAGCAAACGACCATATCAATGCTGAATTCTGACAACTGCTGCAGTGGATTGAATCTTCTCATCAAGCCGATCTATTCGATAGTGTGTTTGTCCGTGTGGACCCAGAATACATGCTGAACCTCAGTGTCATGTTGAACCTCTCGGTTGCTGTGGCCGTCACGGTCTCATTGGACACGAACGTTGGCAAGCGTCTCAAGTGGTTGGAAACGACACTGACCGCAGTTGATCTCGAATCTCCACAGGTGAGCGGTATACCGCCCCGGCTTACAGTTTCCATTATTTGCTAACGAATTTTTTTTTCTTTTCTTCGCACAGAATGCCCATTTGCGCATGTCTCTTGTTAGAAACGAAGATTTGCGCCAAGTCGTACCGTTGGCGATGAACAAGCTCGGCCAACGCCTGCATGCCTTTTACATGACCGCTACCCAGGACAATCCCAACAGTCCAAGCCCTGCTCTCATTGATTGGCTTGTTCGCCTGATGCACTTCACACGCAAGATCATGAGTCAATACGCGGCTCCCGCTTAAAGGATCCAGGGGAAACCCCTGAACCGTACATTGGTTGACCTTTGTGCTTTCCAAAATCACTCTGCATATGTGCTGCTGGAGTCGATTACACTTTTTGCATGATTTTGACACGATCTACGACGGTTGGAAACCTATGCTCCATATGTATTTGACGCGAACGGAGATGATGCATTTGAACGGTCATGGGCGTGGTAACTGAATATGAGCGTCATTTGCAAGACACACTCACTTTTTTTGAGTGCTGCATTTCGTGGACGTTTATCTCCACATACTGCTATTTCTCCCCCATCGATTCGTGGAATCTTGATGGGTTCGGGGATCCTCATTATTGCGCGTCATTTATTTCAACTGTTTAATTTTTCAACAATTCTATAGCTATTTTATGAATGGGGTGGTTTCTGAATGATTCAGGTGAACATCTCTCGCTGTGTCTCCTATAATAATCCTGACAGATACTCTTCTCCAGCACGGATAGTCATTTCGTAGAGAGCATGTGGAAAAGGAAACTGGAGCGTCAAACTCATGAAGAGGAAAAGAAGTAATATCTCGGAGAAGGGATAAGGTAGGAGTCAACTACCTGCAGCTCCCGTCCTACCAGGTGACAGGCAAAGCCTGATATCAAACCTTGGAAGGAAGAGGTCCAAGCTTGAAACAAAGACTTGGAAATTGCATGATGCTTTCGCGTAAGTTATAAATCAAGACCACATATTCGCAGATGAGGTAAAAAGCTCAGGATTATTTCTGTTCCACAGGCCCTTGGACAGGATTTCTTTTGATCATACGGTCTGTTGACCAGAGACTTACGGAAGTAGATCAGGAGTGTCCGAATATGACAGTGCCGTTTACCAGTACCCTGAGAAAAAGAGACTCCGCTCATTACTTCGAAAAAGTTCCTTATCCTTCTTTGCGTGATGGCCGACGGGCTCGTCCCGGAGTGTAAGAGCCTCAGCTAGACGCATGGTCTTATCAGCAGAGCTGGTCCAATCTGGTTGTTAAGGTTGCACGTTGCGCGTTGAGTAGATTCGAAAAATGTGAATCAAACAGAGAGCCACGGTTAAGAATCGTGCGTGGCTAGACTTGGTCACGTCTTGAAGCTGCAGAGGGCTCATCCGTCGTTGGTAGGCGATGGGTGACACGATCATACGCTCCGAGGGCAACTTGACTGTTCCGAATTTCCACTCGTTGCCAGGAAAAAGAGAGAGAGAGAGGAGAGCAGTGCATGGTTTTCGAACCGGAAGAGCAGGCTTAGATATGGCACGTCTCATGGGGCATTTGGCCCGGTTGGTTCCTCAGTCTCGTCTTCATTGTTATCGTCATCGTCGGTTTCGCTGTGTGACCATGCGTCTGTATGGTCATGAACCTGGGTTTGGCTTTCTTTGGTGCATCTTTGTTGAAAGTCCACTGGGATATCCTTCGACGCATTCCCGGGGCCTATTTATAGGGTGTGGGCGGTAATGTGTTCGTTTGCGTTTCTCTTAGTGCGCCATGCCTCGCCAGGTTAGAACTGCGCCTCGGAATCTAGGTCGATGCTCTGAAGGCGGACAAGGACCTGAAGACCCGACTCTCGATTTTGTGATGCAGTATTAGATCATAGAAGTTATGATCGTCGCCCTTACAAGGGGGCAATTCCCTCGCTCACTCAGGAAATCGGGCCTTCCACTCAATCTCGTAGGTACGGATTCAGATTAGCTTTCTTGCACAAACCACACACACACACACACACTGTAGTAGACACTTGGCCGCCCACTGCGTACCAGGATGTGGTTCTATTGTCGAATACTGTCTGAGATCACAGTCTCAATTGGAGTGTACACTTCTTGACTTTTGAGACGAAGGTCTGTTGATATAATAAGCGATCTGTCCATCGGTTGAACAAGGAGGACGGGTGAATTCTTGATAGATTGTCGAGCCTTGTCTTGGAACTCATTTAAGCAGCAATTCGGGTTATTTCATAACCACCCGTGGTCGTCATTGCGTGCCATCAGCCTCAGGAAGGCTTGCAGAGTTTGAGCACGGTTGTGCTTGACCCAATTCTGGTATTACACGAGAGATGAGAAGAATAGGGCCGTCACTGTGGTTGTCGAGGAAATGAGGGGGGAAAGGACTGAGGAAGGCAGGGGTTGGCGGGGTTGACTTGCACACGACTGCTCCCGTTTGCTGCAGTGCAGACCCAGCAGTCATGTGATATCGGGGTGACAGATAATCAAATCTTCATTCTTCCGTCTTTGCTTTGCTTCTCTTGCGCATGGGCCTAGCCCGGGGTCAAAAGTCCATAGACTGACTGTACGTGGACGGTTGGACAGGGCGACACTAGGATAGGACGCGAGTCCTGAGACCTAGGCACTACGGTACTTCCTGTGTCCTGTAGTATTGTCTCATCCGTACCTTCTCTACCAGGTATAGCGCGTCTCATCATTGTGATGGTTTTTCATTCCTCCATTTGTCATGACAAGGTGCCAGGTGGATGGTCTCTGTGCAAGTCCTTCTTCACTTTTGCCGGGTAAAGCAGTCAGCATGACCACAAGGTGTCATGAGGGCAGAATAGGGGAAAACCGACGGAGCAAGGCCCTTTCTCTCCACAGTCGTGCTTGCTTGATCATTTGCCCGCTGTGCTTGGCATGTCTTGATCCTCTGCTCGAATAGTCAATTTTCCGGGGTATTACGAGGAGCCCTGTCGCCTTGGCACTGCGGGGGTTATGTCATGGTGAAAGATGGATCGTCTTCGCAGGTTGTCTGAGGGCTGTATGTCGGGGGTCAATCCTTTCCACCTCGGAGGTTAAACAGCATCATTGCCTAAAAGAGCTGGAGGTTGTGAAGAAAAGACAAGTGGTCTCTGCGAGATGCCATCATGTAAGTACTGCCGTAGTGTCCTCATCTCGTGTGTTCTGCAATCTATTTTCATCACTGCGAAGTTTTTAATTCTTGCTTATTCGTTCACTAGGAAGGCGACTATTTGTCTTGGCAGGCTGTTCCCATCCCTGCATGGTAGTAGTGAGTCAGTGACGAGTGACTGATCTTCTTCAAGTAGATATCCTTGTTTGTCTTTGATTCAGTGGCGATTTGCTCAAGGGGTCGGGTTGTTCTGCCTGTGGAGTGGTCTGACACGTGACAGTGCCGGAGATTTACCGGAATCGGGGGTTCATGGTGATGATCACTTGTAGCAGATCTTGATGGCAAATTCCTCAGGGCAAATTCTACGTACTTTCCGTTCTATTGAGGATCTTACACCGTCGGACCATTCATAGTTCATAATTTATACTGACGGGGATTTCTGCGGTTGACTTTGATATTTCTCGGCTTAACAATGAAGATCCACGGTCAAGTCAAATTCCATCCAAATTAGGGTTACTACTGGTATCTACTGCTCAGAATGGCAGGATGAGCGACCATCTTGACATATCTACTCCCAAGTCGTATGGTCGTGGACTATCGACATGAGATATCGACCTCTACAAGGTGACTAATTATGAGGAACTCCCGCTGTCAGGTATGTTCCTGTCCTACTGCGCTGCTATTCCTGTCCAGTCTCGAATGCGATCACGACCCCTTCTCACGTACTGGCCTCTCGACCCTCTGTACTGCAATGGCCTAGAATTATCTGCTCAATCTATTCTGCCGTCTCCACCCCTAAGAAGCATCTGGAATTAGAGATAGCCTCGGTCTGTTCTGAAGTAGACTACTATGCTCTCCCCACTCGCGTTGCTTTTCCGGCGAGAAAAAGTGGAAAATCATTGATAGCCAAAGGCAGTTGGACCAGATAGTAAGGATATACTTGGGAGTTAGGACCCTACCTGGGTTAGGGCACAGAGAACGGGGAAACTTCGGCTGTGCCGCAGGCGATTTGCCGATAAAGGGTTGTTTTACCGTGAAACACACTACTTTCTGCCAATCGGCACCGAGTCGGCTGAAACAGCCAAAAAAGACTAGTGGAGTGGGACCCCGTTTTTTCTCCTCAGACATCATGCATCTTGTTCTCCTGAAGAATGATGGACCCTGGAACCCTAACGGAGGGTCAAGGTTTCGGGCAGAGGGGGCACCTTGGTTGAGAGAGAGGTATCGTCTCCATTGCGTTCTCAAACAAGCTATCTCATGTCGGTTCAAGTACACTATGGCCATAGCCAAAGCTGCAGCCAGACACGGTAGTTCATACTTTACGACCATAGTTGCACGAGCTAACAGTGGGATTAGAAGATACCTGATTCATGTGGACTACAATGAAGTCGCTCATAGTCGGAGTACTCCCAATTTCTCTGTCAACCACTACATAACCATTTCGGTATATATCCCATGTGTTTCACCATTCACCCATGCATCCTCTGCCCATAGACAGTTCGACAGTTCGACAGTTCGACACACCCTGGAATCTCCACCACGAAGGAGAGACCCCCCGGCGGGATCCACCGAGACGGAGCTGCTCCTCCACTTCAGTAATGAAGGGTTCTTGGCACTCGGCTGGGCATCACCACCCGCCGGGGCTCAAACGGCTCAAACGTGTTAGCTGCTCGTCAAACAGGCCCGGCCAGGGTCTTTCGGTCAGGGTCTTTCGGTCAGGGTCTTACAGGGGTCTCGCGCAAGGTCGAGATGTCATCCGGCTAAAATAGAGCTCATTGCACGCGCCACCACACGACCAATCAATTGGTTGCTCCTGGCCTGCCAAAGCCACTGGCGGAGATCAACTTCGGATTGGGAAGGGGGCAGTAGAGGAACGAGGAGGAGGAATTCGGTTTGAATCTCGTTGACGGTCTAGACGGAGACGCAGGATGGGGCGTCCGCTCTTCAATGGGGAGGGATGGTCGTTCCAGTTTGAGAGCTCCGGAGAAGAAAGACATGGTTCCAATTGCGATTATTCAATTTCGTGTTTACTGGAGTCTCCTTCCAGAACGACAATAGGCGTGAGATCTCTCGTGGGTAGTTTTTGGGTTAGCGGTGACTAGTCAACAGGGACTATCAGGATGGGTCTAGAAACTTATACCGTCGATTGAATCTCAGTATATAAAAATGAAGCCCATCCCGACCAAATACTTCCTTCTCTTTTTTTTTCCCCTTCATCCAAGTTCGTTTCATTCCTTTCTCTTCCCAACCTACAGTTCATACTTCACTTTCTACCCTCCTTTTCATCTATCCCCTTCTTTTTCAAAACTTTCCTCCCATTTATACCCATCATCCTTTCAAAATGGTTCACATCAAGGCTGCCGCTGTTGCACTGATCTTCGCTGGTTCGGCGATCGCTGCTCCCGCCGCCGACATTGAATGTCGCCAGGCCTCCACCAGCGTCGATGCCAAGTTCAAGGCTCATGGCAAGAAGTACTTTGGTAACATTGCCGACCAGTACACCTTGACCAAGAGCCCCAAGCCCGCGGCTATCATCAAGGCCGACTTTGGTCAACTCACTCCGGAGAACAGCATGAAGTGGGATGCCACTGAGCGTGAGTGACCATTACTTTCTGCCCATGTGGCATGGCAGTTCGAGTATATACTGACCGTTGCATGGATTGCAGCTTCCCGTGGCAAGTTCAACTTTGGTGGCTCTGACTACCTGGTAAGTCGAATAGCTTCGTCTTCAAGACGGTTCAACCATATACTGATATTTCTTCCAGGTCAACTTCGCCACGCAGAACAACAAGATGATCCGTGGCCACACTCTCGGTAAGTCGTTCTCTCTGGCAAACATCGATATCAATGTCAGAGCTCGACCAAACTAATCTCTCGTCCCCCAGTCTGGCACTCCCAGCTCCCCCAGTGGGTCCAGAACATCGGTGACCGCAACACCCTCACCCAGGTCCTCAAGGATCACATCACCAACGTGATGGGCCGCTACAAGGGCAAGATCTACGCCTGGGACGTCGTCAACGAGATCTTCAACGAGGACGGTACCATGCGCAACAGCGTCTTCTACCGTGTTCTCGGCGAGGACTTTGTCCGTATCGCTTTCGAGACTGCTCGCTCCGTTGACCCCAACGCTAAGTTGTACATTAACGACTACAAGTGAGTGTGGCCCGCCGTACACATAAAGCATTTCCCAGCTCCCTTGATCCAACGAACTGATTCGATGCTTTTTCCAGCCTGGACAACGCCAACGGCTCCAAGCTGAAGGGTATGGTCAGCCACGTCAAGAAGTGGATCTCTCAGGGTATCCCCATCGACGGTATTGGTAAGTTCATGTCTTCTATGAAGAATCACATACAGACTTTTTGGTTGTTGTTGTTTTTTTCCTTCATGAAAAAAACACCAAGATATAAAAAAGTAACACCTTGCTTATTCCCCCAATAGGTTCCCAGAGCCACTTGGAGGCCGGTATGGGTGCCGGTGTCCCTGCCGCCATCAACGCCCTCGCCAGCGCCGGTACCAAGGAGCTTGCCATCACCGAGCTCGACATTGCCGGTGCCGGTTCCACCGACTACGTCAACGTGAGTCTTGACCCTCTGTTTAAAACGTCCTTGATAGTTGATATACTAACCCTTCCTTTTCTCCTGATAGGTTGTCAAGGCTTGCCTCAACCAGCCCAAGTGTGTTGGTATCACCGTCTGGGGTGTCTCTGACAATGTAAGATACTGACAACCCTAACCCAATCTCTCTCTACTCTAAAAGACGAGCCAAACTAACTCGGATGTTTACTCCAGGACTCGTGGCGCTCTAACAAGTCCCCCTGCCTCTTCGACAGCAACTACAACGTCAAGCCCGCATACAACGCCATCACCGCTGCTCTCTAAGTGAAGCAAAGCAGCGCATCTCGCATGCCATGACATCTAGACCGTGTCTGAGAAAGGCCCCGCTACAATTCTCCTGCCTTGGCCTTCTTGTTTTTTTTCTGGCCCCCGAACCAGGGTATATCCGGACTGGTTTCCGGATAGAAACGAGGCGCAAAGAACGAAATGCGCCGAGAAGGGAGAGAAACGTAGGGGGATTTTTTTCTGACTTGGTGAAAATTAGACGCGTCTTGACGGTCTCTGGTTCGCGATGCGCGATGTGCAATTTGCGATTTGTATCTCACTTGGCAATCTGTCCATGTCGATATCTTTACATCTCATTGCTTTGTTGCTGGTCTTTGACATGGACGGGATGTCTTTGTTGCGAGCTAGGTTTCAATTGAACTTGTATAAAACTTGGAATTGATGATACGTACTGTAATCTATAGTGTAGTGTGTAGGTCTGAGTCCGTTTCGTTGCTACAAGATTGCTTTGCGACCTGATCGATTTGGAGACTGGACACTGGAACGGGTCAAGTCAAGGTAAGGTAAACGTTCTTCCAATAGATAAACAATATGCGAGATTCTCGAGGCACAGCATGTTACATTCAGCGCCCCGAACTGATACACATACACTGTAGTCTATAGTCTATAGTCTATACACTATAGTGACTACACTACTTGGAAGCCAGGTACTTATCCCCCCAAACATCTCGTCTTACGAGGAATTTCGAGGCAAAAGGGACCACGCACGCCACGCCTTAGGTTGTCTAGCATTCGAGTCCGCGTGGGCTGTAATTAAAAATGAGGGTTGTGATCACTTGGTGTGCAGACGTGCACGACTGCGCAGAGTTGAATAGATCTGACTGGGGCTGGGCAAGCTCTAGTAGCTGGTGATCGGCCGGCTTGTCCTGTCCGGGTGTGAGGTGCTTAGTAGGGGCATGGTAGAGCCAGAGGACTTTGGAGGGGGAATGTTTCTAATCCTGTTATGTAAGATGGGAATTGACTACTAGTTCGTATACGGATTATGGATAGATGTACAGAGTATAGACTATAGAGCACGTCTCGTGTACCGGGTGAGGGCATGTATCCAGGTAATGGAGTGGAGTAGACTGTAGAACACATAATAAGTTCATTATATTCACGCCACAAACTCTCCTTTGTACATCTTGATCTGATCGGACTCCGATCATTGCGCATCACAACTCACGGGTCACAATCACAATCATGATCACAGCCACAATAACATTCGCAAACGATGTTATCGCTATGCAAAACTATTCACAGATCCAAAACAAAAAAAAAATGACAGACAGATCAAAGGTTTCTATGGACATCTCAAATTCATCAGAAGCCTCAGTGGGTGGGGCGGAGGACTTTCGATCATGATTGGGGGAGGGAACATCGGACATCACGTGTGTTCATGAATATTGGGTGGTGAAATATCGGAAGGATGCAATGGCCAAATGGTGAGAACGCAGAGATGCGGCATGGTGGACCACGCAGGTTGTGTCCGCAAAAAGCAGATTCAGACGATGCAGAGGACGAATCGCTTTTTTTGTCCCTTCTTTTTTGCGACTTTGCATCAACAAGGCATTCGTCAATACACGCCAGGTTGAAAAGATGTTGAGGGTCAAAACTCCCTGCGCACATTGAGGGATATACAACACACGCATGGCACTCTCGCGGTCCGCAATGAGACGATGTCAGAGATACTTCGACCAGCTGACAAAACATCACATATGGATCGAAGGACTCTCTAGGTATTCATCATACAGGACTCGGAGAGTCGCGCTCCCGTGAATGCACACCACTCACCGGCTCCTGGTGAACAAGATTCACAGGGCGGGCGGGCTCATCGTGTGACTCGGCGCCAATCTGCTCGTCTTGCGACCTAGCGTGAACGACTGGCCGACCGATACGGAACACAGGAGGATTGGGCGACGTCTCCTGATTCTCACGCTTGCGGGAGCGGTGACGCGAAATGCTAAACTTCATACCCCGAGGCATGGCCGTGCTGTGAGTGTGGCGAGAGTTGGAGATGGGCACTGGATCAGGGTCGTCCACAGTACTGGTGCTGATGGCGCTGGAAATGGTCCGCGGCAGATGGTATCCTGCTTTGCCGACAGGGACGGAGAGACCGTGAACAATCTGAAATTTGGGTATTAGATGAAGTCGACAGTGAGATGACTGAGGTTGTGAACGTGGACGGAAAAGAAAAAAGAAAAGAAACTTACGATACTACAAATCACCAAGAACCAGACGACAACATTGACCGTGTCGTAGACCTGCTGAGCATCCGCCCGCATTTTTCCGTCGACGGTGATTTCGCGCAAGTATTCACGACAGATGGAAAGGTAGAAGATGGCACCGACGCCAATTGGGCCAAAGAAACCAACGAATCCCGCATGGCGCACATGCTCGATTTGGTGGATCCACTTATGCATCACCAGAACAATGGGTAGGCGGCGGAGCAGCAAGATCAAAACACCCAAGAAAATCAGGCGATAGATCGGGATCACGTCGTTGTGCAGGAAGGACGACCACGGACAGACAGCACCAAACCACATGAACACCGCCAAGTTGAGGAGCATATCGATGGTCGGCTGGAGCGAATCATCCATGGTTTCAAGACGGAACCAGTCACTGTTGAGCATCGTTAGTAAATCCCGTAGCTCCATCTCGAAATGATCACGGCCCATGAGCTTACTCTTGAGTGAATACATTTCCTGCAATGAAACAGGCAAGCAGATCGTCAGTGCCAATCAGTCCGCAGGTGCCTACAATGAAGAGCTAAGAGCCAGGGGTTAGCAAAGAGCTGGTCTTGAAGAATCATCGAATCAAACGGGCAAGAAGAAATTCAAGAACAACTTACGGCGAGGGCAATGGCGAAAACCAGGAAACTCTCCCGATCCACATAACGCTTCTCCTCGGCCCAGTGGAGAAGCTTCCGAGACAACCAACCCACAGCGATGCCATATGCGATACTCAGAATGATGACATACACCCACGTCTCAAGGAACCACTGGCCCATGGCCTTGCTCGCACCGCCCGGATGCCCCTCGCCACCCATGCCGATGTACTGCAGCAGATAGAGGGCGAAGAACAGGAACGGATAACCAAGACCGTCGTTTGCGCCGGACTCGGCAATGATGATTCGTTGCAGAGGTCGCGGCACATTCTTGTCTGCAAATTTGCCTTTGACAATCGAGTTGGACAAGACCGGATCTGTGGGCGTGACACAGGATGCGACAACCAGGGCGTGGAGGAAACTGAAGTTGGGCACCATGGCCCACACCACCAGGCTACTGCAAATCCACATGGCACCCATGCCGGGGCCGAGCAGGAGCGCCAAGCTCCGCCATTCGACCTGCAGATACCGCTTGGGGAGCTGAACGCCTGCCAAGAACAGCTGCACGCCTAGAACGAGGCGGGTAAAGTGCAAGGTAATCTCCTCAAGGTTGAGCTCGTTGTGCAATGCATAATCTTTTGGGCGTATGAAATTCGCTGCATGGGGAGAAAACACAATTCCGGCAAGAAGCGAGATGACTATATCAGAAAGGTCAGGCAGTTGCTCCGTGTTGAACTCGATCTTTCCGAGGGAGCTAGGAAGCTTGCATCACTTACGTGCTTCGGAGAGGTAGAATCGCTCCTTGCACAGGTATGACACCAGGCCGAAGAGAGAGATGAAGCCTCCCAGCGTCGCACAGACGATATTGAAATTGATCAGGGCAAGAGTCGGCATCTTTGCTCCAACGTTGTCTCAGATGCCTGCTGTGTTCACGGTGTTTGGCTCTCTGAGCGGCGGGAAGGATGATCACGGGTCACGCACGGTGGTGACTCCAGAACACCGCAATCCCCACGGATGCTTCTCGGATCGACTCAGTGATGCGCGAAAAGGTCGGGGGAATTTCGCTGCTGAAGTCGGTTGGAGCTTTCCGGTCTTCTGTGTTCGTGTTCCACACAGGATCAGGGGACGTTCTACGGCAGATCACCAGGGATCCTCAGCGGACCTGCTTCGAGCTGCCACAAACAAGCAAGAACGGGACAGCGGGGGGATGCAAGTAAATGTTAGGCAATCATAGTAGACGACGAGGGTTCCTGGCAATGACGCAAGACGCTCATATGGCACGATGCTAAGGAATCGCGAAATGGGCGAGGCAAAAGCTTGAGTGGTCTCAGCGAATAGTTCCAAGCACTTGGTGCGGTCACAAACAGTTGCGAGGGTGGGGAGGGGGTGTTGAAGGGTTGGAGAGGAGGAAAAGCCCAGAGGGACAAGAACGACCAAGAAATGGAAGAGGGGGTTGAGTGGAAAAAGGGAAAATTAAGAAAAAAAAAAAAAGAGGGAACAGGCCCACGTTGAAGAGGCACGCGAAACGGTCGCAGTTCAGGTTCCCCACGAGAATTTCTAGGCGGTCTTGGTGATTCTTGGCGTGGATGTTCCGGAGATGGACGAGAGATGCGCCTGCAATGTACCACTAATCGAGATCGGGAAGGAATGACAAGAGGAGGGATGTCCTTAAGAAGATGTGTGCACCGAACAGAAAGACTTGGGTCTACCCGTGCGCAGATGATCCGAGCCAGGTTTGAGAGATTTACTGTACTGTAAGAGACCGGCAGGCTTGCGATTCACGAGGCACTCAAACTTTGTCTCCAAACTTTGCCGTTCTCCGCATTCGGTCATGCCGAGTGGAGCCTGGAGAAGCGCAGTACTGACTCACTACTGAGTGGCGCAAGAAGTACGATACGCCCGACCCTCCTCGTGGAAACGTGATATGACGAGGTTGGGCCCTTTAAATGGCCATGGGACAGGTCGTGGAATGCTTGATTCCCATCATCACATTGCCATGACAAGATGATCATAGACGATCTGACGATCCTTATCGGACTCTTTGCATTCATGATCAGTGATGATATCCTGTGCTTCTTACCGGCTCTCCGGATCGCCGCACGTGGTGAAGATGTTCCTGGCATTCATTCTCCGTCTCCAGAACCCCCTTGCCGCCAACCCTTCCACTTACATCGTGTTGAATCCGGCTCCGTCAGCCCCGCGCGCACCAGTGTTGATCTCTCCCCCTTCGGATATTTGTATCTGTTTGGGTGGTTTGGAAACGGTCGGGGGATCTCCTCCGTCGCCAAGAATCGTATGCTGACCGCAATCCCCCCCCCCCCCCGCCCCGGACCAGGTCGGTGGCACCTGAATGCAGATGCAGTTCTACAGTTCGGCCTCGCATGAAGGCCTGAATCTTCGCGTAGATGCCCCCCGTTCACAATGTGGGGCCGGCAGTTTTTTTACAGGTGGAGGACTCAGAACACAATCTGATCCAAGTGTTTCATTGGGTTGTCATGCAAAGCACCAAGCCCGTCCGAGCGTGGTCAAAAAAGCTCCTCCTCCAGCCCGACGGCGGGCGCTCGACGACTCACTTCGAGTGCTTCGGCCTTTTGCCGGACACCCTCATGGGCCCCGTTCACCGCTAGTCGGTCGGCTGCCTCATTCCCCGGATCGCGGTTGTGCCCTTTGATCCATTGAAACAGCGTCTTCACTTCAAGCTCGTTGCGCTCTTCGATCTTGACCAGGATGGACTCGATCAGGTCGCGATTTTCCACCGGTTTGCCATCCTTGGTCACCCAGTGATTTCGCCGCCAATTTACAAACCACACAGTCACGCAGTCGATCGAGTACCGGCTGTCTGTGTAGATGGTCACGTCCCGATGACGAGGAGCGATATCGATGGCGCGTAGAATGGCCGTCAGTTCGGCCCGCTGGTTGGTCTGTCGGCTGCCTTTGAGGGGCTCAGAGACATTTCTGCTGGTGGACGAAAGGTCAGTAAGCGACAACCCATCTCGAGACCAGGGCATGCCGTGGTCTCTTCCATTTCCCTAGACCTGTTCTTCCGTCTTTTCCGCGCCTTCTTCCTCTCCTCCTCGGTACACGTGCGAGGCAATAGCATGAATTCTACGAACCTTGAATCTCCCGGTCCAAAGTATACACCCACTCCAGCAGAGGCGAGCTTGGTTCCATTGCGCAGCGAGCTCCCGTCCGTGTAAATGCGCAGCATCCCTGGAATTCCCGTCGCTCGCGTCTTCGTCCCGGTCTTTTTCGCAACTGCTTTATAGACCATCTTGCCGGTGGCCGGGTCGAGCAATACATTAGGGTCGAACCCATCCTCCGCTCCCGCAGGCAAAGGTCCGTCTCCCGGCGCATACTCAACCCCGTCTGCATCCTTGGGATTCTCATTGGTCAAGCCAGGGGCTCCAGATGCATGTGACGACAAAGCTCCCTCCTTCCCAGCATCGACGAACTCTTCGGCCTCTTCTCGCGTCGCAAACTTCCGGTAGGATGGCCGCGTGAACCCACAGATCTGTTGCTGTGCCACCGTCCAATCGGTGTACACTCCGGGCACACGCCCTCGTTGTACTCCGTAGAAACGTGTATTTTCACCCCCGTTGGCAGAGGCAGTGGCAGACGGTATCTTCGCGCCGGACAGGAAGGCGTTGGCGTCTTCGAACGTGAGGAAGGATTGAACTAGAATGAGACAGCACGTCGCCCGCTACGTTAGTGTCCACTCTGGAAACACACCAGCTTTTGAATGATACGAGACAGGGCCGAAGGAAAGCTCTACGCGCAAAGGCCTCCTCAGTCAGACCAGCTAAACGTACAGATAGCTCCTTTGAAACCAGTAATTTGCGCCAGGCAGTCAGGCCAGCTGTAGTAAATGCCCGGCTTGTTTCCTTTCTTCACCGCATATAATTTGTTTCCGGTCGTTCGTTTGCGCTTCATCCCTGCGGTGGGAGATGGAGACGATTTGGATCGTGAGGAAGCTTTTGTGCCTGACCCGGGGCTCAGCGAGGGCGTGGTACCGTTCATCGCGTCCGGCTCGTCCTGGTCGTCGAGGAAGGGCAGTGAATTCCAAGAAAACGAAGCGAAAGATAAGCGCGATGGAAAGGGGACAAGCGCAAGTCCTGAAAGTCGCGAGCCCGAGATCGGTGAATCGCGATGGAAAGGGAGTTTGGCCGGGTGAAATCTCCCTCGGTGCGGAGTGACTCGCAGAGGCCTTGAAAGGGCGAGCAAGGGCCCCAGGGTAGGGGTTTGAGAGCAGACGTATCTGCTTTGTGTAAATGAACACACGACGAAGGAACTTCGCGGGTGGGTTGCTTCAAGAGAGTGTCAAAGGCAGGCTGTGGTTCCAAAGTTGAAGAAACGATGGGAGGAGGGAGGGGTGGCCGATGGGATTTCGAAAATGGGAGGGGGGAGATCCTGTCTGATTGGGGCCCTCCGCACTCCGCAGCCACTTTGCTGATAAGTACAGGCGCGATCAACACTCTACAGCAGTGGTTTACCAACCTCTTCCGACGAGTGTACGCTTGACGCTGTAATCGTGTTTGACTCTGCCGATGAACCTGAGGATGGGGGACAAAAAATCTCACGGTGGCTTGTAAATAGCAAAGTATCTCCAGCTCCACCCACATTCATTTTCGCAACCTGCGTTTCGAGGCCGTCGACGATATATCCGGGAAGCTGCACCGGGGCCATACTCCGACCTGTGCTTGTTTCTCATCGTCCGCCAGTTTGAAGTATCAAGAACTAACGATACAATGTCAGAGTGATAGGTAGCGGGGAACAAGAAGCTTCTTGATGGGAGCTGCATGTGTTTGACCATCGCGCTTTCATTTCAAATCGATGCGCTCAGGAGCATGTTGATGCATCGCTACAAGTGGATAGGTCATGTCCACGTCTAGCAATCATGCCTCTGGGGCTTCCATCCCTACGGACTTCCCGCAGGACGGACTTCTCTCCTAGAATTTCACCTTCTAGGCTATCTGAATCTCCCCCCGGCGTCATAGGCACCTCCTCCAGCCTCGGTAGCCACGTCAACCCCAACCTCGTACGAAACTAGTCGCCCATCTACTACATCAACCGTCGCCACAGCCTCTAGTTTGTCACTTCCGAGGGCCTGCTCTACATGGGTCATCGAAAAGCTCTCAGAGGGAGCAGCGCCCCTCGCATTAGACCAAGTTCAGAAGGGGATAGGGAGGCCCAAGACAGTTGGTATATTCCTATGTCACCGAGAGGAGGATCCGGCTCAGTGAGCCTTTATACGAATCTACTATCAGATCCCTATCACTGGAACTGAGTGGTTAGCTCCGGATACAAGATCCCAGCAGGCGTATCTGGATTCTTATGAGACCCTTGGTGAACTAGAAGCGTTTAAGCTCGTGATGCGTCAAGGCTGCATCTCCGCTCCGCGTCTCCTTGGCTACATCGAGACGGAACAAGGGAGAGAGGAAGCTGTTCCTGGTGGCTTTATTAAATACCTCGTTTGAGAAAAGGTCCCGGGGGAGTCCCTCACACAGGAATTGTTTTGGAGCTTAGATTGCCCCACGCGTGACGATATCCGCGCTAGGTGTCGCGTTGCTTTAAAGTAAGTAGAAGGAATGTAGAGGATCGAATGGGAACAAATACTAATTAAACAACCAGAGAGGTTCTTTGCTGCCATGTAGTGCCGCAGATGTCTGCTATTCCAAAGATGATCTATGAGCAATTCACGGGTAATGTGTACGTTAAGCGAAGGGTTCTCGACATGCCAGAAAGATTTACTGATAATTTCCAGTCGAATTTCGGGGATTCGAATGGCATGGCTAATTCGGATACATTTTTGAATGGTCAGAGACTTACTATGTCGCACCCTGACTTGCTAAGCCCCGGGACGGAGATTTCTGAGGTTGTTGACAGGTTAAATATGATCTGAGCCAGCTCCGCCAACCCTGATAAGTATGTCATGGATCACATTATAATACGCTTTGAGGATAACCGCGTCAATTTCCAAATCAAAAAATAAAAACAGAGTCCTATCGCGTTATTCGCCAAGCTACTGAATTCATCTTCGCAGGTCTCAAAGTCATGAATGATGACGCATTATTGCAGCGAGCTCAATTAACGGTCCGAAGCGATGAAGGATCCTAATTCGTCAACACTTAACTCTGAGAGAATCTAGATTCGGCTCCGAGGCGCGAGACAGGCATTAGACCGCTAGACCAAAAATGTTCTATGTGCGGCAACCTTATTCTTTACGTTATGTATCTGTATTTTTGTTTGGTCGCGCTACCTATATATCGTTAGACAGGGTTGCCTGACCGGGGTGTCTCCAGGAACACAGAGCCCCCCGCCGCTTCGCGACCTGTATTACACTTGCTAACAGCTGAATATTGCTGACCGAAGGGCATCTCGGGGCATGGAATCACCCGTGCCGTTGCTCACATGGTATTCCCATTAGACCAAAAGGTCTATGCCAAACCATTCGATATCCCCCATCGATTTCACTAATAGTGAAAGAGCAAGCGCACGATCCCACTTCCTGACATCGAAACGAACGTGATTTATCTCATCACGGACAACATATATGACGGCCGGATTGGAAACAGAGCGCAATGAAGCAGATGCATATTCAATTACTGTGGTCTGAATCGGTGGCATTGATAGAGTCGCGGCCTTGGCGTCCAAACATTTCCAGCTTTTCACATAATGGTCCACAGTAGTTGATTAACGTGTGGGCTTTCAAGAATAATGTGTGCGCCCATATGATTTCACCTTGCTTCTCACCCTGTCTATTCTATACTTACTCGCCCTCCTCACCTCCAGTCGCTCGGCTTGATCGAGACACAACACTCAAAAACGATTGTAGGGTATATTGCTTCTCTACTTCAATTCAAGCACATACGACCACAGGGTGTGGAGAACAGGGCTTCCCGTCCGCTCAGCCGTACTTAAGCCACACGCCGGTCAGTTAGTAGTATGGTGGGTGACCACATGCGAATCCTGACTGTTGTATGTTTTCCTTTTTTGCATGGTTATTAATGTTTTTATCAGACATTCTGATTAGTTGTATTATGTCTCAAGCCTTTTATTCATGCGCTAAATATTCCTCGTCTAATAATCATTAAATCCTATAGGATGCTCCTAGTATTACTCCAATTTATAGAGCAACCGCCTAGTGATGATAGTTTTGGTTTGACAAGATCATCATGATTCAGGATTTGAATTTGAGCCAGATCAACTACATACGACCATAGGGTGTGGAAAATAGGGCTTCCCGTCCGCTCAGCCGTACTCAAGCCACACGCCGGTCAGTTAGTAGTATGGTGGGTGACCACATGCGAATCCTGACTGTTGTATGTTTTTTCCTTTTTATCATTTTTTTGCTCCCCCAATCTTGAGGCTGTTTGATACTTCAGTCCCCTTCAAGCCAATTCACCTGAACCTCTGAAGCGCTGACGTGCCACACTGCTCAAGCCCCAAACCTTCTTTTTGCTTCTAGGACGAAGGACCTGTTGATCGGCCGTCATCTTTTTGAAAACGAGTCATACCGTTTGGTTTCCTAGAGAAGAGCTACTGGGGCCCAACCTTAGCGATAAACCCACACAATGAAAGACCAGACCAGCACAAATCAACAACTTACAATTCCCTTTCTCGGGTGTGGTCGGCCCATGAAAATAGTCAGATGTTCAAGATGGGCGATATTGACAAGCTAATAGGGCATTTGCTCAATAAATGGTTCTTTGTCGTCGCCAATCTTTCTTGGGAAAGTGCTACTAGATGTTGTGTTGCAATGGAAGAGATCTTTGATGTCTGAGCACGATATCTGAGCCGTGCTTGTGTCCACGGCGTGGACATTCACCTTACGCTGGTCAAGCCAATAGGTGAAAATGTCGCCGATCAATCTTGCCTCAAAAGACATGCTCGACTAAAAACGTCAGCAGCATATTCCTTTCAATTCCCCCCCGTCTCGCCACCACTCAATATGTAGTTTTTTACTGAGCTGTCTACATCATGCTTTCAAGAGGTTTCAGAAGAGAGGATCCCACCCACACTTCAATCGCTGAGGTGTTTTCAATAACAGCCCAACTGGTGCAGGACGCCAAACTGTTTCCCCAATAGCCCAAGATCGAATGCCACCTGCCCTTCTCGATGTCATTCCAGGGATTTTGCGCATCAACGGGCAAGGCAGAGTATCTCATCTCCGTCAGTCCGTCACTTATAATCGTGGCATACAGTGAAGTCGAATTTCACAGTGCCTTTGACGAAACTCCCTCGGCCTGCCCAACTATCTAGTCATCCTCCAACGGTCTGGCCAACCGGGTCCAGTTTGATTATCCCGCTTGCAGATGAAACACGGACAGACTGAATATTGGGTGTCGAGCTCCAACCAACCCATCAGCAGCATCCTACCGACGCCTCAACTTCGACTGCATAGGGGTCTCTACACCGTCTCGCATCTAGACAGGCATGGTCTCGACCTTTCATCGGTTCGACAGGGTTATTACCGGCCGTGGATGCTATGATATTGCCAATTCAAACGGTGTTCCATGGGTGTCATTATATGCCTGGTATCGAGCAGTGAAATCCGATTGTTCTGGACTACAAGCCAATGAGGAAATTTGCGTGGGTGTGAAGTCTACTTTCATTTCGGCTGTTGTAATTGCGACCAACTTTGTATCTAGTGTCTCGACTCCGCCTCCGATCCAGATAGACATGTTTCCCACCTGTGATACCTTTTACGAAATTCGTTCCGGTGATTCTTGTTATGACATTGCTGCTACCCACGATGTTTCGCTGGATTCTTTCTATGCTTGGAACCCAGCCGTCAACGCACACTGCTTCCGGTTACAGGCAAGCGGGTATGCCTATTTCGGCGGATCTTTCTTATGAAGGGAACCATTGCTAGAATGAAGTGTCAATGTACGATTGGGTATTTTTTACTGTATTAAATTGATACACCCAACGCCCTCGGATGGACGAATGGGTATCGATGACAATACAAGGTTTTAAGGATACCATATCGGATGAAGCATCTGCGCCGTCAAGGATCATTCCCCTCCCTGCACCTAGATGATCACTGGGACCTTTCGCGAAATGGTAGTCGTAGTACAGCATGCGACGCAGGATGCACCGTAGGGCAGCCGAGACCGAATTTGTTATGCACCCTCGTGGTTGCGGTCCGGCAGGCCGGAACTAATGCAAGTAATACTACACCTGTGAGTGTACTTGCCCCTGCCACTGCAGTACTCCTCACAATTACATCAGCAACTGGTCTTACCGGAACTTGCCACGGTGATTCCTTTCCCAGCTGAAAATCATCGCAATTACATCTGAACTTCCTCAGACAACCGCGATGATCTTTTTAGCAACTGAGAACCCTGACAAGCGGCCTCTTACGAATCTGTTCACGGTTGCGAAGATGGCTTCCTCCAGTACCTCTACCATCACTTCTGTGGCGACCTCGCCTATTTAAGTCACAAGTGATAGCCTCCGCTCTGCCACCAGTAAGTAGAGGCCGACACCTCGTTGATTTGGGCATGACGCCTGAGGCTTACCAGTTCACCATCGCCCCGGGCTGGACCGCGGATTCACATCCTGATTTTCGGGAATGGAGCAGCGGATAAAGTGCTTGGTGACTTGCTAGCACCATATACGCTATAGCCATAACCCCCCCCCCCCCCCCCCCCCCCTCCAGCCTGGTTGCTGTAGTCCTATCCCCTGTTCAGAGCTAGAATCTGGGACCTGGAACTTGGAGTCTTCAGAATCGGTGTAGAGTGAAATAATTAAATTCTGTCAGTGACTTATGTCAGAGAACAATATATTTATCCTGGAGACCCGAATGCTCTACTGAGCACCCAGCTCAACAATACGACATCGTTTCCAAGCAGTCAAGGGAACATTCTCCCAATCTATTCCCTTGAATATGTCGGGTATACAAGTACAGGTATGGAATAAGTAACAGAGGTGGAAGCGAGCAACTTGCAATATCATGACGTGAATTGCTTTTGTTCTTATTCGATTGGAAGTTTGTAGAAACCCTATTTAGATGCATAATCCTGGCCCATATCATACAACAGGCCGGATGGTGTAGTTGGTTATCACGTATCGTTAACACCGATAAGGTCCTGGGATCGAGCCCCAGTCTGGTCATTGTTTTTGTCTATGAGTACTCACCAGTAAATGATACGGGTTCCAATTTATAGTGTTAATAATAGTGAGGAATTTTCTTTGTGCGATCCTTTGGTAGTTTTGTGAATTGCGCAGTCGTGGTGTGGAAACTTACCGAGCGAGACTATATGCGGCTAACCCTTTTCCAGTAGCATTCGAACGAGACTAGGCCGGAAAGAAGATTTGGGTTCCGCTTCCCGCGTGGCTCGGTGGGTCTCAGCAGTTGGTAGTAGACTCGTGCATGTAATTGGATAGGACATTGGCAACCCGGGAAATTTATCACATTAGGACGGAAATTGAGTGAAATAAACTAGTATCAATGGCGGAGGTTAAGGCAATGTCAAACAGCCTACATAACAAAATAGGCATTATCAACACCCATCTATCTTGGATTCGAGACTAAGGTAGCCAAGAAAAGAAGGAATGAAGACTTCACCAGCCGCTGAGTTTCCTAGGTCGCTCACATGCAGTTTCTGGGCTTTCGGATCATTCGTATCCGTCTTTGGATCCTCGGCTCTCAAGCAGCATTGACGTTTCGGCAGCCTGTACTTTCCATGGGACACCAAGACAATAGCCCGGGTGGAACACCGTCAAAGCGACAGTTGTGATCACAATCATTGCTCCCTCAAGGATCATGAAGAGCGCCTCGTTGCCAGCCAGTTTCCCTTGGAACCCTTCCCGAAGCTCGGCGACTCGATATACCGAACGAACAAAAATTGCAATTGCAGCAACCCCGAGGCCTATCAAATGATCAGCCCTGCGCATTTGGAACGTATGAAATCACAAACACCACTTACTTGTCAAAAATGCATACCAAAGTCCACGTTTGACTGTAGTCGCCTTAGGCTCAGAATATCTGCGACGCATAGACCAAAGGTAGTAAGCTGCGCAGCTAAGAAATGCCAAGAGTGAAATGACTTGGAAAACGAGACCAGCGATCATGATATTAATGCCCATATCCCCTTGGGCCCGGGCCTCCCTGCTTGTACCATTTGACAGCGATGCAATGGCCCCTCCCGCGGCTTGTAGGATCAGACAGATGATATCACAGCAAATGAAGATAATCGCAAGTATGCGAGGTTTGAGCCCGAAGAGAGATTGGCCGTATATTATGGTGACACGGTAGAAACAAATATAGATCACGGCGCTGATAAAGGCGGGTGCCACCGTCAAGCAGACGAGATATCTAGACAGCGAAGGGTTAGAAGCTTCTCTTGATCATTGACCTTAGTAAAGATTTCTACCGCTAGGTAGTCCCGTTAGTGCCCATTACTTACATCACGAAGTTGTTGAAATTGAAGGGATTATAGTGAAGCATGATGCGACCAACATAGCCCACTATCTCAAGTAGCAGACCCCCTGTCATCCCGACCAAATGGGTCCATGTCCGATATTTTATACTCGACCATATTTGAACGGCCAGTGCTAGTGCAAAGATGACAAGGAAAGTAGCATTGGCGCCCAGATTTGGCTGATAAGGAATCGTTGCCATAGACAGAGGGCATGTTTGAAGTGTGCAGGGAACATAGACTTGGGTATTGTTTGACGCCATGGCGACTGAAAGATAGTCGACGGAGACTTGTGTGCCTGAAAATTGAGTAGATGATACTGTGTGTCTTGGGGACGAATAACTCAGCGGGTAGGACAGTCTTTTATAGGCCCTCTTTAATCGCTGAACGCATGTAGAGTAATAGCTGCGCTACTACATGCATACTTTTGCAGCCAGGCAACGACTTTGAACCTTCGTGACTAGACATGACTCTAGAGATCTGATACCACGAATAGACATTGCAACGCTTGATTGTTTCCCTATTCGGCATGGCGCGATCTTTTACCAAGCGCGGGTGAGTTCCAATGCGATGGCAGGTGGGGCCCCCGGCGTCGGGTCATTCTCAGACTAAAGTTGCTTGCTTCCATTGGATCCTTCGTATACCCTCACGTAATCGCGTAAACTGATGAAAGGAGACTTTCTTTGAGATAAAAGAATCTTGGAATGATCTAGTGTCCTTGGTAGATGTTCAAACTCATCCAAATATTGTGGGTGTTTCTTGATATTAAATGTTTTGGTAAGCTAGACTTCAGGAGGAAGAAATCCAATTGCACCCACAAGCTAAATCTGGCAGTGGACTGGAATCAACAGCCGTTGATGAGGCTAAAGGAAAGTACAACCCGGCGAAGAGAGTCTTCAGCCAAGCTTCTGTCCCCATGTATACAGAGCTGGAAGTCCAGACTCCAAGACTTCGATCTGTCACGTAGGCTTCCAAGTTTCAAAACACCTAGTGCTTACCTGTTAGGCTGTTCTCAGCTTTTGAAATAACGTTCTCGCCCGGGGGCCGTAAGCCCGGGTTAACGCTTGCGCCACCTTCCCCAGGCTCAGCATGAGAATGACTTACTGGTTCCTGGCGAAGATGGCAGTGTGGCACTATATGGCCCTTCTTGGTGATTTAAGCCCCATCTGCTGGGTTCTCAACGCTTTGTGAACCAGATTGCCTAACGGGTGGCTAATTCTAAAGTTGGAGGGTGAGTACACCCAGGGAATAAGATTCTCATCATAATCTTCTCGTTCGACTCTCATGTTCCGGTGCTTGAGGTACTGATGTCATGTCATTATCTATATCCTATCTAATCCTGAGTCTGCGATACATGTACGTGAACACTCTTGATGATAGCCGAAGGCTTAAAGAGTACTCCATGGCGATACCTCTGTATGCGCCAACGAACAGCATGCGTATGACTCCTCAAGTGAAACGGCAGTCAAACCTGAGACTGGTTTAACAAACAACTCAGCTAAACGACGCATCCCCACTTACGTTGTCGCATAGATAAGATTGATTTCGCACGGCCGTTAGCAGTGGAAAGAAAAACAAAAAGAGACTGACCAGACTGGGGCTCGATCCCAGGACCTTATCGGTGTTAACGATACGTGATAACCAACTACACCATCCGGCCAATTATATATTAGAATCCCCAGAAAAAAATAATATAAATCGCATACGTTCCTCACACTATGAAGAAATTCCTATAATTGTGCCAGAAAGCAATGAAAAATGTGTGCATCCAACGAAGGTAGAAAAGCGCAGTGACAAGAAAGCCGGAGTTTTTCAAGTTTTTTCTTAGGGGAAAAAACCGAGCGAAACTCTGTAGCTGTCAAATACCATTCCATCAAGCATTTGTATTTCATTCACACCGACTCTCTTCCTGTAGCATGCATACGACCGAGTCCGTCGAAACTGAGATCCAGTCGGGTGACGGTCTACACTCTACAGTCTGCACTACCCAGGACGGCTGGTCAATTTCTACGATATTGCCACATAAAGGGGGTTATATAGCGTACTAGCCAAACCTCGGTCGCTTTTTGTCTAGTATTCAGAGACATCTCGGAACTAGGATATCCAAGAGCTATCTACTACGTCTCGGGAGCTAAGTGGTTTGTGCGCATTCATATATATACCCAACCGGGTGTCGCTGGGTCCAGACTAATGAACCCTGGATACCACTTAGGTAGTTATGGGACAGGTATGTATATTGTAGACTGCCACACAAGAACGACTAATGAAAAATAGAAACAGAATCTACTGGGGGGGATACGAGGCTGTTAAGAAAATTGACGTCTACCTCTCTGGATGTAAAAGTTAAGATCCGCCGCCAAGGATTTTCTAGATAGCGGTCTATGAAATATCACTTTGATTGGTCTGCACTGCTTGCGCATACTATCGCGCGCATACCAGTTGTTGATAACAACGGCTTATTGGTACGTGATGGCTCGTTTTGCGTCTGTCGCAGATTATCTCCAATCTAGTGCTGTCTTGATCAGCCTTGAATCATCACCAAAGTCACCGTGCTTACGGGCAGAACCTACGTACCTTGCTTATCGGCGTCATTTACGTTGTAGTAGGCACTATTGTCACCAAGTTGCTGAAATTCACCTGCAACTTAAGTCGCTGTTCCTTAATTAAGATTAAGTAGTGTCGAATTGTAACTTGGCCTCGATACATCGCAGTACACCGACTACGCAGGACACACTTCTAGTATCCCGATCGACCGTTCGTTCTCCCGCAGATCTCTGTCTCACGGTCCGCATATGAGGCTTACCGCCCTCTTCTCTTTCTGAGGGTCAACATTGCCAACATGGAATGCCAATCCGAACGCAAGTCTGATAATTGACCGAGGTGAAGACACGGTCAATTCATAGGTAAGAACAGCTAGGAGATATTCAATCGGTGTTCACGTATGGATTGGTATTCGATGGCCAGAGGCAGATGAAGGGCAAATACCTCAAAAACCTCCACGGTGCATTTCCCGACGTTGCATTGACATTCGCGTATAATCATCTCCTCTACACTAATATAGCTACGTCTTAAAAACCATCAGTCTCGAATGTTCAATTTTGACGTTCTGACGCGTTTATAGGAGCATTCAATGCTATATAGTGACTCCTCAGCAGACAAGAGACACGTGAGACGCGGAACCGTCACTTCCAAGAAGCTTCTCTCCCTGCTTCTTTTGATTTTTGGTCTGCAGCCTCAGCTTAAGGGGACCGATTCCTCGCGTACGTAGCCACGTTTCGTCAGCCTCATCCCTCTCCTCATGAAGCCAGATGCTGCATTCCCCACCGTCTTCAACTGGACGCCCGAGCGAAAACACGTGGCCAGCATTCGCTTCAGCTTTTTGTGGTTGTGATCCCAAAAAGTTCGTAAGCAGGGTCAAATAGTTCGCCATGTGCGATGACGGCGCGACCACTTCGATCTGGCTCATACCGATCGCACCACATGAATGTGTTGTCCTAGCAGGATCGTCAAAGCGTAGCCTTGTGTTTCTGCGGGTTCCATCGTAACACAGGAATGGGGCGTCTAAACGCCCGGTTGGAGAGAACTCATCGTCGAGACTTTCCCGTGATGAGTGGAATACCGGATTCGTTCGTGTCCAGTGGAGCTTGGTGCCTTGGGGGTTGAATTAGCAAGGGTCAAATACAACATCCCGTATTCTCCTTCAAGCCTCGCTTCTTTGAAAGTCAAAAAGAAACAGCTATTATCTTATGATGCAACCGGCGCTACAAGAAAAAGGCATGACCTCTGTTGCTAGGCGTACCTTGTCAACGGAAGGTAGGAATTGGCCTAGGCGTGAAATCGTGCCGCCGGGCGAAGATAGACGAGTATTTCTGGTAGATTGACATTTGCCATCTGCAAAGGATATTTGACATACGTTACTTCGGCCAGCCCTATCAGGTAGGTCTTAGCTATGAATCTAGCGGTAAAGAGCCCACAAGCTCAACCTTATTTGCGGTCTGTCGTTCCAAGGCGCCGATCCTCACCTAACATCCTGCAGAATCGCGTATGAGTGGGCTCTTTTATGGTTCTATGAAATATGTGCATACGTAGGAGCTGTTCCCAACGAAGAATACCTGCGGTTTTAGACACCTTGCCAGATCGGGGGATATCCGTGCCCATTGACCTGGCCCGCCCATGGCTTCTAGGAAGCGTTTCGGGTGCGACCGAGGCACAAAGTTACATATGGAATAGCACTTCTACGACTCCCGGGTGGTAAAAAGTCTTTCGACGAGGATCCACTGCCCACGGCTCCCACACTTCATAGTTAGTATGGGTAGTTGCATGGCCATGGCCATGCAGTGGTTTATTAGCTTTTGCACATCGGTATCACAACACAATCTTCATCACAGTGCATTGCATGAATACTACATCTCTCTTCCGATCAAACGAAATACCGACTGGGATGTCATACCGGAGGTGGCCTGCCTAACTTTCAGTCCCCTCTTCGACCTCGTCGATAAAACCTCAACATTTGCCGATCTGGCAAGCGGCATTTCAGGCGTGCTTGGGTTATAAAATACGGAAAAGACTTCCAGAGAAGAATACAGTATGGCCAGAACGCCGCCGGAGATCCTTGACTTTGTCGAAGGGGGGAACTCAAATCTTGACGACTATGAAAGTCTCTACAAGCAACTCCATTCAAACCCAGAACTATCTCATCAGGAGTTCAGTACAGCCAGTATCATCGCCGCAAAATTGCGGACCTTTCCGGGCTTGGAGGTATATGAAAAGATCGGCGGTACCGGTGTCGCGGCTGTTCTGCATAATGGGCCCGGAAAGACAGTTCTCTTGCGCTCCGAGATGGACGCTTTGATCTTGGAAGAGACCAATCTTCCCTACTCTAGCAAGAAGACGACACGAGACGAGGCTGATGGTCTTACAAAGCCTGTCATGCATGCTTGTGGGCATGATATGCATATGGCGTGTTTACTTGTTGCGATTGACGACCTCGTGAAGAGAAGGCAGTGTTGGTTAGGCACACTTGTCGCTGTGTTTCAGCCGGCTGAGGAACGCGGTGAAGGCGCCAAAAGAATGATCGACGGAGGGCTATACGACCTGGTGCCTATTCCCGATGTTCTTCTGGCACAGCATGTGGTGGGCAAGAAAGCTGGAATCATTGGAATGCGTACTGGGGTCATGATGAGCGCGGCAGACTCGATCAAGTTGACGTTCCGCGGCAAGGGCGGGCACGCATCCATGCCTGAAACTACCGTTGACCCTGTCATCATGGCTGCCAGCACGATTATGCGATTGCAGACTATTGTGAGCAGACAGATCAGCCCCAGTCAAGACTTTGCTGTCGTGACCGTTGGCAAGCTGAGCACTGGGCAAGCCCCCAATATCATTCCCCAGCAAGCTGAAATGCAAATAAATGTGAGAACAGCGGACGAGAATACTCGAGAAAAGATCCTGAACTCGATTGGAAAGATTGCCCGTGCGGAAAGCATGGTGAGTGGTGCAGAAGAGGGACCACTGATAGAAACAATGACGAGGTTTCCACTCACAAGAAACGATACGACAATCACAGAAAATGTGCAGAAGACATTTGAAGCGGTTTTCGCTGGCGGACTCGATGCCAGTTGGCTGCGGAGCAACGCCAGTGAAGACTTTACAGATATTGGGACGGTAGTCAGAAAGCCCTGTTGTTTCTGGTTCTTTGGAGGCATCGACAAGGACACCTGGGACGAAGCTGAACGGAAAGGAAGGACCACCCAGGATATTCCGGACAACCACTCGCCCTTGTTCGCTCCAGCAATTCAGCCGACTCTCACGATTGGTAGAAATGCTTTGATCGCCGGCGCACTGACATTTCTATCCAAGGCTTAGTGAGGCACAACCTCCTGATGATGTGATACGGCTACGGTAGGGGCAGCAGTATCGATGTGTGAGAGGGATGAGGAGTGAGATTGCCGAGGGGGAGAGATTCTACCTAAGCTATGGACTGCGGTGAGGCGGCAGTATCACATGCCATACGAACACCTGACATTTCCTACCGTCAGAAGAAGCTACACGTACGTAACGGAAGGGTTGAGATTTTGCATTTCGATGAGGCTGATTGTCATCGATAATAATCTGGAGCCGACGCCGTATGACCAGGGGAAACTGGAACTCAAGAACAGAAGGAGATTCATGTATCATCTGGAAAACCAGATTTTGCAGTCGGGTGAGCAGCAATTGAGTGTTTGGTCATGTCACCTAGTAGATTGGGTGATGAAGGCCAATTTGGATCCAGTGAAATGTTGTGGCAAAATATCAATCCGACAAAATGGCGATCAAAATGTGCGGTGTATCTTCAGTTCAGCACCAGCTTGGCAACACAAGACTGCGAGCTGTTTCTCCTCATGTCATCACACCATTCACCATAATTCAAGTGGCAAATCACCTGAGAAACACCCTGATGTCTTGGATTGCAAGTTTTGTAATCCTTCATCCAGGATTGAATAAGGCCAAATACGGGTTGATCTGTCCAACCCCACTCCAGCAAGTGTGGTATACACATTCTATTCACGTTTTGGTGCCTCGAGTCGTACATGAGGGTGACAGATTCAAACATTGCGACTCGAGGGGGACAAATTCAACATTCTTCGGAACCATTCTCTGGAGTCGCTTTGTTGAGTCTTGGATGATTTTCACTAGAAATGCCAACGGGATTTGAAGCCTTGTGAGTATATTCAAACTAGCCAAACTATGCAGTGAGCCCTCTGCCTGACTCTGAAATGCAGGCTGAGTCTGATTGCCGTCCTTCCAGGGTAATCATGGCGAAAACCGTTGATTCCTACAGCGTTCCCCGTACCTGACGTATCGCATCACCAGGGCCATCATGATCGATGATCGTGCCCTGTTCAACAAAAGTGGATTCAAGATGCAAGTGTCTCAGGCTTGATAGCTGTGCTAATGGAAGAGCTGCCAAAGCATCTGTTAAACGTTGAGACAATGCATCTGTTCATGATTTAGTGAAGCGCACACCAATTTCTCGAAACAAAAGGAATGGATTTGTCTGTCTCAGCGCTAGAGACAGGGACACTTTGAAATCATTGCGGTGCCTCGCGCCGAGGCACGAAGCCTTGCCTTTGAGTTGGAGGTTTGTGATACGACCTGACAGCTGATGCCTGGAAGAGACTGTCTGCAAGAATTCTCTGATCGACGGAGGAGACTCGGACTCGTGCCATTTCCACTTGATGTTCGAGTAGAGACCTGGCTCAGCGTGCGCACGAATGCAGTTGCTCACGAGACTCAGTCCACGGAGATCGGACTTCGGAGTGTGAGAGGGAGTCAGTCTTCATACGAATGATGTCCGCCGGAACAGTATCCGGGCAGGATGGCGGTTTATTTCCTCTAGTTCCATTAGCCACATGTTCGGGATTTTGATTGCTGAACACAGACTGTTCTCATCACCGGTGATTGCCTTGGTGCAGACTCAAGTCTTGACTTTGGTCTTGTATTCTGTGAAAGTCAATAGGTTATTCGGGGGCTGTGTTGTTCTTGACTATCCGGGTAGAATGATTTGGGAGGTATGAGAATGATACAAAAGCAAGCTAGTACGACTCACTATTGAGGTACTGCGCTATCCGGCTGGTTCTATGGAAAGACGCCTAGCGAGTCAGATGAAATGCTATCTATCTGGACACTATTTGGCTGATTATATGGGAAGACGCTTCAGGTGTGAGATTTTGACTGTCAGGTAATATACCGAATCATCAAATCAGTAGATCAACCGGAACGGCAGTCCATTATGTGAGTGACCGCTGTCATCAGCTATCAATGAAGCGTTGAGTATTTTTTTTTTGAACATCTCAGGAACCGTGGAATCCATGCCTCAAAAGGAGAGCCGCCGCCATTATCACCCATCGTCTACCGGAGCATCATTTTGCAAGCATGGGTACTGATTCGGAGGATTGCTGATAGTCATGACTGAAAGTCTCCGCGCCGATCAGGAGGTGAGCCTAGACATTCAACGAGGTTGAGAAGGGGGAGTATTGGTGAGAAACACCGTCCATTGCATGTCCACACTAACCCTCTTAGCTGAACTCTGGTATAATATCGTTGGTGCAGATTGACCTTCATGGAATCTCTGTCTCTTAGCGCAAAAACGAGACTCTTGACTGTCGCCTGACATCTAGTCAATATTAGGCAGCTATTTACGCGCCGTTGGTGATTACGTGCTCCGTATCCCAGAAAGGTTACTGTAGACGCTCTAGCCGACTAGGTGACTCAAAATAAAGTTCAGGACCGAGAAAGCGGGCAGGCGTTGCCTCCCAATTCAGAGCTGAGCATCTATTAGTTTTCCAGATTTTAGTTTAATTTCCAATGTAGCGGTTTGAAAAGGGCCGTGCCGCCCGCCCTTGCAATCCACCGGCGCCAGTGGGAAGCTACAGACTCACCATTCGGAAAATGGATAACTACTCATTATTCAAAATTCTCAAAGACCCGTTGGCACCATTGGCGCTGATGCTATCACCCTGTAGGCGCCAACTGTTTGGCGCCACAGTTTGCCGATGGGCCACTGAGAGCCAACCGAATCCCCAGGAAGTACGCAATTGCCCATTCGCTTGCTCCACAAGAAAACGGGCATGTGCCCGTTCTTATGGAAGAATTTGGCACGATATGTCTCAGCAAAGAGCTCTCAAAAGATAAATTGTAGAGTCTCCTCCACGAGGTAAGTACTGCGAGTTGTTGAACCTAGTACAATCGCACATAGGATAATCTAATTCTGTAACGTATGTTTGAAACACATTTGGTGGCTCAAGTCTCCTTTGTGGTGAAAGCGACCCAGTAGAGTCACAAGAGCGTGAAAACGCTGACGGTACACCTCTCATTCCCGCACAGGTGAGGCAAGCGACGATGTCTTGGGGGAAGCTCCCAGCCAATGGTCACGTTTAGTATGAGTAGGTGCCCGACTGACACGTAATGATGCATGGCATGGAGTGTAATTGTTGGGTGCTAGGTCTCGGATCAGATTGAGGCTTCTGTCATGACTTGTCGTCGCAGAGATACTATGTCGGAAGGGGGCCCGACCTCCATCCACTATGTTGTATTTTAATACCGACTTGAAGCCCCTAGAAGAAAAGTCTTGAAGGAATTGCTCGCGCAATCTTTTCAAGCTTTTCCAATAACAAATTCAGGGAACCATGGACGTCAGAGCCCTAATGTCGCAATTCTCTGAGTTGTGTACGGTTGAAGAAAAGAAGAACATCCTGGTCAAGGTAGGTGGTTCAAACCGAAGAAGCCCAAATCTACTACGGCGTCAGGCAATTGCGCTCTTCTCTTACAATATTCCATTCAAAGGAAGCTTTTCGAATAATTGAAATGCACGAGGAGCGAATCAAAGACCTTAAGCTTGAACTTGAGAGCGAGAGGACCTCTCGACGCACATTCCAGGTGGAAAATATAGAAGCCAAAGCAGAAGTTAGGAGGTTAAATGATATCAATGTGGGTGATTTTCTCAATTATAAATCACCGAAGTGAAGCTCACATTTCTTAGAATAGGCATCCCTTCATAGTTGTGCTAGTTGATGGCGATGGCGCCAAGTTCCTAGACACTTTGCTATCGAGTCCAGACGGCGCTGCTGAAGCCTCCAGGAGGCTTACAAAGGCAGTCAGAACTTTTCTGCAGGACAGTCCATACAGCAGCGAGGACGTGCCTATCCTTGTTCGAATCTATGCAAATCTGAAGGATTTGGCGACGGCATTGCAGAAAAACAAAGTAATACCGTTCGAAAGGGATTTGCATCGCTTTGCAGAACAATTCACCAACAGTCGTGCTGAGTTTGAGTTTATCAATGTTGGTCCGGGCAAAGAAAACGCGGACTCTAAAATGACCAGTAAGACTTGATTACCTATTTTTGTGCTCTACTCATAATTAATCAGGGATGCTCAATCACTTCTATCGAAATTTCCAGTGCAAAAAAGTGTTTTTTGCTGCTTGTCATGATCAAGGCTACGTACACCAGCTGCGTGATTTTATCGGAGATAATATGGGTGAAAAGCGGATTATTCTCGTCGAGACGACCCCTGCAAAGACACTCTTTAAGACTCTAGGATTTGAAATAACCCGTTTCAATGACGTCTTCCGATGTGAGCATCTTCCAAGTGAACAGGAACCCAGTCGTCTTGGCTTCCAAAGACCTTCAGTGACTACCGCCGATGAAAGAAACGGCACATCCTCGTTGTTTCGGGATTCAGGTGCAAATTCCAATGGAGAGTTCTCTCAAGCGATCACTCCCCGTAGCCCTGCACTTGCCACGCCTTTGATCCATGGATCAGCGATGGATTCTAATATTGATGTCTCGGGAAATGGTGGGATTTCTGTGAGATATCCTTCGACATATGCGACAATTGGAGGATCCAATCATCATCAAAATCTCACAATCAAAAAACGCGAGACCAAAGAAAAAAAAACAATCGAATACAATGGATACAAACAACGATTAGATCCACCGATCCGCCCCCCTCTGATGCCGCTGCCAAAGACTCCTATTACAAGAAACTACACCAGATAGCACCCAGAGGATTCTGCAATGACCATTATCTTCTGGGACGCTGCGACCGGCTCAGATGTAAAATGGAGCATGACGATAAGTTGAACGCTAAGGAGATCATCATACAAAAGTACAAAGCAAGACAGGGTCAATGTCTGGATGCCCCTGGTTGCACGGATTATGACTGCTACTTCAGCCACCATTGTCCCTTGGGCAAAAAGTGTCATCACTCTCCATGCAAGTTTTCCTTACATATATCTGAGAGTGACCACAAGGTAGTGTGAGTAAATACCCATCTGTTCTGCTGTTGAGGGCAATGTACTGATTATCATAGAGAACGATGGGTCGAAGGCGAAAGCAGACCGGAAATATTGGAGACATGAAAGGCATGACATTTGTTCGAGGATTTTTAGTGAAGGTTGGTGTATTCAACATCCATCATGCCTTTTGCCTCTGTCAGGTTCGTTTGAACTATCTCATCAACTGTAGGTATAATTCCATCCCAGGTAAAGTGCTCAACGGTATCAACTATTCATTAGCAAATCCACTCAGTATGTGCTTAAGTGTATTTATGACGTTAGCCTGAGTGATCTTTAGTAGATTACCCTCTATTTAACGCCCATTTCCTCTTCTCCTCTCTTATTCTTTTTTGAGCCGCTCCCTGCTTCATTCCGTCTCCAGGCCTCACAGTTTCACAGCCGCGAAAACCACCGCCCCAGCAGATAGTGCAAAAACGCCAGCCTTACAAGCAGCACCAAACGGATTCATCGCAGTGAGAACCACATCTACTGTAGCAGCTGGTGAACCAGTAGCGCCCAGTCCCACTCCGACTTTGACCCTTGTAAGAGCAACGCCGTGACAAATAGTTGCAGTCGCCCCGGAATAGCCCCTACCCGCTGACCCTGCACCAAAATTGCTGCTTGAAGAACTGTACCGAAACCCCTTTTAGATATAACACGAAGAGGGGGCTCGTGCTTCAGCTTTGAGCTACCCGAAGGGGTAGGTGCAATTGGGTATTCCGCTTTGTCGTACTTGGCACTTGCGGAGAGAAGCTGATTGCTGGTGGTGTCTTCTAGAATGGATGAAAGTCCCAAAGCCTGGACGCTGTCACTGATATCCACTATGGGTTGAGGAGTTGAGAATGCAAAAAGTGTGGCCTGGAGATCGGCGCGGGCCCTCTAGGAACGAAGAACCATCGGCCATCTGTAGCTTTTACAAGAATTTCGGAGTGATGCAAGTTGACAGGTCTAATTTCCATATTATTCAATGCTCGCTCACATCCATAGACGCGGTCGATCTTGGCCTCCAGTGTCTTCTGTAAAGCCTTCAAATAAGCAATATGTAGAGTAGCAGATTCTACACACCGTACCTCATGCTTTGTCGGCTCATGCACTTCTACGTGGGGAACCAGACTGTTCAGGTGTTCTGCGAGTGACCAAGCAATGTTCGAAATCTATATCATTAGTACCTTCAAACAGAGGCTCTTAGGAGTAGCGCACATCCTGGCTCCTCCATAGGTTCGAGAAGAGTAGGACACTTCTTCTGACTCCTTGAGAACTGGCAGAGATCAATATGCACTCTTCCGTTAGGATAGGTCGAATTATCCAGAGGGAGCTGAAGGATGGAGGAGGGCCTTTTCAAAGTATCCCCCAGATCAACAAGGCACACCGGTTACCTGTCTTGGCACCAAACGCTATTGGCACGCGTAGATTTAAACTGAACCACTTAAATCACGGTGTTACTGAATCTTCGATACCGGAAGATATCACTGGATTCCGACCTCTTGAAACCTCATAGAAAATACACCACAAACTTGCTGACCATGGCCACCCTCAGATTGCTATATCAGGGGTATACAGTCGGAAACTAATACACTAAGGGCTTAAAGCTCTAGATCGTCGTATATAGGTGATATAGTCCGCGCAGAAATAGGTATCGGCTCAACGTCTATACCCCCGCTTTCAGGGTCAGAGCAGCTTTTATCGATCAAATTCTCCCAGAATTCTAGTATAGTCATTATTTTAGTGTCGGTATCAAAATCGGGCTTACCCCCTTCGCCGTAACATCATCCCTCGTCAACATTAATCACGATAGGATTAAATACCGAGCCTAGCGGAGCAGACTCATCTCTAATAACTATGGGATTAACCTCTGTGCCTAGCCGTAGATAGCTTTTGGTATCGCGAATGACCACTTTGGGCCATTCGTATAGCTTAGGAGGGATTAATACCTTGTAATATACGTTAGTAAAGTTTTAAGTAATATTTCCGGCTAATCTCTAGCCGTCGGCTTCCCCCGATATAGTTGCAAAAGAGCTAATAATAACTATAGCGGATAGAACGACGGAAAGAATAACCTAGGGTAAGACTTAGATGAAATAACTAACTGGATTCTTAGACTATCTTCACGGAGGAAAATGTACGAGGAGTATGTCCATATATCTTTCGTTTGACCGATTACGCCTTGTTACCACAGGCTAAGGCGGCCAAGCATAGCAAGATTATATTCAGACGAGATCTATCTGCTTATCGTATCTAAGCCTAATAGGTAGTACAGAGAACTATCGCGCGAATGACCCCCCTACTCATCTATTAATCCTAATTACCTGCCGTAAAACGCTATTGCTATTTCAGGGGGGCTATACGTCTGTATATCGTCTGCGCTAGTATCATCGCTAGCGACTTGATCAAGCTCTGCTTGCTAGTCGTTCTATATCTAGGAGAGAAGACGAAACGCGCGGGATAGACTAACACGATAACAGTGTCCTATATTACCTCCGTCCGCATGACCTTGTGCTGTAGGAGTAGGTCCAGTCTCCTAACTATCTATCATATCCTCTTTGCTAATCAATCGTGAAGACAACGAGGATACCGGCGACAAGACATAGTTAGTGATAAGGGTCGAAACTCCGTAGATACTCAGAATGCGAACCGGCCGCACGAAATTTTAGCGAAGGTCGAGGAAAAACGGGATGTTTGTACGTGATCAGAGGACTCGCCTTACAGCGTTCCAGAAGGACGTCGTTTTGGAATCTCGGCATAGCCGGCGTAAAGTTTTCTTATTCATAGGACAAGAATGAAGCTCACTATATTTATCTTTGTCCTAGAGTCCTCGTGGGCTTAGCAACAACTAGCCAGAGGGAATACAAACACCATCAGCGACGATTGACAGGGACCTCACTAAGTCTGTACATCTGCAAGGCAAACTTGAAGCTCCGCTGCGTAGGGGTGCTTGTCTCGAAAGAGCAGGGGGCGAAAGCCTCGAGATGCTCGAAGGAGGACAGTTCACTAACCGATCGTCATGTAGCGGCGACGGATGTGCAGGTCGGCGCAGCGCACCAAAGGCAAATTTTCCCCATACCGAGCGTCGTGATGAGAGCTAAGAGGGGAACAGGCTAGGCCGAGCGAAGGCAGCGCGGATAGGTATTCGAGGCATCGTGGAGGAGCCGACGAGTCGCACCAGGCACCGGGGGGTGGCTAGCGAAAGTCAAAGATCAGGATGAATGGCACAATGGCCTCACTAGCCGTGCGTGCGTGGGAAATGGGGTTAAAAAAAGATCAGGAGGTTGGAAAAACCGTGTAAAGTCGAAGCGGTGATGGAGAGAACTATATAGCAAACACGCACTGGGGACGGGAGGTCAGCTGGTCACATTAAACCGCAAGGGGTACGCTAAACAGCATGGCTTAATTCATAGGCAGCACCGGATACGTGATAACCAACTACTAAGTACACCATGATCACCATCCGGCCCGATTTATGTTTATCCTGTATTTATCTGACGTTATGATGCTCTGAGCCTTCTCAGCCGAATGCGAGTTGCAGTACTTATTGCAAGTTGGCCACTTTCTCCTTTTTGAATGATTTCATATCTATATCCCCAAGAATGCAGCGTACTGTACACTCTTGCTACCTTGATGATCTTGCGAGTTCGATCGTGTATCTTGGATACCTGATAGGATTGTGAATGGTTCCCGGCGGAGACACAAAGCTTATTTATATTATCAACAGAGTTTCTCTACATATGTTCGCCGAAGTTTATGTTTCGACATGTTTCCAGTCTTCTTTCGAGAAGGTCCTTTCATGAATATTACATGCCTAGTGAGGCAGTTGCTGGCCTCTCTGGAAGCTCGGGCTTTTCTCAGCTTGAGTTATAGCGCCCATAATTTTCCAATCTCAAGAAGCGATCGTGTTCTTTGCTTCCGTGCTTACGATCACCTCTTTACCTTCGATTTACAAAGATTGTCAGTCTTGACCGACATCTTCAGCTAGGAGTAAGCAAGGCTCAAGAACATTAAAAGGTCATTAGAAGCCGGGTTTCAAGTCATGTAGGCAGAATTCAGCGGGGTTAATAAAGGCATACCTACTGGCAGGTCTTTTATGAGGGTGTAGATTTCAGACACTAGACACTAGGCTGTATAGCTAAAGACGGCGATCGTTGTGACTCGAGTTCGATTCGTGAAGAGCTACCTTACGTTTAACGACAAAGATTACTTCATGATAACATATTATTGTCTCAGTGGATATAGTTCAATGCGCGAGATACCTACTTTAATGCTGCCGGTGCTTAGCTGGCGCTCTCTCGTGGTGTCTTTTGACATCCTTACTTAATCGCATAGTGCCACAGCCCTCAGTAACTTAAAAAAATAGTCGGGAGTGTGTAATCATGCTCATGCCTTATATATCACCGTCTTTAGGTCTAAACGTTCTATATCGCAAAGTCCTTCTCATGAAACCAGGAACATCACCTTGTGCCGCAAAGTGCCTTGTCCGACCCATAGCCTCTTATCCCAGTTCAGCCCAAGGTTGCCGCCTACCAGGCGTTCTAACCCATCTGAATTCTTACCATCTTGGACCGCATTCCCAATCTGTGCCAACCACCTGCAACCCCTGAACTTGATGGCCAACCCAGAGCGTCGCTACTGACCAGAAATATATCACCCTTGAGGTGACCCGGCCTCACTTCTATTCCTCTCCATCAACATTCCTCACAATTCAAAGTTTCCAGTCACAATAACCACTTGATCAAGGCCCACAATATGGCTGGGGGTGACTGTGCATATTGCAAGGCCAGCATCACCCCGGCCACAGGGCCTTGACCGTCTAACAAAAAGCAACTAAAGTCGTAGATGGCGATGGGGTTGATTGGATAGTGTAAAGTGTAAAGCGGCTTCTCAAGATCAAAGGCGACCCAGCCGAGCACTTTCTCTTTGGGTAGCCTTGGAGGTCTTTCTTTTATAGATATGTTTATGTTCTTGGATTAGATCAGTAACTAGACAGGATCTTGATGCGTGGGGTTTCGGGGGTTATGTTCTCGACAAGGATATCGAAAGCTTTACCTGCTTCCGATAAGGACTGATTACGCCGGAAGTCTTACAATGTTCAATGTATTAGAGATTAGAAGTAGAAGATCATGTTTTCGGTTCTGGAGATATAGCGAAACGAATGCATAAGGAGCATCATGGTGTAATATGGATCTTCAGGAGGGATAATTAGGCCATTTTTCAGAATTTAATAAACAGAGTCTCTTCTATAATAGCATCCAGCCGCGGTATAGCCTTGACTACATACTCCGTACAGGCATTCGAGTCTTGAAACACTTTATGGTTGCCAGACTTCATAGGAGCACAGACGTCATTCCCTTTCAATTCAACAACCCATGTTCATTAGCATGGGAGACTCCATCCCAAGATGATAGGTTCCCTCGTCTCAATCTTTTGTTCGGGTTTAGACGAAGAGGGACACTGATGATGCCACATCTACTAGACTATGTGAACTCAATGAAGTCTTCTCTGTCTGCAGGGTTCGGGATGAGTGAGATCTGTTTCTTTAAAGTGTGAGTGTGAGTGGTAGACTTAGAATGAGGACGATGGGGATTGTCAGTCACCAGGTGCTTGGAGTGTCTGGTACTCCATGTCCATGTCCTTTGGTTACAACTCCTAAGAACACTCCAGTTGACGAACGGTGGGCAATTAATAAGTGAGACCAGCCCATCACTAGATGATAGGTAGCGCCGAGGTACCTTGTTTCCCGCAGCCTGGGTATCTCAGTTCAGTTTGTTTGCTTCAACAGACCAGACCCAACAACACCAGATCAGAAAAGAAAAGATCAAGACTACTCCTGGGGTTGAACCCGAGACCTCCATTCTGCCGTGGTACATGTTCGAAGTTCCTCGGATGCTCGGGTACTTCTATGTGCAGAATATCTTCATCCCCAAACGATGTTCACTCTCTAGCGCGTAGCAAAAACTACCACATTATTCCATGACAAGATGAAAAAGATGATAAGTCACGTTACAAGAGCAAGTTATCTTCTTTCCCAATTCGTCTCAGAGGCCTCATTCAACCCGATGTTATCCATAATAAAAAAAGAAAAACAAAACAAAAGAAAAAAAATTATCCGCAGCTTAACATCAGAGATGCTTCAGCTGACGCCCACCCACCCAGCCTGCCTGGCCCCTTACTCAGTAAGACTAGGTGTCTTCGGCGTGCTTGTCCCTGGACACAAGAGTGACTTGGAGAGACTGCTCGCATACGATGGGAGGGGTCACCCCCGGGACCCCTCTACCATCTGCACCACCGGCCAGGCTGCTTGAAGGTATATACCTGGAACTTGATGATAAACGAGCAAATCAGGGATTCTGCCACACCGAGATGGTCCGCCGGCACGATATTGAGATTCTCAGGGAATGTATGGTGGGACTCGATGGTCGTTGAGCGAGGTTTTGTTCAATGGGCCTTTTTCCACACATCGAATTATTTTCATCAATGCTCAAGATCGGCCCTGGACAGGCTGGTAACGCCAATCAGCATCGACACGACCAACTGCCCAACTCCATCTCGTTTGATTACTCGTCCTACAAATCAAACCAGGTATGTTACATCTGGACGTCCGAGAGCGACATCTGCTCGACGACCCATGCCGGAAGAGATCGATCGAACGAATGGCTTCGCGCTTAGGGCGGCCGCAGAGAGCAGGATATCTTTAAAAGAAGTGGCAAATGGCAAGCTACTCGATATCATTTGAACCTCTGCCAAGCATGAACTACAATTAGTTTGCTGACTGGATTACTCGGCAGGTCGACTCGTTCACGGTGCGGCGCTCGCGACGCGCAGGACCATGTAATCAACGTGGCAACCTCGCACGTATAGGTTGTGAAGATCTCCAATACAACAACTTGGACGCTCGAACACTTCACGAGGCTGGGGCCAGGATGAGTTGTTGAATAAGGTACAATCTTGCAGTCCCCATGGGCGACGTCCGGGGGCTCACCCATGCAACAACCTTCATCCATCTACCTGCAGGTCCCCGTCGACGCCGCTCAATACTATTAATTGGTCATCTCATTTTCGGCGACCCGCCTCGGCTATCATCGAGCTGGTTGCTGGGGCTTGTCGATATGCAGGTGTCATCGAAGACCACGGATACCGCCTATGTTACCTCTGTGGTGAGGACTCTGAAAGTGAACTTGAATCCGGCACACAGGTTGGAACTTCTACGAGCCGGTACTCTTGCGGTCTTGCCACTCGAAAGCTTGCATGCACTTCGAATGCTTGCTTAGTGCATGCGTCGACTGCGATCGGTGAGCGTTCGCCGTCGCCGTCTCACTACGAACAATTTGATGGAGAAACCGGCAATTTGAGCCATGAAGAAAGCCTCTATTGTCTTGTCTCCGCACTAGATGGAGTCCAGCCCATCTTCCGCGAGCAATGAATTCATATGATTTACACCACACATCGCCCCTTCATACCGCTATCCTAAAATCAAAAACTTGTCATGAGCGGCTTCTTCGCCGAAGTGTACCTCGTGAACAACATGATCATCAGAAAGGCATCCCGTAGCGGGAGTGAAGAAGACTTGTAGCCAATAATCCGCGAAGCAACTATATACAGTCTTCTGCATGACCACCCTCGCATTGCCGAATGCATCTGCCGAGGAAGAATGGACTTCATCGACATCACTATCCGCATGGTGACCTCTTGAGTTTCCGCAGAATCAAGGTATCCCGGACCTCAAGTCGAAGTGATTTGCACAAGTGCTGAAGGTGGTGGCGGTCGGTCAATTCTACGACATCATCCATTCAGATTTGGTATTGCGGCGAACTTTTTGTTGACGATGACTTTGACATTCGCCTCAGCGATTTCGACTCGTCACACTATCCAGGGTATGAAAATGCAACGCACTTCTTGCCGACATATTGTAAGCTGCCTGACACTGTACGCTCATATCTTTTTGTTCGATAGGCGCTCATGATTGGCAAACCTCCACACAGTGACCTATATCCTGTTTAGTTCGAGGACATTGTTCATGGAAGGCGGGACCCACAGCTCGTAGTTGCACGGTTTTCGCGGGAACAGGCCGCCGATCCGAAAGTTCAACAGCGGTACGAGAACCATGCATTTCACGAAGTGTACCGGCTATTCCGCGGTGACATGAGGTTAGGTCTATGGAAGGGGGGGGGGGGATTACTTCCGCAGAATAGGCACTCCAATTGACATGCAAGTCCACAGCAGATTGCAAGTGAAGGGATACCAGTGAGGTCGTTGAAGATCATTGAAAGAGAAAGTGATGAGATGGTGTAATCTCGGCGAGACTCACATCTGGTAGACTTGATAGTTTCAAGATGCTGCTAGCTAGCAATGGTCGATTGAAGGTAGTTCAACGGGCCCTTCCGTGGAATGCAGTCCTTGAAGATGAGAGTGACAGAGAGAAGATTCAATAAAGACACAATGTGCTCGAAGCGAGAAAAACCATCGAACATGCTAGGTACAGGATCAGGTTTGTAATCAATCATTCTCCACGTTATACACACCTCGTGACTCTTCACTCAGACCGGCCTGTTCTTGAAATATCTTCTCCCCACGGATATGTCGTATCGGTGTACTGTCGCATCTTCCGCAAGAAGTTCTCTAGCTCGAGCTTGTTTTTGAGCAGCACAATACGCCTAGAGAACATTAGATCAACACTGCTGCTTATCATTATATCGTCTGCCGAGTAGCTGGATTTGACTCACTTGGCCCCCTTAATATTGGCGACACGGTAGAGCTCATGGCTGAACTCTCCCCGTACAGGTCCAGTGTGCTCCTCCTTATCAACATCGATGATGACATGGAACCGTTGATTCGGATAATCTGGATTGGCAGGCTGATAGTGCCAATGATGCTTGTGTACCAGTTCCTCTACCGGTTCCTCGGGGCGTCCGTCGAGAGCGAGATATAAGTTGACACAGTCAATGATATCAGAGTAAATAAAGTCCGGGAAATCATTGTCTCGCAGTCGGAGGATAACTCTTTTCGGCGGCATGAGGATCTGGGTTCAGGCAGTGTGGTGGGTGGATGTGAGGAAGGCGAAAGATGCAGGCGGCAACCCAATCAGCCGGAGGATGTAAAACACGCTTTGCATTTATAGTTCCGTACCCCCCGCCGCAGCGAGTCATTGATCATTGAAAGGGCTGGACTAAAGTACTTTAGGCGAGCTTTGCGGCTATGCCGCATTCTGTGCTCTTCACCACTCAGAGCATGGTATCTGATGGCTATGATTTACCTGTGTTGGGCCATTCAAGAAGCAATATCATTTCATGTTCTGCTGGGAAACTTGGTCAACTTGCTATGAATACTTCGTCTGTTCATTTTATCTTTGATCCAGCAATCTCATTCAACTTTTCGTACCTTACATGATCCGTAACTGTCGACGCGTGTGCACCCATTTTAGCGAACTGGCAGGCAGGCAGCCAGGGCCCGGTATGGGCGTTTCTTACAGCCAAAGCCAAGTGACTGGCGAATAGAATTAAAAATTGGAAAAATCCCGGCCGCGGAGTTGACCTGTGCAATGTCCCCATGCACTATTGCTCGCAGTGTTGGGTTATACGGCAACCGGGGTTCTGAAATGCTGGCTATGATGCAGTCCACCACTGCAGTGTGAGTGCAGCACCTTCTCAGAACGGGCCTGTTCGGCGGCGATACTGGAAACATGAAGAGATGAGTGTGGCGTCGTGGTGTTAGTATCTTGATGTCGGAAAGGAAAAGCTTTGATATGCTCGTAGCATTATCGGTAATGGAGCGAGGTCACTAAGATTTCTTGTTTTCGTTCAGCGTGTAATGCGGCGTCGAGGCCGAGATTGATTAGATGTGGAGCCAGTGGGAAGATGGAGATCGAAACTTTGATTGTCGTAGTTGTGAAGAGGCTGATTTTCTTACGACAAGACAGAAGTGCTCAAGAAGGAAGAGAGATATTGACTTGATCACAGTATTTTATTTCTAGACGTCACGCTCATGTATGGCAAGGATCGGGGGGTGCCATACTGGCATACTCGGGTCTGGTGACGGAGGATGACCTTGATTCAACTGTTGTGAGGGCCAAAAGGTCTTTTGATACCAGTCTCCAGACACATTCACCCACTGTAATCCTCAGATCATTGAGAAGTCAGGTCATCATTGGAGTGGGTGAGTGCTGTCGAAGCGCTCAGTACTGGGGACAGAGAAAGTAATTCAGTACCTCCCTGTTTTTCTTCTTGTGGAAGAGAGGGGGGTTGCTAGTTTGGGGAGGGGGAGGTTGCGCCTCTCAGAGTCGGGTTCTCATTCATTTCGAATTTTAGCTCATCATCGAGGGCTGATCGGAGAATTCCACACACTCGAGTGGATTGAACACCATCACGACAAGCCAGCGTGTGTGGGTATCTGGTTGAGGTTTGGTGCACGCTGATCTTCTGTCGGGAGGAAATGGGGGCCATGTTGAATATTCCGTGCCCTTGCAGTCGATTGGGCACCGTCGCGACAACTCAGCGTGTGGATATCTGGTTGAGGTTTGGTGCACACTGATCTTCTGCTGGGAGGAGAATTGAGGCCATGTTGAATATTCCGTACCCCTCCAGTCGATTGGGCACCGTCACGACAAGCCAGCGTGTAAGGATCTGGCTCAGGTGCGGTGTATGAATTCACTCTCGACGGGAAAGAGAGGCCAAGGTTCTTCTCGGACACTGCAACATGCAATGTCCTCACCGAAGAGAGTGAGTCCAGCCGAAGATTCTTCTCGGAAAATGCAAGTCGCACGATCCTCACCGAAGAACTTGACTCTTCGGCAAAAGACCACTGGTGGTTCCGACATGTCACTCCGAGTCCGTTGGCGTAGCATCGAACCCATCATAGAGACGAAGTCAGGCGTGCTACAGACCCGTTGTAGCAAAAAGCCCACAAAGCCAAGCAGTCAGATCCGGCTGAAGATTCTTCTCGGACAGTGCAAGACGCAAGACCCTCACCGAAGAATATGACTCTCCAGCAGGAGATCGCTGATGGCTCCCACGCGTCTCTCAAAGTCCTCTGCCGTAGCAGCAGACATTTCATCGAGACAAGACATTCATGGCTCGCTACAGACTCGTTATAGCTCATCGCCGTAAAGCCCGCAATCCAGGTTTGGCAAAAGTGCAAGAGCCAATCTTCCCGTCGAAGAAAACGATTCTTCAATAAGATATCACTCATCGTTTCTACACACTTTCTCCAGTCCAGACTCGTCAGCCCAAAGCACAGCGCGCACCGAGGTATGAATGGGTGAAGTAGGCCTTTCTTATGATATGATCAAGCCAGAGTTGAAGTGAAGAGAATGACTCCATAAAGGGCATCATCGTCCATGCCTCTCGGGGTGCATTTGCCCGTTATCATCGTGAAGGCTGTATCAGCAGGTAGGGGCAAGGGAAGGGCATGCTTCACTTTGTGTGTGTGTGTGTGTGTGTGTGTGCGCCTCTCAGGGTGCGTTTGCACATTGTCATCATATAAGGCCAAAGCAGCAGACGAGGAAGGACAGATGTTTAATTCACTTTGTTTATGCGTCTCAGGGTGCGATTGCACGTTATCATCATCGAAGCCAAAGTGGGGAATGAATGGGTAGGGGGAGAGATCGTGCACAAAGCTCACCTTCATCCGTAGCACCTTGAGGCCTGATGCATGCTCAGAGCAGGGTTCACAAGCGAAAAAGGCCAGAAGAGCATGCAGAGATCGGTGAGAGCAGTCTCGGATCCCAAAGTGCAGTGAGAGGGGAAAGGGAACTACGAGTTGTGCTGTGGCGTGGTGTGAGGGACGGGGGAGAGGGCAGAATGGGGGGAAGGAGAAAAAGAGAAAGAAGAACGGTGTGGATGGAGAGTAAAGAAAAGTGAGAAGGACAAGGAGGGAAGAAAGAGAAAGAGAGGGAGAAGCAGGGGAAGAGAGACCTTTTATACCCCCCAAGATGTCGTATGTTGACTAGTGCGTGTCTGTTTTGGGGCGACGTGACGAAAGAGCAAACATTTTGCCTATGCTGCCTAGAGGCCACAGGCATCAGACACAACAACGCGTAGAAAGTTATGGAGTCTCAAAGGCAGCAAACATTTGAGACCAAACAATCGAGCCATGCTGTGGTGGAGGGTACGAAGAAGGTCGTTTCAGCAAAGTAGTGCTGCCGGTCATTAACTGCCTTTATGAACATGTCTGAGTCGCAAAAAGAAAGGTTAGTGATCAGCATGCATTCAGAATGCTCGATCTTATGAAGAATGAGTTCATAAGGAGTGGGTCGACATAATAGTGTGAAAGGAGATGAAGACCAAGGTGACGGATATCCTGATTCCTGAGCCTTGAGTTGACCGTACTGTAAGTTTCATTTGTTTACTTTTTGCTACATTTGCGGCTTGCTCAGCTCACTTAGTGAATGCCACAGGTCAAATGAATGGGGCATATGTTTTTGATAGATCTCTTTGGCTGCTAATTGACTGCTACTGCTAAGCTTGTCCGAGGCCTCCTGTGAGCATCTGTACTGCGAGGTGCGCCTCGCCATGTATGCTCTCGATGGTCTGGGTCGACTCTGTTCAGATCCCTTCACACAAGTGCTCAGTATACGTGAAGTCTTACCTCAAGTAAGCTTTTCTCCTGCTTCTGCGAGTTGGACGACGACTTCCCAGCCACGAAACAGCCGCGAATAAGCTTACATGCCCTGCTCTAGTTGGGTCACCTGGTTATATCTTTATCGTGAAAGCGCTGCTCGGCATGGGGAGAGTAGGTACATTGAGTTTTTTTTTGTTTCTTTCCATTACAATATGAGGCAAGCGCTATGGAAACCATTCTTTGGCTTCGTCGTCCTCAGCGCCATTTGTCCAGATGCTCATCCTCGGCTGACCACTGTCATCTACCCAGGCTCGGTACATTCCCGCACAGTTGTAGTCCATCAACAACACAGATTTGGTCCCTACCACTTCGCCGCTCTTGTCCCGTAATATCATGCTCTCAATGCCGATCATTCCTCCTTCGCCTTCTCCAGTCTTGCTCCATCGATCACCGGCATTTTGTTGAAGTATCCCGTCCGCACCAGCTACATACTTGAGAGCATTGGTGCCCGTCTCGGGTTTCCACTGGGCTAGACCGAGGACACCCTGCGCAGCAGCGGTTCGCACAAAGGAGTCGCCGGTTCCGGTGCCGGAAAGGCCGATTGATCTTATGGAAGTGACCCCTTGTGACCATTCACTCGGCTCTTTCGACCTGGTCCAGAGTCGTGAAATAGGCAACGAGATCTGCCAGAGGCCGGGTGATGATGTACTCATCCTCTCGTGGGAAATCAGCCCCGTGGAGCTTTGAGGTAGTTGATTCCAGACTGAACGAGTGACAGACGGGCTGCTCTCATCCCACTGACCTGCCCAAAAGCCCGCGCCGGGAATCGGAGTGTCACCAATTCGGCCGGAGATCTTATTTGTGAGACCGCCGGTGCTTGTTGCTGCACAAATAGCTCCGTGCTCGTCCATGGCGACGGCACCGCAAGTTCCTTGCGGCAGATATTCCTCAGGATCCCAGGTGGCGAGACTCTCTCCTCTTTTCTCCTTGTCCAGCGCTTGAATGTGCTCATTCCATCGCTTCTGAGTGAAGTAGTAGCTTGGTGGAACAAGTTCACACCCATATCTTGACGCAAGAATCTCTGCAGCTTCTCCGCGAATGAGGGTATGACCCTGTGCGAATGGAACATCAAGTGGCTTTTTGGTCAACGGGGACGGCCGGGCTGGACCACCTTGGTCGTTATGCGAGGTAGTACGGGGCTCAAGCTCGTTCTCAACTTCAAGATCTTGTTCTCCGTGCTCCAAGATCTTCCGCGCCAGGATGACGGGATTCTTGACGTTTCGCACCCCCATGACTCCCACGCATCGCTTTTTGAGCCCGTCAGAGGCCATGACTGAGGCCTCGAGCTCATTGGTTCCATCGCGTGTGAAGACTGATCCATGGCCGCTGTTGAACAACGGGTGGTCTTCAAGGAGGGTGACGGCGTATGTAGCAATATCGAGTGCAGACGGACGTCTGTCTCCGGTCGAGGGTTGACATGAATCACCTTCGCCAGGCAGTATCTGCGTCACGTATTTATTTGTCTTGGAGACCTGCGTCGAAAAGGTCAGCGACTCGTCAGCATCTCACTCAGGAATGCTGACATACGATTGACAGCAGGGCGGTTCTATATTGCTCATATTCTTCTTTTTGAAAGTCTTGACGCAGGATGTTGCCAGCACCGCCATGAATGACCACGCGAGGCTTGAAGAGTCGCTTCGTCATGACTGTGTCTTGAAGTTGGTATGCTTTCCAAATAAATTGGCAAGCTTCTCTCCTTTACCACAGTTTACCCCGTACTGTGTACACGACCTCGCCGCCCCGTTTTATAGCGACGGACCATCTCCGAGATACTCCTACTTGACACTCCTCCGAGACTTGAGTCATTACAAAGTCTAAGGAATCGATCATCCTGTTGTTCCTTCCTGGAAAGTAAGCCCGCTCTGTTTCCGCCTGGCATTGGGGGTTCCAGGATAGCACCTTCCTTAGGGATCCATGTGGTCCAGCACACCTGAGTCGAGATGAGCAGCTGGACTGCACATCTCAACCGGAAGCGGACAAATATCGGGGACCATAGCGTGTGGCGATAAGGTCAACCCCGCGCGAGCTCGGAGCTCTGTTGACAGCAAGGTATCAAAGCACTTCAGGGACGAGAGACCAGAATAGTATGGGGAGGCCAAATATAAGAGGGAGGTGGCTGCGAGCCTCAGGATAGATTGTGCCGGATGGTTTCCGGAGCTTGATGAAGTTGGCATCCTGACCTGGATTTGCAAGATGTCGCTCTCCCAGCCTGCAGTGGCTTACCAGCCCAATAGATCGGGATCCAGAAAGGTCAGCGAGGATGTGGCAGTCCATGGCACCGTCGACGCAGGACACACCAAAGAATACGGCGATGATGTTGAGGGTGGAGTGATTGAGGACCAGTTGCGCCGAGCACTCTCAGCACGTCAAGTGCAGATGATCGCCATCGGCGGTACCATTGGAACAGGTCTGTTCCTGGGATCTGGCGGTGCACTCGCAACTGGCGGTCCGGCCTCATTGCTTCTTTGCTATACCATCATTGGTGTCATCGTCTATTTCACCATGCTGGCTCTGGGTGAAATGGCGACTTTTATACCTGTTGCGGGTAGTTTCTGCACATTTTCCAAGTCAGTATTTCTCCTCGAGGGAGGCCCCCCTGGATACCATAGTTGAGAAATGGACACTGACATGCTCCCGTCTCATGGATCAGTCGATTCATTGACCAGGCTTACGGGTTTGCACTTTCGTGGAACTACTGGTTTGGAGACGCGGTCACCGTGGGCTCGGACCTGGTTGCCTTGCAGCTTCTGTTGAAGTACTGGACCGACAATTTTCCAGGCTGGGGCCTCAGTCTGATCTTTTGGGTGCTTTTGATCGCCATGAATCTGATGAGTGTCAAAGTATACGGAGAGGTCAGTGGAAGATACAGAAGCACCGACTCGATGAGACATGAGTGGCTAATATTGTCTACAAATAGCCCGAATACTGGCTCAGTATTCTCAAAATTGTCACTATGCTGGTGTGTATCCATCTTTGCGCCGAGATAGCATCAGTCTTGAATGCGTTCACTCATCGTGTGATTCCCAGGTCTTCATCATTCTTGGTATCGTGGTCAATTGCGGCGCAAACACCTCTGGCCACTATATCGGCGGCGAGAACTGGCACATCCCCGGAGCGCCATTCGTGGATGGGATTGGAGGCTTTGCTTCTGTCTTTGTGACGGCTTCTTGTGCTCGTAGGTGCTCTTTATCGTTTATGACGGTCACCTCAGTATGCTAACCCAATATCAGATGGCGGGACTGAGTCAATCGCCATTACCGCCGGTGAGACCAGGAATCCCACTCGAAACATCCCCCGTGTTGTGAAAAACGTGTTCTGGCGAATTTTGCTCTTCTAGTAAGTTGGTCATTCATTGTGTTGAGAACCCTACCCCCTCTCGGGGTTTCACATTGGATCTGACTCTGAACTGCTCTCATCCAGCTTCTTGAGCGTCATAATCATCGGTCTCAACGTCCCATACAACTACCCCGGGCTCGAAGGCCGATCCTCACGAACCTCCCCGTTCACCATCGTCTTCCAAATGACAGGAGCCAAGGCAGCCGGCAGCGTGATCAACGCCGTCATCGTCACCAGTGTCCTGTCTGCAGGAAATCATGCCCTCTTTGCCGGAGCCAGACTCTTATACTCGATGGGCGTGAATGAACATGCCCCCAAGATCCTGGGCCGACTCAACAAGCAACAAGTTCCCTGGGTCGCAGTCCTCGCCACGGCCTTTATTGCTGGATTATGCTTTGCATCAAGCTTTGTTGGTGCAGGACAACTTTGGACCTGGCTTCAAAAGTATCCCCCCCCCCCCCCCCCCCCCTTCCTCCCATCCCCCTTGAAAGGTATCTCTACCATACTACCTTTCAAAACCACGCACTAACACACCCTCCCCTCCCCAGCCTAGTCGGCGTCTCCAACATGATAACCTGGATGTCCATCGGAATCGCCTCGCTCCAGTTCCGCGCCGCCCTCACGGCACAAGGCAAAACCCACCTCCTGCCCTTCAAAAACTGGTCCTACCCCTACGGACCCTGGTTCGTCGTCATCGCCAACATCTTCCTGATCCTCGTCCAGGGCTGGAGCTGCTTCAGCCCCGTGTTTGATCCAACGCTCTTTGTGAGCTACTACGTGGAGTTGCCGCTGATGGTCCCCATGTACTTGGGCTGGAAGTACGTGAAGAAGAGCAAATTCCAAAGGTTGGAGACGATCGATCTGGTCACGGATATATATACGGCTGAGCATGCGGGCGACGATAGGAGGAGTTGGAGGGAGAGGATGAAGAGGGGATGGGCTCTGGTGTGTTGATTTCAACGTGCTTTCCTCCTTTGGGTTATGAGAGTTGTTGTAGGTGTCTAGGCAGGTATTAGTAGTTGGTGTTAAGCGAGACTAGGGTAGTTTCCATTTACCTGTGCTTTCATTAGGATTTACCTACTTGACCTAGCTCTTTACCAGGTAACTGGGGGGAATGAAATAAAACAGGATCACAGCGAGCTGACGTAACTTGGAGTACTGTCTATTTCATGAATGGATTCTCCCTTGAAACCTATGAATGCATTTGTCTCCCATGCCCTGGAAGGAGATAGGGACCTAGTGCTGAGGTACAGCATAGAACTTTGACAGCCATCCAAGCGATCAAGGTGGTTGATCAGGGCATATACTACTTGAATGATGAAGGTGTATTTTCATCCCAAATACTACGCACGGGTCCTTCACTACAGGTGATGTTGAATATTCCTTTGTGGCGGAAGCCCACATTCAGCTTTACAAAGACGACAGAGCCGATCATCTACAACTAGAATCCGCTGGACAACGAGCTACGTTTTGGGCTACGTTTGTTGGAAATAATAAGTAGGGAATAGTGGATGTGATCATTCGTTTGGGACTAGCGATGATAGCCAAAACCGGCCGAATCGAGGAGAAAGGCACATAACTGGATAGCCACGATTCATCGATTCATCATCAAGGGGCATCACAGAACAAAGCAATCCAGTGGATGGGAAAATGGGAATCTCTTCTAGTCATGACGCTCAACTGCGGGCACACAGAGCAAAATACCCGCCTGAACGCCATCCCATGCAAAACGCCAGTGGTACAGAAGCAACGGCACACAAGAAGCAAAAGTATCGTGATAAAACATAGGGGGGGGGGGGGGGGGGGGGTAATCAGAGGAAGGAGGAGACGAATAGAGACATAAGACATAGACCATTCGACGCACCAACAATGCTTGCAGGGCCTGGGAAAACAAAGACACGGAAAGGCACAGTATGGGAATGCAGGATGGAATCGTGAGCCCGTAAGGAATTCAAGCAATTGTGGCCAGGGCCTCCTTGCGCCAGTGGATTGTCGTGTGACATGGAGGACGACCACAAGACCGAATGGATGAGATAATGTTGTGAGTGACAATATGGAATCTGTGCAAAACCGCTTGTCTTCAACGGTCATGCCAGACGAAGCATCCCGTTTGTATGGCTTCAAGCACCGACTTGGTGCAGCTCATAATCAGGCACCTCATCGAACCAGTCACTGTCAGGGTTGTACTGGTAAGCCTTGAAGTCAACACCGTAGGGCTTGGGCTCCAGCATGTACAGCATGCCCATAGGAACATCCAGATCGGCAACCATGTCTCGCTTCAGGCCACGGAAGTAAGAGAGCAGCACACGAGCATGAGATCGATGACTGACCAGGAGAACATGATCAGTCGTACGCTCAACCTCCACGATCACAGCGCGCAGTCGGTTGATGATATCCAGGTAACTCTCTCCGCCCGGGCCCGGATACCGGTAGAAGAGTTTGTCCTTCTTACGGTGGGCATATTCCTCTGGATACTGCTGCTGGATCTCTTTGTAGGTCATGCCCTCCATCTTTCCTGCGTGAAGGTCGTCCAGCATACGCATCTGCTTGACGTCGTAGTCGTCGTCATTAAAGTACTCCACGGTCTGGACCGCGCGCTTCATCATCGACGACCAGACACAGAAGTTGCGTGGACGATCACGGGGGATGTACGAAGGATTGGGAGGGGTGCTGTCACCAGGACGCGGCGGGAAGTGCTTGATCAGGTTCTTTTGTCGCTGGTAGAGCTCCCACTTCTTCCGCTGGTGATCAATGAACTTGGCCAGCGCCTTGGCATAGCGTTGCCCGTTCTCGCTCAGATCCGAGTCACCACCCAGACGACCCGCTTGATCATCCACACTTTCGCCGTGACGGGTAATCCAGATCTGGCGCGGTGAAAGGTTGAAGTTGAGCAAATAGTAAACGACCTGTGAGGAGAGAAAGCCGTGCGTTTGATGTGACACGATCTTGCGTCCCACGTCAATCATCTGAATGTAGGCCATGTCGTTTTTCTCCTCGTACTCGCCGAGAGGAACGTAAGACTTCTCATACAAGGCAACGCGCTTCTTGAAGTCCTCCAGCGCGGTGGTGGGGTCTTGGCCCTTGTAGTCCGGGCCGGAAAGCTTCAGCCGCATATTGGCTTCCAAGAGATCCTTATCGACGCAGCTGCTCTCGAGGAACAGGATCCCCAGCTCGGGGCCAGCACGGTTACGGATATGGTCGACAAGGGCCTTGCGACGCTCCATGGTGCTGTTTGTCGCGTCGAGGATACCAACACTGCCGCCTTCTTCCAGGATGTACTCAAGAAGTTCATCCAGAGTGTCCAGAGCCACCTGCTCACGCAGCTTCAACGCGATCTGGTTAGAAGGATCGAAGAAGTTGGCACTCTGATCCATGGGCTCTGGGGAAGCCTCAGTGACAGCATCGGCAGGAATGTCGACAGAGGTCTGATTAGCCTCGTTGGGAGGAACCACAGTGCTGCCATGGTGGGAGATGGACGATCCAGGCTCTTCACCATTGATGAGGATCTTCGCTGGAATGACAGGAGGGGGAAGCGAGGTGTCATTTGGAGGCGATGATGCCTCCTCGGGAGGCGAAGTAGCATCCTTGTTGGCAGTGCCGACGCTTACGCTGAGTCGACGCACAGAGTCGACGAGATCCTTGTGGATACTGCTTGTACGCTTATCCATTGGCCGTGCGGCGGGGGAGGGTGACTTGCCCGCAGCGACACGACGACGCTCGCCAACATTGAAGATCTCTGTGTCGTGTTGAAGCCAGTTCAGGTAGCGAGCGAGCTTCTTGGTGATGTAACTCTTGCCTCGTGCGGGCAGGCCAACCATGATGATGACCAGCTTTGAGCCGACATCTCGGGAGGCGATGCGTCCATCTGGGGACACTTTAGATCTAGTCAGACCCGGGATATCAAGGGTTGTGGCTCGCACTCGGCTTGGAGTGCTAGCAGCAGAGAGACCATTGCTGTGAAGGAAGCGATGAGTCAGTCCAGGGTCAGAGAACAGATAAGCGTGATGGAAGTAAAACCAAAAAAAAGAAAAAAAAAAAAAAAAAGGCAAGAACGAGATCCAGTCAGGCACTAGCCACGACAGCTCCGGAACCAATTACACCGTGCAGAGGACGTATAGCGGTCAGGCACAAGCTTTACGTCGGAGACCAGCTTCCAGATCCGTACTCGACGGCGAGTGGATTGACCCGAGGCACATCGCAGCATACCTGGCTCAAGGTTTGTGCCCCTCGCGCTCATAGGCTCCCTCATGGATTAAGCAGTCACATCCAGTGGGACAGGGTCATGGATTCACAGAAGGTCCAGACTCTTCAAAGACACGCGAGAGGCTGAAAGCACCAAAATGGACGACTCAGAGAGGCAAGACTTACATCTGTGGGGAGGGAGGTGCGGTAGAAATCGGAGTGTCCGTCAAAGCGGTTCCGACTCCGCCCAGCGATCCTCTGTGGGCATCGGAATGCAAGTCGCTTCCTAGCGCTCTGCTCACTACGGTCTTCGGGCCAGGAGGCATCAACGCTCCTTCTTTACCCGAGCCGCTGTTAGCTCCGTTTGATGGGACACCGTTGGACCGTAGGTTCTCAAGTGCCTGATCGCCCTGCTTCGCAACATCGGGCGATTTGGCCGACGTCATGATAGCCGACCGCGCGATGGAGGAGTGTTGCGCCATTACAGCGCAGGGAAGTCACAAGTTCCCGGGCAAGGTGCGGGTGGAAGGTGCCTGTGGCGCCTGGAGACTGCACTGCTTGTTCTAGAAGTGGTGCGCTCGTGAAGACGTGGTTGCCTCTGATGGCAAAATCCTGATGGAGAGCTCTGAAAAAAGCGAGGCGGAGGCGGAGAAAGTGAGAGCGGGAGAGGCGGATGACTCAACTCCGATAAACGTCACTTTCGACCGTGTGCTTCACTCTGGGGATCTGGTTGGTGAGAATCTTCAACAACGCACTCTCCCAGAGTGACACGAGGAGTGGTGAGGAAGGGGCTGAGGGTCAGAGAACAAAGAGAGGGATGTTTGGGGATGTGTGGAAAGATGAATTTGGGCAACGGGGTGCAAGCGTTGATGGTGCAAGTTGCAACCCAGCGACAGTGAGATGGAAGTTAGGACGGGCAGAGAGGTTGGAGAAGGGAAAAGAGATGAAGGGAGATGAAGGGCCAGGGAGAGAATAAGTACTGGATGCTGTGTGTGTGATGGAACGACGCGTCAAGGATGTTTGCTTTGAGGAAGGCCGTCGACGAATATGGACGCGGAGATAGCAAACAGGCAGGTGCCGTCGTGCTCTCTGAGGGTTGTGTTCGAGAAAGGAAGTACTGGGTGCCCCCAAAGTGACCAGCTATTGCCTAATATGGCAGCGGGCCTGGAGGAGAGCAATGAAGTCACTGTACTGTCACCTCTCATTGAGTGTCAGAGCATATACGGTGGATCTCAGGGCGATATGAGCAGCCTCAGTATAATGATGTCAACCTTTTCAAAAAAAGCCATACAGGAAGATTGTTGAAGATCCAGGTCAACTGCTCTAGCCATAAACACGGGGATCTACAAAGTAGCTAAAAAGTGTATAACGGAGATCAACTTAAATAATGCTGCCCTTGTCGCACGATAGGGAAAATGTTCCGAGCTGATGGGCTCGGAACTATCAAATCTGCTATAATAACACAGAATGCTTGGCTATGGAAATCGGCCAGCCTTGGCCCTTGATGAACTCCATATGACTTTATCCCTATCTTCATGTCTCTTGCCTCACAGCAACTCGACTGTGCCTGCAGAGCGGTCGGGCGGTCGAGACCAACTATGACTGCCTGTCCACTCGGGCGCTGCGGCGTAGTCAGAGCTGAGGCTGCAGGGGTCTGAGATCGACCCGGAACAAAAGCTCAAGGTGCACCCCCGCCGACCGATTTAAAATCAGACAGACTTGGAGTCGTCAAGGCTGGAGGCTTTACAGTCGCACGCACATCACCGCTTGACGTTGGTTGGGCGTTCATTCTAGCATACTTGCTTCCCCTTGGCGCGAACCCTCGATGCCCGCCACAAGTTAATCGGGCTCCGACCAACCGGAATGCACGAGATGCCCAGGAGAGATCTGCTCCGCTGCATGTACCCGCACAACAATATGATGATAAGGTCGCTCGGGGTGGCAGTGGCACATCATTCTTGGCGCTTGGCGGTAACGCAAGGGAGGGGGGGGGGCCAATGCCGACAGGGTGAGGCATCAGCGGAGCGTGACACTGTGTGCGCGGAAGAGGTGATCTCGCAGGCGATCACTCTGACTCAGACAAGATAGGCGGAAGGACTGTCTGATAAAGTGGCAGACCAGTCGTGTCGAGTTATTTGCCAAGGTGCAGAGTAAGGCCAATCAAGCAGGCATATGCGGCGATACTCAGCGCAGTCAGGACCACGACCGCATTCCCACTGGTTCGAAACTTGTGTCGATGGACGCCGTCATCCCCCATCACAGAAAAGAATTGTCGGTTGCCTTGAGAGCGCCGGAAGAGACCAATTATCAAGACCCCGGTGCCGTAGATTGCGAACAGCGCACCGATGCTGTAGAACTCGGCGGTGAAGATTTTGAGAACGACCAGCGCAAAGGAGAACTGGGACAAGGCAGTTCGGACGTAGGCGCCCTCAAAAGTTCGCTGGGCAGCGCGCACTTCGACAATCTCATCGTTGGTGAGGACTGCGGAGCGAGCCCGGTGCATCCGTAGGCGATATCGGTCGGCCGCTCGTCGCTGGACCTGTCAGTGTGGGGAGGACGCAAGGGATGAGGAATAGGCTTCACGCACCTCAAACATGATGAGATTTGATTAATTCCTATCTGTCTTTTGGGGGAGGGGGGCCAGATGTTTTTGGTCGGAGGAGTGATTCCTGGTGGCAGTGATCGAGGAGGGGTGAAAGCGCCTGGGCGAAGACGAAAACAGCCCGCACGATCGATGCTCACGTGGACTGCATCATTTCCCCGACCGATCACGAGCTTGACGGATTTCGTCGAAGCAGCACTTTACTTTTAGACATGACCTTGTATATTCGAGAGCGTGACATATTGCTGGTCTTGGAATATCATCATTGATCCAATGCCACAATGTCTCTAGATGGCTAGGGATTTTCCAGCAATATTCCACTGTGCAACATAACATGGCTTTGAGATTGTGTCACTGTCCACTGTCCAGCGTCCAGCCTAGAACGCCGAATCGTGCAAAAACAGCCCGGACAAATTTCCCCATCAATGACGTGGGGGCGGTTATGAGACTCTCGAAAGTGTGTCAAGACTCAAGAGTCAAGACGGTCGGCAATCGAAGTTACCCAACGAGGACGACAATCGCCGGGATTTCCCCCAGAGTTGGAACCCCCACACGACCAGCTTCGGCGGGTCGGGATCATCTCCGAATGAGCGTGCCTTTTTGTCTTGACCTTCCTTGACCATTGACCGTGCCGTTCTCCCTTTCTCATGACCTTTGTGAGCGCGTACGTTGAACAAGCGCTCACATAGCAGATCAAAATGGCGAAAGTTTTGGACGCCGCAGAGGGTAAGTCTCAAATACCTCCACGCGGCGACTCGACTCGGTCAAGTGAAGCTGGCCCGCCGTTTGATGTCTGTGGGGTAATACTGACCAAATTGCACAGTCGCCAAGCACAACACCGCAGAGAGCTGCTGGGTGATATTGTACGGCAAGGTCTATGATGTATGAAAGTGAAGCAAAACGGTGTCCAGATCTGATACTAAGTAGGACATGGTCGCTGATACCACCGAATGATATTAGGTGACAGACTTCTTACCTAGTCATCCTGGCGGCGCGAACATAATTCTGAAACTCTCGGGGAAAGACGCTACGGAAGAATATGACCCGATTCACCCCCGGGGACTCTGGATGAATTGAAGCCAGAGGCCTGTCTAGGCACGGTGGACGAGAGCACCTTGCCCAAGGACGACAAACCGGCACCGGCACCGGAAAAGGCCACAGGCCCGCCTCCGATGCAAACCCTCCTCAACCTAGATGAGATTGAAGAGGTCGCGACGAAACAAGTCAGCCAGAAAGCGTGGGCCTACTACTACTCAGCATCGGATGACAAGGTCTCCAAACGGTTTAACAATGAAGTTTACCGCTCCATTCTTCTGCGTCCCCGAGTCTTCGTCGACTGTACGAACTGTGACCTGAGCACATCGGCGCTAGGTCATAAGCTGGGGATGCCAATCTACGTGTCACCTGCGGCCATGGCTCGTCTGGGCCACCCCTCCGGCGAGGCAGGTATCGCCGAGGCCTGTCGCAGCTTCGGTGCTATGCAGGTCATCTCCAACAATGCGTCGATGACACCGGAGCAGATTGTCCAGGATGCGGCGCCGGACCAAGTCTTTGGCTGGCAACTCTACGTCCAAGTCGACCGCAAGAAGAGCGAAGCCATGTTGGCTCGGATCAATAAATTGAAAGCCATCAAATTCATCGTTCTGACCTTGGACGCTCCGGTACCGGGCAAGCGCGAAGAAGACGAGCGCAACAGTCTGGTTGGTGTCTCACAGCCGGTTTCAAGTGGCGTCAAAGCTGCGGAGCGTGCTGCGGATGGTACTCCGGATGTCAACGGTCCCGGCGGCTCCGGGGGAGTCGGTCAGCAGCTTTTTGCTGGCACAGATCCATCATTGACATGGCAAAAGACACTACCCTGGCTGGCCCAGCACACCAACCTCCCCATCATTTTGAAAGGATTGCAAACGTATGAAGATGCGTATATTGCATCTCTCCACGCGCCCCGGGTCAAGGGTATCATCCTCTCTAATCACGGAGGACGCGCACTAGACACTGCGCCACCTGCTGTGCATACTCTCTTGGAGATTCGAAAATACTGCCCCGAAGTGTTCGATAAGCTGGAAGTGCATGTTGACGGCGGTATTCGCCGTGGCACCGACGTGGTGAAGGCATTGTGCCTCGGAGCCAAGGCGGTTGGAGTTGGGCGGGCAGCGCTCTGGGGGCTGGCTGCCGGTGGTCCCGATGGAGTCCGAAGGACTTTGCAAAGTGCGTATTGCTGTCGTTGTTTTATGAAACTGGACACTGGACACTGGATACTAACTATTTGGGGATAGTACTTGCGGACGAAACCAAAACGTGCATGCGCCTGCTCGGCGTGCAAACTGTCGATGCCCTTGGCCCTCAACATGTAACGTCTCCTCATCCCTTTGAGCCATGTTGGCGATGTGCTTGCTCGAAAAGCTGACTCGTATAGATCAACACCCGCATGGTTGAGCAACAGATTTACGACGGACCGTCCGCTCTCGACTCGCTACGACGCACCTTCCGGGCGAAGCTTTGAGTGCCTTGGAGGAATGTGACTATGCGTGTCACATTTAGTCCTGAAGAGTTCTAAATTACAAGAAGTCGGTACATGCACCCATTGGCTCTCTGTGCTCTTCCAATTGAAAGATCCCATGTATATATCATCCTGGAGCTTCATGCTTAGGACGTCTTATGTAATTGACGTAAACATAAGTTTGGCCCCGCCTTGGCCCTACAGCGTTACCACAACAGGATCAAGTCCGCAAGGAGTAATCCCCCCCCCCCCAAATCAAGCCTTCTCATCCTCCTTCACCCGCTCAAACACCTCCAAGAAGGTCTCCGGCGCATCCGCCCCCTCCACTGCATACTTGCCTTGGATCGTAAAGTACGGCACCCCAGTGACCAACCGCATCGACGCCATCTTGGCCTCAGCATCCACCTGCGCACCCCCCTCATCCGAACCCAACAACTTCTTCACCGCACCCTCATCCAACCCAGCCTCCACACCCGCCTCCAGCAAGACCGCCGGATCCGTGATATTCTTCTCATCCTCAAAATACGCCCGGAACAACTTCTCCGCCACCCGCGACTGCACACCCCCAATCACCGCCGTGGCGCCCTCCGTCCCCGTCCCCGTCCCCGTCCCCCGCTTCGCATGCTCCAATTGGCCCGCGTACCAGAGCAAGCGGTGCGAATCGCGCGTCTTGCCCGTGTTGCCGCCGAAATTGAACTTGATGCCTTCGCCCTCGCCGACGGCGGCGAGACGTGCGAAGATGGCGGCTGTGCGCTCGTGGCCGAATTTCAGCCCGTAGGCTTGCGCCTTGTTGACGCCGGGGTATTCGGGGGAGGAAGGGTTGAGGTAGAAGGCGTGCCAGTCGAGGGTGAATGTGTCGGTGGGGTGTTGGCCTTGGTGGGCGAGGATGGCGCGCGAGAGGCGGCGGTACCCGACGTAGCACCACTGTGTTTGTGGTGATGATGTTAGTATTTCAGTTGTATGGGTGGGGGTTGTGCCTTGTGCTTGTGAGAGATGTGAAGAGGAGGAGGAGGGGAATGGCATTGAGGTTGAGGTTGAGGTTGAGGTTGAGGTTGAGGTTTTGGTTTCTGGGGATGGGATGGGATGGGACCTCAACGTCCACGTACCGGACAGATGGTGTCGGAAATGATCTGGATGTTGAAATTCGTCATATTGAAAGATTGGAGGATGTAGACTGGGTAGGTAAGGCTTCCACGAAGTAGTAAGTGTGAGGAATCCCCCACCAAAAAAAAATGGTCGTAATTGAGACTAAACTCGAGACAGTGACACAGATACAGTCAAGAGAAGAGGAAGTAATATGTAGAGACAAGGGGTCGGACTCGGTGAGGATAAAGGACAAACCTCCAACGAAAGAAACCAAGGTATGATGTCAAGAGGGCCTTTTAAACTTTATGGACTTCCCCCCGCCGAGTTTTGGGACTAAAAACACGACGTGCCGGTGCAAAAAGCCTCGTGGCTTATAGATCGCCGAGGTTTAACTTAACTAAGCGGCGGTTAATTTGTCAGCAGCGCTTCGATTCCGCCCATCGCTCAAGTACCAACCTCAGGACCGCTAACTTACCATTAACTTACCAAGTACTTGTAGTGGAGTCGCGAATCGGCAGGCGGATGAACCTTTGCAGTCGAAGTGGAGATGGCCGAAGAATCGATGTGATATGGTGGGCCTGCCCAGGACCCTAACGCTGTACGTGATAGTGCAACTGCAATGTGCAGCGGTAGTGTACAAATTGGTCTGGTTCGAGTATAGTATGACCATGTTGTAGGTTACTACTTATGTACAGGTATGTAGTAAGTTATGTGCGCTGTACACTGTACACTGTGCAGTAAGAGGTATGGAGGAGAGCTTCATGCTGGATGGATGTGTAACTGAGCCTATCGGATCTATGAATCTCGAATGCGCTCATGTAGTACTTTGAGATTTTTTTCCTTCTTACCATCCAAATAGGCAGATGATAATGTCTGGACCCCCATTCGGGCGAAAAGGACCTCGGCAGGTGGTCCATCCCGGCATGGATCGTCATCAAGCACAGAGAAAAAGAGTCGGAAAAATGGTTGAAGCCCTCTTGATATAACAGATTCAGGATCCCTCGACTCGGAACTCCGAGGTCAACCCAGCCAGCGAGTGTTGTCAGACCTGACCGTAATCGCTCGACCAAGACAGTCAAGTCAACAAAAGGAGGAAAGGAGAATCTGCAAGAGTCTCTAATCGACCTTCACCTGCAGCGAGGGCGATTTCAACAACGCAAAGACCACCAGCGCAACCCCGGACATGGCCATTCCACCAACAGTATACGCCGCCTCACGTCCCGCCCACCAGAACAAGGAACAGAACAAGATCGGTCCAGCCGCGCGTCCCGCTTGTCCCCACCCACGAAGTCTCCCCATGACCGCTCCCCGGTCGGCCTCGCGAGCTTCAAGACTGCCCAGACTATTCAAGCCAGTGACGACCGTTGCGCTGGTGATGGCCAATAAACCGCCCGCGGCATAGAGACCGGATGGAGATGAGACGTGCGCCAGACAGAAGAATGACAGCGCGCAGGCGACGACGCCGGCTCGAACGGTGACGAGCGGTGGGAGGCGGCGGACGACCGTGCCTTGGAGAAGGGATGCGATTAGTCCCATGAGAGAGAGAAGGCGGCCGTTCAGTGCCGCGGGGCTGGCGGTTGAGGTGCCGGCGTAGAGGGTCGCGGTCAGGAAAGGCAGGGAGAATTCCAGTCCGGAGAAAGGTAAGAGGAACAGGAAGTGGATCGCGTTCAGCAGGGCTGGGCGATTGGTGTGCTGATGAGCAGCGCTCTTTGCAAGCCCGGCTTGGGATGCAGGATGTTTGTTAGACGCTTCGGCCTTGTTGCTGCCAGTTGACCCCTCTTGCTGCAAAGTCGTCAGCCGAGGATGAGTCTCTGGTAAACAAGCCCAGAGATATGTCGTTTCGAGTACGACAAGAACTAGCGAGACCAGGGCCGCTGTCATGAACGGATTGGCCGCGACAATGTCGACGGTACTCAGCGCGGCACCCATCATCGGTCCAAAGGTAAACGCAATGCTGAAGCAGGCGCCCACCAACGCCATCGACGCACCGCGGCGCGTTTCATCCGTGACATCGGCGACAATGGCATTGGCAAGCTGGACATTTGCCTCACTGAGACCACCGACGACTCGACTGGCGAGAAAGGTCCGAAAGTCTCTTGCTGACACCCAGAGTGCCACACTACATATATTTCCGACCATTGCGGTCAACAAGGCGCGGCGTCGGCCATGGCGATCCGAGAGACGACCGATCACAGGTGCCGCGAAGGCTTGGAGAAGAGAGAAAAGAGAGCCGAGAGCTCCGCCGAGGAGAACAATGTCATAGCGAGAGTCGATCGGGCGCGCAAAGGCGTTCTTGTAAGCGTTGAGGTAGTGGAAGATGCGGTTCAGGAGGGAGTCGGGGGATGGATCTTGGGCGCGGTAGAATGAAAGTAGAGACGGGAAGAGCGGTAGAATGAAGGTAAATGAGATCTCCAGGGCGATGCATCAGGTTAGCGCAATTCGACTCGAGCTGTAAAGCGAGGCACAACGGGGAAGCTTTGCAGCCGGAGCTTACCAGGTCCAGCAGCAGTGAGATCATCAAGACCTTGAGGACCTGTTTGCGCTGGGCGCCAGCAATGGCCATGTTCGCAGCCGCCGCCAGTAAATCGTATACGGGATGTGGTTTCCAAGTTGCCCTCGAGAAAGATAATACCGTGCTGGGAAGAGTCCGCAACTAGTTGTTGAGAAACACCTGTTGCGAGCTCCGAGTAAGTTCCGAACTTCAGTGTGCACACCAAGGCGCACACGACAGCTGGCAGCAAAGTCGGGAGAGCCTCCACCGCAGTGGAGCCGGCCATGCGGGATTGACATGTCAATGCAAGGAGGACCTGCCCTTGGCAAACTTGGCAGATGAGAGGTAGATTAGTCACTAGATATTATACGTACACATCAGTAGGAATGTATGTCTTGTGATATTACAATGATTCCGCCCAAGGACCGTCTCGGTGCTGGAGATTGTGGCGAACGCTCACGTATCCCGACTCGGTCCAGAATTACTCTTGTTGGCAAGGGAAACCCTCAAAAACAAGACTGCGCGGCGCAACAAAGCCCAAAGCAGTGCTTCAGGGCCATCGACACTTATACATGTATCACTTTCCTCGAGTCAAACCCATCCTTGGGCTCCTTCGAGTCATCGCTGGTAAACTTGTACCCGCGCTGATTTGCAATGATCCGAACACCTCGTTCTTTCACATCCGTACAGTAATGCGTGTGTCCAAAAACCCACGCTTTGACGCCAGTCAACTCCGACATCCGCGCAACAACATCGGTCGCGAACGCAGATCTCCACGGACTATACTGGTACTGCGGATGAGACGTCCGCTGGATTGACGGCGCATGATGCGTGACGACCAGAACCACTCGTCTCTCGTCCATCGGCTTCTGCCTGTTCGAGGCCTGAATCGCGTCGATCTCGTGTGATAACCACGTCAGGTCCGACACGTGAGATTGGTTGTGGTCCTCGGCTGTCCAGCCCTCAATCTGCTTGAAATCTTGAATGGTCGATGTCACTACGCCCTTTTGATCTTCGGGAATGTGAGACCACAGGGGACAGCCCAGGATTGTGACAAGGGAGTCGGGCATGTCATAGCGCGTCTGATGGAGGAGGATCAATCGGCCCTCGAAACAAGCTTCTTGCGCCATCGCACGAGCGCTCTCCAGTGCTGATGCGAAGCTTTGGCTGTAGAATTCGTGGTTTCCAAGAACTAGAAACACCTGTTGGAAGCGATCTGTCTGGTATTGTAGAAAGTCGCGGTATTTTTCATAGTCGCACAGACGTCCAATGTCTCCAGCGAGGATGAGGTTGGGTGCACATGTCGGCACTTCATACGTCTGGTACTGCTGGTTGACTTCGAGATGGAGATCGGACAGAACCTGGAACGCTGTTCCGTGCTTGTTGAAAATGGCGTTGAATCGCTTCAACATGGTGTTCCAGGTTTCGAGTCGCAATGTTTGAATTGTTGGATCTTTATTGTTTATATTTTGTGAGTGTGGGCAGGGTCGTCAATCTGCAAGACTCAGGAGAAGGGGGAGCTTGTTGGTTTAGATGGCATGAAAGAAAGACTTTCGGCACTATTTACTTTTCTCCAGTCAGCCCACTAGAGAGACACCCGACACTTGAAGTCCACCGTCCACAGAGGCGAGAGAGCGCACCCGTGATGCGGTTGAATTGAACATTGTCGACTCTTCGTCCGAGTCCTTTTTTTTTTCTTTTTGATGAGATCGACCCACAATGTTACTGCATACAGACGTGAGCTGAGACATAGTCTTGGGGCGGCTGTCACCAATTTCGAATCCTCAACGACAGACTGGACATCCGCACATGAACAACAAACGCTCGAAGAACCAAGCCTAGTTCCGTCTTGCATGTAGAATCAAATCCAGTATTTTAAATGCGAAGCTTTTCGTCGCATGATCAACCTAAGTAGACTTCTCCGGAACTTCCTCAATTCTCCGATATCCGCGTCGTGGAAGTAAATTCAGACCTTAATTGACAGGGGATGTCAGGCCTGGCTTCATTTCTGACCAACTCATCGAAACTTAAACTGCCAACCCGCCATTGCGCTTCTGCCCATCCCATCATCACCAGAACATTTTCTTTTAAACATCAAATAGAATACATGAAGAAACAATTATCCTGATCAGGGTAATATGCACGCTCGAAAAAGGCAACAAATAGGGGGGGGGGAGAGTCAGCTGATCTTGGCAGGGGATATCAAGGAGCCATGTCCATTCCGGCCTGAAAGCTGCCCCCCCTCCCCAAAAACAGAACAAGAAAATTCGTTGCGTTCATCATCATCCATAACACCAGGCTAAGAGGTAACAGAAAACAACAGTAGGGAATTGGCAGTATTGCGGCGAGGGGTGAAGATTGCGAACTGAAGAGGAAATGCAAAAGCTCGGTGTAATGGAGGACCCCCGAGGGAGAGTCCTTGGGGTCTTCGCCACGTCGAAAGATGCACTTATTCCCGAGGCGTGGCAGCCGCGACGGGAGCACCACCAGCCTGACCACGACCACGGCCTCCACGGCCACGGCCACGGTATTCGCCTCGTCCACCACGACCCCGAGCTCCATCACCACCACGGGGGCGACGATAGCCACGGCCACCACGGCCACCGCGACCCTCATGCTGTCCCTTGGCGGGGACCGCAGCACCCTCGGCAGGGGTAGCAGCAGAGGCGGAGGTAGCAGAAGTGTTATCCACGGCGGCAGGGGTCGCGTTCAAACCGGTCTCAGTCTCGGCAGGATCACGGGGCACCTCGACCCAACCATCACCAACCGCGGAGGCGCCTTGGCTGTATGTATCGGCAACCTGGTTTGCAGCATCCGAAGTCAAGGTCTGTGCAGGAGGAGCGATCTGGTCGGCCTGGACGGAAGCGCTCGCAGTCTGAGCATTGGCGGATTCCGCATTCATAGGGGGGTCTTGAACCTCGGTCAGGCCAGCGTTGGCGACGGTGGGGTCAGACTCAGCAACGGGCTCGCTGGCGACTTCGGTCTCTTCGGCGGGGGCAAACTTGTTGGACGCGACTTTCACATCGCCATCTGCAGGGTAGAAAACAGTGTCAGCTCATGCTGATCAACCAGTCCAAAGCACGGACTTGATACTCACAGGTCAGCTCCAAAGCTTCACCCTCAACACCAATCACCTTCTCGCTCGCGCCATTCACCAGCTTGACCATTGAGTCAACAGCCTTCTTGTTACCACCGTATACCTGGAACAAAACACCCTCGAAGGCTTGGCTTTCAAGAGACTCGGTCTCGCCCGAGTGACGCATGTTGGCTGCAGCGCACAAGAACTTGGTGAGAGTGAGCAGCTGCTCACGCAGGACACGAGAAGAGCTCTCGGTAGCGTCGGCGATGGCATTGGCGCGCACTGCTTCCAACTCCTCCTGGTGAGTCTTCTCCAAAGTAGCCTTTTGGCTCTCAATGCGCGCCTCGTATTGAGCCGCAAACTGCTTGTAGTGGCCGATCTGTTCCTCGAGCTGGGTGATCGAGGCCTGCAGAGTAGGCTTCTTCAGCACCTGCGCCTTTTGGTCGGCATTGATTTTCTTTTCGTTGACCAGGTCATCCAGTGATTTCCCTGAGTTCTCAGCGATGATCGCATCGGTCTTTGCGGTAGCGTTCTGCATTCGAGAGATTATGGTCAGATTTGGAAAAGAAAGAATGGAAATCCAGGATGAGTTGTCTTCGGTAGAGGGAACCATTCAAACACATACCAGTTTCTTGACAGCATTGCGCAAGCTCCTGTTGGCGCATTCAAGTTAGCTTCGTAGCCCCAGGCTGTAGTTAGTCCAGATGCACATACTTCTGAAGCTCCTTAAGGTATGTGGGCTCAGCACCATTGACTTCAGACGCTGGGCTTTCCGATTCAGGCTGGCGAGTGCTCGAGGCCTGGGAAGTCTGTCGCTTGGCCTTGGCGTGGGATCGCTGAGCGGTAGTGGAGGCGGGAGCCATGATGGAATGTAGGTGACAAGTGTTGGAGCTTCAGAAAAGGTTTCAAAGCTAATGAAAAAAGGACAGAGCCAAAGCTGAGTGTGTCAGATAGAAGCACTGCGCAAAGGAAAGCAGATGAAAGTGGGGGGGGGGGGGATGGATTTGCAAGGATATTGAGAAAGATGAAAGAAAGGAAGGGGAGTGGTTCTGTTTGAAGATCCACAGAATCGACGTGGGTGGAAGTCGTCCGAACCCTTGCCTGATCGGTGGGCTGCCCACATTTCAGCCGCCACTATGTACATTCAAACATTGTACACTGCCCCGACGAGCGCCGTTGACAAACAATCACGAAACACACTTACACTGATATCACGTAGCAGCAGATTAGAGGTACATTGCTCCAGTACTTTATGGAAATTGAAGGGGACTCTTGAGTTTAAGGTACTGTAATAGCTAATATCTGGGGGTATCATCCAACTCTGCGCATCATGAAGCACTCTCATAATCCAAGACCAGGCGCCAGAAAAACTCCTATTCCAAAACGTCCCTACGCCTTTGTTCTCCGTACCATGTCTTCTCAAATCAATATCAATGGGTATAGGGCGCCGTATACGCTTATCCCTGGAACTTTCGAAGGGTTTTCTAGAGAAGTGAACAGTCCATCAGTGATACTAGCACGAGACAGTGACAGCACAGGCGGCCATTGCTAAGCCCGTTCAAAACATACCTCGGTGACTTTGCGAACAGAGTTTGCACTGATATTCTTCTCGCCAGACTTGCGCGACCGAATGGAAGCCTCGCGCATCAGTCTGAGCAGAAAAGGTTAGCTTAAGCACTTCGGCGAGCCAATGGATTCCAGCTTTGAGGGAGATTGGAGAAAGCAGAATCATCGGCGATAGATTCGAGGCACCGGAGCCAGGGTATCCCACTCTTGCATGAACAGCATATAGTCAAGGAAGATCTGAAGATTCATGGATGTCACTACTTAGACACGATTCTGCATGTCGACAAGCCCCAGTATTGAGTGCCACATACCAGAATGTCTGCGTTCTTGCTGACACTTCGATTGGAGTGAGCCTTCACAATGCGCTTGACTGTCCCACGAGGGTACAGCTTCTGGGTTGCGACCATGACGCGGTCTGTAGCGCTTGGGCAATGGCGGCGGGGATGGATTGTTTACTTGCGGAGTCGGAGACGGACGCAACGCCAGCAACGACGGGAGACGCAACTTGGCTGGTGTCGGAAATTGTGGGGAAAGCCCAAGCGGTCGCGGGCGGTGACGGGCGAGTCATTTCTTGGCCCGAAAGTAATTTACCTTATGTAATCACGCGGTCCGCGTCGGGTCGGACGAGGTATGGAAAAGGGTGATCCGGTAGTTAGTGATGATGGAGAATCAGCTCTGACGAGTGCATACATTAGAATCATATACAGAGAATTCAAGTCATACTTGAGGCTTCCATGTTTTTGCAGGTCAGGGCGAGACACATGGCCGAGCTTGGAACGTGGACCGATGCAGGGATTGTGTGTGGATTGCGGAATATGTTCGGCTGGGCCGAAGGTCGAGTGTAGAGTGCCGTGTGTGCTTTGATGGGTTCAAGGTAGAATGCTCCAATATGAGAGTAATAGTATGTACAAACATGGTCCTTCAAGTCACAGACGCATGTCCCATATGTCAATCACCTTCTTCGCAGATAGCGCCAAGCTGTCCATGCTGCCGCAGAACCCAGAGTCATGCGCCAGGCAAGGAACACCCAGATGGCCACCCGCAGTCGTTGGTAATACCCACGCAACATGATTCCCACAGCGTATGAGCTGCCCTCCCCCTGACGGTCAGTAGGTCCGTAGTAGCGGCCTACCCCCAGGCCTCCAATACCCACCGCATTTGGGTCGTGGTTAGCATCATCATCGCCCCGCGTCACGCGCAGTGCCGAGGTCTCGCTGTCGACCGCAGTGTCGGGGGACCGATAGCCGAATCTCACCTCTTGCGCATTGTACTTCCGCAAGGGACTCGTTAAAATACTGACAATCAGCCGCAAGTCAGGTGCTGTGAACGTAGGATATTCCCAAAGTGCAACCGCATTGTGGGGCGGCAGCATGTCGAGGAAGTCGGCCAATACTCCGAGCGTGAGACCCCAAAGGAGTAGGGGCCGACTTGGGTCACCAGAGTCTGCTTGGTTGCTTAATATCCAGGCCTTGAATCGCGACCAAAGCGATACAGGACCCCTGAAGCTGTCGTAAGTGAAGCCCATCGTGGACGCGGACAGGTGTGATTCTGAAGGGAGGAGTCGAACGGCCGAGAATTGCATCCAACCCATGAGCGATCGAACAACTAGACGAGAAAAGTACCCGCCTTGTCTCGTGAATCGTTGGGACATATCCACGTATTCTTTGGACCTCAGTGAAGGGGATAGAAGAGCTCGAAGAGGAACCCAATGAACTGCAGCCACCTCCGTAGGCTGAAGATTCAGAGTAATGCAGTCGCTGCGCGTTGTCAAGAAAATGTACGGACAAAGGACCATGATTCTGCCAGAGAGAGCGAGCGAGAGAGGCGCGCCATGGTCAGTGGTTGGGCATGCTGATGGTTCGTCAAACTATCAAACACTTACGGCTCTGCTCCCCAACTGGTGGTAATGACTCGCTCAGGCAGATTGCCGACGCTGATCACATCGTCGGTCGTCAAGTCAAGACCAATTTCCTCCGCGGTCTCTCTGATGGCCACCGTGAAGTCGTTCAGATCTTCCGGGTCTCTTTTCCCTCCCGGCAATGCCACATGGCCATTCCACCGATCTCCTTCGCGAGAGGCACGTTTGATGAACAGCACTTCTGGATCTCCATGTTGAACCCACGACTGGGAGAAAAAGCTTTGCAGCTGCTCCTCCACCGAGAGCGATTGATCAACAGCAAGCCGACTTGACTCGGGTTGGTCCTGATAAGTCGGTTTGACCCGCAGGATCAGAGCAACTGACGCTCGCCTACTGCAGCGCGGTGGGTTGGGGACATGCGGATACGGCCGGCGATGCAATTCGGCTAGGACATCGTGCAGGTGAGGAGACAGGCCAGGAGTCTCGGGGACCTCATGGTTGTGGAGAGGCTTTGACATTGAGGTTCGAGCCTAGCCAGGACTAGGTGGTTTCGTAAAGGATTCAATGCGGTGATGGATGATCTCATCGAAGCCTGTGTTTTAACGGATCAGGAACACTAACGAGCGTTCCCCAGTTGGAGGGTTGATGAGGAGGACCCAGCTAGTGGATCACATCCCCCGGCAGACGACCCGACTGCCGAGCGCCGCCGACCTCCTCAAGTCGTTGTGTCAGACTCGGGCTACGTATCTTACCTAAACGTACGAACTTACCTCTAGAGTACTAGTTGAGTGAAGTGTCCAGTGCTGAAAGCGGAACGGCCGCAACACATGGCTGACTAATGGGGTTTGACCGGCGGGAGTGTCTACTGTCTAGTCCTGGACAGATGCATTAGAGCAGTAGTGCAGTAGTAGTGCAGTATTAATGCAGCCTCTGTGCCTAGTCAGCCTACTACTGCCACTGTTCAGCGCCCTCGCGCCTCGGCCTGCAGAATGCGGGTGACGGTGAAATGCCGAGGGCACGCGACCAGGACCTTTTTGGTGGCTTCACTCCGGTTTATGAAGTCAGCACCTTATAGGGACTCAGGGAGAGGATGTAACTAGTACCTACATGTTTCTGCCAAATCAATACATCCTAGTCGAAGATCGTTAGTAGCTAGAAGAATCTCGACGCCAATAATTCATACCCCTTCCACGTAGACAAGAGCTCTCATGCCGGCTATCGCATTCAAAGTCTAGATATAAGGCGATAATGATAATCCTCGTGTCCGTAACCTCGCTGGACATCAGCAAGTCCTTGGGTAGTATATACCCAGGACATTCCTTTCCATGCTACTTATCTCGAACAACAAATCAGCAAATAGAGACACTAGCTATCGCTAGAAGCCGATGATGATGAGAAAGGCTGTTTGCTGACACACTGCATTCTGCTAGAGCATCATCCCTGATACTGCGTTCTAGCACAAGGACCCATGCCGTATCTTTCATTGCTTGCCCCCCTGCATTCGACTTGAATTTATCAAGGGGTTTATTCACCATACATCTCCCGAAGCTACAAGTTCGCCGTCGCAGATCGGCCTTCCCAGGTGAACCATCATCGTAGTGACACTTCACCCGACTGTCATTGGCTCTGACCGACAGGCTACAGCGTGAGAAAAGAATTTTCCATGATGGACCCAAGACACCGCGTGTATCACAGCAGATGAGAGTCTGGTATTGAATATCAGGAATTGCATTCTCGCCTTAGCAGGAGAGTACTGGTGTTGAGACCGCGAGACCACGACACCAAATAGGTACCTGCATGATCTGAGCATCGCTGATATGTGGAGGACGTACCGTACATGTACACCACACACGTCCCACGGTCCCACGGTCCCAGTAGTTAGTATACAGCTTGCAGTTCGAAGAGAAACAAGCACAAGAGGAGCTTTGACTTGGAGGTTGTACGGTGGGGGCATCGGGTAGGGTTGACTTCCCGTTGGAATAATAATATGGACCCTTTACTTCTATCAGATCACCAGACACACGCGCAGCCTCTTGTCTCTTCGAACGCCCGGAGTTCAAGCAATCTGATAAATCTGTCATCGGCATATCAGACCCTTTTATGTGATCGCTCACAAGCCTTCTCGACAGGGCCTGTTCGTGACTTCGTTCCCTTGTCCGTTTCCATCTTTGTTCTATCCACGTTTCTGCGACATAAAAAGTCCGTCGCCACTTGACCTCGCTTCGAGAGAGCAAGACGCCGGTCTACCACGACAAGAGGCATTGTGATGTCGTGGGCCAGGTCTCGGCCCAGAGATACAACGCCAGGGCTTCATTTGCAGTCCTCAGTCCCCAGTCCCCACGGGCCAAAGTTAGCCACTGAGGCCAGCGGCCTGGACTTAGCCGTCGGAGGATCCAGGGCGGCACTACTCTACCGGATCCGGTTTAGCCCCGAGTCATCGTTCGGGTTAGTCCGAACTCCGAAGAGCCCAACTGGAGCTGCGGCTTCGAGCTAATTCAATTGCCCCGGGTGATTGGCTACCAGTCTGCAAGCGGTGGAAGAAAGCTAGCCACTGCAGGGAGCACGTGCAGTCGACCTTGACGCCATCCCATCAGGTTACCGTCGCATGTCTTTCGTTCGGTCGGAAAATCTTCTCGAAAGGCCGACTCCCAGTTCCTCCTCTATACACGCGAAGAGCTTCGGTATCCGGTCACCGCGGGGGATCTTCAAATTTCACAGTGTTGTCCTGAGATCTGGAAGTGCGGGTAAATCGTCCCGACTGATCTTGTTGGAGTGCGCATCGGTCACACGGCGGACACACGCTACACAAAGTGGTCAACAACTCAACAGTCCCAACTAGGTCAATACGCCCAGGAAGTGAAGACCGAGCAAGATGAGGTTCGGTAAAACGCTGCGAAACGCCGTCTATCCCCCCTGGAAGGGCAAGTATATCGACTATGCCAAGCTGAAGTCGCTTTTGCGCGAGCATGATGTCACCCCCGAGGACGCCAGCGATTCGGATGAGGGTCAATGGACCGAGCAGGACGAAGAGGCCTTTGTGCAAGAACTGTTGAACGTGCAGCTCGACAAGGTGACGGGGTTCCAGTCAGAGACCTCGCAGCAGCTCCGCGAGCGTACAACGGCGTGCGAGGCCAAGCTTCGCCCTCTGGCCCCACCTGCGGACCAGGATGAGTCCACCCTGAGCAAGGAAGAGAAGCGCAAGGTGGCTGCGGAGGTTCTGCAGGAGCTCGACAACATCACAAAGGAGGTCAGCGAATTGGAAAAGTACAGCCGCATCAACTTCACAGGTTTCCTCAAGGCTGCCAAGAAGCACGATCGCAAGCGTGGTGCTCGCTACCGCGTCCGGCCTCTGTTGCAGGTCCGTCTGTCTCAGACGCCGTTCAACTCGGAGGACTACTCTCCTCTGGTTCACCGTCTGTCGGTGATGTACTCATTCGTACACGAGACCTTGAGCCAGGATGATGTGCAACAGAAGGAGGCGGAACGTGGCTTCGGACGTGATGCTTATTCGTCATACAAATTCTGGGTGCACGTTGATAACGTGCTGGAGGTCAAGACATTCATCCTGCGTCGTCTCCCAACCCTTATTTATAACCCCGGGAGTGCGAAGACCCTGGATGGTCTGTCTGACGACCCAGCAATCACCTCTCTTTATTTCGACAACGCTCAGTTCGATCTTTACAATCAGAAGGTTGCTCGCGCTCCTGAAGCAGGCTCGTTGAGACTACGCTGGACTGGTCAACTCAAGGACAAGCCGCCAATTTACCTGGAGAAGAAGGTCGTGACCGAAGCCGATGATAGTCGGGAGATCAGAGTGCAGCTGAAGGAGAAACATATCAAAGAGTTCTTAAATGACGAGTATCATTTAGACAAGCAGGTTCACCGGATGGAGGATCTGAACGAGGGGAGGGGCTCGAATGAGGCCCAGACCCTCAAGAATCATGTGGAGGAGTTGCAGTCATTCATCAAGGAGCACAACTTGCAGCCAATGCTGCGAGCCAACTACACGCGCACAGCATTCCAAATTCCCGGCGATGATCGCATCCGCATTTCCCTCGACACCAATCTGGCCCTGATCCGCGAAGACGCTCTTGACAGCGAGCGGCCCTGCCGTGAACCTTCTGAGTGGCACCGTACAGATCTAGACGATGCTCGCATGTCATATCCCTTCGATGCCATCCGCACCGGAGAGATTGTCCGCTTCCCCCACGCTTTGCTGGAGATCAAGCTCCGCGGAAAGGCTCACGATGTCGAGTGGGTGAATGAGCTGATGGCCTCGCACTTGGTCAAGGACGCCCCTCGCTTCTCCAAGTTTGTCCACGGTGTTGCCCAACTCTTTGAGGACCACGTCAACAGCTTCCCCTTCTGGCTGGGCGAGCTTGAGAACGACATTCGCCGTGATCCGGAGACCGCGTTCCAAGAGGAGCAAGAACGCTTGGCCAAACGCGCGGAAGATGATATCGCCGTGGGTAGCTTCATGGGCGGGGCCGGCAGCCCTGCAGGTCCCCTTTCCGCGCCGGCCTTTGGCCGCTGGGGAGAATCCGGCAGCCGCTCCGCGCTGCGTCGACCTTCGGCTCTCAGCATGGGCAACAGGTCATCTGAACGCCGCATATCCACGGCTGCACCTCTGCCACATCGGGAGCCTGCGACGATTCCCGCAACCACCGAGGAAGAACTTGAGCAGCCCGACGAATCTGCCATGTCGGGAGCGGCGTCATCAAGCTTTGCTGCCGTCATGAAAACCCTGGGAGTCAAATCTAAGAACTGGACTGGTCGGGAAGTAGTCACTCTGCCACCGGGAGTCCGCCACCCTGGCTTTTGGATCAAGGATCAAGGCCCCGTTCGCGTAGAGAGCAAGGTATGGCTTGCCAATCAGCGTACCTTTATCAAGTGGCTGCACGTGAGCATTTTGCTGTCCACTTTGTCCTTGGGTCTGTACAATGCTGCCGGTAAGCACAACCGTGTGGCTATCGTCCTGGCATATGTCTACACCTTCTTCGCCATCTTCTCTGCCGCCTGGGGCTGGTATATGTACGAAAAGCGAGCTCGCCTCATCCGCCAGCGCAGTGGAAAGGATCTCGACAACCTATTCGGTCCTCTCGTGGTTTGCGTTGGTCTCGCTGTTGCTCTCGTCCTCAACTTTGTCTTTAAGGTTTGTGCCTCGTCTTATTCTGACATTGATCCATCTTGGACATGGATGTTGACTCTCTTATCTTCACAGTACAACTCCGCCTTGAACCACGGTCGCGACAACAGCTCGCATGACCAATTGAATGCTACCATCATGAGTAGCGTGAATGCTGCCGCGTGGAACCATGGGGGTGCCCATGGTCTCAACCCGCAGCAAGTGCTTTAGATGCTGTTCAAAGCATGGGAATAAGCGGCCAGTGATTGCATTATGTTGCAAGTTTCAGTGAGATGGCAACTGTTTGTGTATATTTTGCCTCGGGGCTCCAATGAGGCGTTTCAATTGTTGGATGATTCGGTTACTCCTCCCGATGTCGGTGATCAATCCAGCGTCGGTCTTATGATGAGCGTTTTTACCTTGTGAAATTTCATTACGAATGCCATTGAATGTTTAAACTCTTTTGAATGCTGCTCTCATACCTGTGGTAACTTTGCCCTTAGTGTCCTCTTTCCCGACTACGCAGTTGCGTTCCACATAGTGTGCCACTGTTGATTCGATCAGATAGACGTAAAGGGAGTATGACTCCTTCTACAACGAGTTCAACCTAGGCTTGAGCTAACTAGACTGATGCAATGTACGAAAATAAAAGCAACAGAACGAGAAGACCCAGTTAACTAATCTATGCAGGACTGCATCTCTGAATGTTCCGTTGCAGCGGCTTCCAAGACCCGGTCCGCTTCCCGGGTCGCTTAGATGCCGTTGCATGGATCTTTGACCCGCAGAGATGCAGTCACCAAACGCCGTGACCCCGGAGCCGAGGGAGGATCTTCGGAACAACTACTAAGGAATGTGTCTCTGTGTCCTCATTTAATTGACGCGAGTCAGCCATGAGGAAATTGTTCAGGTTGACCTGTTACGATGCTATATTTAAGACCTTAATTACAGTCAACACTTCGCTGAACTGCCCGGACCTCGAGCATAGAACAGTACATTCACTACATTCAACGATCGGCCGGTCTGGCAAAGTATATCACCACGTGACCGGCTCCGCGGTTCACGGGCCGGCAGATGCGAGCGCGCGGAGTGGCTCATGACGAGCCAAGATAGCCTCGTATAGTTTTAGTTGGTCAACTTGGAATGGAGCCATGCGTATAAAGGATCCCACCTTGGCCCTGACCAAGAGGGAGGGGGGAGGGGGACATCACAACATCCAATTTCTTTTCCCTTGTACCAAGTCCTACGGACCCTACTCTGGGCGTATCCCCATTCTACCTTGCATCTTCAGACTTGACGCTGGGCTTCCCACCACACGACTATAAGCGTTGATTCCACAAACTCAGCATGTCTCCCCAGCCCGCCAAGTCCAAATCCTACATCATCATCGGCGCCGGTGTCTTCGGCGTCTCCACCGCCTACCATCTCATCCAGAAATACCCCAATGCCTCCGTGACGCTAGTCGACCGAGACGCATACGACGCCGAGTCCCGGGTCGCCGCCTCATGGGACTGGAACAAAGTAGTACGCGCCGACTACGACGACAAAATCTACTGTAAACTGGCCCTCGAAGCGCAGGACATCTTCAAGTCCGACCCGTTATGGCAGCCGTATTTCCACCAAACAGGCGTCTACTGGAACTGCCGCAGCGACTATGCGCAAAACGTGATCAATCACCACAAGGAGCTTGGTCGGAACGACGACATTGTCGCGCTCCCTGTGTCTGAAGCGCGGAAGTTATACGGTGGTCTGTTTGATAATGCGGACTATACGGGAGTCAAGGAGGTGCTTGTTAACAAGGCTAGTGGCTGGGCTGCGGCCGGGGATGTTCTTCGTGCGGTCACGAAGCGCTGCCTGGAGCTCGGGGTCAAGTATGTCACTGCGGAGGTGGCCACGCTGCAGTTTGATGGGAGGGGCTCCTGCACTGGGGTCAAGACGAAGGATGGAAGGGTATTGTCTGCTTCGAGTGTGATTGTCTCGACGGGCGCTTTTACCCCGACTTTGTTGGAGTGGAGTGCGGCGGAGAGTGGCAATGCGGGGATTGGTGCCGGCGAGCGGATTCTGGCTGCGGGCATCACGACGGGGATGGCACAGCTGAAGAAGGAGGATCATGAGAAGTTCAAGAATATGCCAGTGGGGTTCCAGGGATATACACCCGAGCACGGTGAGAACAATCCCCTTTCAGGATCTTAAATGGGCGACAGAGTGGTGGACCAGGTTGAGGTTGGCTCGAAGCTAAGAAGCTAATATGGGATGATCTACGGCAGGCAAGCCATTCATCGGCAGTCTCCCACCGACCAAAGATGGGGAGCTCAAGTGGTGGGGATCCAAGATCTTCACCAACACCCGCGAGGTCCTGCCCGGGCGCTACATCTCCTCGCCACCCCCTTCCCACGATTATAATCAGTGGAAGGTCCCCGGTCCCCTCAAGCAGGATATCGTCGAGGCCCGGAATCTCTGGTACGGACCGGCCAGTGCGGAGTGGGAGATGACCAAACACCGAATCTGCTGGTATGTGATTGACACCTGCCTACCGTGACAAGACGCCCTATTCTTGAACTAGAAGAAAGAATGGGATGTCAAAGAAGCATACAAAAAAAAAAAACAAAACTAACTCTTCTACCTGCTAGGGACGCCTTCACAACATCATCCGATTTCATCATTTCACCACACTCGGCCTCCAAGAACCTGTACGTCGCAACCTGCGGTTCTTTCCACGGGTTCAAATTCTTCCCTGTCCTAGGCAAGTACATTGTGCAGATGCTGGACGGAGACCTAGAGCCTGAATTAGTGGAAAAGTGGGCGTGGGATCGTCAACGTCCTGACTCTTCTCAGAATGTCGAGTATCCAAACTCGGAGATGAGGCATCTGTTGGGTCCTGCGGCAAGACTCTGACTCTTGTCTGGGTCGGATATTCTTTGAAAGCATTTCAGAAATGAATGATCAGTATGAAGAATTGATGTTTTATTGACTCGTTCTATATGAGTAGGTTGCTTACCATGTGATGCACGTGCCTCTTCACCTATCTACCCTGCTGATAGATTGACTGCCCGGCGCAATACTTCCTAGAAGATATGTAGGAGAGGGGGAATGCGGGGTACAGCAGTGCCATGTTCAAGGTCCCCATGGTTTAGGCACCTTGGCTGGAGTAGATTTTTCGACAAGAGATGAAATATTGTAGTTCTAGCGTGCTGACAGAAACATCGACAGTCCAGATGAGAAGAAGGACAATGCGGCCCAACTGGGTTGAGGTTGATCTTGAGAACAACGCGATCATCGTGGAGTGCGGGGATGAACGCCGCGAGTGCGGAGTACGTTCCGAGTCGGACTTACTCCGACAGAACTTGCAGCTGGAGGTGGTACTAACAGAACGACCTACGTGGTGATCACGCCATCTGTACAACAAATGAGATATACAACAATACATCTCCGTCACTACTAAGTCAAAGTAGAAAGCGAAGCTCTGCAAGTCATTGAATTGAAAAAAGGTCCATGACATTAAAATCTGATGCAACATGGCCAACTATGAGCAAGAACAACCCCCAGAACTCGGAAATGGAGACTACGATCTGACCCAACCCATCGCATCAACCTCGGGGCTACGTCAAGGCCTCACATCCTACGGTGATGCCCACTTTTCTCTATTTCTTCGAAAGGTATTCATCAAGGCTTTGGGATACTCCGAAGATGCTCTCTCCCGACCCATCGTTGGGATCATTAACACCTTCTCGGGCTTCAACCCTTGCCATGCGAATGTGCCGCAACTCATCGAGGCCGCAAAACGTGGCGTTCATTTAAACGGAGGGCTTGCGGTGGAATTTCCTACCATTAGTGTCCATGAGTCGTTCTCGCACCCGACGAGCATGTTTCTGAGAAATTTGATGAGTATGGATACGGAGGAGATGATTAAAGCGCAGCCGTTGGATGCGTGTATTATGATTGGAGGTGAGTGTTAGCGTGATGGTACAGACTTGCAAGCTCGGTCCGTAGCATGACCGTTGACTATAAAAGTTTGATAGGTTGCGACAAGACCGTGCCTGCTCAATTGATGGGTGGAATCTCGGCGAATAAGCCTGTTCTGCCCTTAATCACTGGTCCAATGCTGCCAGGAAGTCATCGTGGTCAAAGACTCGGGGCTTGCACCGATTGTCGCAATAACTGGGCCGCATTTCGAGCTGGGGATATTGATGTTGAGGAGATTGCAGAGATCAACGAAGAACTAGCACCTACGGTATTGTTCCTTTAAAACTGGATGTGGGATTGTTTCGTTTCGTTCTCAAGACTCACAGCTCTCAACAGATCGGCACCTGTGGAGTCATGGGAACGGCAAGCACGATGGCATGTATCACTGCGGCACTCGGAATGATGCCTCTGAAGGGCGCATCTGCACCGGCTATGTCATCGACTCGATTGAGGCTCGCCGAAGAGACTGGGGCCAATGCGGTGGCAGTTGCAAAGGTGCAGAGAAAGCCACAGGAACTTCTCAGCAAAGTGTCCTTCTTGAATGCTATCACCGTCTTGCAGGCCATCGGCGGTTCCACTAATGCTGTGGTTCACCTTCTGGCGATTGCCAACAGACACCCGACTGTGCAAGGCACGATCACCTTACAGACTATCGAGGAAATTGGCAAGAGAACTCCGCTGCTGGTTGATCTCAAACCGAGCGGAGATAATTATATGAACGATTTCCATTATGCAGGCGGCATGCTGGCACTTCTCTTGGTCCTACGGCCGTTACTGCATTTGTCCGCAAGAACGATAAGTGGCGAGACACTCGGGGAGATTCTAGATGCAGCGTCTTCGAAACGAGTCTATCGTGACTCGCGAATCATTCGGTCATTGTCAGAACCACTATACCCGTCCTCCTCGTTGGCCGTCTTGCACGGAAATCTTGCACCTAATGGAGCGGTCATTAAGGCGTCTGCATCCAAATACCGGCATCTGTTATCTCACACCGGTCCAGCGGTGGTGTTTGAAAATTCCGCTGACTTGGCTCGTCGGGTCGACGATCCAGGCCTACCGGTCACAAAGGACAGTGTCCTGGTTCTGAAGGGCATCGGGCCAATTGGTAACCCGGGAATGCCCGAAGCAGGAATGATTCCCATCCCCAGAAAGCTGGCGGCTGCAGGCGTGAAAGACATGCTGCGATTGTCTGACGGACGAATGTCTGGAACAGCTGGCGGCACGATCATTCTACATATTTCCCCCGAGGCAGCTCTGGCCGAATCGCCCTTTGGCATTGTGCAGACAGGAGACATGATCACCTGCGACTTGGACGGTCGTAGACTTCATCTTGAAATTTCTGACGAGACCTTGGAAGCTCGGATATCGCAGCGTCGGGCACGCCTCGAAGGTGAAGACGGACCTATCCGGGCGAGACAGCAGACAAGGGGGTATCGAGGTTTGTATGAGCGGTCGGTCAATCAAGCACATCAAGGTACCGATTTTGATTTTCTTACTGCCAGAGGTCCTTAGAGTTGTCAGACTCGTGATAAGACAACAAACACCAGCTTCACTTTAATATATAACATCGAGCACTCTATCAAGAGAATCGATTGTTCGGGGTCGTACTGTAGCTTTCCAACGGTCTAGAGCGGGTGACGTGCCCTGAACCCTACTTTCCCAAGACAGTTAAATCCCTTGCGCGCGCGTGTCGCGGACGCGTCTCCATCGGACAAGTCCATATCCAAAGTTGCAAGATACTGCTGCTGCAAGACAGCGATAAGGCTCAAGTTGAACCTCATTACCTGATTCGGATTCGACCTGTCTCTTGAAATTGATTCGCCCTTGTCAGGGGGCCACTACAACATGAGCTTCGATCCTCTCCGTCCGCGGGGTCGGCCAGCCCGTAAGTCGCTCAAATGCATTCGACATTCCGGAGAGCATACTCCTGACCAAGTCATTACCCAGATACCCCGGGAACGACGGTGCTCGCATACACCCCCGATGGCCGTCGCATTATCACCGGAGGCTCAAACTCCGCCATTCGAATCTATACCGTTGACCAGGACGATGAGCCCAAGACGGTGGATGGAAGTATTGATGGACATTTCGCGATCGGTGCTACGGTAGGGCAGAACGCATCACGCTACAAGTGGAAGATCGCAAGCTAATTGTTGTGGGGTAGAACGAGGTCGTTCTCTTAGGTGCGGAGGATGGAACCGTTTGGTCCTACGATGCTGCTTCTGGGAAGATGGGAGGTCTGCTTGTCCGATGCGCATTGCCTGTGAGAGACATTGCAGTGTCACATGATGGCAAGTGGGCGGCAGTTGCGAGCGAGTGCGTATTGGACTGTTCCTGAAGAGTTTGGACTACATGGACTACATTGCTCGGGCTAACAGATGGCACCTTCAGCGAACTCACCGTGAAGATCGTTAAAATCGAAGACATGACACAGATGAAGTACCTACGCGAACAAAGCAAAGGGACGAAACACGTCTCATTCGACCCCAATGGTCGATATGCGACCGTCTCTGGAACCGATGGCATCTTGTATGTCTACTCCATGACCGAGGAAGAGCCGGAGTCTCTCCGCAAATTGGACGGCGTGATTCGAAGGCTTGAGCCAGATGCGGAGGCTACGGCAAAGGCTGTCTGGCATCCCGATGGTACTGCATTCGCTGTTGCCGAGGCCACCAGGGATATTGCTATCTATTCGGTCTCAGAATGGAAGAAAGAGAAGATCTTCTCTGGCGGTCACACGGGCGACATCACGGCTTTGAGTTGGGCACCCAATGGGGCTATGCTTGCGTCCGCAGGTTCTGATGGCCAGATCGTGCTTTGGGAGACGAAGACGCAACAGGTCCTCCAGCGGTATGAGTTTGGCAACGTTTTAAATATAGCGTGGCATCCGAAGAAGAACTCTGTCTCCTTCACAACCTCGGATGGTGAATTGTTCATCTACGACAATTTCGTCCCCAAAGACCACGAGTCTCAACTGAAGAAGACTCTTCAAGCTGCGCCAATCTTTCCAGGTCCATTGACAGAGATCTCGCACAATGTGTCAAAAACACTTGCGGAGCGCTCCAAAGTACCACCTCAACGTTCCGCCCGCGCGGCCTCGCTCGACTCCCTAGACGATATTCTGGGCGAAGATGAAGACATGCAAGATTTTGTGGAGGATGATGACGGGGCTGGCTATGCAGATGAACAACGAGGCTACTACGGTAAACGTCCAATTGACGACGAGGACGATATGGGTGAACCCAGTAACAAGCGGGTTTACATGGGCCCTTCTCAGCCCAAGACCCATTCGCTTCTTCAGCCAGGAAGCACGCCATGGGCGGGCAACCGAAGATATTTGTGTAAGCACTGCCGCTTGAACAATCGCATGATCTCTGCTAATGTCTCTAGGCTTGAATTTGACCGGTGCCGTATGGACTGTTGATCAAGAAACGCACCACACTGTGACTGTAGAGTTTTATGATCGAGAGCTTCATCGGGACTTTCACTTCACTGATCCTTACAAGTACGATAAAGCGTGTCTGAGTAAGTTGAGCGCAAGGCCTTGGCTGATGAGTTCCCGGCTGACTAGCTACAGATGAGAATGGTACGCTCTTCTCCAATAACCCGTCAGACGGCAGCCCGGCGACGATATTCTACCGACCGCATGAAATATGGACCACTCGAGCAGACTGGCGCACTCAATTGCCACGAGGAGAGATGATCCGAGGTACGATGATCATTTGATGATGTTTTACGCAGTTGAGCTTTGCTGACTTCAATCGACAGCACTGGCTCTGAGCGAGTCATACATCGTGGCAGTCACTACGGAAGACTATGTCCGTGTGTACACACTCTTTGGCACCCCCGTCCGAGTTTACCGGCAAAAGAGTCAGGCGGTGACATGCGCTGCCTGGCGAGATTACATTATGACTGTTGGAAATGGTTCCGTTGGGCCAGATGGTCGACACACAACGTTGAGATACACTGTTGAGAACGTCAAGCGTGACGAGATCTGCCAGAACGAGGATGTGGTTGCTCTTCCTACCGGCGCACAACTGCAAAGCGTCTTCTTCTCGGACACGGGTGTAAGTGGTGTTTCCTCGCCGCGACCCACTGTATACTATGCTAACAATTGTGAGCAGGATCCGTGTGTTTACGACTCTACAGGCGTTCTCGTAGTGCTTCAGCACTGGCGCACGCCCGGTCAGGCACGTTGGGTGCCACTTCTCGACACGAAGCAGCTTTCTCGACTAGCGGGCGGGCGCAAAGAGGAGTCATACTGGCCTGTTGCAGTTGCACAAGAGAAATTCCATTGTATTATTCTGAAGGGTGGAGAAAAGCATCCTTACTTCCCACGGCCTCTGCTCAGTGAATTCGACTTCCAGATCCCACTATCCAGCCAAACGCCCAAGGACACCAGTGAGGCCGAAGACGCGGGCAACACCGACGGATCGCGCTTTGAAGAGACCTTTGTACGCGGTAACGTTCTTCTCTCGCTGTTCCGAGACCTCCTCTCTTCTACGAATGCTACTGCCAGTCAACGTGCCGAGCTGGCGCGCAAGGAATTGGAGATCGACAAGACCCTTCTGCAGATGCTGGCCATCGAATGCAGAGAAGGGGAGGAGCGTGGTATGAAGGCATTAGAGCTGGTGACCATGATGCATGACCGCAATGGCAAGATGATGGAGGCTGCTGCCAAGGTTGCCCAGCGATATAGTCGTGGTGTTCTCGAGGATAAGATTCGAGACTTGGCCGAGCGACGAGTCCTGGGTATGGGTGATGATGACGAATTGGCCTGAGTTGGCTTAATTTGGCTTGAGTTTGAGTTTGAGCCTGAAACTTGATCGACGTTAGTATACCATGAGCACATAATGATGCACTTCTATACCTTATGTGAACTTCAGTCGAGAATCTCCGAGACACTAATAGAAGGATTCTTTTGCCATGTTCGCTGTTCTGCAATGGATGAATGGCCCTTTGCAAGTCGCCACGATCTCTCATAGTTAGTCTTCGTAAATCAAAAGCATAATCAGAGCGATGCCGCCGCTGTGCTTTTCGTATGTACAAAGGCAAAACCATTGCGATTGATTGGTCCATGAGATCCCGATGGTAACCCGGGAAGATCTCGGAGCTCTCGCCCGCCGCATCACCTTAACTTCTTCCACTCCTCCACTCGGTGCACCTTTTCTCACACCTGAATGAAAGTGAGGCAGCAGACCCGATTCCTCATGGCATGATCATAAAATCACACATTATTGCTCATCGCAAGGCAGCATGCCGAAGCTGTCATCGCATTCGCGCTCCCTCCGCCTGGCGCTGCAGCCACCTACCTCATCCTTATCTAGACGTTGGACGGGCCGGCCAGTCACTTCCTCGTCGCGGAGAGCCCTCGCTTTTCCGCGCCATGGAATCTTGAATGACCCATGCATTCCCACGCCATCAGTGGTAGCGCCGCGAACGGCTTTCTTCTCACCCTCGCGCGCTCGAAAAAATGTGAATGGGCTGGGGGAAGGTCCCAGTCAAAATGACCATCAACCGCCTGAGGAGCGGGTTGTGAAGCTGGGCAAAAGTGAGTAATCCGATAATATCTAACGACTGCTGAGAATTGGACCGCTCACCAGGTTCTTCTTTTACACAGCTCTGCGGATTCTTTCTCCCCTCCTCCCGACAATTCTCTACAACACCCTCCCGGCCGAGATCCTTGCGCCCAGTGTTAGTCTTCACCTGTTTCCTTCGACGCATCCACACCTGCCTACTGTGAAAGGTCGCACCCTGTATCGGGCGGCGCTCTGGACCGTGCCCGTTGCCTGGAGTAGCGTCCCCCTGGTTGGGAATGTGAAGCTCAAGATCTTGAGTGAGCGTATTGTGCGTGCGGGCACTATTCTCGATCCAACGAATCAGGATCGCCATGATTGCGGCGACGAGCGGTTGGTCGTGCGTTGGCAGACAGAACCACGAACGGACAGCAAGCCGTTTCACGAAGGAGTCAAAAGCGTGTCCAGCCCTCAAGGTGACGGCGCATCGACCTCTCGATTCTTCAATTCCGATGTAGGCTTGAAGCCCGGGCAGAGCCAGCTCTCGTCCTCGTCGTCGGGTAATGGGACAAATCGAGGACTGAGTGTGTTGCTAGGCGGAGAGGAACCAATGTTCAAGCTCTCCAAAGAAGGACAGTTCACTGGGCTCTTCATTTTTTCCTTTGACGAGAAGGGCCGGATTCTCACGCACACCATTGAACACGCGGATGAAGCCAATGGCTGGGACCGGACATCCAAGTTTGTCACGTTGACGGACTGGCTGATTGGGAAGGCACGAGAGTCTTTGGATCCCTCACCAACCCCCGGCCTGGCTATTTCCTGCGGGAAGCACGGCTTATCATACCATCGACGGGGTCAATGGTTTCGCCATTCAAGCGCATAGAACGAACAGTGCTTTACGCCTGACGTGACGATTGGACGTCGCTTTCAATGGCAGTAGGCAGACGTCCATTGTTTCCCCATCTCCAACAGGGCATATCACCTCTTCATCGCAACCTCATTCCCATGTATCACCATTTCCAAGACCAGCCATACCTTGGTCATAGATCAAGGCTGTTCTTCTTTTCTGTACAGTTACAGACATGCCCAAGTGCTTCATCTCAGTTGACGCCTCCCGACCTTTTGATTGTACTATACCCTTATGTCTGGCATTTCGCTTCTTTTACCTGCATTATATTCTTTTACTCAACATTCGGGCTCGGCAAAGCTTTCTCTGACCAGCGGAAATCCTTGTAAAGATGTTTGATTATGACCGAGAAATGAATTCTGAAATATGATACGAGTCCAATCATATCAACTTTTATATGACTAGGTATATAACCTATGCCTACCTTCTCAACTCTTCTCTCAATTGGATCTTGACGTTGACATCCTTGGCCGGCCGCAAAGTTCCCCATGTTTCACAATTGTCCGGCACCCTCAACTCTATTCCATCAACAGCCGTAATATCCCACATCGACACAATACTCGCAGCAAACGCCAAAACAGCCCTTTCTGTAAAAGCATTATGCTTTGAGCCATGAAGCCCCTCCGAAAAGGGCTCCAGACTCGCAGCACAAGCCCTTTTCAACCCCGAATCCTCATCCGTCACAATGAACCGCAACGGATCAAACTGGTCTGGATTCGAAAAGCGCTGCGGATCCCGATTGACAAGGCCATGCGGCATCATGACCGTCTCGCCCTTGTGGAGCTCGTACGTGCGCGGTTGAACCGCGTCTTCCGTGGACTCGGTTACCCTCATGTCTGCTTTGAGTTTGCGGAGCGAGATCCCCGCGGTATGCAGGCGGACTGATTCGTAGTAACATGCGCGCAGGAGCTGGCAGCTTTCAAGCATATTCTCAATATCGATCTCGAGTTGGGGCGGCTCTGGGAATGGTAAGCCTGTTTGGCTTGGTCGACTCGATCTGACGGTTTCGGAGGCTTCCGCTCGGATGTCCTTTAGTAGCGCGCTGTCGGCGGAGATGTGTGCGACCATCCAGAATGTCAGTTTGGCGCTGTATTCGATCAAGTCCCAGAATAGAGACAATTGGTCTGATGCGCTTGCACTGGGTGGCATTTCCAATCTGTGGAATGTCCTCATGCGGATTTTGAATAATTCAGAAACGTTGTCGAGATCCCACCATGTGACGTCGTGAGGATCGAACCCGTCCTGGAAGGCATTAAATGCGCGATGGAATACAGACAAGGTATGGAGAAGACGATCGCGTGCTGGAAAGGCCGCGGAAACATTCGGCGTCGTGGGAATCCATCGACGCAAACCAGTGAACAGTGGGACAAAGTTCTCGTCTAATGTCCAGAGGTCTGTCAGAAACAGAGGGAAGTTGTCAAAAAAAGCGTCGCTCATCAACAAGATGGTTAGATTATGACCCACAAAGGCCCTAATGAGCGCGAAAAGCTTGGTCTCACTGGTCGACTGGTTTCCTTCGGTTGTTGAGACTTCGGCATCGCGTTCCCATTGATATTGATCCACAGGACTTCGGCCGAAGCTCACAAAATTTTGGACTTCACGCCTCAAAATTTTCTCAATTGACTTGGATGCGTCGCTAATGAAGGGCTTGTGGGCGATCGTGCTTGATACGTCGAGATCGAGCTCTTCGTGCTGGACGATACGTGTAATGTGCCTTGAACTGCGGTTGCCAAAAACATTACGAAGAGCTTTATCTACAAGAGGGCTCCTCGTTGTTTCTTGAGAGGAACAGACATTCCTCATGATCGACGGTGAAGCCACGACCTGGAAAGTTTCGCCGCTAAGATAGATTCCGAAGACGGACTCCTTCGCCGAAACCCTATGAACATATCAGTGCTGGGTCTGAAGAAGGGCTCGCTTTTGATAAAGCTACCACTTACCGAAGGGCCTCCAAAAGACTCAAATGATTCCATAAGAACGGCACACTGTGACCTAGCCAAGGGAACCAGTATGGTGTTGTTCTGGGACACTGGGCCTTTTTGCCTTCTTGCGCAGGTGTAGTCCGTCGGCTTTGCACGCCTGAGACGAAACGAGTCACAAGACATAAACACACGTACACGGCTATTCCAGTTACCCATGTGAAGTTCGACCACAGATATTCCAGCGCCTGGATCAGGTCAAAAGCCACCATAGCGTTGGCCGAGCGTGGGTGTAATGTGTATGGAGCTGCTAATTGCAAGAGAACGAGCAGATCATAAGCCGGTCCGGTCCACTGTAGTAGTAGTGTAAGCCTTGTTAGGTAGCTCTCCGTGCGGGAACGACAACGCGGTGGTCCTTTTTAAAGAACAACGCCAATTGGTACAACTCAATCATGAAACGGCAGAGAAGCTGCCTGAACAAATTACCCGTTGCCCTTCTTTTTGCCCTTCTCTGTTGTGGTCCGTGAGAGTTGTCGTTCGCCTTGAAAATATGTATCTCAAGTAAGGTATTGAGGTGGAATAACAATGTTGGAGAGCATCGGAGGACTCGAGGAGGCCGCTTATCTTATCAGCAGTGATTCTCGGGCACACGCATGGACAGTCCAGAGTTCAGGTACACATCTCTGTTAGTGACGTCAAGGTTGGTTGATCGAATTGAAGTGAACATGAAAGATGTTATATGTGTCTCGAGGGGTGGACGAGCTTACCTCGGATTTTTTTGACCTGTTTTTCAAGATGCGGCTAATATGGGAATGTCAAAGGGTACCTGACCAGCCTGAGTCGGATCGAGTTGAGCTGATTCAAGGTTGCCGTCCATTTCATCTGGAGATCTACATACGTCTAGCTCGTGTTTCTGGGCTCTGTTGTGCTGTTCAGTCGCACAATTTGCGTCGACCGTTTTCTACTGTCAAGACGACTGTGGGTGCCACAGCACGTTGACACCATAAAATAGAAATCCAGGGTCATTGAATGTGGGGACATGTGTGTAAATAGACATTATGCTTATGATACAAAGTCTTGACCATGTACCTAAAACGATGTGGAAAGACCACGTTCCCAGATTATTGCTCCATGGAGCACCTTCTCACTTCTCATGTTGTAGCGCCTTCGAAAGGGCTGCACTATCTGCCTCGTATTTCAAGACCTTGGACTGCGATCCCTGGATCTTATGCAGAAGCCATTCAACACGAGACGTCAACTCCCGAGGTTGCTTGGGCAGTGACCCAATTAGCTGCAACTCTTGCTCATACTTGCTAATGCTCTGATTCTCTTGACCGATCAGTTTGCCGAGAATGGACAAGTCAAGGCGGCCTTCCAACGTCTTGTTCTCGATGAGGCGTTGGAAAGCAGCTTGGTAGACAGGCTTCCCAGGTTTGATGTACTTTGGGAATCCACTGACAGAAGTGACCGAGATGAGCTCCGCTTGCTCCAGAGCACGTACAGTAGCCTCGCCGTTCTCTTTGAACATGTCTGACAGAATGATCTTGTTGTACAGCAAGGAGCCATCCTTGGCGTGGGCAAGAGATTTGATCAAGTGCCAAGCTTGCTCACGAGTCCACTGCGGGGTGACAGAGTCGCTTCCCATAATGAAGATCTTCATGATCTCCGAAGCCGATTGATCGACGATGCGGTCCACCGCGGCTGTCAAGGTCAGTTAGTTGCATGGTTCCAGATAACCTTGCGCTCGTCAACGTACCTTTTGGCGTTTCACCAGCCTCAATGCGATGGGCCATGAACTCAAGATCGGTGATACGCCCTCCCAAGACCTTGATACAATCATCGAGACCGGTCAAGTTGCGTGATGGCTTGTGGACTGAAGCCTCGTCGTGACTGTCTCCCTCCGTATCGAGGTGGCTCATCACGAAGCGTCGGCCAACTTCAGGGGAACAATCGCCAAGACCAATGGCGCGGAAGACTTGATTAGGCAGTGCCTTGCTCAAAGGTTTCGAGTAGGACGAGTCAGTGGTGAGGAAAATGACATGGGCAATGTTGGAGGTCGTCAGCCCTGCGGCCCATTCCGTGAGCTTGTCAAGAACGATGTCACCTTGTGCATCGTACGTGAAGTTGTCAATAATCACGACAGGTCTCTTCTCCGGGTGAGCTTCCAGATACTCGTCGTCGCTAATGTTCGCGTCTTTATCGTTCTTGCTTCGACCCTCGAGCGCGACCCGTTTCATAGCGACAGCCGTGTTCTGCCAGATCTTGCTGAGCTGAGCATCTAGGGTCTCGCTGAAACCGGCCTTGGTGCCAATCATTCCTTGCGCGGCCAAGTCAATCCAGCTACTGATGCTGTTCATCCATGAGAAAATAGGACGATATCCGACTTGAGCTGCTGCCCGAGATATCTTTGCGGTATCTCCTCGGGCGTCTTGCAGTTGCTTGCAGTCAATCACCACCTTGTATTTGTGATCTTTTAGAGCCTGGTCAAAGACGAGCTCTCGTTTGCCAGATCCGCGGGGGCCGTGAATGACAATGAAGGTCTCGATAGTCTCCGTCAACCATGCTCGCAGCTGCGAGATGTCGTTCTGGCGGTCTTCCCAGATGGCTGCTAGGCCCCTGGGGTCGGTTCGCCGATTTCCAAAGTATATGCGATTTGCCTTGCTCACTTGTCTGCGAATCCACTGGATCACCGCATTGTCCTCGGTATGGTGAGAGGCCTTTATTTTGAGCGTAATGAAAAATGTGCGGATCGGATCGAAAATGATGACTGTAAGAGTGGCAAGCAAAGCCGCGAAGGCTGGAATAACAATGCGAGGATGGTTCATGACCCAGTCTTTGATGACAGAGAATTTGATCTTCCGGTCATAGTTGATCTTGAAGCGGGTGCCTGATTTACCACCCCCTTCGGCTTCATTGAGGACAAATCCGTGCATGCAATTCCGGGCCATGACCGCGAAACGTGGCCGGCTAAATCGCACAAGGGCAAATCTCGGTTCGACCTTGGAGTCTGAGGGCTGGGACTGGATGGTTAGAAGCTTGCCAAATGGACGGAAAAGGGTATAGAGGGTCTCTTGGGTGAGTTCCACTCCTTTCCCTTCCGCAGAATCTGGCAGGAACTCGACCCGTAAGGTCTGACTGGGGATTCTGGCCATGTCTTCGATCCAGGGTCGTCCTTGAACGCGGTCAACCTCTGAGCTCTGCAATGGACTGTACCATGGCCTGATTGGATTTTGCTTCAAGTGTTCTTGGACGGTTGCTCGAACTTCTTCGTCGCTTGTGTTGGGCTTTCGAGCATACTTGATGAATGCTCCGCCTTCCTTGTACCTGGGGATCACTTCCTTGACTTCGAGGCCCAGATTCTTGGGGCAAGCCAATCGTGCGATCGATTCTGGAGCGGAAGCTGCGATATCGGGTCGGTTGATCTTTTTCATGATTCCCGCAAGAGGTTGAACATGGCTAAGGGGACCTCGCAGGAACCATTGCAAGCGCTGTGGAAAGATGTCTTGATTTACAAAGTCAGCCACAGACCAGCCCAGAAAAATCACTTTCTTTGCTCACTATTCAAGTAAAGGATCCCCTCATTTGGCTCGAGCTTGATGTGCCCTGAATGTACAGACGACGCATAGCGTATGCTGATTGGCGGGATGCGTCGCAGAGGAGCAGCTCTTCCCTTCATAGAGGAGTAACTGACCCGTCCACTCGCATTCCATAAAGGAACTCTTCCCATCGGGTGAGCCCCCATCATACATGTAGGACTCATATCATGGGAAAAGAAACTTTTCAGTCAGGGTGGTGCGTAAGAGGAGAACAAGGTTTGGCCGTCAAGAGTGATGCTCGACTATGACGTCGTGCGATACTTATCGATACCGGTACCTCATCCTTATCGCTGTGACACGTGACATAATTCTTTCTCCCCGAAAGGTGTGTTCTAGGCGCAATTAGGTTGTTGATCAACAATTTGAGTCAGAAAACAAACAGACGACCACAATGGGTTGGCTATGGAACTCAAACATCTCGGAAGAGACGCCTAAGGTGACGACTGGCGCAGCGACGAGCATCCCCGAGTCAAGATTACCCTCCTCCACTCCACCGAAACAATTATCGCCGGACGAACAAGCCGATTTGGAGTTCAAGCAAATTATCGCAGAGCTTCAGCAAGCAGATGCCGAGCTCAACTCGAATCAACGACGAGGCCCCGACTCATACAATGGGACTACAACAGCGCCCGCCAACCCAGACACTAGCGCACCTCTTGCGCAACCCGCATCCTCCATTGCGCCCGAGTCTCTCTATGCCGATACGATGTCCTGCCGGACCGCGTTTGACTACGCCTTCTTCTGCCAATCCTTCGGTGGACAATTCGTCAATGTCTATCGTTATGGTGAATTGAGATCCTGCAGTGAACACTGGGACAACTTCTGGCTCTGTATGAAGACTCGTGGATGGTCAGACGAGTTGAAGAGGAAAGCGATTCGTGCGCATAACCAGAAGAAAGCGATCAAGTATAGAACTGGCCCAAGCAGCGAGGATGTTTGGGACGTCAGACTGGAACCGGCCTCGGACTCCTTCAAGGGCGACTTTGCAGCTCTTGAGAAGGAGATGAAAGCCGAGGAGGAGATGAAGCAAAAGGCTGCATCAACGTGAGATGACACTGCATTTAATAGCCCATCTTCAACTTTCTGTGGAAATATACTATGCTCGTGCAATTCCTGCGCACACAGAGATCTCATGTCTGATACGGCATCTGTACTATACTTGATATCCGGGAAATTCAACACAATTCTCCCCTTTTCCCAAAGTCCAGGCAGTTCTTGATCGAACATCTGGCGAGCTCTGGTGCTGGCTTCAAGTCATACTGTCATTGAATGTGCTTTGGTGTCAAAACCGCAAGTATGCCTCATCGAAGCGGTATTTTACACCGCACTATAGTGAATTGATCTCAATGATGTCGGGTCGCCGTCGAGCCATCACTGTCGCCTTTCATCGAATACGGCTAAGATTCGGTTACAAGGTAAGCCTTGCAAAGGCCGAATGCTTAAGTGAGTGGCTCTGGTAGCTTGTGCAATAGCAGTCAAATTGCCATGGACTCTCACTCTCACTTTGAATTCCAAGGTCATTCTCGCCTTCGCGACTGATTTAATCTGGAGGATCTTGGGTGCAATGCACGGACGACAAGCTTTGGATAGGAAGGAGTTCGATGATGCTTGTTTCTTCAATTACTCACAACCATATTACGCACGGTACCAACTCTAGCTGAATGTGGAGATATCCAGTCATCCTGCTTTGGAACTCGAAATTGGCCATTCTGAAACGGTAAACAGATGCGCACGGGAAGGCTCGTAGGAATGCCGATAATCGGCCGAGGGCTTCCAATCGACTCGGGACCACACGAGTACTATATACGCCTCAATTGATGTGCAGTGGTCAGAAGTCCTAAATAAGAAGCATACATAGCATAAGTTGAGCCTAACTACCGCATTCAGAGCTGTACTTCTGAAGCTTTCCTAATGCAAATTTACCGCTTAAATCTAAGAGGTTGTCTCTTTTGCGGTACCGTGGTATCAGCTTCGTATTGTATTCATCGCATTCTTCCACTCAATACAGCGATCCTGGTCTTCACAAGTTCACGTAGTCCAGCATCAGGATGATCATCATCAGATGAACCGAACCACTTGGCAAGTGACAGGGGATGAAGACTCCGAAAAATCCCGAAATTAACTCCGCCCGTGCTGTCAGCGCTGTTGCATGTTCGGTGAACCTAAAGCGGACTGAAGGCCCCGGGTGAACCCGGGAAGGCTGTGCGGGAGTTCTGAACGGTCGTCCAAACTCCAAAGGGATACTCGATCGCAGACGCTGTCCTGTCATGGATTTTCCTCTTTCTCTATTGGACTGGTCAAATATGGGGACTTTTAACTGATCACCTACTGTAAGTAGTAAGTAATGGGTAAAGCTTCTATTACACGGGTTGTTCTCCGAGTCTCATGTATGTTTGATACTGTCATAAATATTCAGTGTACGAGGGACTAAGCCTTGAATCAGTCGGCTCGATCTAAGTATCTGAATCACGAAGTATATTCATGCACAGTTGAACAAAAATAGGTTTCTGTGTACCTCATGTCGTCTACTTACCTACAGTAATTGATCTGTTTTCTTTTTGATGATGGCTAGGTACCTACATACTACCTAGTACCTATCGCTCCCGTCTCTACTATGAGTGAAGAAAACATCCATAGAGTCGGGTCGACATTAATACTTTTACATTGATCTGAGACGTAGTCTAAGGTTGGCAAAACGCATATGAAGTAGCTAGCAGATGCTCATCCCTGCATGGTCATATTCCTGTGGCTAGAATGCTACGAGTGTGCGATAAATGGCGGTCCACACTGCACACTGCAGTCTGTACTAGAGAGTAGAGACTGGAGTCAAGAGCATAAGTACCGAGTAGAGACTGGAGTCAAGAGTATAAGTACTGAGTAGATCGTAAAATGTCGAGCGTTACCCAGAATAACCAATCGTAGATCATTGAGCGCTTATCCTGGCTATGGTAAAGGCACTCCAGCTTCTTTCTATTGGTGATTCGAAAGTGCTTATGTATTCTGATCGTCTAAGGGTTTCCAACACTTTACCGTATGCACGGGCAATAGCTAGCGAATTCTTTCTCGACCACAGTCAAGTCCGGGGCTTCTTCACATGTCAAAGTGCCATGTGTTCCATTCAATTTAGCCGAAATATTAACTGTCTGGGGTTATTTCTAGTTTTCTACTGTGCTACGTGTGCCTGGATAGCGACGGCCGAGTAAATGGATGAAATCTGTCGTCAGAGCACGGTCAATGGAGAGCATCGAGTCATAAAGACTTTCCGATCACAAGATGCTCAGTTCTTGGGATGTTGAGGACACCCGCGTGTTCGCGATAGAGTATGATGGGGGTAACTATAGCAAACGGGAATGTGTGTAATTATGTATCCTTTTATTTAAGCCGCGATAAGAAATTCGTCTGATCTCCCCAGGGACGAGCCTGAACAGGACTCATAGACTAATATGTTGACTAGACTAGACTGGGAGTAGACACCGCCAATCTAAATGCCGACCTGACATGCTGACATGCTGACATGCACCACCTCACAACTTACCAGAGTGTGTGCGGGAGAAGTGGCCGATCTCGGGGGCGGGGAGAGGGGGGATGAGGAGAAGAACACGATCACCTCCCAAACCTCGGAACGGGAGTTTCTGCCGTTGCTCTGGCGTATGTCGTATGCCGTACGGCGTATGCACTATGGAACGAGTGACCTCTTACGAGTCACGACTCACCACTGCACCAGTACGCATTTGGGACTGATTGGGTCAAACACTGAGACGACCCTGCTAAGTGGATGTAACCAGATTGGTCCCTGGAAAAAGAAGTTGGAGATGGGTGTTGTGGTAGACCTAGAAAGATACCCCGGGCGGCTACTAGGCCGTTGTCGGCATGGTTCAGTCACTAGTTGAGTCGCTAGTGAGATAGGCATGTGCGTCGGATTGAGTCCTGGGAGATGCAGCATCGGTTCGGTTCAAGGTTGCACCATGCAAGCAGCCTGGGCGGAAGGGGCGGAGAGGAGGCTCGGAGTCGGGGGGAGGAACGGCAGAATTACAGGTATATTTACATGTACTGTACAGGACTGTATGGCTCTGTACAGTACTAGTCTACTGTATGATTGAAATGGCACTTGACCTCTTCAAGACAAGTTGTCCACGCCAGACAAGTGAGGGTTCTAATCGAGTGCACTGCATTGTATGATTGTACTTTGACTGTGACACTCACGAGTATCACCTATACCCATGGACGACCCTTAATAAAACCTTGGTCCATGGGAAGGTCTGTTCCGAAGTCTGGCACGACCCAGCATGATTTTCAGAACACCGTATTGTTCCAAGCTGATGTGCAATTCAAAGAGACTAGTAGGGAATCGAAAGTTAAATGTCTATATGACTGTGTAAGTATGTATAGTAGTATATACTAAGCGTCGTGTCTATGTGTATACTGTGCAAGTGTACAGCATGTAGATTTGAAGACTGGTGAACTGTACAAGTATGATTCGACAAACACCCAACGCAGCCAAGACGCTTCCTTGCGAGCAGCCGGCTGTTCTGCTCTTGGCAATTATTTGGTCCGTGCCTGCCAAGGTAATATGATCGGCCTGTATGACGCTTAGAGCAAGCCCAAAGGGAGATATTGGCTCTGGCTACTCCAGATTAGGTAACTGAGCCCTGTAGAAAAAGTCATCCATGCCTTCTTTATATTCATTTGAACTATCACCCTTGATTAGTGATAGAGCCCTCAACTTATGTGCCGCGCGATGGCTGAGGTGTCGAGGCAGAATAGGTTTGGATTAAGCACCGCATCCTTGCCAGATGCCCCACCACATGCCCAGCCATTCGGGTCCGCAACGGGAGGGGTAACAAAGCACGGAGCTTCCGCCGGATTGGGGCAACCAAAAAGGGGAAAATTGATGGGCGTGCGAAAGTGAAAATGGAAAAAGAAAGGTCATTTTTCCTGATCATACTTCTGCGTATCATATACTGACATTACTTACAAGTTATAGAATTTCGAGCTCCCGAATCAAGCTCAATCAATAAACTTATCTAATCATGCTATAGAAGGTCCTAGGTCCACATGTCTAATATATGGTCCATACTCCATAGGCAGTCCAAAGGCCCTCGAATGGCTTCTTCACTCGCTTCTGTCTCTTTCTTTTTAGCGGGGCAAAATCTCATGCACAAAACAAGGCTGGACCGGATGGATCTAGCCTTCTCCTTGATCTCCTGCCTGGTTGCGGCCAAAGGCCAATAGGACAAACGGTATTGTCATGGGCCCACCAGCCGAACAGGTTAATGAGCGAGAAGCCATCGGCGGCTCGGGTTTACCCTGAATGACAGTACTGTATTAATGAATCCTTAGTTGAGTTTTCAGTAGAAGCCAAGTGCTATATTCGAAATGCACCTGAAACTGTGTCGTAGGATCAAAGTGAGATCCTTAGCGGTTCCAATAATTTCAAAGTCTGGAAAGAAAGCAGGCATCGTCGGGCGTCAGATTGAAATATAAGCGTTGAGACAGTGCTGCACTGCTATAGCCTGTGTCGTATGATGTATATCACTGTCTCAGTGTTTTCAACTGTCTTGTCACGGGCGTAACAAACCTGACTCTTGGGTCTTGACTGCTGGAATTCACGCCCGGGCGGACTAGCGGGCTCGGGCTCACTGGGCTCGAGATAAGATTAAGTAGAGTGTAAAGTTGTAAACTGCAAAGTGTAACGTGGGTAGTAAAATTACTAGGTTTTGTATTGTAATGGCGACAAAAGTACGTACAGTACCAGCTGACTAAGTGCATCTGATCTCCACCAAGGGATCTTTGACGTAGGCGAAAGCTAATCGTTAGGGTGCTTGGGTTGCAAAGCAGCCCGTCTCATTGGCTCTCAGGTGCTTATCTTTGAGGAATTGCTTGCCGTAATCATAATGATTATCATTACTTTGGCCATTAGTCGCCTGAACTCATCGAGTCCTGTGAAAGCTCTCTTTCGCTCTCCTCCTCGGGTCTAATTGTCTAGTGTCTAATTCTACACGGCATATGAGAACATACATATGTGATTATGCTATACGCTGTGCCTACTGTCGTAATGATTTGTTCCATCGCTCAGTCGAAGGCAACTGTCATGGAATGTCGCCCGGCCCGTCCACCTTTCCTCTTCGGACTCGAGGCGACGCATTCGTCCATTCGTTCGTTCACTGGAGGGGTCAATGGATCTGAGGAACGATGGTATCGATCGTATTGATCTGGAGCTTTGTACAGATCTTCAGTGTCCTTGTTATTGCGCCTGGAATCGGACTCTGTTCACGGATGTACAAATGTTCAGACTCATGGCATTAATATGCGACAGAACACCATTCAAGTCCGATCAACCTTCTCTCAATGCTCTCGTAGAACTACAGCAGGACTACTTTTCAAGATGGCTGAAAGTAAACACATGCCAAACTCATCGGTCGAGATCATCAGAGATCCATTTGCCACGTTCAACCCCACAGCCCGTAATTTTCCCGTTTCCATTCCCCTTTGGGGTCCATCGGAGGTTTAGCCTACAATCCCCGGACCTACTGTACTTGCGCTGCCCGCCGTAATCGCTGCCCATCTTTCTTTTTTTAATTCCACCCCTCCATTACTTCTCTGTAACCCTCTCACTCTCCTCGTCTTTTCCCTCCTGTCATCCTCTTCCTCTTCACCTTACCCACCCCCTACCAGCAGCTGTTGAGCTCATCTTCCACACCCACCCACTCTCTCTGCATCATCCGCGCTGCCCATCGCGCTCTGACGATCCGGCTCCGTCGATCTCCGTCCCGCCTCAACTGACTCGGCGGAGAATCCCCCCCTCTGAAGGCATCTCCTCTCTCCAACTTTCCCTCTTATTCTGTGTCTTTCCATTCTCTGTCGGCCCTCGACGGAAGAATGGGTCTTACTTTGGAGGATATCTATGGCAAAGATCTAAGTGAAGAGCAGGCCCCTCAAGAGTATTCGGAGTACCAGCCGAAGGAGGGCTACGGCTGGGCCAATGCCTTGCCCAAGAAGCAGGGTCTCTATGACCCCGAGTACGAGAAGGATGCCTGTGGTGTCGGTTTTGCTGCGTGAGTTGACCCCCTCTCCTTCCGCCGAAGAGGCCCCGGTGAGCCCCAACTAACAGATCGGGATCTCCTATAGCCACATTAAGGGTAAACCGAGTCACAAAATTGTGAGCGATGGTAAGTCGGTCAATTTCTCGTTCTATTTTGCTTCCTTGAGCTCGGTAGGGTGGTTGCAATGGCCTCCACGACCGTCCCATGACAACGGACGTGTTGCGCTGACGTCGGAGTGTCTGTCTAGCTCGCAACTTGCTCTGCAACATGACCCACCGTGGAGCCGTGGGCTCGGATGCGCGAGACGGTGACGGCGCTGGTGTAATGACCAGTATTCCTCACAAGTTCTTCATCAAGAACTTCGCGCGCGAGGTTGGCGTGGAGCTGCCTCCATTGGGTCAGTATGCGGTCGGCAACCTTTTCTTCAAGCCCGACGAGGTTTCACTGCAAGAGTCCAAGACCACTTTCGAAGAGCTGGCAACATCTTTGGGCCTTAGGGTTCTAGGTTGGCGTGAGGTGCCCCGCGACTCGACCATTCTCGGCCCCGCCGCCCTGTCACGAGAGCCGATTATTCTGCAACCCTTTGTGGTGCTCAAGTCCGCCTACGGCGAGGGCAACAAGCCCGAGATCACGGATGTCAAACAATTCGATGATCGAACTTTCGAGCTGCAGCTGTTTGTGCTGCGCAAGCGCGCCACGCACGTTATCGGCCTCGGCAACTGGTTCTACCTGTGCTCGCTGAGCAACCGCAACATCGTCTACAAGGGTCAACTCTCCCCCGTCCAGGTCTACACATATTATCATGATCTGGTCAACGTGGACTACGAAGGTCACTTTGCGCTCGTTCACTCTCGATTCTCCACCAACACATTCCCTTCCTGGGACCGCGCACAGCCCTTGCGATGGGCCGCTCACAATGGTGAAATCAACACCTTGCGAGGAAACAAAAATTGGATGCGTGCCCGTGAGGGAGTGCTCCGGTCGGAGGTCTTTGGGGATGAGCTGGACCTGCTCTACCCCATCGTCGAGGATGGCGGTTCCGACTCTGCCGCTTTCGACAATGTGCTCGAGTTGCTCATGATCAACGGCGTGCTCTCTCTTCCCGAGGCCGTCATGATCATGATCCCCGAGGCTTGGCAGGACAACCCTGCAATGGACCCGTCCAAGGCGGCCTTTTACGAGTGGGCTGCCTGCCAGATGGAGCCCTGGGATGGACCTGCGCTGTTCACCTTCTCCGACGGCCGGTACTGTGGTGCCAACCTCGACCGTAACGGTCTTCGTCCCTGCCGTTTCTACGTCATGGATGATGATCGCATTGTCTGTGCCTCTGAGGTCGGTGCAATCGACATTGACCCCGAGCGCGTCGTGCAGAAGGGCCGTCTGCAGCCTGGTAAGATGCTGCTCGTCGACACCGTGGCCGGCCGCATCATCGACGACGCCGAGCTGAAGCAGACCGTCGCCAAGCGTCAGAACTTTGCCAGCTGGCTGGATAAGGAACTCCTGAAGCTGCCCGCGATCAACCAGACTTTGCTTGACAGCAACGTCGATCTCTCGTTCAAACTCGACAGCGACTCCGTGCAAAATGACCCCCGGCTGCGCGCCTTTGGCTACTCGTTCGAGCAAGTGAGTTTGCTGCTCGGTCCCATGGGAGCCGACTCCAAGGAAGCCCTGGGCTCGATGGGCAACGATGCTCCTTTGGCCTGTATCGCCCCTCAGCCGCGCTTGCTCTACGAGTATTTCCGACAGCTGTTCGCTCAGGTTACCAACCCGCCCATTGATCCCATTCGTGAAGCCGTCGTCATGTCTTTGGAATGCTACGTCGGCCCTCAGGGCAACTTGCTCGAAATGGATCCCACACAGTGCAATCGTTTGCTTCTGAAGTCACCCATCCTGAGCATTCCTGAGTTCAACACCCTGAAGAACATTAGCAAGGCTCACAGTGACTGGACTGTCCGCACCATCGACATCACCTTTGAGAAGAAGAAGGGCACTGCCGGTTACATTGATGCCTTGGATGCCATCTGTGATGCGACCACCGAGGCCATCGAGAACGGCGACAAGATCATCATTCTCTCCGATCGCGCCACCTCCGCCGACCGCGTTCCCGTTTCCGCTCTGTTGGCGACCGGACTCGTCCACCACCACCTGGTCCGCAACAAGTGGCGTTCGCTCGCGGCGTTGGTGGTTGAGACTGCCGAGGCTCGTGAGGTTCACCACCACTGTGTCTTGTTGGGCTACGGTGCCGACGCCATCAACCCTTACCTTGCTCTCGAGTGTCTGCTCAAGATGAACCGCGAGAAGCTGATCCGTAAGAGTCTGCCTGATGAGAAGGTCATTGAAAACTACAAGGCCTCTTGCGATGGTGGTATTCTCAAGGTCATGAGTAAGATGGGTATCTCCACTCTGCAATCTTACAAGGGTGCTCAGATTTTCGAGGCTCTCGGTATCGACGACAGTGTCATTGACCGCTGCTTCGCTGGTACTGCCAGTCGGATTCGCGGCATCACCTTCGATTTAATCGCTCAGGACGCTTTTGCTTTCCACGAGCGTGGTTTCCCATCGCGTGATATCGTTGAGATTCCTGGTCTCGCTGAGACCGGCGAGTACCACTGGCGTGATGGCGGTGAGCCCCATATCAACGATCCCGTCAGCATTGCCAACATTCAGGACGCTGTGCGCACGAAGAATGACAAGTCCTACGAGGCCTATGCCAAGGCTGAGCACGAGCAAATCAAAAACTGCACTCTGCGTGGTATGCTCGAATTCGACTTTGAGCAGCGTACCCCTATTCCCATCGATCAAGTTGAGCCTTGGACCGAGATCGTGCGCCGCTTCGTCACTGGAGCCATGTCGTACGGCTCCATCTCTATGGAATCCCACTCCACCCTTGCCGTGGCTATGAACCGCCTTGGTGGCAAGTCCAACACCGGTGAAGGTGGTGAGGATCCCGAGCGCAGTAAGCGTATGGAGAATGGTGATACCATGCGGTCGGCCATCAAGCAGATCGCTTCGGGTCGTTTTGGCGTCACCTCGCACTATCTGGCAGACGCCGACGAACTTCAAATCAAGATGGCCCAGGGTGCCAAGCCCGGTGAGGGTGGTGAGCTGCCTGGCCACAAGGTCGTGGGTCCCATCGCCCGCACCAGACACTCCACCCCCGGTGTCGGTCTGATCTCGCCGCCTCCTCACCACGACATTTACTCCATTGAGGATTTGAAGCAGCTTATCTATGACCTCAAGTGCTCTAACCCTCGGGCTCGCGTCTCCGTCAAGCTCGTCTCCGAGGTGGGCGTTGGTATTGTTGCTTCAGGTGTGGCCAAGGCCAAGGCCGACCACATCTTGATCTCAGGTCACGATGGTGGTACCGGTGCTTCCCGTTGGACTGGTATCAAGTACGCTGGTCTCCCATGGGAGCTTGGTCTTGCTGAGACTCATCAGACTCTGGTGCTCAACGATCTCCGTGGTCGTGTTGTTGTTCAGACCGACGGTCAACTCCGCACTGGACGTGACCTGGCTATGGCCTGTCTGCTAGGAGCCGAGGAGTTCGGCTTTGCTACGACTCCATTGATCGCAATGGGTTGCATTATGATGAGGTATGTATTGATGCTCTTCGCTTGTCGGTTTCTAGACCGTTACTGACTATTGCTCACTTAGAAAATGCCATCTCAACACCTGTCCAGTCGGTATTGCCACTCAGGACCCTGAGCTTCGCAAGAAGTTCCAGGGCTCGCCTGAGCACGTCATCAACTTCTTCTACTATGTCGCCAACGAGATGCGTGCTATTATGGCCAAACTTGGAGTTCGAAATGTTAACGAGATGGTTGGTCGCGCCGAACTGCTCAAGGTCCGCGACGATCTGCGCAACCAGAAGCAGGAGCGTGTTGACCTGTCCTTGATTCTGACCCCTGCTCACTCTCTCCGCCCCGGTGTCGCGACCTACAACGTCCGCAAACAGGACCACAAGTTGCACACTCGTCTTGACAACAAACTCATCTTCGAGTCTGAACTTGCTCTTGAGAAGGGTCTTCCTTGCCGCATCGAGTGCGACGTGGTCAACACTGACCGTGGTCTTGGTGCAACTCTCTCCTACCAGATCAGTCGCCGTTACGGAGAAGCTGGTCTGCCCCAGGACACCATTCACGCTAACATCAAGGGCTCTGCTGGTCAATCCTTCGGTGCTTACCTGGCTCCGGGTGTCACTTTGGAGCTTGAGGGTGATGCCAACGATTATGTCGGTAAGGGTCTGTCCGGTGGTCGTCTCATTGTATACCCCCCTCGCGGCGCTGCCTTCAAGGCCGAAGAGAATGTGATCATTGGTAATACCTGCTTGTACGGTGCTACCCGTGGTACTTGCTACTTCCGTGGTGTTGCCGCCGAGCGTTTCGCTGTGCGTAACTCCGGTGCTACTGCTGTCGTGGAGGGCTGCGGTGACCATGGTGCCGAGTACATGACCGGTGGTCGTATTCTTATCCTCGGACCTACTGGCCGTAACTTTGCTGCCGGTATGTCTGGAGGTATTGCCTACGTCCTGGACAAGGACCAGGACTTCCACTCCAAGGTCAATATGGAGATGGTTGAGGTTTCGAACATTGATGATCCCGCCGAGATTGCCTTTGTGCGTGGTTTGATTGAGGACCACCACCACTACACTGGTTCTGAGCTTGCTGCTCGCATTCTTCTCGATTTCACTCGCGCCCTTCCGCATATCCTGAAGGTCTTGCCCACTGACTACAAACGCGTCATGGAAGAGGAGGATGCCAAGGCTGCCGCTGCGAAGAAGGCTGAATTCTCTCTGCCTCAGCTGCCGAGCACTCCCGTGCCCGCCGAGAAGCCGAAGGCTCATGCAGATGAGAAGAAAGCCGATCTGCTTGATATTGAGGACAGTATCAGCAACGAAAAGGCCGAGAAGAAGCGATCTGCGCTGATTCTCGACAAGACTCGCGGTTTCATGAAGTACAGCCGCCGTAGCGAAAAGTACCGCAACCCTGCCACTCGCATTCGCGACTGGGCAGAGCTGTCTGGCCGACTCAGCGAGGATGAGCTGAAGTACCAGTCTGCTCGTTGCATGGACTGCGGTGTGCCCTTCTGTCAGTCCGACACTGGTTGTCCCATTTCCAATATTATTCCCAAGTGGAACGAATTGGTCTTGTAAGTTTCATATTTGCTACTTTACGATAAAACCTCGGTGTTCATGCATACTAACTGTGAATGATGTAGCCAAAACCAATGGCAGGATGCTCTGAACCGCCTGCTCATGACCAACAACTTCCCCGAGTTCACTGGTCGTGTCTGTCCTGCTCCTTGTGAGGGTGCCTGTGTCTTGGGCATCAACGAAGACCCCGTTGGTATCAAGTCGATTGAGTGCGCCATCATCGACCGCGGTTTCGAGATGGGTTGGATGGTGCCACGTCCTCCTAAGACCCGCACGGGCAAGACCGTTGCAGTCATTGGTTCTGGTCCTGCCGGTATGGCTGCTGCTGACCAGCTCAACCGCGCGGGTCACTCCGTCACTGTCTACGAGCGTGCTGATCGCATTGGTGGTCTGCTCATGTATGGTATTCCCAACATGAAGCTCGACAAGAAGGTTGTCCAGCGCCGTGTGGATCTCATGGCTGCCGAGGGTATTCAGTTTGTCACCAACACCGCCGTCGGTCCCGACAGCGATGTCTCTTTGCAATCTCTCCGCGAGTCCAATGACGCTGTTATCATCGCTACCGGTGCCACCGTCGCGCGGGATCTCAAGGTTCCTGGCCGCGAGCTGGAGGGTGTTCACTTTGCTATGCAGTTCTTGCACAAGAACACCAAGTCTCTACTTGACTCTGGCCTGTCGGACGGCGAGTACATCTCGGCCAAGGACAAGCACGTTGTCGTCATTGGTGGTGGTGATACCGGTAACGATTGTATTGGTACCTCTGTGCGTCACGGTGCCAAATCAGTCACCAACTTTGAGCTGCTTCCCCAGCCTCCACCAGAGCGTGCTGGTGATAACCCCTGGCCCCAATGGCCTCGTATCTACCGTGTGGACTATGGCCATTCAGAGGTCAAGACTCACATGGGCAAGGACCCTCGCGAGTACTGTGTCATGTCTACGGAGTTTGTTGACGATGGCAGCGGCCGTGTCAAGGGCATCAACACCGTTCGTGTGGAGTGGACCAAGAGTGCTACTGGTGGCTGGGACATGAAGACCGTTGAAGGCAGTGAGCAATTCTTCCCTGCCGACCTTGTTCTCTTGTCCATGGGTTTCCTGGGTCCTGAGGACCGTCTTCTCGGTAGCGAGATTGAGCGTGACCCTCGCAAGAACGTCAAGACCCCCCTGGCCACTACTCGACCAACATCCCCGGCGTCTTTGCGGCTGGTGATTGTCGTCGTGGACAGTCTTTGATTGTCTGGGGTATCAACGAGGGTCGCCAGGCTGCCCGTGAAGTTGATACTTTCCTGAGTGGCACCAGCTCCCAGCTCCCGGTCACTGGCGGTATTGTTCGTCGCCCAGCGATCGACTCTGTTCCTCAGCCTGTCGCCACCGAGGTGATCGCTTGAATCTGAGCTTTCTCATATCCGTGGGGAAGACTCACTATCAAGACATCAAGACAAACAACCAAATTTCCGGGAAAGCTTACTTGCAACGGTTTCTTGGATCCGCGCTTCGCTTCGCTCGAATGAAGCACAGCCCAAAACACTTTTCTATTTTTCTGGGCTACATGTCCTGCATGACCCCACCGACTTGATGGAAACCGATCCATCGTTGTGGAGTGTGAAAATCGGTTGGCTGGTCCTCTTTTCTTTCTTTCTCTCTTACTTGACCATTTGACAGAAGGCCCAAATGAAATGATGACTATTCGTCACCTCATTGCTTCTGGGTCCACACGACTGAATGATTTTTTGTCGGTGACCATGCTTTTGATGTTTCTTTGATGAGAATATTCTTGAATGCTTCGCTTCTGGCTATGTACGAGCAGCGTGTATTTTGTCGTGTTGAGCGTCTCTCTCTGTTGGGTATCTTTGCTTTTATTCGTTTTTTCCAGTGTTGTACATACCTCCCACGCTTGTCTGTTTTCGATGAATGAATTTTTTTATCCGAGTATATGGTGTTTTCCCTCTGAAAAGCCCCCAGTACAATTATGCACGTCTATTGATCTTCTGCTGGAGTTCATGAAAATGGGCATCAAACCCTCGAGCATCGATTGCTCGAAGCCTATCGTACACGATCAGTATATTCGAGCATTGTAACGAGTCCCTTGAGGTTCTTTGGATCCCAGAAGACAAGCTTTGTTCTTGCATAAAGCACATTGTTCTCTTTGCCTCGGGCTCCCCTGCTCCCGACTTAGAACAAAGCCCCCTGACCACCGCATTGAACAAGCGCATTGTTCTACCACGCAAACTAAACCCGACAAGGACCTTTTAGTTCAAGCCCTTGTCTTGAATCATTCATGGTCATTGCTCCGCTCAATGAACACCACGGTAAGTAGCTAGACTTTGACCCAAGTCCAAGGTCCCAGTCCCTTTTAAAAACGGTTCTCCTTCTCCGGTTAACGCCATAGACAGCCAGATCTCTTCGCGTGTATCGAACAGGGTCCGGTGCGTGGACTGGTTTACTCGGAGACTCGAGACTATATCCGGGGGAGGTTGTACTTTGTACATTGACTGGACAAAAACGTCTAGTTAACTCGATCTTGAGAACTATTTGATTGTTGAAGCCTGAGCTATCAAGCTCGGTCTCTACTGCGATTGCCTTGTACACCCTACCCAGTCATCTCACGGCTAAGGCCATACAATCTTTGAAGCTACAACAGACCCGCCACGCCCGACTAATACCAGACCAACCACGGACCTTTCCACCCTATATCTGCTGGGTAACGAAGGGACGAGAACCTCGCGATGACTGACGAAGTCCAATTCCTGCTCTTCGTCTTCATCGCGCTGCAGGTCCAGATTGTGCGCCATGGTCCGCTACCACTGTACTCGCTTGCTTATGCGCTTGGGATCCTGGAGGATCCGAAGTGGTTGGTTGAGTGTGGGCGGAGGTATGGGTATGGGTATGGGTATGAGGGGGAGGATAGGAGCGAGAGCGAGAGTGAAGATGTAGAGGTAGAGTTGACGATGGAGTATGCTGGGACTGAGACGGGGGGAGATCCGCGCAAGCTTGGAGAGGGAGATTGGGACAGGACGATGAGCTTGCATGTGAGGAGGGAGGATATGGAGAGAGGAGGGTCGACGTTGGAGTCGACTTGTGGCGAGGATTGGGGTGGTGGTTGTGTGGACGATGAGAGGCGGAGTCGTGAATACGTGTTGATTGAAGAGGGGGAGGGCGAGGTTCAGAGTGAAAGGGGGTCGGAGAGGATAGCCGACTCGGTCGTGGTGGGCGATGATGTCGATGCGATATGTGAAACAGTATCTCGTGCGGGCGACAAGATGTCACAGACGCAGACTAGAGATGAGTATGTTGCACGCCAAACAGATCCGACTGACCGGCCTATTGATTTACAAGTCGATGAGCAACAGGTCGGACTCGACGCCGAACTTGATCCCAAGCCCAAGTATGAAGCCGCACTCCAACATCTCAAGTCAATGTCATCTTGGTTCACATTCCGCTCGAACAACCACAACATATCTATGAGCCCCAAGAGAATCGCTACACAACACCGTCAACACACAGACAATCCACCCTTTCTCAACGCATACACATACCGTCCCCAACAAGACCAGCCAACCCTCCCATCAGACTCCCACCACCCCGATTCCCACTCCCATAAAGAACAACAGAGCCGCACCGATCACCAGCACCAGCACCAGCAACACACCAATCCATCAACCTTTCAATTCACCCCCAAATACCAAAGACCTCCTCCTGCCTGCCCCTCCTCACCCATCCCGGACCCCGACGAAGCCCTCCCCTTCGCCAACTACTTCTTCGGCAGAAAGGGACTCCAATACTATCTGGACCTGGACCGCGACTCCGACGAAGACGCGTATAGTCCGCTGAATTGGGTGATCCCCGAATATGCCCGCGGTAGATCCACGAGGCGCTCGCTGGAGGATATCGAGCCGATTCTGGATCGAAAGGCCAAGTTGCCGCTTGGTAGGAGGGATGCGCCTGTTTTGACGACGGGGACGAGGCTGGTGGGGTTGGAGGGTGCGAGTGAGTGAGGTATGGGGGTTCAGTGTGGTGCTGATGGTGATGCGGTGTCTGTGTGGTATCTGTATGAATGTGGACCTAATACTATAGGTCATGGGTTTTTGGGATGAAGCTCAGGTCGGATGTCGAGCTTGTATCTGTGGCGTGGTGGGTTCTTATGAGTTATTGACTTGGTGAGGAGTGAGATTACAGTGCGGAATGTGCGCCCAGGAGAAGTGTTGAAGATATCCTGATGTGGAAGCTCGAGTGTTGAATAAAAGATTTGAGAATTCTGATTAGAATAGCTACAATATTAAATTCTAGGATATGTACTTCGTCCAGAGTGAGTATAAACAACACAGATCGATCAGTTCCGATCAAGTTCACAGGTATAGAAGAGCGAGCCAAATACAAGCGAAAGAGGCAACAGCCGGCATCCAGCTCGTGCGGCTAATGATGGGGTCGGCACCGGAGAACAAGGGCGTCGTCGTCTGAGAAACCGCTGTTGTCGTCGAAGGAACGAGAGACGGCGTTGCGGTGGTCAGCATACCCTGGCCGTGGGCAGTGGAGGCGCTCGCTTGTTGGTGGCCCACGCCCAGGGGAGGACTGTTCATGCTCACTGGAGAGACGGCAACAGATCCGTGGAGCGGCGTAGACGCCGTGCTAGGGGCAAGCGACCCGGAAGAGCTCGTGGGAAAAGTGTACGTGGACTGGCCGACGAGGATGGTCTCCGTCGTGGTCTGCGTGGTCATGGCAGTGGCTGGACAACTGGTCAGGCCCGTTGGGCACGCTTTGGTTGTGGCAGTTCGGGTGCTGAAGACTGGAGATACAGAGACCACGGGTGCAATTGAGGTCGTTTGAGACGCCTGTGCTGCAGCTGTGCCAGTCCCGATCGATGAAATGGATGCAGTGATGGGACACACAGTGGTGGATACGAGCACGGTTTCCGTAACAACTGAAGTAGTCTTGGCCGAGGCAGGGCAGTTCTTCACGTGAGAAGGACAGGCCGTCACCGTTGCAGTGCGGGTCGAGAAGATTGTGGAAGTGGTGAATTGCTGGCCTGGCTGAGAAGATCCCGCGGAGAAACCAACTGGAACGTTGGTCGCGGTGGCAGTGCTAGCATGAGCACCGGTCACGGTGGCAGACACAGGGCAGACCGTTGTGGAGAGATAAATTGTTTCCGTAGTGACGTAGGTAGTCCGAGACCGCGCAGGGCAATCAGTTACGGTCGAAGGGCAAGCAGTGATAGTGGCTGTACGTGTGGTATACACGGTTGAAGTCGTCACTGCCACGCCGGTGCTAGTGACCGTAGTGTCCACACTGCTAGCTGAACCGCCGGCTGGAGACGAAGCTGGCACGCTCAAAGATCCACTGCTAAAAGACACTGAGCCTTGACTGGTCGAAATCACGCCTGTGGAAGTGGAAGTGGAAGTAGTCTGTTGAACACTTGTACCGGAAGTGATACCACTGGCAGAAGCAGAAGTTGCTGAAGCTGACGTAACTACTGAAGAGCTGGAAGCATTCGGGATGCTAGACGATCCCGAGTCGCTCGACACAGTCACTGTATTTGCGATGGGGGAGCTAGAGGTGGTGATGATGCTTGAGGAAGCATGCACAGAGGACGGCAAAGGAGAGGGCGACGAGACTGAAGGAGAGACTGAGATGATTGGTGTGGTGGGGACCGCAGAAGTACTGGCGGTAATCGGTGAGCTAGACGCGATAGGGATGCTGGAAGCAACAGAGGTGCGGGAAGTAATAGGAGTACTCGAGGCAATAGGGGTACTGGATGCAATGGGAGTGCTGGAAGCAATAGGAGCAATAGGCGTGCTGGAAGCGATAGGAGTGCTCGAGGCAATAGGAATGCTCGAGGCAATAGGAATGCTGGATGCAACAGGAGTGCTTGAGGCAATAGGAGTGCTTGAGGCAATAGGAGTGCTTGAGGCAATAGGAGTGCTGGAAGCGATAGGAGTGCTGGAAGCGATAGGAGTGCTGGAAGCGATAGGAGTGCTGGAAGCGATAGGAGTGCTGGAGGCGATAGGAGCAATAGGCGTGCTGGAAGCGACAGGAGTGCTAGAAGCAATAGGAGTGCTTGAGGCAATAGGCGTGCTGGAAGCAATAGGAGCAACGGGACTGCGGGAAGCGACAGGAGTGCTAGAAGCAATAGGAGTGCTAAAAGCAATAGGCGTGCTGGAAGCAACAGAAGTGCTCGAGGCAATAGGAATGCTGGATGCAATAGGAGTGCTGGAAGAAATTACAACAGGAGTTGATGAAGGTGATGGCGTAGGTGAAGGAGTGGATGATGGCGAGACCGGCAGCGGACTCGTCACCGAGGTGCTTGAAGCTGGCGATGTGACTGAGGTGGTAGTGAGGACTGGCACCGATGAAGGCGTGCTAGTCGTAGTGATCGCAGTAGTTGGAGTCGCGGTTGATGTCGGAGTCACTGTGGTGCAGGATTGAGTGGTGGTTGGAGGACCGATCAACTTAGCATTGTCCAGATACACATTGAAGATGACGGGGTTGCGATATGGGGTGCAGGAGATGTAAAATCCAAAGAGATCAATGCTGGAGCTCGCGGTGTACAATCCTTCAACCGTGAGCCATTGGTTCGTTGCTCTACTGAACGATTGGACGTTACGGGCTATCAAATTGTCCGTATTCAGGCTTGTGTGAAAGAGATAGTAGGCGCATTGCTCGGTCACGGCGTAGTTGGGGCTCACGACTCCCTGGATGTCGATGGACACGGTGTATTGAGAGCCGGGCACAAGACCGTACACGGTCTGCGACACCATGTTGTATGAATATTGGCTGTACGGATTTCTACAGTAGATTTCGTGTCGAAAATCAGGGTTGAACTCGGTCATTCTCCATGATTGGGGTCACGTACAGAGATTTAGATCCGTCACTCACGGGCGACGTTGCCAATGAAACAGGCACAACATATGACCATGCTCCTGTTCCATCTTCCCACGAAGGATTGACGAACAGATTGGGAGAATCGACTACCACATCGGTGCAAGTCACACCATCACTGGATACCGAGGTAGGAATTGCTCGCGCAAGCTGGGCACCAACGGCGACTGTGAGCCACCAGGGGGAGGGCGTCATGACACAATGTGAGGAAAAGAACGAGTGAAAAGATTCCGGACTCAATGGGCGTGTCAAAGATTAACGACTGACTGTGGAGCTCCGTAGAGATTAAATCAAAATCAAGGCCTGAGCCAGCAATCAAAACTGGGAACACTCGATTATATCAACTCTCATAGGCGATCAGCCGAAGTTAATACGAGGAACCACTGCGCAAAGCCGACTTTTCGGACTCCTCCCGTGGCGCACGCCACTCATCGAGTCCGTATAGATTGGTCGGCAAGCAAGTCTGCTCTTCATGATTTCCACTTCCCGCTTTTTTTGCCAAGACCAAGCTCGCATCGAATGTCTCTTTCCTGGGGGTCGGAAAGGTAGACAGAGTCTCGGGTCGGTTACTTAGGCCACGCGAGTTGGGCAAAAGTGGAGTCTGGCCAGGCTTGTCAGCCGTGGCGTTTCGATAGTTCATCGGGATGCCCGAGATGGTTTGTTTTTCACTTGCGATCAGTTAGTCGAGACCAAGGCCTTGAAATGGGAGACTTGTGGGCCATTGGACAAAAAGGAGATCAGACATCTCGCGGGGTCCGTTGATGAGACCCGAGTGGCGCACCGGTCACACAGATCCAGATCTAGTTTAGATGGCGAGATCTGCGCCCTGACAGTCGCTTCAAAGATGCAAATTCATTGCGGTGGCCCCTGTCTGAGAAGCTCCGGAGTTGATAACCTAAAGAGACAATGCACTGAATGCAGTACTCTTGTATCAATTCTGGGCTCAAACGGATGGATATCCCAGACTTCGAGAGTTGAAGATCTCTCAAACCCCAGATAGCAAGACTGAGTTCATTGTCGAGTTTCCTCAGCCTGAAGGTCAAGGAAGAGAGGGTCGAGAGTCCAGATCACAGGCACGGACCAGTTGCCACGTCGAACGTGGTGCAAGGAAATCCTGCACTTGTGCATGGCCTTGCCCAGTTGAACTTTGAGCAGATAGACCGTCAGTCATCAATGGAGACGAGCAAACGGCCACATGGTCAGTGGGTCAATTACAGCACCTGAGCACAGTCATATAACGAGGCCGGGAAGTGCTCGCCAGCTATGAATGTAACTTGGAGCATGTGATCGAACACATGACCAAGAGTGGTGACTTGTGCAGCTACGAGATTTGGCTATGATGAGCTACATAGATTGCTAGACTCGTAATGCCCAAAGAGACAAGTTGCTCTGAGACAGATTTTAATACTTCGCTTTTCTCCAAGAACCTAAATGCTAAGAAGTAAGACGTATAGTAATTTCACCTATTCTCGGATAAGTAGTGGTTAGACTTCATCACAGATTCCCTACTTGGGTCTACCACCGCCTAGAATTCCACGATTCAGGCCGCGGAGCTTTCCCACCTTCTCCGCCCTGCTGCACCAACTGCCCCATCAAAGTCGAATTCCAATATCGCCAACTAGCATCGAGGACCAGCTGTCCCCGACATATACTCGAATACAAAAGATCGTATAATATCACCTTACTTCAATTGTACGACAACTCTTGCGCAACCCAAACCTTCGCTGAGCTTCTTTATGCACAAGCTCTCCACACCCCGATCGTGATCACCGCGGGAACCGTGCTTTTTTGCGCGCAGCTCCGTGCGTCCACAAATGCGCTGGATTGCATCTCCACGCTCTTGACTGCGGCGCGCTTTACCTTTCGACTTTGAAACAGGATTTTTTCCACCGCGTCTAAGCTGCGCCTGTGTCATACACGAGTATCTTCAGATCAAGGACTCGAGGCTAGAACTCACTCGATCACTCGCAAGTTCGCAACAATGCTTTCACTGCCGTTTCTTGCGCCGCAAGATGTGAGTCTCGCGGAACATGCTGATACTTCCTGCTCTTTACTTGAACTCCTCTCCGAGTCATGAGACACATTCATTGACCTTCTCACTCATCAGTCCCACGAACTTTGGTTCGGTCCCTCGAATCCCTACCGCTCCTCCTCTCAACATCCGAGCTCCGAAGCACATCTCAACCACCCACATCGCCGCACCAATGCCCAAACAACAACCTCCTCCTCATCCTCCAACCCGCTCCGCCGTAGCGAAGCTTTCCACGCCTTTCGCACCTCCGATCTAACTCTCTCCACGCTCCAGACCGAAGAGCGCAACCTCCGCGCCCGCAAAACCACCATTGCCTGCTTCGGGTCCTCCTGGATCCGCCCGGCGGGATGTGCCAAGACCATGCTCGGCATGAAAGAAGAAGAAGCCGAGCGCGAAGAGGCGCTCGCTGCATTGGCCGCGGAGCAGGAAGCTGCGGCGATGGCGGCGGCGGCGGAGGGTATGACGATGGGGGAAGGGGAGGAGGGCGGGGATGAAGAAGGCATGGAGAGAGATTTGGATGATGAGATTCCGGATGCGGATGCGGAGGAAGGGTTGGTGGAGGAGGGCGAGGAAGGCTTGGAGGAGGATGAGGAGGGGTATATGGAACGGGATCTGGACGACGAGATTCCAGAGGGGTATCCGAATGATGGCTATGGGGATGAGTCGGGATTATATGCGGAGGAGGTTGATGAGGATTTTGATAATCAGCCTGATTTGGACGCGGATGTTCCTGAAGCGGAGGACGAGGATGAGGACGAGGACGAGGAGGGAAGCGAGCTGGATGAGTATGAAGACGCGGTGGAGGAGGGTGATATCACCCGCGATCTGGACGACGAGATCCCCGATGCAGATGCAGATGAGGAAGAAGAAGAGGAGGGTGAATGGCAGCACACAGACACAGAGGATGAATACGAGGACGAAGAGAACGAAGAGAACGAAGGACAAAACATCAGTTCTTCTGGTCCAGGAAGCATCACACGTCCTCGCACGGGCAATTTCCGAACCAGCACGCCAAATAGACATGGCCTGCCGACACCGCCGTTCATGCGTCGTCCCCGTCCTAGCGGCGCAGGTGAGACGGAGGCACAACGGCGATTCATCAATCGCTGGAGTGGTGGTGGTGATGCCTTTGATTCAAGCAGTATGCTCTATGAAGAGGATGATCTGCGCGCATCGATGACCAGTCAAGGGAGTGGTCGACCGAGTGGATTTGGCCGACGGTATCCTCGTCGTATTGGTGGTCCGCGGGATAGCCTTAATTGAGGTGGTGTATTCCCATCGTTCCTGGTGCCTTTCTTTTGTGTCGTTCGTTTCTTTCGGCGATGTCATCGGTTTGCGGCGTTTTCAAAAAGGTGGAGGCGGGTTATCGGAAAACATCAAGGTCGCGTGTCCCAGCCCTTGGCTTCATTCATGAGGCCTGATTTGCCTTCGCTATGGTCGAATCAGTTCCCCATGTGCCGTCAACGCTGCAAGTTCTTCGCAAATCACATTCAAGTTATCCCATCGCGCCCTGAGCCCGTAAAGAGTTGTAAAGCCGTAACACTCCCACGATAAGAATACTTGCATTGTCGTCAAAAGAAAGTGAGAGCAAAAGCGCTATGTACAAAGAGGAATTATTAGGTATATCGACGTTTCCCAGCCCAGGGGCCCCCTCAAGCTTGTTCGTGCCGGCTACTGGACGCTATGCAGTATACACAGGTCGAATGGCCGGGCATCTTATATAGAATGTGCCGTACTCTGATGTTGGGGAAAGGGGAGTCACGAGACCTGGCCGATTCACCGCGGACGAAACGAAAACTCGTGCAAAGACCCAGAGCCAGGCTGGCGGGCCCTGAGACTGAGCCTACATCAGTCGCACCTTCGACGGACACGATTTCGAATGCAGACATCGACATTACAAAGTGCCAGAGACTTGCGTCTCATTCACGCTCCATCGAATTCTGTCCGAAGCGGAGAACATGATTCTCCGCCGTCAAGACCGCACCATGTCCATATACACTCGTCACTGGACTCGGCCTGCAAAGACCAAGGAGTCAAGGCAAAAACCACGGGAACCGGCAGAATGTGTGGTGTGTCGGCGTTTTCAGAACAACCACACGTAGAAGAAAAGCAGGAACACGGCAAAGAAGAAGGCCAGCCAGACTTTCCAGCTGATGCCAGTTCGCTCGGCCATGCGAAGCATCCGAGTCATGTTCCCACGTAATCGGACGCGAGTGCTTTCGAAAGAATTTTCGAGTGTGTTGATGTAGGAGGTGTCGCGGATTTCATCGCCGATTGCTATCGTCATCTGAGCAGTTCATATGAATGTTAGTCCTAGTCTTCCCGCAACTTTAACCTCTCGTTGCTCTCGAGATCGGTCAACAGACAGGGACAGAGAATTGCTGCTGCTGATCGAGCATGCGTGAATCATGTATAGCCAACACTTACATCCTTCAACATCTTCACTTTGGCCGTAATTCCTTCAACTTCGGCATCATTCTGCGATTCGAGCGACGAGAGAACCGCGTCGGAGTAATGGCCCCTAACCCTCAGCGCGACAATCATTAGCACTGCGCTTGTCAAGATACTTCCGAAGTGTGTGGGAATCTCCTCGTGCGGGACCTCGTTCTATCTTTGTCCCGCCAGCAAACGAACATACTTCTTATCAGGTGTCACACTGCGAAATCCAGCATTTCCATTCGTATTAGGGTACGCAGTCGCTGCTGGTCCCGCGTAGCCTCCATATCCGTATCCACCTACCGAGGCAGGAGATCTGCTCGCGGGTCGGGAACTGGCACCGCCGCCATAGGAGTCGAAAAGGGAGGATGACGGGCGCGGGTCTCGTTGACGTGGGAATCTATGCGCCGGAGCAAACGATCACGATGTCAGTCCGGCGTGCCGAGAGAGCAAAACAAAACCCAGGATGATGCGCTCGCACGAATCTCTGCGTCGCGTGCGTGCGCCGGGTAACTCCTAGTCCCAAAAGCAAGGGAAACAAACAGGAGAGACACCAGGGAAAGCAAGACTAACCGTGAAGCCATCGACACTCGAGATAGACCGACCTCTCAAAGGTCGGGGGGATAGTGATGGTCCAAGGGAAACCGTCCCTTAAGGATATCTCTCTGGGCCAGGACAGACAGCAAAGGACAGGACAGGACAGGGCAATTTATTTCATATCAGTATCAATATCAATATCAATGTGAGTGGGGGTGGTTTCTTTTCTAGTTTTAGCGTCGAGGCAGGACCATTGCCTTGCTTTTCAAGGGTGGACGTTCTGGTGGGAGGGTTAGGTAGTGGTGGTGGTGGACACTGGACACTGGACACTGGGGTGGAACGAGCTAAAAGGAGCTTAGTTAGTCCTCCTTTCCAGTGCGAGGGAGTTGCTATTTCCGAGCGGCTCCAGTTTTTTTGTTTTTGTTTATGGGATGCGGGTTGGCCTTTTTGAATGTTTGCGGAGACGCGGTGCTGTAGTGAGTAGTGACACCATCGCCCACGGGAGAAGCAAAGGTGGCCTGTGCGCTTTGTCTTGTTGCTGGTCGAGACCGAGACGGGACATTGAGGGTTATTGCACGTGATGGGGTCAGTGGCAAGCTACGCTGTCTCTGAAGTACGGTAGTGTCACTGTCAACGTATCCACTTGTCAAGTATTTAGTATGATATGTGGTATGTGGCATGTGGCTATGTTCACTGTTTAGCTATCTCTCACACTTGACTCTAATATGGTATGCTTCCAGCAGGTATATATACTGAACTCAATTTCGTCTTCTGTCCTGCCCGTCATGATGACAGAGTCCCTCACAGACATCAAGCAAGTTGCTTGCTGTACTCCAATTCTAGATACCCATCTAACATCCATTCCCGGTGCTTTCCAGCCTCTTTGCGTGAAGCAGACGAGTTCGATTTTGTACCTTCGCTGATAAATAGTAAGCAGATGACCAGGATGGTAGCAATGCTTCCAATAGATTTGTAGATCTCTTGTTCTGAATCCGAGTAATACGCCCTGTTATCAGATTCATTGCCATTCAAGGAGTGCCCGGCTCGAGGTCTTGTACCGTATTACGCCATGACAGGTGACAGATTCACCAGTTCTCACCCAGAAGCTAGCCTGGATCAAACTGTAGATCAAACCCCAGATCATCATCTATGCACGAAGTGATCGCAGACGTACTCAGTAGCGCAGTCCATGGGACAATAGCTCGACAACGAAGTGTAAGAGAACATGTTTCAAAAGAGGATAGAAAGAGGCAAAGTCATTTATTTTTCAATTCGGTTCATGTCCCATTTTCATTTTCATCAACAAGTCCCGACTCAGAGCTCGGGCTCGGGTCCAGAGGCTAAGCCTAGTTGGCACAGGCATAAGCCTCGTCGAGAACTCAGAAACTCAAAAGTCACATCTCATTACCCAATCTCCCAGTCTTCAGAGACTCCAGGGAGCCTAGTCGCGCATCTGGTCCTCATCAGCACCACCCTGGTAGTCCTCATCGTCATCCTCTTCGTCGTCCATGTCATCCGAGGTCTTGCGCACTTCCTCCCAGTCGATCTTCTTGCCGCGGGTGCGACGACCGCCGTTGATAATGTTCGTTTCGGAGATAGGTTCCAGGTCATCGTTGGCTTCTTCCTCGTCAACTAAACCAAGCGAGGGGGTGAAATTAGCGATAGAGACTCGTCAAGAAAGGGGTCGCGAGCTGGAGCAGGGATGGGCGATGCGGCGGTCTTGTATGCGAATGTGGAGAAGGGGGTGCAGGTGGCTGTGTGGTGAGGAACGAGTGAGGGCGCGCGCGAGTCGAGCTCTTGCACGAATCGCGATGCATGCCGTGGACGACAGACGGCGGAGGTGCTATACTAAGAAAGTACCGTAACGGGCATTCACGTACCAGTCTCGACCTATGGAAAACTGTCAGTTCTGATACCCAATGCTCTTCAAAGTCCCTTCCACAGGTGCAGACAAAAAGGTCCCCGGCGCACCGCACAGCACAATCAGGATATTCGCAAACAGCGCATTCTCAACCTACCATTTCTTCACCATTGTCCGATTCCGAGTCACTGTCATCCTCCATGCTCATGTCAGGGTCCTGAGCCTTGCCCTTGCCCTTGTCCGCAAGGGCGGCCTCGGTGGTGGAGGAGGAGGGGTTGTTGGTAGTAGCGTGGTCACCCATTATGGAGGCGATGTGAGAATGGAGTGGTGATGAAGAGAAGAGCGTGGAAGCCAAAGGTTGCAACCGGTGGAGAGACCGCGGTGCGGAAAGAAAAGAAGAGGAGAGAGAGAGAGAGAAAGTAATGTGGAAGACAGTGAAGTGATGCTGAGAAAATGGGAAAGAGACGGTCTGCAAAAGGTTGTTTGTAGCTTTCCAACCCAAACAACCCGGCGACAGCAAGGGACGGGCTCTGTGAGTTGGGGGTGTGATTCGTTGTGGTGGGGCCAGACCCTCAGGCCGCTCTGATCGGCGGGCTGTCTGGAACTTGCTGGCGCCCGTGACGTTTTGCATCTTTTCTCCAGTGCAAACCTGGCCTTTCGAAGCACGCCGGAATGGACACTAAACTTGGACGGGGCAGTTGTCCGTTGAGATAGAATCCTCTACGTTGTTTCTGCTTCTGACTCGACCAGATCCAGTCTACGGTCAGAGATGGGTAACAGCAATCCTATCCGAATCATTAATCGTATTCAGTCATGGTAAACCAGTGATGCTACTGAGATAGCAATGCATCGTTTCAATCGTCATCGACATCAAACTCATCCATCAACCCTTGTTCAACGCAAAGCATCGCTCAACGGACTCCCCATTGTTGCCCCACCACCCGGGCATAGACACTTTCTTGCCGGCCCCGAAGAACAAGAAGATCAGCAGCATATTCAAGTTGAACCCAGCATCAAACGCCGCCGCAACCAGATAGTTATACCGCTTCCACACTTCAAAATGCTTGCGATACGCCCAGTACATCACAATCCACCCTCCAATGAGGGCGGACGTGTAGCCGGTGCTGACATTGCCGTAGAACACGGCCAGTCCCCCGAAGAAGATACTGACGTTCCACAAATCAATCCGCAGGCGCGGGAACATGCGGTGGAAAATGTACAAGATGGGAGGGATCACGGCGCCCACCAGGAACGACCAAGGCAGCGCCGCCATCTGAGATTCAGCAAAGAGACGCTTGGGACCGAGAATGGCATACTGGACACCCATCGTGTTGGAGTTGCGGAGGCTTTGACCCGTCCACTGGTTAAGAGGGTCAACCTTCTGTCCCGTGATATACTCGCCCTTGGTGTCCATGATCCACCGGATGACCCCGTAGTTGATCGGCACTCCCATGCAGGTGCCGAAGATCTGAGAAAAGAAGATCTCGCGAGGCGGAATGTGCATGTAGTGGCCGATCTTCTGGTCCTGTAACATGTACTGCGCGCGATACCACGCATCGCCGGCGATGGCGCCGTACACCGAGGGTCCACAAGGATGCTGATGATTCGAGCCCGCCTTGGTGTGTACCATGTATCCATACATAAGCTCATTGAAGGATCCAGTCGACAGTTGGTAATTCGAGATCGCATAGAGCCATGCAAAAGGGATGATGAAAATGGCAGCGCTGGCCAAGGCGACGAAGAGAGTCCAGATGGGGATGAACAGGTATCCGCACGCCAGACACGCAATTAGCGTGACAAAGCCAGCCAGAAACAGCACGAGATACCACCAGTGAGGAATTTCCTTGTATTGCCGCTGAATCACGTTCAGTCGGTCATGGTAGGCGTAATGAATACCCTGTCCTTGGCCGTTGGAAGCGGCTCCAGCGGCCTTGGCAGCCTTGGTCGCCTTGCGGTTTTCCTGGACCTTGCGCAGGTTGGCCCGGATTTGAGAGAAGCCAAAAGTGGCAATCCAGGTAACGGCAGCGGGGAGCTTGGCATAATCAAAGAAGGTCGCCCAGATATTTTGGACTCCCATATGCATAGGTCCATACTGCTCAAAGGCAGTCTGGTTGAGGTGGTAATCGGACGTGAGCACTTTGGTGGTCGGATAAGTCGTGCCGTTACCCAGCATAAGAGAGTTGCTCATGATCCCATGCTTGAAGGAGCCGAGGTTGCCCCATTTCGCTGCAGGAATGAGGACCCAGCAGTTGAAAGCAAAGGCCAGGAACAGTATCACTTGAGTCCAGAAGGGAGTCAACATGATCGAAGACCCGTTCCAGTTGATGTTCGACCAGTCCAAACTCAGATTGAGGAATCCCATGCCACCGAGGCCGGATCCAATAAAATTGGCCACGGGGTTGTGAGGCGCGACCCAGCAGAGAAACGCGAGCGACGAGGTGAAGGGAAAGACATATTCAGGGAGGAACTGCCACAGGGTCATGCCGAGGAGAGCGAAGAAAAACACCTTCATTTGGCGTCGGGCCAGCCGTGAGGAGTTGTCCGTCTTGCGGAAGGTCTCAAAGAGAGTGGTCTGCATCAAGGCTTGAGGCCAGATGTACTCCGGATCAGGGAGTAGAATACTGCGAGCCAGAGCCGCAAAGGCATATCCGATCCACACGATGGCGAGCATGAAGAAGATGGCCACGGCGGGAGGCATTCGGTACCCGTACCACAGCTCTGCCAGAACAATGGGAGTATATCCCAGATTATAGGTCGCTCCCGACGCCGCGGTCACGGTGACCAGGACGTGCTCCTTGATGCTCCACGCGCCCGGATTCAAGCTGAATCCCCAGCTGGTGCCGGGGACGCGAACCTTCCATGCCGGTAGCGTCCGTGCCAGGAAGTGGCCGGCATAGTGACAAGCAATCTGGACGAAGAAGACGGAGTATGGCGCCTTGGTGGTTCGGAAATAGCTCATCTGCGACAGGAAAGCACCGGGGATGACGAACAAGGCCGACAAGACAAAGTACCGGAAAGTGATGGTTGGAAGGGTGGGATCGTCGGTCAGGTTAATCAACTGGCGCACTTGCAGGGGCAGTGCAGCGATCTCCGGGTTCTCGTGACTCTCCTGTTCAATCGCCCCAGTCTCGCCCAGGACTTTCACCTTCTCTTCGTCGATCGTGGTACCCTCCAGTTTACCGGTCGAGGGCACGGGTACTTCGACATGGTCCTCCGTGACGATCACTGTCGTACGCTCCTCTGATCCTGCGATTCCTGCCTCATGGCGGCCTCCCCGCTTGAAGATATCGGTGATTGCCATGATTGACAACGATCACTGAGGTAGAGACTGTTTCAAGTCTCGAAACCTCTGATACGCAGTTCTGGCGGCGAGTTGTACGCGTGGGCACAAGCGGTGGAAGAGACAACCAAGAAGAAGATGGTGAAGCGAAAGAGGAGAAGGAAACAGCCATAGAGAGATAATATATCATTTCTATTGAATTCATGGTTGATCTCCGCGTGTCTCACTTCTGCAGCGTAGTCGTACAAGATGGGGTGCGACTGCGAACCCCATTTTCGCGACGCCATCATGAGAAACAGCGAAGAATGCCCGAACGGCAGGTCCGAGGACTCCTTCTGAAATCTCACTAAAACCACTTGACCGCATCCACGGTTGCATTCCAATCGGATTGGAGCAAGAATTCGGCCCACAGACGCTTTTTCCCTGCAATTGCTCGCTGCGCAAGCACGGCATCGACAGAATCGATCAGATGGCGACCGAGTCACCACCGGTCGAAAGCTTGAAGAGCTTAAACTGGATAAACTGGATGGGTCCGAATTAGAGTTTATCGGCCAGTGAGGAGAGGTGCCGATGGCGTTATCAGGCCGGCGCGCCCACTGTCTCCACTGCCTTTCAAGTAGGGAATTCCGGTCCGATCTTTGAGATTTACGATCCAGCATCGTGAGGTTTTGGTGTGTCACTTCTCCGTTGGATTTGTCACCTTCTAGCGACAGGATGGAAGGTGTCGTCGATTCCTTGCATTGCCTCATGACTGACCCGTTACACCCGCAGGGAGGTTTCTGAAGATTCATCAAGACACCCTGTGCTGGAGGAATACATATCTGCAAGCTACGGATTACTTGCTGCAAAGTATACCCGTGTATATACGAATATTGGATTCGAGGATCTGGTAGATGCATGATTCGTGTAACTCGGGATTACTCACCCGCTGACACACGGCACATTTTCGGGGAGCAACCGTGGTCGAAGCAGCCGGTCTATCCTTTATCTTTTCTTATCTTCCCTTCGTGCTTCGCTATGGTTGAACAACAATATAACAGGATTTGTTCACTAGATCCTTAGCGTCCCGGTAAGTTCTGTAGTAGTACGAGTCGGGGTTCGATATGAAACTCTGATAAGGTGTCCGGGCATCCGTCGATTCTGGACCGACGGGAATGTTCCGAACCATGTGGGTACCCACGCAGCGCAGCGCGGAACGATTATCTTCCCATTTGTGAGCGCTCTGCAGTCTGCAGTCTCATGTATCGAGTGTTGGCAGTTGGCACATGGCCCAAAGCGCTTCCAAACTCCAGGCCTCGACTCCCCTCACCTCAAGGAAGGTATGGAAGTCCCATTTGACCAACAAGAACCGAAAAGATCAGGTATGAGTATGCTGCTAGGAATAGGATCTACCCGTTGTCCCATACCGTTCTACCTAACATGTAGGGTGTTCCTCTTCACTGACATCCACATTGACTGTACCCGTCATCTCGATATTCTGATCATGCCCGGCGAATGTCAAACTAGGCACTACTGACATAGGAGGGGCTTGAGGAGAATTTCAGCAGTGGCGAGTTATAGAGCCCTTGACATTTTCAATCCAGTCCCCCTCGTGTCAGGAAGTTCAGTTCCCCACGGTGCACGGCCGAACGTGATGATAGATTGATGTATGTTGTGCTGCGATTGATTGCCCGCATTCCTAGGCACTATCTAATTCGGTAAGCGCGGGTATAACTTTAGTGACAGTCTATATTTATAACCTTGTTCGCTCGCGATCCGTGGGCGGGCGCTTCCCGGGCTCCCTACATAGCAATCTTAATGGACTTCTCCTGTATAGTCTTGCAAACTAAGACTCCGACCCGTTGCTTCAATTCTTTAAAGTTAATGTACATCAGCTTATGACCTATATCATTCGCTACACGTCAACCTCGGCCTTGTTACTCACGCTTCACAGAGGCGGCGTGGTGCTTGGAGCAGCAATCCGAGGCAATTGTCTGTTGCAAGACTCGATCGGCAGAGCAATCTATCGCCCAGAGCAAGCCAACGTCTCCTGGTGTTGAGGCAGGCTGCAGGCACATAAAGCAGAGACCAGGGTCAACTTGTGTGGCTTGAAATCACTCGTCACCGGACATGGGGTACACTCGCTACCCTTGATTTGCACATACGCTAGCTAGATGCATTCGCTAAATAGACAGGTTATCCAGGTGCTGATATTTTAGCCAGGATTCTCATCGAATGCCTCGTTGCGGTGAGGAGGGGGCCAAGTCAACATCGACGGAATCCGAGGTACTTTTGATGGCCCCCAAATTGCAGTTGTCACGAGTACATGGACCATTGATGTCGATTGGAAATCGTGCCACACCTCGCCCAGAATGTCTATTTTGAACCAAAGTTGAAGACCTCCAGGCCTGTCCCTTTGGGAGAAAATAACATCGTTCTCGACAGGCACGTCATAATCCCTCTCCAACAACAAGACCTAGAATTTAAATGAGCCAAATACTCCTGAGGGGGCAAAAAAAGCAAATTTACTCGCGCAGCTGCAAGTGAAATGGCTCTAGGCGCTAAGCCACTATCCATGAGGGGCGGAGACCGAAACACGCCCGAATGCAGGCATCTTAGTCTCGGCGTGTAAAGCTGAAATGCGGACTCGAGAAGTTGAGAGGATTCAAATCATGCAATTCCCCCTTGCAATGCCTATAATTGCTGGATGAAATATGGCATCCTTATGTTGAACCCAACAGTATAATATCATGACCTCCAACCGTACATCGAACTATACTACTGGCTGGGTCGACGAGCCTGACCGAAGAGGAACATGGACCATTCTCTCAACTTGCGTCTTAACCATCATCCTCTGTTGCTGGTCATCAGTATATCCAAATGTGCCTCCCAGATCGGCAAATGCATTCAAGAAACAGATGGGCAAGATCAATCTTTTCTTGATCGGTCTTCTCGGGCCCGAATTTTTACTACCCATTGCTCTTGGCCAATGGTCATCGGCTCGCGCTTCAGTCAAGGTGTGCCTCAATGCCAAAAAAAACACGAGTTGAATATGCCTAACATTTCGAGTAGAGATTTCGAAAGGCCGGATACGAGCATTGGACCTTAACACATACATACTTTGCGGATATGGGCGGTTTTCTTCTGCAATCTCCTGGAAGCGACATGTTTCCCATTGACGCGACACAGCTTTTCTGTTTGGTTCAAGATGGGTTCATAGTCTATCCGGAATGTGATGTCGAGGACATCCAGGATAAATGTAAATCTGGAGACATGTCAAGGTCAGTCATTCTCTTCTCCCGTACTTGCAATTTATCGGATGGTCGACAGGTTGCTTCGGCCACGAGGCCCTCTCTACCTCTCAACCTTGCCCTCAACCTTTTTGGTTTTTGTATAGCTTCCAAACAATCCGTTTCTCACACCATATTAGAGTTATCGCAGTATTGCAAGCACTTTGGTTCTTGATCAACTGTATCATTCGCCTAGCCCAGCGTCTCTTTTTGACCACTTTTGAACTTACAACACTATCTTTCATTCTGATCTTCTTCGTCACCTCATTCTGCTGGAAAGACAAACCCAAGGACGTCTCTCGAGCTATCATCCTAACGACGGATACGCCCATTGATACGATTCGCTCTAAATACCACCCATTCCCGGAAGAGACATGGTATCAGACACCACTCGCTTTTCTTTCACGCGAGGAAAGGGTCTCCAGTCGCCTGTGGCGGTATTACGTTCAAATCCTCCACTACCTATACATTCCCATTTTCGCAAGACCATGCACTAAGCCCTACGATCACTTCCCTTCCGACACCTCCCTGCCCACGGACAGGACTGCAGAGATCATCGGTGCACCGATCATCCTGTTCTTCACATGTATATTCACATTCGCCTGGCACTTCGAGTTTCCGACTCCCGCAGAGAAGCTTCTTTGGCGCATCGCAGCCGTCTATCAAATTATCTTTGGGTTGGTCGGCGGCCTTGGTGTTATCTATGCAGATACAATCGTTCTGCCTCATACTCGAGAAAAGTCTGTGTCTTTTGATTACTCTCCCACAGGGCGTCTTGCTTGGCTTGCCTGGAAATTGAGGAATATTCACCCGGACCGAGATCCAGACTTGACCATTCCCTTGAAGGCACTCTTGCCATTTACCCTGCTTTGTATCGGATATTGTTTTTCACGGACCTATATCTTGATGGAAGATTTGGTGGGGCTACGAAGGTTACCGGAGAGTGCGTTCCAGGTTGGAAGCTGGACGATGTATATTCCTCATTGGTTATAGCCCCAGTTCCAGTGTGTAAAGATTGATCGGAATTGAACATCTCGTCCCTTGAATATATCGATCGATGGGCTCTTAGCATTTGGAACTTTTTTCCACATCAGCTCTCTGCAGTCTGTACATGTAGAAATAAAGCTCTGCAACGTATGATGCTCCCAGCAGTGTTGATTGACGCATCTGGTTACGTGGTACATAGGGGATGAATAAGACGAAGTGGTAACAAACGTGTTGTCCTTGCAGAATCACTCGATTCTGCGCTGCAGGACTATTGCGGTAGGAAGTAGGAACAGTCATCAAACAATTTCCGCTGCGGAAACACGTGAGTCCTGCACGTGGGCTCAGGCGGAAATGCACCTCACGCACAGGGTCTGAGGGTAACATTGTTGGATGTACCTCGGGGGCAAACCCAGAGATCAGGTGACCTAAGCCCTCACCAGACACGAGATGAGTGAAAGAGATGAACCGACTGGAGTCCATGAGTCCATGACTCCATGGGTGGAATCATGATGACGCTGCCCAGCCAGGATTACTGTAATGATACCAGCTCCTCGTCTCGCCTCCTATCTTCTGTACCGGTGGAGTGGGTGCCATCGTCAGAGGGTCTGTAATTTTACAATGGCATGACACGTTCTCTCACCCGCACAATCATACAATGGTCTCAGAGGGCAAAATTAGGCCTCCCCATCATCCCACCATCGATTACATCATCTCCTGCCCCGCCAAAAATTCCATCTCAGCAGCAACCATCATGCAAAAAAAAAAAAAAACGAACGGTAGCTTCCAGATTGCATTGAACCGTTTTGCGTATGATCTCAAAGCATCCAGTAGCTTGTAGCTATGAAAGGTATCCACTAGATCCATCTGGAAGGGCCGGGTAGTCTCCTGAAAGGCTCAATGTGTCAGTTGCTGGGGCAAAGAAGATCATGGAACCAGATGGATGCCCGTGGAAGCTCTCCTGCTAGAAGCTTCTGAGCAATACACCGCTCAGTATATAGGAGGAATTCGCTGCCCAGGCTCCTGTGCATTCTTTTTTTCTTCCTCCCAGATTTCAAACAAGTTTCTAATTCTTCCTCTCCCAACTACTTTCTCCTGTACCACTATCCATACAGAGAGATCCTTTTCACGAGTTTCCTTCCTGATTGACGAATCCCCTCCAAAAGTTTCCTTTTCCTCTTTCTACACCCTTTCACACACACACATTCACAATGGCCCCCGCCGTCGGTATTGATTTGGGTACCACCTACTCCTGTGTGGGTGTGTTCCGTGATGACCGTATTGAGATCATTGCCAACGACCAGGGTAACCGCACCACTCCCTCCTTCGTTGCCTTCACCGATACCGAGCGTCTCATCGGTGATGCCGCCAAGAACCAGGTTGCCATGAACCCTCACAACACTGTCTTCGATGCCAAGCGTCTTATTGGTCGTCGTTTTGAGGATGCTGAGGTCCAGGCCGATATGAAGCACTGGCCCTTCAAGGTCGTTGAGAAGGCCACCAAGCCCATCATCGAGGTTGAGTTCAAGGGTGAGAACAAGCAGTTCACTCCCGAGGAGATCTCTGCCATGATCCTCGTCAAGATGCGTGAGACTGCCGAGGCCTACCTCGGTGGCACCGTCAACAACGCTGTCATCACTGTCCCTGCCTACTTCAACGACTCCCAGCGTCAGGCTACCAAGGACGCCGGTCTGATTGCCGGTCTCAACGTTCTCCGTATCATCAACGAGCCTACTGCTGCCGCCATTGCCTACGGTCTTGACAAGAAGGTTGAGGGTGAGCGTAACGTCCTTATCTTCGATCTTGGTGGTGGTACCTTCGATGTGTCTCTCCTGACCATTGAGGAGGGTATCTTCGAGGTCAAGTCCACTGCCGGTGATACTCACTTGGGTGGTGAGGACTTCGACAACCGTCTGGTCAACCACTTCGTCAACGAGTTCAAGCGTAAGCACAAGAAGGACCTCACCTCCAACGCTCGTGCCCTCCGTCGTCTCCGCACTGCTTGTGAGCGTGCCAAGCGCACCCTGTCCTCTGCTGCCCAGACCTCCATTGAGATCGACTCGCTCTTCGAGGGTATTGACTTCTACACCTCCATCACCCGTGCCCGTTTCGAGGAGCTTTGCCAGGACCTCTTCCGCTCCACCATGGAGCCCGTTGAGCGTGTCCTCCGTGACGCTAAGATCGACAAGGCCTCCGTCCACGAGATTGTCCTCGTCGGTGGTTCTACCCGTATCCCCAAGATCCAGAAGCTCGTCTCCGACTTCTTCAACAAGGACGCCAACAAGTCTATCAACCCCGATGAGGCTGTTGCCTACGGTGCCGCCGTCCAGGCTGCTATCCTGTCCGGTGACACTTCCTCCAAGTCCACCAACGAGATCCTGCTTCTCGATGTTGCCCCTCTCTCCCTCGGTATCGAGACCGCCGGTGGTGTCATGACCCCTCTGATTAAGCGTAACACCACCATCCCCACCAAGAAGTCCGAGACCTTCTCTACCTACTCCGACAACCAGCCCGGTGTCCTGATCCAGGTCTTCGAGGGTGAGCGTGCCCGCACCAAGGACAACAACCTGCTCGGCAAGTTCGAGCTCACTGGTATCCCTCCCGCGCCCCGTGGTGTTCCCCAGATTGAGGTCGTCTTCGATCTCGATGCCAACGGAATCATGAACGTCTCTGCCGTTGAGAAGGGTACCGGCAAGACCAACAAGATTACCATCACCAACGACAAGGGTCGTCTGTCTAAGGAGGAGATCGAGCGTATGCTGTCCGAGGCCGAGAAGTACAAGGCCGAGGATGAGGCTGAGGCGGGCCGTATCCAGGCCAAGAACGGTCTCGAGTCCTACGCTTACTCCCTCAAGAACACTCTTTCCGAGGGTAAGCTGCAGATCTCCGAGGATGACAAGAAGAAGGTTGAGGACAAGATCAACGAGGTCATCTCTTGGCTCGACAACAACCAGACCGCCGAGAAGGACGAGTACGAGTCTCAGCAGAAGGAGCTCGAGGGTGTTGCCAACCCCATCATCTCCGCCGCCTACGGTGGTGCCGCTCCCGGTGGCGCCCCCGGCGGTGCTGCTCCCCGCCCCGCTGACGATGTCGAGGAGAAGCCCGAAGAGCTTGACTAAATGTCTCGCTCTGAGAGTGTTTTTCCCAATCATCAAAGCACTCTTGTGTCTTTGACCCTTTTGCAACACTCCTGAGAGTTTTAATTAATTCTACGTTGTCTTTGGGGGATTTGGCTCTGGGCTCTGATAATTCTTTTTTTTTTCTACATTCATCTTCATGCCTTGTTTTACGACTTATGGGATATCGCGTTTTCTTTATTTTACCCACCTGCGTTTTTCTTTTTTGATCAGTGATTGCATTAGATACAAAGATATCTGAACTGGCGAATGAATGCCGGTGCCAATCAAAAATTATTAATTCAACTGTTCTCCCTTTTACGTAGCTTCAAGTAGAACCTCCTGTGCGACACAAGCGATTCACCCCTTGTTGAACGAGATTGCCCGGCCGCTTTGAAGTTCTAGTCTCCCGTGAACCACCAAGCAATGTAACCAGTATAGACCTCGCCGGAAGTCGCAGGTCTCTGTCCACTGTCCACTGTCTACCTTGGTAGTTTTCAGGCTGGAATCTGTAGGCACCTTTTTGCCAAAGTTGAACTGGATCAATTTGCGGGCACCCACACCACCAGGTCAAGCAGAAACTAGAAAGCAACCTTGAACTGGAACCTTGCAGGCATGGTTCATGATCAGAAGCTCAGCAGCGAACTACACAGTACACACCCCCGACGAAATTAAAGGAAGAATCTCCCCCTCAGACACGCCGACCAGAACTCTTCAATGCGCAACATCACATCGATACATCGCATTCCCCTTGGCCAACATTCCAAAAATACAAAATACAATTCCACCACGAACCCCAAGTAAACAAGGTCCCATCGAACTCCCATTTCGCCAAGGCCAAGTCCAAGTGCAAGACCACTTCCAAATCCCAAATCCCAAGCCCTCCACACCCGCTCGCGTCTCAATGGCAAACTTGTCATATTATGGGTGTTTGTGTCTGTGTCTGTGTCTGTGTCTGTACCCATCCTACACATTCTGGAAATCCCCCTCCACCAACGCTGTATCCGGCGCTGACCCAGCTGTACGACGGTGCCGTATCCGATGTCAGAGGCCCGCTCCGGGTGTTTTTCGACTTGTTCGCGGCGGATGCGGGAGAATGCGGCTGCGATGCCCATGGTCAAGGCGAAGATGGGATCTGCGGCTCTGTGGGAGAGAGAGAGAGAGGGGGGGGGGGAAAGCATGTTAGTCAGGTTTATCGAATACTGATATTTCCGGGGTCATGAGTGATGCGTCAAGGTGGGAGGAGGTCAGGTGCAGCAGCTGGTGCTGTCCGGGGAAAAGCAAAGTCGGGGGGGGGGGGGGGGGGGGGGTTGTGGTTTGGGCCAAAACGGAACGAAATCCAATGCGCGACGGGAGGAAGTTTTCAAAATCTGGTCTGGGGGTCGCGCTTCTTACTTGGATAGGAGGTAGACGGCCATTTCGACGGACCTTGGGTGCGTGCCTGTAGTCGACCAGGTTGGGGATCACAGGTGGTAGTGTTGTTGTGTCTGCTTGGTGGAGGGCGGAGGAAGGGATCACGTGGTATGATGCGGATGCGGATGCGGAGAAGATTGCCTTTGCGGAGGGAGCGATCAACATGCGTGTTGGAGTTGGGGATGGTTGATCATCATAGAATCGAGGACTCTATGGAGTTATATGTTTCCAGAGCTGGACGCAAATACTCGGCTTATGTGAGGTCTCTTCATAGATAGGGGCTTGGTACTTTTGTCAAAGACAATCGCTCTGTTTCTTCGTTCATCCCAAGGAAACGTCCCAGATAGACTATATCTAACGAGATTAAAAAGGAGGAGAAATACACAAGCAGTCCAAGGCAAAGGCGGGCTATGAAAAATCACAAAATGACCACACCTGAAACGAAGACGCCAAAGAAGGATGAAAAGGAGGCGCTTTGTAGGCCATGCCACAAAGCTGGTAAGGGGAGGGAGTATTTCCAAAAAAAAAAAAAAAAAACATTGAACGCCACGGCTGCTGAGTGAGAAGAAAATGGAAGAAGAGAAGGGAGACTTTCGTCAGACATCTTTGACCCCCATCTAATCGAGATTAGTTTATTCCCCTTTTTAGAAAATCATCAGGGCTTTTGTTTTCTTCCCTCTCCTTTCTTCAAACAACCTGACCAAAGGCAGGGATCAAAGTCTGGGCAAGCCAGAAGCTGAAGACCAGCTTGGGACCGGTCATCAGAAGCTTGGGAGTGAGACCCTTGAAGAAGGAGGGGAAGCCCTCGTTCTTCATCATGTTGGACACGATACGGAAGCCGGACTCGGGGTTCTCGAAGTTGCGGTTCTGGATACGGGTCTTGATCACGTCGAGGGGAGCGGAGACGACCAGGGAGGCACTGGCACCACAGACGGAGGCGACAAAGTTCTGGGACCAGCTGGCCTTGTTGTAGTCCTTAAGGCTGTAGATGTACTCCTTGGCGAAAGCGGAACCACCGAAGAGCTGGGAAGTCATCGCCGTTAGTGGCATGCGCGATTGGAATCATGTCGGAACCATGGGGTGGCTAGACTTACAGCGAAAGATCCAGGGGCGTTACGGGCGGCAGTCCAGCCAGCACCGCGGTAGAGACCCATACCCTCATCGGAGATAATCTTGAAGAGACCACGGCCGCGGAAGGCCTCGGGGTTGGTCTGACGCTTGATCTTCAGAACGTCGAGGGGGAGGAGAACGATCTCTCCGATACCGATCAAACTAGCAGTCACGATTAGCGCGAAAAGTCCCCTCGTGATGAAACTTCAAAAATGTTCCCGGGTGTGTATGACTCACCTGCCAGCAGTCGCGTGCATGATGGCCTTGCCATTACCCTTGCCGAAAGCGTTGTCGAAGGCCTGACCGTGGTGCTGAGCCAGGTAGTCGCGGGCAAAGGGCTGACCACCATACTTGTAGATACGCTGGAGGACCTGTTCCAGACAAACAAACCCAAGTTAGTGCCGGATTCGAATTAATGGGCGTCTAGATTTGGGAGATGCCATCGAGGTCAACTAGAACTGCGTACCTTGTATCCAGCGGCGTATCCCAGACCGGGGAACAGAGAGGTGAACTTGCGGCCAACAGCAGCATCGGAGTACTCCCGGAAGACAACCTTGTTGAACTCGGCGGCAGATGAGATCTACAACCAAATGAAAATCAGCCACCGTCTCCAACAGGCCGATCTGCTACTCTTGTCGGAGACCGAAACTTACTCGGGTCTGGTTGCTCATCAAACGCTTCGCGGTAGTGTCAACCTGTACATATTCCACAACTTGTTAGTTGCGTGCCGACTCGATGATGCTCGGGGAAATCAATTGAGTCATACGGGATGGAAGACCATCAACTCGGCGATACCAGCACAGCCTAAAGATTGGAAAAACTGTTAGCAACTGCCCATTGCGCATCCCAGGGCTTCGATCATTCCAATTTCCCTGTCCTCTTCATCCCTTTGCCATCTCTGCGCTCCGAGGGACAGAGCTCATATCACAATCTTACCAGAACCAAGCAGACGAGCGGTCGCAGACTCCTTCTTGACGTCCTTGGAGGCGGCGCCAGCACCGGCTTGAGCGATAGCAGGAGACATTGTCCTTTTTTGTTGTGATGGGAAAAGGTGGGAGAAAGGGTTCAACGAGGAGGAGCAGACACCAACGACGCAAAAGACAGTCGACACCGAGCAAGAAACACGAAGATCTCCCCAGGAACAGAGGGAAACATGTGCCTGTAAATTTTATCGGAACGACTCGGGTGGGCCGCTAGTCTCGATTGGGATCCGGCGTCGGAGCTCAACCGTCGATGCTCCAAGGTGCCCAAAGTACTTTTGCATAGTTTATTCGCCCTAAAGGTACCTCAAGTTTTGATTGTCTGATAAGCTCAGTCATGAGTGCACCTGATAGCGGAAAACGTTCCAACGGGCTTAAACTCTTTTCTCTCGTCCGAGCAGACTGACTCAAGGAACTGGACTGTAAGTTCAATACGGCACTGATGTCCAAGTCGAATGATCGGTGTTATGATACCTCGAGGTTACTGAGAACAGACTCTGTCGAGTCGTTGACAGATCAAGCTACAACAATGTTCACCAGAACATGTGCAAACATAGGTTCTTTCTTCGACTCGATCGTCTTACTGAGCGCTAGCGGGTGCTCACCCGCTGCACAGTGAGCAATGGATTGATCAGTCGAATATTTGTTGCGTATCTTGGATTCTCCGGTCAGCAGTAGAGATTAGAGAACTAGAGATACAAGTAACTCCTACGAGTCACGACTCATGACACCTCCCATCTCTGCACCAGCCTCATCGCCACATCTAGCCCCCAACACTAGCCTCAATGCTTCTAGCCACCACGACTTCCAAGCCAAGACTCAATCATCACCAGTCCAGACATGGCAATTTCATCATCTCCCCTCCATGAAATATATGATTCAGGCAAAAGTATCCACTGAAGCACATGAATTAAATTCCACATACTTCATCAGTTTCCTCCAGTCAAACACCGTCCAACAACCTCGACAGCCACACTTCATGTTCCGTCACCACCCAATCCCTCCACCCGTTAGACTTTGGAATAGATTAACTCGCTTCGCACATCCCGGCAACAACGATGTCATGAATCGTTCAACAATCTCATTCGAGAGAAGATGGCACCCGTACAGCGCAACGTAGGGTCTTCGTCGTCACCCATGCCACCGACGTCATAAGCCACACCTGGCTGATGATCCATCTTTCTACTTCATGTATAGAGCAAAAGTGTATATGTGTATATGAATCGATGGACACGGCCACATGAGCTACATTTTTGATCTATTATCAAAGTTCTTTGCGCTATCTTGACTACCTTCATTGATTCTCATTCGCAATACCTACACATTAATACGTTCTTATCAACTGACTATCTTCCACCATGAGTTCCTCCTCTTCATCAACCAACTTCAACCCCCTTGCGGGCAACAAAAAGTCCGAGGAGGAGCAGCAACGGCAGACATACACCGAATGGGCCAAGGAGACATACAACGGCCAATACGAGAAATGGATGCCCTGGATGGAGGACCAATATCTCAAGTGGTTCGGAAAGGGTGACAACAAGGCTTCCTACGCCACAAAGGGTACGTGGACCATGACCCCCGACTTCAGCCCTACCTACTACTTACCTTCCCTTCCCTGCCTATCTGTGAAGGAGACATCCATTTTGCCGAGAACTCTGCGAACCCCAAACTAACACTCGGGCCCAATCCGCACCAAACAGACACCCTCTCCAACACCAAGGTCACCGGCATCGACCAAGTCGACAAACTCCAAGACGACACCAACAACCTGGTGGGCAACCAGCTCGGCAACAACGGCCTCCTAAGACCCGTCGGCCAGTTCTCCTCCAAAGAAGGCATCAACCGCGCCGAGCGCAACGGGAAGGATGAATCGGGCTCCTATGGCGGTCCGGCCTCTGGAGCGTTGGAAAAGAGCAAGGAGGGTGCCGGCAGTGTTGGCTCGGGTCTTGCCTCGGGGGCCGAGTCCGTGTCTAATGCCACGATAGGCAATATCCCTGGCGTAAAGGGGATGATGGGTGGTGGTGAGAAGAAGTGAGCGCCGGAGTGGACGGGGATTGGCAACTGAAGCTGAGAAGTTCAATTAATGATACTGGCTGGGTTGTCGGGTGCACTGCCGGCTTGGGTATGATCACGATATGACCTACCTAATGTCTTGTGTGTCTTTGTCGATGAGAGAGCTCGTTTCTGGGTCTTTTTTTCACCGTAATAATTCTTGTATATTTCTGCTTTATCAGCAGACATGTGAACCTAATCCAATATGAATGATCACGACGATTCTAGGTTTCCAATACTGTCTTTGTATCATGCTATCCATCTCCTTGGCGATGCTCTATTCGGTTTTCTCGAGATCGTTCACATCGACCACTTACGTAGCTAGCGGACTATATAAGACGCAGAGGAATAACGTATTCGGCAAATAGTTGGAATGGCTCTTTGCGAACGGATTACCAATCCGAGGGGTACAAGGCTTTGCTTGCGCCCCCGGACCAGGTACGTCAAGCACGGGAATAAGTGGCTGGATCAGAAATGCGCCGGGTAAGGATAAGCCTGACAGAAGTTGCAGCTTTCCTGAAAGTCAACACTGACGCAGAGAATACGCCACTATAGAAACAAGTCGTTCTCGACATTGCAGGTTCGACGTGAAACAAGAGGTGGCTGTAAGCGAAAAGCGTATACAGGTTTGTGGCCATCATGGAGATATACTTCCAGCAGGCTTCTTCTCAGGGAGAGAAAAGCTGGCATTCGGGGTCCAAGCTCTGACACGTGGACCAGCAGCATATGTAGCTATCGAGGCATTTCACAAGAGACCGTTCGACCGGAATGAGCTGGTCCCGGCCAGGCAGACTTATAGAGCAAAATTCGAATTTGGAGCTATCAAGAACTGATTCCCGGGGTCTCCAATTTCCATCAAGTTTCGTTGGTAAAATAAGCCCTAATCCACCTAAACACATATAAGAATGAAGCAGAAAATCGAGAAGACTCCAAAAGAACGCCCCGTGCCCGAATTGAAGCGAAAGACAATATCCACGTCCTGGAAGTGAGGGAAGCTTATTCGACCGAGCTGTATGGCGCTACCAGAATAGTACGTGCTTCCATCACGGTATCAAGATACGAAAACCAATTTGAGATTTGACGAGAAGACACATCGAATGCTGTGAATTCTCAAAGGTCCCCGAACGTGTTCTCACCCGAGTATCTGTCGAGACAAAATCAAGTCAGTACAGCATATTCTTCCGAGCAATAGGACAAGAGGCGGAATCAGCCGGAGAGCGAAAGGCCACAAGCGACATACGTGATGTAAAGGAACCCATCCTCGTCTTTGTGTTCTTCGTAGATGCTGCTCATCAGTGCAGCCGTTGGTGGTAGAACCTCATCTACGAAGATGAAAATAGCCTTCTCTGGAGACAGCTTGATGCGCTTCCGAATCACGTAAACGAACTGGCCGACAGTCAAGTCTGCGGGGACAAGGTACTTCTTCTTGTCGATAGTTGCGATATCAGACTTCTCGACCTTCTCGCAGATCACCTGTGGGAGGTACGAAGGGCGGTTAGTTACCGGAAGGAGCGGTGAGGGGAAAGATAAGGCAGCAGGCAAGCCTGCTTGCGTGCAGCTCAACGACAATGGCCGCGAGGCCATCCTCCCCGTAGAGGCATCATCACCCACTCAGTGGGAACTTACTGGAATACGGTCGGCATATTTCTGGCGGATGCGCTCGGCCTCAGCCTTGCGCTTCTCAAAGGGGTGCTCGTCCTTGAACTTGGAACGCATGGTGATAGATTGATAAGCTGATAAGTAAAGCGGGTCTTGGATGCGGAGCGCTGGTGAGGAGAAAAGAGCGGAGGTGCTGTGATGGACGGATGGAGCTTCAAGAGCGTTGAGGAGTGATGGAGATCGTGGCCTCTGGATCGAAGTCAATATTCTGGCGACAGGAACCGATGATCGATGGAGGAGTGAAGTCGTACGATAGGTAAAGAGGGGAAGAAGGGGAGGATGACAAAAAGGCAACCCCCCGCTGACGTTACCGTATGGATACAATCACACGAGGCGGTGAGTCACGAGCTTGGTTCACGTGGAACGGGTCACTTGCTACAAGGGTGGGAGATGCGAGCTTGAGTGGACACAGTGATAAGAGTGATTTGAAATGTTGGAGCAAGCTTTTGCATAGATGAAACTATCCCGAAATTATCTTCTGTCCATGTGCTGTCTAATTTCCCACTCTGACCGACTCTGACCAAAGACAAAATGTGAGGAGCTGTCGGACTCATTTCGCCGCATCTTCCGCTTGCCCCATTCTTCGACTACGCCGAGTCCTAGGTACTACCGTACCTGAGATTGGCACTCGGCTGGAGAGTCATAGCGATAGCTGCGATGAGCTGAAAGTAGCACATGTAATCAGGATAAGCAGCACTCAATTACAGCCATTTCCCAGCTGCATCACGTGTCTCCAGTCGGTTCGATCGCTCGACTCCAGATCTGACATATAGTAATAGTAGTCACTGGGGCTTGATCGACATCTAGTGATTACCGAGTCTCCACCCCCTTGTGAACCGAGTGCAGAGAGTTGACCGATGTGAGTCTCGGCTAAGGTTGTCGCGGATTGCACCTTAGTCACAACCAGGTCAAGGTCAGTTGAGCCTCATCTTATTGTACCTTACCAGGCATCCCTACTAGCTCGTGCGAAGGTTGAAAGCTCGATGCTTGGCGGGAAGTATATGTATCTATCGAAGAAAGTCTATGAGTAGTATGGGTAGCTGTCATCTATTGCCCAACGGCACGGTGGCTCAGTCCGACGATCTTCATGGACGAAGCCGGGGTATGCTTTTGTGCTTTACTGGATCTAGAATCAGGTGATTTCCGGACGTGTCCGGGAGACAGAACGGAGCTATACAAGTCCGGCTATGACATGTGCGGCGTCCGAGTCATTCCCGTTCCCGTTCAGGCTACTGCAGCAGTACAACATCAAGCGTCCAGAAACCCTCAAATTCGCTTCATGGTTGGTCGATTACTTAGCTGCGCAAGCTTATCTATACATGCTGGTGCATCTTCAAGGTTGCCATCAAGACATCGGCAGGCTCAGGCAATTATCGTTGTTCATCTGGTAATGAGTAGGTATTGATAAGGTATGTTGATCTTAATATTTTTACTAAACGCCTCTTGAGGACTCACGCGCGCAATGCCTTGGACATTTAAAATGCATCATCCTCTAAGTAGTAAGGTTCCTGCAAATCGACGCCAAGCTGGAGGTCTTTCGAACCCAGGTTCCTTGATGGAACAACTCCTACCTGTCCATACTTTATGTCTGACCTGGAAAGGAAACATGGATTGGGTCTTTTCTTCACTAAACTGGCAAGTCTCAGCTAAACAGGCGGCTGATTTACACTTTGGCTAATTGTTCCCGTTCTTGCCTTCGCATATGCCGCAACGAAAATCCCCGAAAACCCTAATTTAGTCTGTATATGTGATTAACAACTTGAATAAGAGCTTCAAAGGAATGTATTTAACGAGTCTCGCAATTCGCAGATCTTTCAACACAAAAAAATAGAGTGGTCTGATGTGTGGGACTAGGATCTGCTTCCAGGCGACCTCATGAGGCACTCTGGCTGTTAGTACTGCCCGTGGCTTTAGGTAGGCAGGTATATGCTGCGTGCTCTGTATTCATGCGAATTGGCTTCGAGTGGCATACAAGAACCACTCAAGACCTGGAAGCTCTGCAGAGTGCAGACCTGCCACCACTTCATAAAACACACCTGAGTCTGAGAAATAGGCTTGTACGTGATCCCAGGATTATTGAATGTTCATCTTCTCGATCAGGACATGACTCATAGCTCAACCCGAGTCCCCTAGCTCTCCGTGCCAAGCGATCCAAGTCACATGCTCGGAGTGGAGTCTGCTTGCCTTTGTGTGAATACTTCTCCCACGCTAAGATGGCCACCAATCCTCCAGTGAAGCGTGCTAGGTTTCAACCAAGCTTCTCTCACAGCCACGACAAACTCTCATCCCCGCTACGGCCCTGCTGCTGGATTGGGGCCTCAAATCGTTCATCTCCCGATGAATAGATGTCTGTCCGGTGTGTCTACTGTCCAGTTACTGGCCACTTCGCCGCGACTCACAAGGGTGACTAGCGACTTTCAAATGTGAGACACTGGGGATCTCTCAGCCGTTCTAGATGATTGGTAACATCGGTGATTTGGTAAGACCCCGACTCATTTACGCATGCAAGGTTAAAGTATCCGGAGAAGCTGACAGGCGGACAGCTTCCCGCCTGACTCGTTCGGCAGTCTATCGCGAGTCGTTCTCCACCGGCTTGCCGAAAGCCTCGTCTCTGCGTGTCTTTCACAGCGCACATCATCATGATGTGTTCAAATGTCTTGGACGGTCTGAAGATCCTACAGCTTCACAGGACGGCAACAAATGCCCCTGCTACATGGGGAATTCCGGACTCTTTTCTCCGAAAGAGCACCGAAGTTGGAGGCTCTACAAAGGGGACTTCTTTTGAAGGCATTCCGGGAGCCTGGTAACGCAGTGGGCAATGTGGGGGTTCGCGCAACGGAAATTTGTAGGAGCATCGAGGGGCAGAGTTTTCACTACTGTCCAAAATTGACTGCTGCAGCTCTACTCTTCATCAAATGAACCCGCCAATGAACGCCGGACAAGGACTGTGCTCTTACTCTGGACCGTTTGGGTTGCCAACCCACCAATCAGTCTGTTGTCAACCGCGGCTGCTCCCGTTGTTGTCCAGACAGTCAATCTAAATTGGGTGATGCCCATGCCTCTATACAAAAGGGTGCAGTACTGCCATATGAATCCTGCTTCCATTCGCATTGACTCGAACCGACCGACTTTTTATTCTTCCGTCGTGGATCCTGGATGGAAGCTCCCGTGTCCGACCACCCAGAAAGGATGAGCGATGTGGAAGGCAGTCTCCACTCCGTCAACTGCGGTACCGGGAGATCCTAAAGCAAAGGAATGAGTTGCCGTACAGGCCCGCTGCGTCGTGGAGGACCCTCGACCGTTCTTGTCTATCTACCAGCGGTACAAGGACGCGCATGGCGTGCCTGTCACCATCTCGCGGCTGTCGCAGTCGTCTATACCGACGGCTTCCATACCAAGGGGTTAGAAAGCCCGCGAGGTGAATCTCGGCCAAGAACCCGGGGCCCATTTGATGGAGCAGAGAACTATTTGTATAGCGGGGCAATTTGCTTAAACGAGCCCTGGGAATTGGGTGATAGCCCGGATGTTATCCCCTTTGGTGATCATTCTGGAGTGCGTACTGTGTAAGGTGTCGCGATCGCATGCCCAGGAGACCCGTTCATTATCCGTGTCTGGTCGCCCTTGCATCGCGCACATTGTACCGCTGAACACCTGGCTCGAGCATTGGGTGCAGTATGTTTTGCGCTTTGGCGACCCGCGTCGCTCTGCTGGCCTGTCTCGTGAGTTCGACCGGTTGTTTTTGGATCGGGCTTTCAAAGAGTGGAAACCCATCCTATCGGTGTCCTCCCCCATGGATACTAAACCCGACCTTAAACCGACCCAGAAAAAAAGAGATTGAGAGCCGGCTCTCCCAATCTAAAGAATCTAAAGATCTCCCAGTGGAGGAGGAGAACCGAGTCCAGCGGATGGCTGAAGAGCACGTTGACCATGGTCGTCAGCTTTTCTTCTCTTCTCTTTCCCTTTTGGTTCTTTCTCTATTTTTTTTTCCATTCGGGGGTTTCAATCATATTTTTTTCCTCTCATTGATCGTTTCCTTCTTTCCAGTCCGATTCAATTTCCCCTTCCCCGGGACCCCGAGATCTCCCATTCACTCTCCTTCTCTCTTTCCTTTGACCCAGCCCGAGGTGGCTTTTTGGGTTACGGTTTGCATTTAGGGCTCCCGATCCCCACCAGGTCAGCGCATCTACACATCACGGCCTGTCATTGGCGGCATCTCAAACCGAAGCAAAAAGAAATGTCGCCCTCGCAGGGCATCGTCGATATGCTTCAACACCTTCGTAGAAGGGGTCTTCGTAGAAGTCAACTCTTGCTAGAATCGATATCGACACATTTGCGTCCATGAGCGGCAAAAAACCAGCAACATCATCATCCAAAGTAACGGGGGAGAGTGCATCTGGCCTCAATGAAACATCGACGTCGCGGGCCACGGAGCCGCATACTGCCCCTGCCACACCGCAGCGGCCGTCCATCCAAGACCGGGCGACAACGTGGGGAGCAACCAGCTCGACCAGGCCAAGCAACTCAACACCCTTGCTGTCAGCATCCCAGAAGAGACCAAATGCGGCGTCTAATGCAAAAGTCGCCATTCCTCGACAACCGCCTAATAGCTACGCACCGCGCTACAACCGCCGGGTTCCGCGAGCATGTGAGTCGTGTAGGCAACGAAAGACGAAATGCAGCGGCGATACGCCCATCTGTCGCCAGTGTCGTGAATTGAGAGTCAATTGTCATTATCCCGTGGGATGGAGGGAAAAAATGAAAAAGTGGGCGCCTTCGAAACCAATTCCGTCGATTCTGAGGACATTGATACCGATCAAGTCATTTCAGAAGAGACACATCCAGAGTCATCAAGACAAACGCATATGATCTGATCAAGAACCTCCATCAAATCCGGACCTGATGAACAAGGATAAGGATGGTTCTATCAAATATGCAAAAAATAAGATTGTGCAATGGGTGAACTAATGGCGTGTGTCTCTTCCTTCGGAATAGGGATGTGGACAAGCTGAATGCTGAGATTCAAGACTATGAAAACTTCGTCAATGCCCTTCGCAGTACGGCTGAGCCTCGCACGGCAGATTGGATCAAAAACTTGCTGGACAAGGTGTGTCTGCTTTTTTTCCGCCCTTCTTTTCTTCCTCTATCCCCTTTCTAGTGCAGTCAAAGTAGAAATTGACTTACAACTGGCACGGGGAGATCCTGCATTGAGGGTTTGACGAGAATCACCTACTGACCCTTTGATTCCGCTTGGCTCGATTTGCTTCAATGCCAAAAGTTTGGACTCAAAGGCGATCAACCATTTGAGAGTACTCCATCCCGCCTCAGCACTCCACAGAACGAAATGGATGCCGATGAACGGTCCCCTCTCTCGTCGATAGGCTCCTTGGAGGCTATTGATCGAGTCGAGGAGGATCTGAATCGAACTGAACATACGCGCGCGACAGGATTCATGGGCAAAAGCTCCGAAATCTCGTGGATGCAACGAGTTCAGCGTGAAACCGAGCAGCGAGCTCGAGGGTACGCTGGCATTGTCGAATCTAACCCGGAGAAGAGCGGAGACACTCGAGACGGATTCGCCTTGCATGCACTTAACTATCACCTAGACGATTTGGATATCTCTGTCCCCGAACCGGTCGAGCGATACGACGTGCCCCCACGACATCTAGCTGATCGACTCTTCGACGATTATCTCGATACAGTACACCCCTTTTTCCCCATCATCAGCAAGCCGCTCTTTCGTGCTCAATATCAGACCTTCTTTGACAGTTTCAGACGACCGAATGCCCCACGGCCCGGCGATAAGTGGCTGGCCATCTTGAACACCATCTTTGCCATTGCGGCCAAACATGCCCATCTGGTCGATGCGCCATGGCGCGGTGCAGTTGATGATCATCTGGTGTATATGACTCGTGCGAGACTGTTGAGCCTCAACTCCGAGGTGTTGTTCAGCCACCCGGACCTTCAGCAAGTGCAGGTGGAGAGTTTGGTGGCATTCTACCTGCTGGCATCAGATCAGATCAATCGGTTCGTACTCGATATCCTTGGAAAGCAGCGACCTGTTTTCCATCCATCCACAGCGGCACTCTCACGCCCGAGTCCTTGGTCTCTAATTTTTGTGCTTATACAGGGCGTGGCGAATATCTGCTCTTGCGGTGAGATCTGCTATCACACTCGGCATCAACCTGAAAAACATTAGTTCTGTTACACCCAACATCTCCAAAGAGGCTCGATATCGTGTCTGGTGGTGTCTCTACTCTTTCGAGCACATGCTTGGAATTATGACTGGACGAGCAATATACACCCTCGATGGCGGCTACGCCACACCTCTTCCACTTCCGTTTGAGGAAGAGCAATTACAAGAAGATCCGACGGCCATTGAACTGCTCAACAGTCCCACGCTGCGCGACGAGTTGGTCAACAATGTCATGGCCAGTGCTGTGATTCGACCAGCCAGCGGTCGGGAGGATATGCAGAAGAATCGGTCTCGAGATCAGTCGTGGCTGAAAAAGATGCCCTCCAACTTTGGGCTGTGCTATCTGTATCACTGTGACTTGACCATCATCACCCAGGAAATCGTCAACAAGGTCTATTCCACCAACTGTGTGAATCTGTCATGGTCCGAAATCGAAGCTCGTCTGGATGAACTGCGGGCTCGCATCGATGCCTGGCAGACCAGCCTTCCCCTGGTGCTCGACTTTACCAATGAAGAAGGCGACGACACGCCCGATCAACTACGTTGTAAGCTGATGCTCGCCTTCCACTACTACAGCGCCCGCATCACTCTTGGTCGTCCGTGTCTCTGTCGACGCGATGCGCGCCAGCAAAACTCCCAACAAACTTTCAGCCACATGATGGCCCTCATCACCATCGACTCCGCCTGCCGATTACTGGGTCTGCTTCCCGACCAGCCCGACGTCCTTCAACTGTTCCGAATCTGCCCCTGGTGGGCCGTCCTCCGGTACCTCATGCAGGCGACCACCGTTATTCTTCTTGAACTCTCTTTTGGTAGCGTTCATGTCCCGGAAGACGAGGATCGGTTCGTCAACCTGGCCAAGAAGTCCATCCGCTGGTTCCACGCCATGTCCGACCGTAGTATTGGCTCCCGACGCGCCTGGAAACTATGTGATTCGACATTTCGCAAATTAGCCAGCGGCATGAAATATGCCACCGACGATTTACCCGTTCAACCTCGATCTCCGCCGCGATTCTCCGCGGAGCAGTTTCCTCCCCACATGCCTCCGTCCTCCTTCCATCCTCACAATCCCCATCCCCACCATCAGCAACATCACGAGGGTCCTGCTCTCAATACCAACGATTATTTCACTCTTCGACAGGAAGATATGAATGCCTTCCTTCCTCGCCCGGCTACCGCACAACCAGCCGAGGGAGATGTGTGGACTAGCTATTTTAACCTCCCCACCCCCGACATGGTTTGGCCACCTGCCGGAGCGGGTGAGATCACCGAGGACTCTTATTTCCCTTACGACCCGCTCAGCGAAGAGTTTATCCGATCTTTTTTCCCTTCTTCGGATGAGGAGAATCGCGGACCACGCTAGAGTAGTGAACGAAGTGAACCAGGGGGGATAAAGATCTCATGGGCATGTTTTCCCATCTCCCGCTACTGTCATTGCTCTCTCAGTGGCTTGGTCTGCACGGATTCATGGATGGAAGGCTGGAAAATGTTCCCTCGTGGCAAAAATGCGACTGGTAGCATTCGGATCATTTCTCATCGACGTCAAAATTAGTCTCATATATCCTCAGCGTTCCCTTCTCTGTGTTGCAATGTTCTTGTTCTTATGAAATCCCGGGGGAAAAAAGTCACATTTAGCGCATTAGACGAGTGTTTGCAAAAGAACGACGGTCGAGGGGACTTGCATTTGCATTAGCCATGTTTGCATTTGAGCGCAGAAGCAGTGACAATTGAATGAGATGCTCAATTTTTCCAACGCGATTTCATCCGGTTTGATAATTTTCCACTAGCTGTAGACTGGAATCAACCCTCAAGGTTGGATTATCTGATGGCATTGTTGCTGCAAATGAAGATACTCAATTTTTATAGAGTCCCCTGCACCAATCACCGCCCTTGCTTTGAGGCGGCTCGGGCTTATCGTCGGCAAACTCTCTTCCCAGGGATGCAAACAGTACAAACATCCAAGCTCCGATCGCATGACGGGACCAAACGTCGTGCCACTGACTCCGAAAGCTGCTGCGGAAATCACCATATGGTCTCATACTCGGAAGAGATCGGACTCACTTTCTTCATTTCCACAACCCATTCCGTCCCCTAATATCTGCGCCGGAGCTCCAACTGACCCGATTGTCTCTCATTAACTACAAGTTCTGCGGGTTCGGTTCGTAAAGGGCCCTTTCGCAACAATCGTTTTACCTTGTATAGCCGACTTGGACAATGGCTTCGCGAACATTCATGCCTCTGCGGAGGTCAATTGCTCAGCTCTCGGCTCGGATGGGTCGCGTTACAGGTCAGAATGCGGGGAGGTCTCTGCGTGGATATGCTACGGAGAAATCTTCGCGACAGAAGCAGCAGTTTACGGTTTGGAGACCGTATCTGCGGTTGGCGGTTGGGGTTCCGTTTATTGGAATGATTATCTATTCGATGGTAAGGATGGCCTGGCTCGAATGCACAGATGTATAGAAGGGGACAGCAGACTGAAGTGTCCTCCGTTCAAGTGGTCTTTCATGTCCAGAATGAAAGGAGAAACGGAGAGAAGAATCAAGCAAATTGACTGACACACTGATCCATTATACAGGCCACCGGCGAGATCACCGACCTCGACGCCCCGTCGATCGCCGAGCTCGACGCAGCTCTTAAACAATCCTCCGAAATCACCGAGTCTTCCCCTATGCGCCTCCGCATGGAGAAATTAATTAAAGACCACCAACAAAAGATCATCGCCGAGCTCGCCAGGATAGACGGCAAGGAATTCAAGCAAGACAGCTGGACTCGACCCAACGGCGGTGGCGGAATCTCATGCGTCCTGCAAGACGGCAATGTCTTTGAAAAAGCCGGCGTCAACGTCTCGGTCGTATATGGCGAATTACCTCGCCCTGCGATCGAGAAGATGCGCGCCGACCACAAGTCCTTCGTTGGCGCGGACGTGGACTCGCTGAGCTTCTTCGCGGCGGGTCTCTCGCTTGTTCTGCACCCGCATAACCCCATGGCGCCAACTGTGCACTTGAACTACCGATACTTCGAGACGTCTGATCCCAAGGATCCCTTGAACGGCGACAAGAACTGGTGGTTCGGCGGTGGTACCGACCTGACACCCTCGTATCTCTTCCCAGAAGACGCGCAACACTTCCATAAAACGATCAAAGATACCTGCGACCGCCACGACCCAACCTACTACCCCAAATTCAAAGCCTGGTGCGACAAGTACTTCTTCATCCCCCACCGCGGCGAATGCCGCGGCGTCGGCGGCATCTTCTTCGACGACCTAGACGCCAATTTCCTCCAAAGCTCATCGAGCTCGTCTTCCAACCCGCAAGAAACTCTCTTCTCATTCGTCTCTGACGGTCTCGCATCCTTCCTCCCATCCTATGTCCCCATCATCGAAAAGCGCAAAGACATGCTGTACACCCCGGAGCAGAAACAATGGCAACAGCTACGTCGCGGCCGCTACGTCGAGTTCAACCTTGTGTACGATCGCGGCACGAGTTTCGGGCTGAGGACGCCGAATGCGCGCGTCGAAAGTATCCTGATGAGTTTGCCCCGGACAGCGAGCTGGGCGTACATGGATCCTGTCTCGGGGACGAGGACGGAGAGTATGCTCGTTGATGAGGAGGATTTGGGCGAGGATAAGGTGAAGGAGAAGGAGATCATGGATGTGTTGAAGCACCCTCGTCAGTGGGCTTGAGCCATTTGCCTCTACCTTATAGTATGAGGCTTTTGTATGAATAAGGGATGGGAGTCCATCCACTGGGTTGTGTGTCATTGCAGCTCTTTCTATGCACGGCTGTCAAACCGTGTTTTCTTGATGGGACATATATGCACTTAGATAGAGGGAACGGGTGCTGATGGTTTGATATCTTTGTATAGTAATTGAGAAAACATAGATGTCACATTGAGAACATTCTTGGTAATTCACAGCGTCATTTTCCACCCATCGAGTTCGGCACGGATCTCCCGCTAACAAAAAACAAAAGCAATCAGTATGGATCTTACCAAATCCAGTACGCTAAAAAGTAACCAATTGACTATCAAGACAAGGTGCTCGAATCGATACAAAGCTGAATCAAATCGGGGAAAAAAACAATGTATTAAATATGTATTGTCTGAGAATTGAGATGGATCGAGAATTAGCAGCAGAGCGTCGAGAGCAGAAAAGCTAGACCGGCACATCAATTCGAATCGAAAGAATGACTTGGGGTATGTGTGGAAGAATCAAAAATTGACATGAACACAAACGAAAGAAAAAGCTTCTATATGCATAGCAGATGGGAGAAACAGGTCCCGAAGCAAATCGCAAATGCAATCTATTGTGTCACAAGAAGGTAGGTAAATAGAAAAAAAAAATCAAAACAAAGAGATAATGATAAGGAGTGAGACGCATCGACACGAAATTAAGAAGATGACAAGAAGGAAAAAATCAAGGCCAAGCTTATGTATTGACACGACAATGCAACTTCTCGTACGAGACGCAAGCAGGGCGCACTTCTTCTCGTGGATGCCCGTCAAAAAAAATACAAAAAAAAATAATGATCAACCAGCGATCATATTTCGCTGCTTGGCTAACCAGCCTCGCGGATCGGTCATATTCGCACCTTGTCGATAGCGAGAGACGGTCATGTTGTTGTTCTGCCATCGACTCTGGAGGTGATACCAGGCCGAGCTCACGAGGTCAAGTTCACGGGCTTGGTCTTCGATAATTCTCTGGAGCTCCATCTGGCGACGAGAATTAGCAAAATTATTTGGTAGCAAGGTAAGATCACGAGTAAGTCCATAAATTCAGCAGCAGGTGGTGATGGTGATGGTGGTAATGGTGAACGCACTTCACGTTCTCGGGAAATTCCATCGTCCAGATTGTCTTCGTAGTTTTTCATGCTTTCCCGTAGGGATTTGATGAGCTCATTTTGTTGTTGAATATACTGCGAAGGGTAGACAAAAGCTGTTAGCTTCTGGTCTTGGTCTTCGAAGAAGTCGGTAGGCGGAATAAAGAGGATGTTTTACCTCGGCGCGTTGAGCAAGTCGCTCGATATTTTTCTCCAGAACACCCGCGCATTGCTTCAAAAGGTCAAAGCTCGACTTTTGCTGCGTTTCGCCGTCTTCGCTATTCACGATTTCAAACTCGCCCAGCAGCGTCTGCATCTCTTTCATCACTTCCTGATCCTCAGCGCTGACCTCGTTCTGCTTGACCTCAAGCATTTTGCGCAATTCTTCCCGCTCCGAACAGACTTCTCGCACCAGGGTTTGACTTGCATCAACCTCTGCCTCCAAATGATGGATATTCTGGGTGAGATTCTCCCATTCGCTACGGAGCTTGGCCAGTTCTGCTGAATTGTGCTCTTCAAGTTCTCCGAGAAGGTCGGACTTTTCTGTCGAGAATAGTGAAACTTTTGAGGTGAAAAATTAGCTTGATATGAGACGCAGTCATGTTGAGGGTTGCCGCTTACTCTGAGTTTGTGCGTCTGCAAGCTCCTTCTTCGTGCTATCGAGAGTGTCCTGGAGCTCTGCGATCTTCTTGAGTGATGTCGTGTAAGTTTCGTATAGCTTCCAATATTCGTCGCTGCTTCCTAGTCAGTACAGGGAGAAAGCAAACAAAGCAAAGACCCCGCATCAATGATGAGTCCTGGCCTACGGATAAAGTACCTCTGTGTGGAGTTGGCTCGAGCCAGTTCGACCGAAGCATTGAAGTTTTCCGAAAACATCCCCTCAGGCTGGATCGGGTTATTAGCTGGGACTCATATAGTCAAGCGCCAGGAATCGTATACTTACAACAGCCAATGATCCTTTTCCGGACTTTGAGTCGTCGTGTTCGGCTTTTCTGGTGTAGGTGTTAGTTGAGCGATGCCATTTGGCTTGTCGTCTGGCCATGCATTAAAAACGTACAGCTGCGACTCCCCAACACCGATCGCCTCGAAATCCTTGCTCAGGGTGCCCTGCAGCTTAGGCGTTTCTGATCCGGGAGACTGGCTACCGGGCAAACCATCCAGCTCTCCTAGCCGCTCGCGCAGCTCACTGATCAGCGCATCGTCTCTTTCGTGCTGCTCATCGGCACTCTGAAGACGCTCAGTAAGTGCATGGTTGTTGAATTCAAGCTGCTTCTTGAGATTTTGAATTTCATTGCACTCTTGTTCAATCCGAGGCAACAGTTTTCGATACTCCTCAAGCTCGACTTCACGCTCGGCAGACCAGCGTTGCTGAGAATCCGCCTCCTTGAGTTGCTGCTGAATGTCTTTGATCTGGTTCTTCAGCACTTGGTTCTCCTTCTCAAAGTCTTGGCTGGCTTGAAGCTTCTGTCGGTATTTCTCTGCCGCGTTGGCCTTGCGTGCCAATTGCTCCTTTTCGGTGCGTAGCTCATCGTAGTCATCCTGGAGTTTCTGGTATCGCTGATTCTTCACCTTTAATGATTCCACGGTCATGCGGAGACTGTCAATCTCGTCTTGCGCGGCACTCAGCTTCGCCTCTTGTGAGGCAATCAGATCGTCCTGCTGACGCGTTTTGCTCTCAAGTGCCTTGGCGTTGAAGCCCAGATCGCCCTTGCCGGACTTGAGAGTGACCAGTCGATCCTCAGTAGACGCCAATCGGGTCTGAAGCGTGTCGTTGTTCTCCTGCAAACGCGCCAGGCGATTGTGCAGGTCTTCCAGAGCTTTCCCGAGCTCCTTCTTCTCATGGGTCAGACGGTCATTCTCCGCAATCACCTTGCCGACGCGCTCCTCAAATTGTAACTCCAGATCCACGGGGTGGTCTGCCTTGGCAGGCTCCTCGGGGGTATCGTCCACGCCGTCGAGGGGTTCGTGCTGCCCATTGTGCGCCTCCTCAATGATCTCCTTCAATCCCTCCTGCGTCGAGGTTGTCAAAGACTGAAGGGTTTGCACGTAGGTGCCCGCGTTCGGGGAGCTGATGGCGGCAATCAGGAGTAATTTGAGCATTTTGTTCGTTTCCTTGATGGAAGCCTTCTCTGCAACGGCTTCAAGGTCGGGCGATGGATCAAGTCCGGAAGGAAGGGTCTCATCGTTCTGGTGTCGGATGTAATTGAGTAAGAGCTTGTGAATGTGTTTGAGATTTTGCCATTTGGCGACCCAGTGGTCGGCGGGCTCGCGTTCGGGAATCTCGTCGAGGAAATATTGCGGGTCGACATCCTGTAGAATCTCCCACAGGATGATGCCGTCGGTCAATTCGTCCGTGCTGCGGAGAGTTTTGCCTAAGGAGAAGCTGTTGATCCATTCCAGGAGGACCTTGGTCACGTTATGTTCCTGGGCCATGGCGAAAGGAGTGTGAGTTCAATGGAGCGAGAGGAGGGATAGGGGATGGGAGCGCTGCAACAAGATCATTGCCTGGACTGCGCAAGCACGATTAGAAGCACAGACACAAGACCACTTTCTGTCAAGAAGGAGAAGAAGAGGTCAGAGCTGTCGGGTCCACGCGATCGTGATTCCGGGATTTTGGGGGGGCAAGTGACCGACTGCTTAGCGGGGCGATCGCCCACGCCCGGTGCTTATGCATACTCATAGCGCATCTGGGGACCCTCATATTCTCATAGTATGCAATAATGCATGGCTCTTACTATGAGCAGACCTACCACGAGGCACGAAAGGGCGCTATAAACTAGACTTCTTTGGAGTTGTTGCACGTCTCGGTCAAAGATCAAACCATTTCCATATCATGTTTGTTGTTTCCAAGCATACTCCATTATCGTACAACGAAATTCCAACGAGAGTATAGCATGCACATTCGACATCTACTAAGCCGAGGTCCCAACTACACGTCGACCAGCCAAATGTGAGCGCATGCGACATGAAACCAGAAACCGCAAACTCCAAGTCCAGGTCCAACGCCCGATCACGCTTCCGGAAAGGAACAATAAAGAGTAGAATCAAATGTCCTGCGCCTTGTGGTTCAGATCAATCATGGATGGTCGTTCGTAAATTACGTTTACCTCGGCCGTTTCCAGAAACGGCTGCGGCAGACGGGAATGGCATCCTGCATGAGGCGGGCAATTGCTGAAGGATGATGAGTCCCTCAGAAGTTGGTCTCGCCGGCGTATTCACCATTCGCTGTGACAATCTTGTCGACCTCAATGTTGGGTTTGTAGGTTGCATCTTGAGTCGAGAGAGTTTGAAGTGTATTCACTGGAGCCTCGGCCGAGAATCCACTGTATCCCTTTGTTAGCTTTCAACGGTCGGAACATATGCGTACTGGGACGAAGCATGACGCTTACGGGAAGAGATCTATCGAAGGAGATGATTAGCCTCTAGCACTCAGTAGTCGGTACGAAGCAAGTATTCAGACACGGGCTCCAATTGGTACTTACGATATTCATGAGTGATCACACCACCCTGTATATGTGGACGTTGTCAGCGAAACTGATCAAGCTCACTCCAGATTGATATGTTAGAGCTTACGCTAGCCACGATCGCATCCTTTGCCTTATCAACCACACTCGACGGCGTGCCCTTGGGGAAAGAAATGACGACGGACTTGAGGGATTTGGCGGCGAGAGCCACCGGGAGGAGAGAGAGCATTGCGATTAGGAAGAACTTCATATTGTATTGAAAACTGTGTTTTGGTCTTGCGAGAAGGGGTGGGTGTCAGCGACGGATGTGAGAGATATGGTAGACGTATTGACAGTGAGTTAAGTATGTATTACTCTTGTGTACGAGCAAAAGAGCAAAGTACGAAGCAGGAGATTCAAGAGGCGGAGCCACCAGTTGGCACTGCGTCATCGCGAGGGTCATGTGACACGGTGTGTTTGCGGACTGTCCGCAATCCCTTCCGTTCTCACCACTTGGACTGCCATGTGGTGTATCTTTCACATCTCGCCGTTCTTACACTCTCCTTCTTTTTTTTATTTTTCTTGGTAGTAAGCTTGCGTCTTTCCAACTTGGGTTTCATCTCTCGCTTCTCGCGACGGCGTTTTTCGCGGCCTTCCTCAAGTGTGACGACTCTGCCCGCCTGAGAAACGTCTGGGTCGAACTAGGACCGGTCTACCTTCAGCACTTCTCCCACCTCGGAAATCACGTCGACGCGACGGTAAAAGACACAAGGGAGGTGGAGTTGCAGGAAGTTGCAGGATCGAAGGACAGGCGCGTGTGTTGTTGTCTTCAATTCTTTGCAAGAGATAGCTAGCAAGCATTTTACAAGTTTCGACTTCTTTTTCCCTCCATCTCGCGTGAGCCTTGGAAATTTTGAGGGCGCAGACTAAGAAGGAAGAAAGGATCAAGAAGAAAAGAAAAAAGAGAGAGAAAGAGAGAAGAAAAAACAAAATCAAGAAGGAATACAGAGTCCAGAGGAACGAGGGGAAAAAACCAGCAGGCCTTCTGTGATAGCAAGCGGGAATTGAAACTCATAGGCATCAGCCTAGAGCGAGACGAAGGAAACAGAAAAGAAGAAGAGAGCAGAGATAACAAGAACAACAGAACAGTACAACCACAACTCGCAAGACCCGTCCTCAAAGATCAGACCTCATTGACTCCAAAAACAGTTGATCACTCTCTGTCTCGGCGCGCGCGTGTGCTATCGTCGTTTGCTTAAGCCATTCTGCTTACAGCGCATCACTCTTCCTCCAACTCCTTTACTTTGTCTCACTCACTCACCCAACTCCCTCACTCTGATCGTGACTCGCGCAAGCCTTCCCGACTCTCGAACGGAGTGAACCGTGAACTTTTGACGACTCCGATCCAACCATCACCTTTCCACCATGTCCGGACTCGCTTCCGAGGAGGTCGCTGAGGACTACAAGAGTTCCCTCGAGGATCTCACAGGAAATGATCGATTCCAAATCAGCAACCTGACGGTGATCGCCAAGGAGAACACGGAACATGCAATGGCCATTTCCCGAGTCCTGGAGAACCATATTCGAACAGTAGGTGCTTCCTTTCCTGTCACCTCCCATTGATGTCCTCTTCTACTCCTTGCTTTGGACTTTGCGGCTGGTCTATCGTCGCTCTCGACGTATTCGCTCGCTCTCGTAGAATGGGAACACTCTAACCGTCTCTGTAGACTCCGCCGCAGCACAAGCTGCCTGCCCTGTATGTAGTCGACTCGATCGTCAAGAACGTGGGGACACCCTACACCTTGTTCTTGGGGCGGAACATGTATCAGACGTTTATGAATGCGTACACTCTGGTGGATGCCCAGACTCGTCGCAAGCTGGATGAGATGTTGAAGACATGGAAGGAGCCCGTGCCCGGTTCCCTCGACACTCGACCCGTCTTCCCCCCGGATATCACTCGCAGTATTGAAAGTGCGCTCATCAAAGCTCGAACGGCGGCATTGCAACAGGAGCAAGCCCGCAGCAATCTGCTCCAACGCGGTCGAGGGGGAGGTACTCCTCCGGCGATGGCTCGGCCGGGTGTCAGCCATCACGGCGTGAATGGACAGAGTCATCGGACCTTGGTAAGTCTCTATTGGTTTTTTGTAGCGCACAGGCTCGTGTCCCTTACGTTCCTTTGGAAGTAAAGCTCCATCTGATTCCTGTGGTGAATTTTCATTAGACCCCACCTTCTGGTCACCGTCCAGGCAATGAACTGGATGCCCTCAATCGCGACTTGGAGAGTTGTATCCTCGCGGCTCGCAATGACTTTGCCAGCGCTCCCTTTGATCCCACCACACAACAACGATTGAAAGCGCTGCTTGATTTGCAAACCATCATGCGTAATCAACAACTCACTCCCGACCAACTCCGGCTCGTTCGAGACCAAATCTCCGCCTTTCGACCACAGACTTCAACGACGCATCCCGGTCCCAGTGCTGTGGCAGCTCCGCCTCAGGCCCCTCAGGCCCAAATATCAACACCTCCAGCGGCTGCACCTATCGTCCCTGTGGCTGCGACGCCGACACCTGCTCAGCAACCTGTCTCGCAGTCGCTCCAAAATCTTTTGAATTCGAGAACTCTGGCCGAGCTCATTAAGAATACCGCAATCCGCCAACAGCCCACTCCACCGCCTCCCGTACCGCAGATGGCCCCCGTGGCCCCTATGGCTACGATGCATCCTCAGATGTCGGCAACTGGCAGCAGTACGCCTCAGCCGGATAATCCTCTCATCGCAGCTCTTCGATCTCGAGGTATCCTTCCTCCCGCTTCGGCACCACCTGCGATGGGCCAAGCTCCTTCGGGGACTGGCGAGGCGTTGCCATTTCTCATTCCTGGGGGAATGCGGCCTACATCCTCGGTTCCCACTCCGCCTGTGTCGATGACCGCGTCGTCAGTGGTTCCGGCGACCACTGCCTCTATGAAAATGTAATTCACTTACCCCCTTTACCCCCTTTGCAAGATGCGCAAACTGCCCCTCTGTTTGCTGGTCGTGCTAATGCTTTTCCGGTTTATGCAGTCCTCGTGTCGCGCTTGTGGTTTCGCTCTATGAGGCGAAATCGAACCGATGTGGTACTTGCGGACGCCGTTTCCCGGCGACGCAAGAGGGTAAAGAGAAAAAGGCCCGCCATCTGGACTGGCACTTTAAGACGAACCAGCGCATGTCTGAGGCCGCCAAGCGTGCTCAGACTCGCAGCTGGTACGTCGATGAACGGGTATGTAACAGCGATCTTTCTCCGAATCTTTTTGGTGTTTGCATTGGACTGACGAGCAACTTTCTTTTGATTACGTGTAGGATTGGATCAAATCTCGTGAAGTCGATGACGATCAGCCAGCGGGCGATGGCGATGATCACGCCGACGGAGAGTCTGGTCCCGAAGGTGCCAACTCCAAAACCGGACCCCCCGGCATGGATTCGAGCCCCCAACGATGCCGCTCGTCGAAACACTCCTTGTCCCATCTGTCAGGAGAAATTCGAATCGACATGGTCGGAAGATGTGCAGGATTGGATCTGGCAAGATGCCATTCAAGTGGGTACTCGCGTGTACCATGCCAGTTGTTACGCCGAGGTCACCAAGGGTGGACCCGTTCCGCGAAGCTCCACGCCCCAGGCCCAGGTCCAGGCGCGAACCAGTACGCCCGACTCTGTGCTGGGTAAGCGCAAGGCCGAGACTAGCAATTCTCCGGGCAAAACACGCATCAAGACGGAGGTTTGAGCCTGAGCCGTGAGCATTAGCACGGAGCCTGGGATCTTCAGTCCTGTTGTACACACTACACATACTCCATACTATACATTCAGCGAATAGGCACGCCACATCAGGAAAGCGCCTCCACTTGCACTGCTTCCGTTTTCTTTTCTCTCTTGTGATTAGGGCCAATTGATCCGTACTATGTATTTATATCTAGAGACGTCCACAGATTCTCTCTAATATCTTCCATCGGGCGTCTCAGTGTAGTGTCACATGACCCATCCGGACGTGAGATGGCGCTAACTAGTTGAAGTAACTACCCCACTGTGTTGGAGAACCCAAGCCTCCCGTTTCACTGGCGGTCCCTTGGGGTAGCCTGGTACTTTCACTCCCTATTTCTACTGGTAGTAGGTTATGTACCTACCAGGTATAGGTACCGTAGCTAACCCCTCCCCGCCCCGTGGGGGTATGGTCACTTCCCCTCATCGGATATATTGGGAAGGTGACTTTCCCAGTTTCTCATCGAAGATGAGGCGAAGTGGAGGAGTAGCGTACTGGTGCTTAGTGCTCGCACGGGGGAATTGCTTTGTATGATTGTAAGGAAACAAGACCAGAGGAGCTCAAACGATGACTGCCTATGATGTAACTGAGAATCTGCTTCAACACGCTTCGAACTCTGTTCCACTTATCTGGCAAGTTTCGAGTCTGAGTAGCTAGGTACAGAGCACTGGGAGTAGGAAGTAGGAACAGTAGTATTTAGGTAGTATTTACCATGCTGACGTCCCCACTTTGTTTTCTTCTTCCGTTGGGCTTGTTTATCATCTTTCATCCTCTCTCTCTCTCTCTCCCTCTCTCTCCACTCGATAGTCTTTGGCATCGTACGTCTTGCAATAAGCATCAACAGTACCTCTACCGATCAATCATCATGGCATACACTGTGCGATGGGGTATTATGGGTAAGTGACATTACAATGAAGCTCAAAGTTTCTGTACACCCGCCACTACCGAGAGCATGATTCATGTCCATAACATCCCAAGAATTAAGCTGACTTACTCGATTGATTCTCCATAGCGACGGGCTGGATCGCCGAGAGTACGTGCTTTCTCCAATCGTTCACTCACGACACGCCCACACATCCTCCCCAATAGTGTCGTAGGAGCGGCAGAACAATCTAACTAGAACTTCTCCACGATCAGCCTTCGTCCGCGATCTGCTCAAAGACCCCAAAGCCCGCGATGCCGCCGACGTCGCCCACCAAATCACCGCCGTCGCATCCTCCTCCTCCAAGGACAAAGCCACCCAATTCATCCAAGCCAACAGCATCCCCAGCTCGTCCTGCACCGCCTACGGCGACTACGAATCCCTCGTCAACGACCCCAACGTCGACGTCATCTACGTGGCCACCCCGCACTCCCACCACTACCAGAATGTGATGCTGGCCTTGAACGCCGGGAAACATGTCCTGTGTGAAAAGGCGTTCACCGTCAATGCAGCACAGACCAAGATTCTGTGCGAGACCGCCCAGAAGAAGGGCCTCTTCTTGATGGAGGCAGTCTGGACGCGCTACTTCCCACTGAGTATTCAGGTCCGTGAGATGATTCAGAACGGCGAGATTGGGGAGGTGTTGCGCACGATGGCGGATACGAGTTTCGGAGGGGATGTCGAGGGCAAATGGGGCAAGACTCATCGTATGGTGAATCCGGATTTGGCTGGAGGTGCCTTGTTGGATTGTAAGTTGAGAAAAATCGGGGGGGGGGGGGGCAACTAACTTTGTCCTTCTCCTTCTCCTCCTTCTTCTATATACGCGAGCAAGACCCCAAAAAAAATCATTGCTAACAGTGTTTTCAGTGGGCATCTACTCCCTCACCTGGGTCTTCCAAACCCTCTATCACACCCTCCCCAAAGATCAACGCAAACCACCCACCGTCACCTCCTCCATGACCCCCTACCACCTGACCGGCGCCGACGAATCCACCACCATCATCCTCAACTTCCCTACCAGCACCCCCAGCAACTCCTCCCCTCCACGCCGCTCCCACGGCATCGCCATGACCAACATCCGCGTGGGCGCCGACCCAGACCAAAAGGGGTCCGCAGGCCCCGTGATTCGCATCCAGGGCACCAAGGGCGAGATCCAAATCCTGGGCATGCCCTTCCGACCTACCGGATATCGCGTCATCCCTGCTGCGGATGCAGATGGCAAAGCGGGAGAGGTCCGCGAGGTGCAGTGTCCGTTCCCGGACGGCGGACATGGTATGTTCTGGGAGGCGGATGAAGTTGCGCGGTGCCTGCGGGATGGAAAGTTGGAGAGTGAGGGCCTGCCGTGGGAGGAGAGCATTGTGATCATGGAGGTCATGGATGAGGTGAGACGACAGGGTGGATTGAAATATCCGGCCAAGATCGAGTCGACGGAGTACCCGTTGGAGTTGTAGTCGTTTCGCCGAGAGATGAACTTGGAAAGGCGAAACCCTTGACAATGGGTCATAAACGAGCTGGTGGCCGTGCTGAACCCAGCGCCTAACCACTCGGGATGGAAAGTCGATTGTGCAGCCCAGACAATCTTTGGGAAAAGACTCATCCAAAATATGTATATAGTCGGTCTATACAAGTCCATATTATAAACAGCGATATCAATCGTACATACCTCCCTCGTCAGTCCATATCTGCGAACATACATGGACAATGGACCGGTATATGAGTGTGGTGTATACTGTGTAGTATTTACCACTACCCAAACCACCCACCCTTTATATTTCAAACATCCTATCCCAAAACACCATCCTGTCCAAAGTCCAACCCAAACCAAACCCACGACCCCAAGTCGGCACTAGGAAACTTCCACATCAAAGATCAAAATGGCAAATCCCCGAAGAATCACATACACAAAGAAACAGCCGAATCCGGTCAATCTATTCCCGCTCGACAGACCTGCAGTACATGGGCACAGCGGCGGGGGGAGGGGGGGGAGACTCGGTCTTACGTCGACGTAGGCGTGAGGTTGGAATGTAGATTGGAAGAGTACATGGGCATGGAGAGGAGAGGTGACGTGACGAGATACCGAAAGTGAGCTATCAAACGGGGCACTGGCCTCGGTCCTATGTTGGGTGACCTGGTTTATTTGACATGGCAGTGTTTGCGATGCACGCATGTTTCGAGACGGGATGCGCATGTCGAGTTCATTGGCTTACGTTGTAGTATGCTTTAATGCCCGAGACACTGCCGAGGCCATCTCATGCGCGAGGTTATCGTCGAGCGGGCGACATATCTAGCAAAGCAGGGGTCTCATACGATGTAGAGAATGTCAGGACAAGTATACACAATTCTCGTCATACTATACATGACCTTTGGAAGGACGATACACGTCTGGGTCGGTCTATATGCGGACATGACCGAACATCAGCAAGCATTGAACGATTTCGCTTTGCTCACTCATACACCATCACAGAAACGTGGACGCTTTCCTTCCCCCGTGCGAGGATGGATCGTAAAAGCACATGACAGCATCGATAGAGAGTACTGCCGAGTAAGCTGACAAAGGTCGTTCACAGCCCGATCCAGGGCTAAAACTTCAAAACAGATTCACAATGGCCGCGCTTTGTGTGTCAACGGGCGCGAGACTTTGCTTTTTCGTCTTTCTCCTTCTTCCTCCCATTGCGAATATTCATTCAAAACATTCTCAATTGGAGACAATTGATCCCACTCCTTCTTGGCCCCGCGGGTTCGTCCCTGAATTGAATTTACTGGGTCTTGTGGAAGACACCGAGGATGCTCTTCCAGACCTGACCAGGCTCTTGGCTGGCGTCAATTCCGCGCCAGATACCGGTCTTCTTGTAGTACGCGCAGACGGGGGTGGTCTGGGCGTGGTAAGTGGCCAGACGCTTGGTGAGGGTCTCGGCGTTGTCGTCAGATCGCTGGATCAAAGGCTCGCCAGTAACGTCGTCGATCATCTCCTTCTTGGGGGGGTTGAAGACCTTGTGGTAAGAGCGGCCCGAGGCAGGATGCACCAAACGGCCAGTGATACGCGCCACAAGCAGGGCGTCGTCGATCTGCAGCTCAATGGCGTGCTGGAGGGGAGCTTGCGCGCAGCAAGCATCTCATCCAGACGCTCGGCTTGAGCGACGGTACGAGGGAAGCCGTCCAGGATGAAGCTGTAGTGGAAGAGTCAGTCTCTCGCCCCTAAAATAACCGCTTGGTCCTTCTTCCGAGCGGCGCAGGTTGGTTCAAACTGGAATGGCGAAATCTTACCCGTTCTTGCACTCGGTGTTGTTATCCAGCTCGCTCTTGATCATGTTGACCATGATCTCGTCGCTGACCAAACCACCCTGGTCCATGATCTTCTTGGCCTCCTTGCCAAGCTCGGTCTTCTTCGCGACCTGGGACCGCAGCATGTCTCCAGTGGCCTATGAGGGTTGTAAGTCCATGACTTCGAATAGTCGAGCGCACACGCCTCATGAGTGTGCGATACTGCAAGGAGTGTGTGCGCGTGTAAAGACATATAAATGCAGGGTATTTCGGTACTGACCAAGTGGCATGCGCAGTACTTGTCCTTGATGTTGGGGGCCTGAGTACCCTTGCCTATTGTGAACAAATCATTAACCTCAGATCAACAATACCCAACACCTTTTTTCTCTCTGGCCCAATTGACATCGTTCACTATTACTCCGAGGACAAAAGAAAGAAAACATACCAGCACCAGGAGGACCCATCAGAATAACACGGATCTGTTCCGACACGGACATGGGCTTGCTGCTGCTAGCGCCAGTCAAGCGGCCCTCGAGCTCGACAACGCGAGCCTCGAGCTTGCCAATGGTGTCCTTCAGACCGGACACGACATCGTCGGTGATAGGTGCCATTGTGAGAGACAAAGGGATCTGAGGGGAGAGGGAAGAATGGGTGCGAAACGTCAAGATCAAGAAAGATGCAAGTGCAGGACAAGAGCGGACGGGAAAGACGTGCGAGGAACGGATAAACGGGCAAATGGAAGGCAAGGGATTCTTGGCGCCCGAGGTTCGGAGTCGGCCAGTTGCCAAAGCGACTTTTTGGGGGGTTCGGAATCACATCTGACGGACGGTCCAAGCGATGTCATCGTCTTCCTATGAGCTGGGCTGTCTCGATGGAGCAGGACAGAGATTGGAAAGACGTAATGTGTAGTCAATGGATACAATACGTGATATAGACTCCGCGCGTCCACCGAGCAATTGCTTGATACCAAGGATCTCCAAATATTCCACGCTTCTTATTTATTTTCATGCTCTTCAACCAAATACGGCACATTCAACAGCTCCAAAGCCGCCCGGATCAGGGAAAATCGGGAGGTACCACCGTGGCCTGAGGCAGGATTTCCACCGGAATCACGGCTGCATAACCGCACGTGACTCGGAGCTCGGGCACAATTTATGTAAGTGTTCAGCCTCATGGCGTGGCTGGTGAGGTGTGGCACATGCTGGAAGCTCTCCGAGCATCATCGTAGTCCAGGATTCCCCCAAAAGCTGATGTTAGCAGCAACTGTCAACCCAACCTTCCAGCTTCCAACCTATCACTCCGAACACTCGATTTTGTCCACTGTCAAAGCTCAATTTTGACATTTCTGATCTACTAGAGAAAATTCTTCCGATCGATCCCCGGCATCCATCCATTCCATCATCATGCCTGCCACAACGGCGGACACGCTATCCCTCGTCAACCGCTCCGTCACGGTTGCTCCATTAGTCCTCCTCTCCGTTGCGGATCACTACGGGCGCACAGCCAAGGGCACCCGGAAACGTGTGGTGGGTGTCCTGCTGGGTGAGAACTCGGGGAACAATGTGCGCGTTTCCAACAGTTTCGCAGGTAGGTCTTGAGCTTTCGATGTTGATGTCTCTTCTGGGGGTTTGGGTGATGCAATTGGCAATCAATCAGGCTCTCGGTGCGGAACCCCAGAGCTAATTCTTTGCTGTCCTTTTGCTGTGCAGTGCCCTTCGAGGAGGATGAAAAGGACCCGTCGGTCTGGTTCCTGGATCACAATTTTGTCGAGTCGATGAGGGATATGTTCAAGAAGATCAACGCTCGCGAGAAGCTGGTGGGCTGGTATCACTCCGGACCGAAGTTGCGTGCCTCTGATCTGGAGATCAACGAGCTTTTCAAGAAATATACTCCCAATCCGTTGTTGGTGATTGTCGATGTACAGCCCAAGGAGGTCGGCGTACCAACAGATGCCTACTTTGCTGTGGATGAGATCAAGGACGTAAGTGAACTGGAGGAATTTCGTTCATCCTTCCTTTCTTTTTTTGTTTCTTCTGTTCGGCCTGCGACTCTTTGATTATGTGTCTCCGCCAGAACAAACTGGTGGACTGTAAACCCAAGCAAGTGTCAAACTGACGTCTCATCTGATTCTAAACACTAGGATGGCACCACAACCTCAAGGACCTTTGTACACACACCCTCGATGATCGAGGCGGAGGAAGCCGAAGAGATTGGCGTGGAGCACCTCCTCCGCGATATCAGAGACGTTGCCGTCGGAACACTCTCGACCCGCATCACGTCACAGCTGCAGTCATTGCAGGGACTACACCTCCGATTGCGCGATATCGGCCAATACCTCCAAAAGGTTCTCGACCACGAACTCCCCGTCAACCACGCCATTCTGGGCAACCTTCAGGACGTCTTCAACCTCCTGCCTAACCTGTCGACCCCCTCCAACACACAACGCATCAGCGGTCAGGAAACACAGACGGAGAACAGTGAATTGGCGCGGGCGATGAGCGTCAAGACCAACGACCAGTTGATGGCGATCTACATCAGCAGTCTGATCCGTGCGATCACGGCTTTCCACGACCTGATTGAGAACAAGATTCAGAACCGTCAGCAACAGGAGGAGAACGACTCCAAGCGTGAGCAGGAGGCCAATGGCGTCACGGGGGACAAGGACGGAAAGAAGGAGGGTACCTCGGCCGGTGGCGAGCAAAAGGAGGAGCAGGATAGCTCTGACAAGAGCAAGAAGAAGAGCTAGATTTTGGGTTGATCAATGATACGAGCTGAGCGCTTCTTACCCCCATGGAGCTCTTCACCATTTACATTCCTTCGCCTTCGGTGGTCTTTGATATTTAGACTGACAGGTCTTCCCGGCGAAGGCAAGGCTGACTTTTCTAGTCTACGAAACGAGACCAAGAATTCTACTCATTACCGTCTCTCGTAGATCATTTGGTGGAGTAAGATCAGTGTTCAATCGTATTATGATGAGCCGTGGCTAGTCCATGTCACCTCATCTCTCCGATCCACAACCTCCAGTGACGCTCTGGCTGGCTCCACGAGAGTTCCACCCACCCGCTGCAGTTTAGTTGAACCCATACCCATTAGCTTATACCACACCTTTTCTCGAAGGTTCAAAATCGGAACCAAAGAGCAAATCATCCGCCCCAACCAGCACACCACCCCGCCAATTCCTCCCTCGAGACCCTCAAATCCATAAACCCCCCATCCCGAAACAACCCCGGACATCGCACAAACAGTAGACATGCAAGGAGATGCTTACACACAGGCGGCGTCTCCCGATCCACAAGTGACGTGAGCGTTCCGCCAAAAGGATACCCTGTTGCAGATGCGAATCGTAGCTCCTTCTCCACGTCGTCCTGGCCGTGGCTGTGGACTCGAGCAGGTCTGGGTGAAGTTGTCTTTGTATTTGGGTCTGCAATTGATTGACGGGAGGGTAGATTGCGGAATGCAGATAGAATGAAGGTCGCGCATGTGCAGTTCCAGGCTTGTAGACGGACTTCGTAGACTTGCGAGGGTGGTGGGTGTGAGTGGATGGATGGTGTTGGGGTTGGATTTCGAAGTGGTGTTTTGGGGGAGGGGGTTGATGTTGGGAATAGGGTCGAGGGTTGTTGTGGTGCTGGTGCTGCTGCTGCTGAAGATGTAGATGTCACCAGGAAGACGGATCCTCGTCTTTCACGTCCTCGATGTGGAGCAGGGGCATGAACATGAACATCAGGCTGGGGGTGATCTTGTTCTCCGACGCCCTGTGGCGTATGCAAAGTCCGAGGATCTGGAATGGAACATGTCGCTGTATCCGAAACCTCGAGTTGCGGCTCGTCAAGTGACTGCTGCTGCTGCTGCTGCTGCTGCTGCGGAACTCGCACAGATCCAGATTGTTCATCATTCGGGGGATGAACAACACGCTCAACCTCCTCTCCTCCAGAGGTCCGATCCACACCAACCCGCTGCACAAGCCCGCGATCCAAAATGTCCAGCGCAGGAAGGACATCATTCGGAAACACACAGTGCAGGGTTAGCAATAAAGGTTTGACTTTTGCCGCATGGGTGGGAGACAGGCGAGAGAGAGCATTTTGTGCTCGTGTTTGTGATAAAGACGTTGAGGATCTGAGCTGGTGCTGGTGGACTTGTGTTTGTGTCTGTGGCGAGGCGAGTGGATCGGGTTGAATGCTGGAGAGTTCGTGGATGAGTTGATCGATGAAGGTTGGACCTGTTGGGAGGTCCGGGGTTGATGGAGCTAGATCCATGACTGTGATTGATTTGATATTTTCTTTGTTTTGTGGGTGTGGATGTTAGAAAAGATGTTGATGCCGGAGGAGGGGTTTGGGAGATGTATGTTTTGTTCAAGGTGTAGTTCGGGTGAAAGGGTGCAGGTGGATATCAAGTGATGCTTCTACAAAAGGGTTGAAGGATAGGTGACAATGTACATACTTGGTGAAGAGCTGGCAACGGGAGTTGGCACTCATGGATACGATTGATGAGTGGTTTGAGGTTAGTTTGAGTATATTACTGCGTGGACTCGGTTGACTTTTAAGCAAAGAAGCAGCAAGACATGAACGTATTGTTCTTCAAGCAAGATGTCGAGTCCGATCTCGAGTCCAAGACGGCAGAGACAACAGACCCAGGGTGACTTTCAGCAATATGACAATTTGCAACAAGCAAACAACAAAGTGCAGTTCAAAGAATCCATCATCAAATCAACTACGCACTTGAGCAAGGCAGGGAAGAAATAACAAAGGAAAAAAAAACAACAACAACAACAACAACAAAACATCTAAGCGAGGAACCGCCCGAGAGAACCTTCACTCGTCTCCAACATACCCGTCATCCCAGGACCCAGCGAGTCCGGATTCGCGCAACGTCGCAACCAAATCTCAGATTCACGAGTGGACGCACTTCACACCGTCTTATGCCCTATGACCCGCAATTTTATCTGCGTGCTCTCCTCCCGGACTTTTCCTCGTCGTCTTCCCTCTCTTCAGCCTCCGACAAGACCGGATCCTCAATCTCCGTGTTGTCCTCCCCAACTTCGGTTCCACTCTCTGCCTCTTTGATCACTCGACGTCGCTTGCGAGGGATAGAGACGGCCTTGTAGGCCCGTTTTCTGCGCAGAGTGGCCACACTGGAAGGACGTTTTTTCCCTTGCGCCATTCGAGTCGTCCTGATCAGAGCAGCCTTTTTCGGGACCGCCTGCACCTGGGCGACCGGCTGTTGGGCCCTCTGCCTCTGAGCCGCATGCCACTCATGCGCATTCTTATCAGTCAGTCGAGCCAGATGCAACGGCAGCGGGGCACCATGAGTCTTCAGCCAGTCAAGCCTGTCTTGTCTTAGCTTTGCATTCAGTCGATCAGGCCTCATGGTAGGCGGAGGTATCTCCTTGAGACCATCCCACATCATTCCTCTCATAAACACCTGCATTTTGATATGGCCATTGTGGTCCCGATGGGTGATTTCAAGCAAACCTCTGTCTTTATGCGCACAAAGGATCTCTCTGTCACTGTCCGGGACCTTGTAATCAATGTGCGGCCGATCATACCAACCTCTTTCTGGCTGAGAAGGCTGGGGAGGCTCAGGCTTTGTAACAGACGAGGGGGGCAGGACTTGCGGGATTTGTGTCTGTTGATTCACAGTTGTCTTTGTGGCACCAGACGGAGGTTGATTGGGGATATTGAATGCCGGAGGGCGGCTTTTCGAGCCCTGGATCAAAGCAGATTGTTGATTGATGACTGCTTGTTTTTGTTCTTCCAAGTACTGACGGAATTTGGCGGCGTGGACTTCCACTTCAGCCTGGGTCATTCCAGTGTTCTGAAGGACTTCTGGTGGAAGACCTGGGCCCTGGCGGGTGATCTTGACTCCATGATGTATTTGCTGCGAAATACCGTCTGGAGGGCGACAGGTCCTTGCTACTCCACCGAATGAAAAAGAGGGACTGAGAGGATCAGAGCGGCGGTTCTGTCTCTTTTTTGAAACCGCGGTGGCTGCCTCGAAGCTATACTCTTGCTGGGTCAAAGAGGCTGCCAGGCTGACATCCGGACCTCTGGTGATTAGGGGATGGCGCTGGAATGCAAGGATATAAGCCTCGCTGCGGAATGGCTTTGAGTTGGCCATCTGGTCAAAGGAGCTGTACTGGGAGATGATGGTGTCGTTGGCATAAGTCCAGCTGCCATCTGTTTCCTTGACCGCCGCAGTGTAGTGGCCCTCGGTTGTCAAGGTGCCGCGGTGCATCTGCACGGCCAAAAGTTCATAAGGGATATCCGCTCGGGCGAAGCCGATGCGTGGATCAAGCCAAGCTTTCTTGATGATCAATTGCGAGGGGACGAGGAGCTCTTTGTTGAGTTTACTGGTTTTGAATTCGCCCTTGTCAAGCGTATATTGGACGCGGTTGACTCGAACGAAGAGCACTTCAGGTGCCTGTTTGATAGTGAATTCGACCTTTGTAGTCTTGGCTTGGCAGACACTGCATTTCTTGTCGATCGTACGTCTGGCGAACTCGTTCTCAACCAGTGTCGCGAGAGATTCAAAGCCAGCTTCTTTGGGCTTGGTGAAGTGGACGTCCACATATTGATGGGTCGATTCAGTCACCTTGCTACACCCACACCCGTCGACCCCGTCACACATGTGCAATTCATTGTCGACAAGCGAGAAGATATTATCGAGTAGTCTCAAGCTATATTGGCAGAGAGAGGTCGGTCAGCTCATGTGATTCCAAATTACAATCAGGCAGCAAAAAAGAAAAAAAAAGATAGGGGTGGACATGGGAGCAAGACGATTTGATCTGGCGAGAAGGGGGAAAATCCAGCCTCGTCACTTACTGAATTCTCGGGAGGCTTTGCCCAAGCTGACTGAGAACCTCCTGCATAAAGTCTGCAGTATCCTCCTGACCCTCTTGCTTGTCTTCCGGCTGCTTCTTGGCCATCCAGTCATCCATGACCGAGCCCCAGAACTTGGTCATGTGGCGTGTCAAGTCATTCTGAGCGCAGTCCGGTTGCCAGAATGCCTCATACAGGTTGAACAACAGGCATATTTTGCATGGGCGGAGAATGACTCCATCGTTGTTTTTGCGCACACGGAAGCACTCTCCGTCGGGGTTGACGTGCGACGAGACGCACACCTGGATCCAATTGACGAAGACGGGCAGATGGAAGAGGACTTGCAGGATCACATTGCGATAGCAGGTCAGATTGTCCTCGTTTGTGAAACCAAGACGAGTTTTGAGCGTTCTTGTGTAATCCAGTCGCTCTGGACCAGGGACGCCGCTCTTGAGGGAGGTTTTATCAGCCTGTGTTTTGGTCACAAGACCAGGGGAGTTGGATTCAGAGTGCTGAAGGGAAGACGAAGCATACCGTGATGGTGATCCTGGGCGCTTCCCCCAGCGACATTACAGACATTGTGGGATAGCCAGAATGTGAGATGTGAGATGGAGTGGACCGGATTTTGATAGACACATGAATTGGTGTCGTAGGAGGGAATGGATGTGGAAAAGATTTGAAAATGACTTGCATTGTGATACTGGGCGAGGCATTGATTTATCTCCGAATCACTTGACTAGACGAAGTTGAGTTGTTCACTAGCCATGTCGTGAGCCGAGTTCTTTGTTCGCATCCAACATGGTGGAATTTGTCGATTCCACATTCCACTTGCGGAGATTCCAGGGTTAACTTCTTTGCGTTGTTCCAACCCCGGGAACTTGGGGCGCTACATCCATCAAAGAAACGAGCGTCCGAAAATAGAACTTGGTCTGTCAAATGATCGGATAGTCTGCCATCTGCATTACTCTTGGAAAGAAGAGCATCGGCCCAGAAAACGGACCTTGGGTCAAGAGAGAGAGAGAGAGAGAGAGAGAGAGAGAGAGAGAGAGAGAGAGGCTGCGAGAGCGAAATTAAGGAGACGCGGAGTTCTCGATGGAGAAGACGAGCCGATTGAGGCCCAGCGGAGGGAGGCAGAAAAAGAGCGAGGAAATGATGCTCTGCATGTTAGACAGCATGCCCCAGGCACTATGGCGATCGAGAGTTCTTTGCTGTCTGTTGATGTAGACTACCTTGATTCAAATGTATGCGCTGGCTCGATTATGCTTACAACCCTTCGACTTGCTTGGAATCACTCTTGCAACGTTGTAGGCCAGGGCACTTGGAAGTTGTATATCATGTCATTCTCGTCTTCGAAGCGACTCTCCCACAAGGACCACGCCTCGAGCATGATCGTAGACGATCCCAGGCCGATCGCTATTGAAAAGGTGATCCTCGTCTTCAAACCACGCAAGGATCTACCATTCCTTGATTCAAGAGCAAGGATAAGCTCTTTGAATCAATCTACCGGGTATTTCTTCTCACATTTTCTTCCTTGTCCTCTTCGATATTTGACGCCCCCTCGTGGTGTATCATTTCTGGCAGACCAGATAATTGATTCAGAGTTTCAACAAACAACACCATGGTACACTTGGCCATTTCTTTGTCCAGCAGAGGCGGACGTCGTCTGCCGAAAGCATCGAGATTGCGCGTTTCCCTCCGGTCCCTTTGTGTTATTTGGAGCTTACTCGCATTGACTTGATTCTACCTTCTTTGTTTTCTTTCCTTGAGGCGATGACTGTCTACACTCTGATTCGATCGAAATCAACTGTAGCTGTGATTGTGTTCGCCTTGGGTCGACCCGTCCGAATGATCGCCTCGTCCGGATTGTTCGACTCTGGCAGACTGTTGTATTCTAATGTTGACTGGACCAGATGAGACAAAGGATAAGTCCAGGATATTGGCTTGGTCCAATTGCTCTCTTCCCGCGAGCAACTCACATCTCCAGCCTTCTAGGGCTTACACACGCCGTCTTCTTTGCTGCTGTACCACCAATCTGTCTGGATTGTCTCTCGCCAGCTCACCTGACTACTGACTGACTCATGTGCGTCCAAATCCCGTCCAACCCTCTAGTCAAACCGTCACCGTCCACCGCCTCCGCAACGGGTTCAGCAGCCCACTTTGACACCAGACCCTCTCCCCTGATCCACTGTACCATTGAGGATCCGCCAGTCCACCCGACTTCGGCATTTCACTCGACCCTGAAAAAGGAAGAAATGGAAAAAAAAAAAGAAAAGAAAAGTAGGATATTCACGTTCTCCAAATGAAACAGTCTAGACTCTAGACTGATCAGTTCTTCCCGTCCGTCGCAGCATGTCAAAGGCCGATCATGATTCGTTTATGATGTGTGGTCCGATCGGTCGATTGGGAAGGTGACAAAGAAGAAGAAAATCGAAACACCACCACTCCCGTCCGGTCTCCGAGCCTTGTCTTTTTTTTTTAAGATTTTTTTGAGGACTTTCTCCACTGATGTACAGATTCTTTCCACTTTCGGAGATAACCGTTGAAAGCGTTCGACTTGGCCGTTGTCAGCGCCACATGTTGATTTAGTCGGGCGTACTGTAGTATTCTGGCTTTGCCTCGCAAGTCCCTGGACTCGGTTTTTCTGTTTCTCTGATTTTTTTTTGGCTATTTTGCTACCTACGCTTCTGTTCGCCGCCCATTGCCTTGACAGGGATACGACGGTACTACTACCAAGTTACCAGCTGACAGCTACCTGACTGACCTTCCAAAGGGGCTGAGATGTGCGGTGGCTGATGACTGACGCAGCCAAGTGAAGCATCTGGTGTCGGGACTTGGGACTCGGGACTCGGAAGTCCTACGGTCGTCCACTTTGTGACGACTACATTCGTGATTATTGCAGTAATTGAACTATTCTGGTGAATCTAGTCAGAATGCCATCCATCGAATCTAATATCATGACGAGCTTGGCGTTGATCACCGTGACAATTGGGTTTCATTCTCGCAGAGTTTGATTTCTTCAACAGGGATGTACACTCTGACTAGTGGTGAAAGTCCATGGCACATTTAAGATCGAAGATATGTTCCGCTTTCGCAGAGGTTTGTGATACCACCACTGGTGGTCAGTTGACAGTTCTACTGGTAGTCCGGTACAATAAGTACACTACCTACTCCTAGTACCTACTCCTAGTCCCTACTCCTACTCTCTTCGCACCGATTACTGCACGAATCTTCCATCACAGCCACGGCCCGTCACTCCACCAGGCTGCTGATGAGTTTCAAACAGTATGCACTATGCACTATGCGGAGTGGTCGATCAACTGTGATTGACCGGATTGCGTGGAGTCGTGGACACTCGATTGTATTAGAGCACTCTGGTGCACCCGTTTTTGCCAGTATGAACGAGCGAATCCTTTTGCGCATCGTGAATGCTTGCCACAGCGCGCCGTGTCTCATTGCCCGGTAAAGTGTAAGGACGGGGACCTTGACACGTTCCCCCATGAGAGAACGCCTTGCAACACTTGGACCCTGCAAAGGCACAAATGAAACACGGCACAGACTCTACATGTACGGAGTCAGTCCGCGAGCACGAGCGCGTGTGTCAACTTTGTCAAACATGATACATCAGATTAGGTGTTTCAGGTGTGTCTGGTGCCCGAGGCCAAGAGCGAAGCACACGGATCATCACGCTCACAGTCAACAGTTCGCCGTTGTATGGTTTTGTACATAATCGACGCCCAAGTTGGTCAAGATCCCGCGCCGGACTCGTTGCCGAGTATATAGGTTGCAGGGTCACAGGGGTCTCGGTGCCCCTTATGTTGAGGGTATTGACTGGTACAACTATACTGTAGTTAGTAGTTTACTAGTTACTAGTTCGTAATACTAACTTGGTAGTATTGTTCTGCATCGAGTGAATCAGTGTATCAGTGGATCTCACACAGCCGTCCTTGTCCCTCATGGACCGGTCCTCGATCTGGTCTAGTGGCTTGACCTATCTGATCATTGATGCCCATCTCCACACACCGCTGCATACGTGCAGTCCTTCGTCTGACACTAGACTCTGCAGTTTCGGACAGGCATGTCAGATGGGGTTGATTGGTGTTCGCAGCGGGGAACTCTCAAGTGCGAGATCCGGCCGAGCTCATATCCGAGGGGGAGTACACGCGATCTTACAGCGTGTTTGGGGTATTGATTCTCCCGGGGAGACTCTGGTGTTGTTAGGGGGCGAGATCTTGGAACGACGATAGTGGAGATGGTGTATAGCACGGAGTCGGGCTTTGCCATGGTCTTTGACAGGGGTTTGACAAGTTTATCCAGGTTCCCTATGCGGATTACAGAGCTACGGACTAGGCTGGTCTACTGGACAGGAACCCTGTAAGGCATCATGAGTGCGGATACTTCAGGGTAGATCCATGAAGCTTGAATTGGAATCTGCTTCGCAAGTTCGGATCCCCCTGCCCCCGGCTTCAGGGCCTATCCTCGGAGATTGCGTTCTCAAAGATCACATCTCCTCGACGCACAGTCTCTTTGACTGAGATTATTATGCTGTGATTGTGACCGAGATTGCAAATCTTGGTGTCGAGTACCACGCTTGACCTCTCGTTTTTATCGATCCGCTTCTATCCTGTGTGACGTATGCTGCGAGATCACGAGGTAGCTCGACTCACTACGCTAGAGGGATGCAGAATTGAGCCGAGAACTGTACGCTGGATAATATGCAGACCAAACTTGTAGGTCATTGTTTAACTAGAGATTGTTCTTTCCTTGGAGTCAAGACGGTGTAGGGGGACATGATTGATCATCGCAATTTACGATTTCCAGGCCTGACTGAACCCTTCGTAGCCTTGGCTGGGGCAGGACGGCCCAGCTCCACCATATCTACCTTTCTATGACCTTCTCAATAGACGTAGACCATTACATCAGAGACTGAACAGATACTCATCAGCATCATTTTGCCGTTCGATCTTCACTCAGCTTTTACTGACTGCTGAAATCATCCTTTCCCCGCGCCGATCTCTCTTTGGATACTCCGTACATCACACTTTACGACACGCCCCGAGACCCACTCTGATTGCACTCCACGAGTCCACCAGCACTCGATCACAATCCGCACTCCCACTGACACGATCTCACGGAACCCTGTATTCTCAGTCTCACCATTCCATCCGAAGGTCCCACGTGCGCAAGTTCAAAGGGAAACCGAAACACTGCAAGCTCCATGCTCCATGCTCCATGCTCCCTGTCCTTCCCCTCTCACCGCGTCCAGTCCAGGCCTCCAATGTGGTGCATTGACGATCATCAACGGACGGCAAAAGACTAAACGGCACTAACGGGTGTTTCAGTTCCCGCCCCGCTCGCGGATCAACTTCCTCATGAACGGCAGTCTACGGCGTCGGGAGATGGGTTCCCTGTTGATGATCTGTCATCAGTCATCACTGACTAAACTGTCAAGTGGAGCGAGATTGACGGGGGAATGACTGACTTGAGTCGAGACCTGCAGGATATGAAAGAGAGGGGAGTTTTGCATCGAGGTACTCGGATATCTTGGTAGGGTACATGTCCATCTATATGGATTCATTGTG